CCTTTATAAAGATAGATTTAATTATTACTAAATTCCTTTTAGGCTACTCCTCTTATTTTTATAGACTAGAGCTACTTAATTATATAAGTATATTTCTTTTATTACTCCTTTTATTCTCTAAGCTACCTATATACCTTTATTTCTATTACTTTAAGATATTAGATTTTCGGCTATTCTTTAAAGCTAGTCCCTTATCTTAGGTATTATTATCTTAAATTAAGTTTCCTTATTATTTAACTAATCTTAATCTTTTTTCCCTAAACCCCCTTATATTAGATTAATTAATTAGCTAATAAATACTAAATATTATTAACTACCCTATACTTAGCCTTTTAGAGTACAATTCTCTAATAACTATTACTCCTCTAATAACCCTCGAATGAATTAGTAGTAGTTATAATAAAGAATAGGTTCGGTATATAAAAATAAATAAGATATAATTTATTAAATAGTAGCGATATACCTTTAAAGCCTAACTAGAGCCTCTATACTATTATATAAATTTTAAGGCTAAATATAAATTATAATTATAGGAGTACTTTAATTAAGTTATATACTACTAAAGTAGCTACCTAATAATAATATATTATAGGTATAGAAAGACTATACCTTACTTATTAGTAATAAGAATATTAAGTTTGCTAAAGAAGTACTAAGAGAGTAAGTCCTATATTAAAGTAGGGACTAATATATTACTTTAATAAACCCTATATTAATCTCTATAATTTATAGTAAAGTATTTATTCCTAAATCTAATAATTACTATTCTAACTTCTTAATTTAATTACCTAACTCCCTAGAAAATAGCCTTTAATACTAGTAACTAAGAGTAGATAAAGGTAAGGCTTTATAGTAAACTAGAAGTATATTAAGCTTACTTATATAGACCTAACTAAAATTAATAGTTTAAGAGAAGATTAGCTAGCGAGAAGAGCTAATAGCTTATCTTAACCTTTATATATATATAATAAAACCTAAAACTATAGTATATACTAATTACTTTAGGAACTGATATTAATAATCTATACTAATTCTAGAGATAATATAAGACCTAGTTCCTAACTCTTATAGTACTAGTTAGAGATATCTTCTCTATTCCTACTATAGGTATAGGGGTTAAGCGCTTATTTAGCTTAATTTAGGATATCTACTATTATAGATATAGGTCTCTAAATATAACGACTATTTAAGACTTAATAATACTTCGCTATATAATATAGTTTAATATTAACTATACTTAAGGCTAGCTATCTATAAAAAGTTAAGACCTAGGTAAGAGGATAGAGGCTAACGAAGAGATAGAGGCCTAACTATCTAATTATAATATAGTCGCTATTAGCGATAATAAAGAGGTAGAGTCTAAAGCCGATAATATAGATAAGTAAGTTTATAATACTTTACCTAGTATTTAGGATTAAAACCTATTTATAGATTAGGAGGTAGACTTAATTAAGCTTCTATCTTACTAGTATCTAGTAGTTAGAATTATTTAAAGCGATAGCTAGCGTCTATATAGGGAACGGAAGTATCGGAGAGATAACGATAAATATATATATACTAAGAGGAGTAAATAAAGAGTAAATAATTAAACAGATCTAATATTAAGTTATGACCCTTTCTAGATTTTTAGAAAAACTGTAAACAAAATACCCTAAAATTACTAGCTTTTCTACATAACTTATATATATCACAAGACTAGCTATATTTGCATAGTTTACAGTACTACAGCACTCCCGCCGTAGTACCGCAGTACCGAACCAAGGGCCTAGTGCTGCGGGACTTGTCAAGGCCTATAGTAGCGATTAGCTACTTACTATAGTTTATTAGGTTCTATTAAGTCCTAACTATTCTAATTAGTTAAGCTAGATTTGGTTTAGTTTAGGTTAAGTCTTAGCTTATATAATACTAAGGAACGGGAAGTAGGGTAAAGTAGGGCCGGGACTAATTATAAAGATAGTCTATATAACCTTACTACTTATAGAGTTAAGAGTAGTATTTAGTATTATAATACTAGCTAGTTCTTTTTAAAGAGAAGAGTGTATTCTAACGAAAATACTAAGTATAGAGAAGAAAAGGAAAGAAAGAAGAAAGAATTAAGTCTCTAAAGCCTTTTGTAGGGCTTTAGTAAATAATAATAATAAATCATACAAACTTCCCCTTCTTTCTATCCTAATCCGGAACCCTAACCGAAGTCGGGATTTAATAGTAGAATCCTTCTAACCGCGGTCAAAGATTCTTTTATAATCAATTTCTGACTAGGGTCAGAAATTCCTACTAGGTAGAAGCTAGTAGTGCTTATTACAAAGCGTCTCAGATCGTGATAGTAACCATATTATGCGGCTTTCTCGGTCTTTATTATATAGGTGGGATCAGGTGGCACTGGCCTGTTATGTCTATGCTTTCAAACAAAGTAGGGTATATAACTAGTTACGTCATTGTATTAGAAGCAGACAGAATAGGGAACAGTATAATTATCTTAAGTATATCGATTTCCTTATATATAGATTAATTGTCGGATCATATCTATCGTGGGAAAGATTATGGTTTCAGCGCATACCTGGATATTCTCACGAATAGATTGATCGTTAGATTACGTCTATCGTAGGAAAGACTACGGTTTTAGTGTCCCTAGATATTCCCACGAATAGATTGATCGTTAGATTACGTCTATCGTAGGAAAGACCACAATTTTAATACACCTAGATATTCCCACGAATAGATTGATTGTTAGATTACGTCTATCGTAGGAAAGACCACGGTTTTAGTGCACCTAGATATTCCTACGAATAAATCGATCGTTGGATTACATCTATCGTAGGAAAGACCACGGCTTTTGAACATTGATATCTGCGCCCTTTGAGAGAAGGGGTGTAAGTTTATCGGAGGGAATTGTGGTCTGTTGTGGGATGCGAAGCATTAGACGGGCCATACTTAAAGAGAAGATTAGGTAAGGCTATCTACTTAAGTAAAGGATAATAAACACAGTTCCTTGTTTACTATACAGAACTTGAACAGAAGACTTACGCCTTTGCGCATTACCTCTATAGCTGTTAACAATTTTCTTAAACAAGGCTGGCTCACCCTAGCTTCCCTACGGTAGTTCGCTTCCGGGAGAAAATCGACACTGGCATCCAGGTCAAGAAGCGATGAAGGTGCTCGAAACATATAGCCTCTGATCCATTATTAGTTACCCCCCACATTTGCTTTCAAACAGTACTTACAGGATCGAAGGTATGACGAAGATCTGCTACATAAGATGCATCTCCGCAGGCATACAGAAGAGGTTCATCGCCTCAGCGCTGAATGGAATTACTACGCCAAAGAAGGTACGGGATCGGACATTGATACTGATTAATTGGGAAGCTTGCATCTAAAGGAGCACGACACTAAAACTTGTGTCGCGCTCATTGCCCCAAACAGCTCCAGTTTGTCCCTACTATCCCCCTCCTGGGGGATCGTAGACAATCTACAGGCTCTGCTCCTAAGCCTTCTATGCAATTGTGATGGCCTGAAAGTTTTAGATCTCGGGAAGTACCACGTTTCCCTGTTGGTCCTAGACTAATTAAAATTAATAAATTCTCCATTATTACGATAAAAGGCCGGCGCGAGGGCCCGTGCTGGTTATGGAACATTCGTGCTTTCAATACAATGATCGAATTAAGCAAATATACTCAGATACATAAGATGATGGGTCTACTGCCGGTTCAAGCGTAAGTGGAGTAGTGGGTATGAATTTGCGACTAATATCTGTTGTGATATGAGGCTTGCGCAAGTCAGGAACAAAGCCGCAACATCGGAGATAATCCCGGGCTTCCTATACGAAGAATCAAGTCGATTTGCAATCAACTTGATCGTCTCGTATTTATAGCCTCGTGTATCTCCTCAAGGATAAACAAATTGATTAATTCCTCTGAACTACAACGATATCTGTAAAGCCATGTAGAGTTACTTTCAGGCTAATATTTGATTTGTCGATGCGCCACTTTTGACTTCTTGATTGCCACATCTGGTTCAATGAAATGTACGTAGTTGTAAAACATGGGAAATTAGATAGCTTGGTTTTCATTGCATAGTAGAGGCAACCAGGCGGTGTGTGGGTCTTCAGCTAGCCACACCGGAGAGGCTGGCGATCTTTGCGCCACTTCTCAGATCTGGACCGTGACCCAGAGATGACAAAATAATATTATTGGCGCCCACTTGACTTGCATGGATGAGGAACATAAGGTATGAAGGCGCCGAAAGCCTTCAAATAACATAGTCTAACCCAGATCATATGTGGTCTGCATTAGGCACGAAAATCGACGATATTCGTACTCGACATATACTCAAGTCTTACCGCGATTGCGGTTGCAATTGGTGCCAGTGTACGCTTCATCTGTACCGTAACAAATACCATACTAACTTTAAGACAATTACCTATGGGGATCTAATATGAACGATAACGAAAATATATATTCAAAGAAATAATTAATTCAAGTTACCTGTACATTAACTTGATAGCTCACCAATGTACCCACCATAAAGAGGATCGTTATGCAGAGCTAGTATGGTCTTGGTGGGAGTTCCATTGGCATGCATGAGCTCGGACGGGACTGGATAAGTCATGAGACTCCCAACTCCCATGAATGGGATTTGTCAAGGTCTACATGATGCTGCAGTAGTATCTACAAGTTCTGATCATCCAATTGAAGTGGCTCTAACACGTAATAGCATCAGTCAGACCTCATAGTAGATGATGCAATGCTGAAGTGGCATATATGATGAACAACCTGTATCCTGCAACAGATGTTTCTGTTATTGACACCTCATAAGTGATTTTATAGACAATACATGTCTCATGATGTCACGGATATGATATACAGTCACGTTAACCTAGTTCCAGCACGAGGAAACGAATATAAATAGGGCAGTAATCTCGATGAGAAATAAACATCAAGCATTCAAGTTGTTACAATCACATTTCATCATATCAACTAAAATCCCCCCATACCCCATACAATATGGCAGCCGAGGTTTATTATCCGCCTTCAGGTGTCTGGTTCCGTCTCTACAACCCCAAATTAGCTCGTTATGTGTATGCTCGAAAGGGCTTCGAAGACGTTGGGAGTATTTCGAGCAATGAGCCAGCATACGCAGATCAATGGTTCACTTTCGTTTACCACCCATATCACAGGGTATCGTATCTGAAGAACAAGATTGGGCAGTTACTTGGAATCGGGTCTCTCAATAATGAGAGCATTTGCGTGTCTTCGCCTGATCCTGGTGAGAAAGCGATCGATGGGGGATCGTAAGTTCCATGATAATCATAAAGATCTTAAATCATGCCATGGTTATTTTCTAGTAACACTGTGCTGATGGCTTGCAGGGACGTTGAGCTCCGTCCAGCAAGGAGCAAGAACGGCGAATCATGCCTCCGGGTGATATTTAAAACTCATCCAGGATACAGCCTACAGACCAACTCTAATGGAAAAATCTGGCCGGTTGAACCAAGTCACTTCGATGTAAATGAAGATGATCAGCTCTGGCAAATGGTTTATGAGGATAGTATGTGTGTCACCAGCAAGCGAGCTTCCCTTTTGTCCATTGTCTTTCCTTTCATGTCTTTTCTGTCTTTTTTTGAGACGAAAGTTTTACTAACAATGCTCCCAGTGGAATTTGAGGAGATCAAATGGGACGTCGCTAATGGAAAAATCCTTGGAAACACACCTGACATTCTTCGCACCTTCCATTTCAAAAACGATTCTCCGGGGACTATGACACATGTGTTCGAGGTTGAAGAAAAAGTGACCCATACCAGTCAGTTCTGTACAAAGTTTGGCTTCTCATTCAAGGAGGTTGTATCTTCAAAAGGTATTTTGACAAACCCCTGACATATAAGGGAGTAATTTGCTTACTATTTCGGTGTCAATCCCTGGGGGGTTTGGAGAACTAGGCGCACAGTGGGAATTTGGGGCCTATGTGGACGTTACAAAGGGGACAGTGGATGAATTTTCCAAAACATATAAAGATTCCACCACTTTCTCTTTTCAACCTTTCACAAATAACAAGGTAATTTGTTCGTTGACAAAGGGCACCTTGAACATCCCTTATACCTTGGTATTCGTTTCGCGCTCCATGGGGCAGAAAATGGAAGTCCCAGGCATATGGAAAGGTGTATCAACCTGTAATCTTGAGTGGGATTCAAAGTTGATAGAGCGTTATCCACCCCGAGATGATGCGCAAGGCATGTGAAAGAGCTTATCCCATTGGTGGTGTTAAAATGAGGGCCGCTGTTGAGACGCAGTGTGCTCGATGCAAGAGCGTCACCTATCCTGTGGTGCCGAGAGAAATGGGGCTCACTAGCGTGCGGTGGGCTTCTGAACTACAGGCAGAGTTTTCGAGAGCACCCTGGTGTCTAACTGACAAATTGCGACTGGTGACCCTCACAACACCACGGCCTCAATAAAATGATTTTGACAATTCCAATGCAATACTTCTTTTCTCGAAACTTTCCGAACGTATGTCAAGATAGGCGAATCCTTCTATTGTGGTATCAGTAGAATGAGCATAGTCAACTTTCTCTGCTCTTCTTTTCTTGTTTGACTATCCTTAGATCTGGAGGCAAGCAATACGTGATCTGTCCGACTTATCTCAGCTATTTGAACAGAAATTCAGGAGTTGCGACCAGTAAAGTAAGCCAACGAATTGCGTGGTAGAACAGATATGTAACAATCTGGCATTCTGAATACTGTACACTTTCTGGCAGACAACGATAATATATGGAAAGCAGCGTAATACCTGAAATTGGGAGACGATACAGCATTCAGGAAGGTCCCCCAGTTCCTCAGGGCGGATGGAGCTATTAGCACCGATCATAAGGAGCAAGCAGAAGATCTACTGAGCAAATTCTTCCCGCCTCTGCCGGACAGAATTGATGATGAACGGACCAGTCCACAGAGGGCACCAGTGGAAATGCCTGCCCTCACCATGGAGGAGGTCGAACAGCGGCTGTTGGCCGCAAATTCTTGGAAAGCGCCGGGTGAGGATGGTGTACTGGGGATAATGGGGAAAATGACATGACCCACGGTCAAGCACAGGGTCCTGGACTTAATTCCAGGCATCAACAGAAAAAGGCACATTACCCAAGCAGAGGAGACATGCGAAGACAGGATTGGGAGCTGGTGAGATCGAGGGTTTTGCTCATAGCAACTACTCAGGTCAATATGGATGATGGCTACTTGGACCTGATGGGCTCAGATGGGACCTCCAAGGACGACGTAAAGGTCCCAGAGGGCGATCCTGGACAGCAGACTGAGGGGGATTTTGGAGAAGGGAACATGCTTGGTACAAAATGCCATGTGCTTATTTGAGGTCTTCTGAACTAACTGCCGACTGCGGGTCTCAAGCAGTTACCATACTCAGCACTCTGAATGCAGGGAGTGGTCGGTTTACGCAGGACTTGAAAACTTGAAGAGTAGAGAACAGAGTTTCAACATTGCCCTGGTCTCGCCTATGAGTTTTACCGTCCAAACATAACTGATCGAATGTCTAGCTAAATACATAAAAGCCGCATATCTGCCAACCAGGAAGCGTTTGCGGAGGGATCTAGATCTTCCTTAATTTATATCATTATTGGTGTAATCGTAAGGAATTTTCGTTTTTATTTCAGGTACAATATATGAGGATGTATTAATTCGACAAAGGCTTCGTTCAGACACCTCGGAATCAGATGCAAGCCTGCGGTTTTTTACCTGATCAGCATTTGGCTACATATTGCAAATCATGGATTGACCACTATTCCGAATGTGAACCAGCGTGTTTCAAGTTAAGGTTCGCGAATCAAATCGCAAGAGTGTGGAGTTACAACTGATTTCGAATTCTACTGTAAGACTATTCTGAACAGTTTCGTGCTACGTGGCCAGGCTGCCCACAACTAGAACACTGACCATTCTGCCTTCGCTCCTCAGTAAGTTGATGTTCAACAGCGATCGCTTTCTCTGCCATCTTTTCCCACGTGTTAGGAAGCTCCCCTAATTGACGAAGACCAATTTGCAATTCTTTTTTAAGGCCAATGAAGAAAATGGATGCAATAAATGTCTCCCGTGTGATTTTGCTTCGGAGCTTCAGGAATTCGGAAACGTAGTCAGCTGCGCTCCCAGTCTGTACCAGACATGGAAGCCGAACTGCTGCTTCGATTCCAGCAAGGGGCTCATTCGATGCAGACATGTCTATTGTCATGCTAAGAGATATTTCTTAAGGGATCAAGACCAGAATATAGGACTTACACGTGATAGTATTTGTTCGCAATGCCCACTTAGCTCATGAGGTGCCTTAGCAGAGTGCAAAAAGAGCGAAGATTACCACTATATATCTCTAGAGCCAAGGTGAGGGGTAATACGGTGACACGTCCTAAGCGCCTTGCGGAATAAAACATACTTTTGGGATATATGATCTTCCCACGACTATGTGTTGTTTCAGGTCAAGACTCACAACATATCTCTCGCTTTTACAGTAACGTTCGAAATCAGCTTTACCTCCACAGTCTCTCGCACTATTTCCCAGAGCCCCACCAAAATCCAGCCATACCTGAGTTGGTCAAGGATGACCCATTTCGCTTCGACCAATGTACCTTCAAAATGTTGTCATTGATTACTGTAATACTGATTTCCAAAGGATAAGCACTCTGACCAAAGATCGTCATCCTGCAGGTTGCCTAGGGAGCTTACCACTACACCACCGCTATACCACTCTTTGATTACTTTTAGAGCACCAATGCTAGGATTCATTCATTATATTGTGAATGTCTCCGGAATAGCAATATTCCTGTCTCGTAACGACGACTTGATCTGACAGTTGTCTAGTTGCCCCGCCGGGCTAGCTGACTAATGTGGATCACGCGATAGGACAAATAACGTCATGAACATTTGGCTCGAGAATCTCGAGTATCCCTGTTCAGATGCAGTTCCTATCAGGCTTGGGAAATCATATGAAAACATAGGACTAATCTCTCAAAATGCAGTCAGGAGGACCAGATCCCGAAGTAGGTCCTGCCCTTTCTGAAACCAACGACGCTAATAATCCTCTCAGCCATTGGCTAAATCTGAGAACCGTCTCCTCAAAAAGTACGGAAAGCTGCCGCGTGGAGGCTTACTAGCTCAAAAGTCTAAGGTACTTAGAATGCAGTTTTTTATGACGTACGCTAACTAGCAACCGGTAGGAACGGACATACTTTGACTCAGGCGATTTCGCTCTTTCTGCCGCTGATTGCGAGACTGACCACGGCGCTATTCAAACGGGCAGAGCACATCCTCATCGGGAAAGCATTTCGCACCCTTATGCCTCTATCCCAGCCTCTAGTAACGTTGACGAAGATGCCAACCAAGATACGTATAGGAAAAGTGCCAGTCTTGAGAAGAGTCCTCTCCTTCACCAAACAGACATTAAAGATGAACCTACAAATAAGGAGGGACAGGACGATCATATCTCTCACGAATATTAAGACCAAATTGTCGCATTGAAATTGAAAACAAATTGTATGTCATTGAGCAGGACAGCACGAGCAGCACAATAGTCAACGAGGCATGGTACGATAGCTTTTCGATTGTGAAGTTACGGAATATTTTTTTATCCTACGATATGTACCCATATCCTTGAAATGGTGGTGGTTTTGTAAGCTGCCTAAAGAATGTTATCCTCCCTTAACATTAGGGTTCGAGAAACAATCAGAGAACGTAGGTAGTGAGTGACACCGGATTACCGAAGACATGTGTGCACATTGGGAGCAAGTTGTAAAGGAAACACAAACCAGAGTGTCTGTCTGCTCAGCAACGGACCAAGATAAAGAAGACCATATGAGATTATACCCAAAGGGTCTGCATCGCTGACGGTTTGTGAACCTGCGGAGGGAATTAACATCACGTCAAAGTAACAGTTCTTCATTTTTGGAAGGCTAAAGGCATTTACGACGTGTGGCATAATTCGACGGTTGTGATGATTTGTGTGCGACGATTTCCAGGTAGTGGGCTATGTCCTACTTGTGAAACCGGACAATAGGCCGATACGGATAGGGGGGCATGCTACTTGAATTCCTATTCCCTTTTCTCCTCCAAAAACTGTTAAGTCGCCGACTCCTCCGATTTCAACCTCTCCTAGAGCTCCCAGCAGTGTCTCTATGAGTTTATCGAATCTTGATACGGATATACGTCCTTCGCAATCAATATCTCAGGTCGAATGCGAGGTAGAGAGGATTGAAATCAAGCAGAAAGATGAGACGAGGTCGAAAGAGCGGAGCTGGGTTTGGAAACACTACCTTACTACACCTGAATCTGGTATTTGGAGATTAGGAAAAAAGGAGCGGTCCGAGCTTAAACAATAAAGTATAATGCTAAGGTGAACAATCTGTTCACAAGTAGCTCTGACTCTATATAGGTACTGGCTCTTGGTCCTGAGGAGGAAAATTTGGACGTACCCGAACAGGAAGTCTTTTATGGTGTATGGTGAAGATTGAGGTTGGATTACATGTATACAAATTTTATGAATTAATCTTAGCAGATTGACAGAAAATAAAGTCCTATCATATAAACGAAGCCTTAGCCTTTGCATTCGCATAACGGTGAAGGGAAACCTAACTAAATAGGAAAAACCTTAACCAAGACATACTAAAGCTCCATAATTCAAAACTCCACGGCACATTCCATTGGAAGAGGCCTGTGTAATTTGGATATACTAACAAATATATCAGCTTGATGACAACCGCAGAGTAATTCTGAGGTCCTACCTGGATATGTTTTCTCCGATACTCCAATACCACGTATATCCCACACAGGGAGGCATTTACTAGGTTTTGTTAATATGAAGATATTCCCAAGTCATCTCTCCAGCAGGTTGGCGGCCGAATAAAGTAAGGGATAGAAAATATTAGCTACGTAGATCGTTACCTTCTCTTATTTTTGTTTAATGAGTATCCACATATTTGTGCGGCGTTCCAGCTACGTCACAACACAAAATCTGCACGATTTGGACAGGACAAAATAGCCACACTATTGATCTATAGATTAAATTGAGGCAATTCTTGCTTCTTGCATCGCTAGCAAATACTTGCACTAATGACCCTATGATACATTATAGCAACGTTGTTTTCCTGACCCACATTCACTATTCACGATCCCACTTAAGGCAAAGAATGGAGGTTCCTTTTCTTATACTTTGGGTCATTTTGGAGCCCTAACTTATCCTAATAGATTTCTCAAATTCCATAGTCGATCTTAAATGTTATTGCACAAAGGGAACCATCAATCATGGAATGCGAAAAGACCACGATATTCCTCAAATTATTACACGCAAATTGGTCCTTTAGATATTGAACTCATAAAGGCGGCCCCCGCAAGACTTGAAGGGCAATCACCAGTGTTATTTGCGGTCATCAAATGGGTGCGGCAACGGGAAAGCAACCGTATTTCTAGAGCAAGTTTCCCTTGGAGGCTGAGAACAAAAGAATGTGGAAGTGGCTATATATTAACGTATTCGGTAAGCGAGCTGCGCGCGCAAGCCAGCTGCGCAGCCCAAAACACATAGTAAAAGTGATGCACTTGTCATTTATATTTCAACAACCAAGGTTTTTATCATATTAAATTTCTTGCCGATAGCAACCGATAAGCATTTTTAGTGTTATATAGCAGTTTCGCCTATATCAAAAACATGCATTGTCATGGTTTCAAAAAATACATCGCTACATCCAAGAAATATATATTTATCGATCATATCTCTATCAAACACCTATTACATTCCTATAAAGTCTAGATAATAGCTAGATGTCGTTTAAAATATATTAGGCCATAAGGAAAAGTTCATATACATAACCGTTGTTGCAATATCATATTGTAATTTATCGCTTTTACTATGTGTTTTGGGCTGCGCAGCTGGCTTGCGCGCGCAGCTCGCTTACCGAATACGTTATACAGCGTAGCCAGTACCATCCAATAGAAACCATGCGATCCTTTCAGAATCTCACGATATCGTGTGGAGATACTCCAGTGGACATAAGTTTTTATACCCCTGGCCCCACAGTGTGTTATGATTAACTCTATGTTGTACGTAACTTGAGTGGGGCCCATTAGGTAGCGCCTCGATCACTTACGACACGCTACATCGATATCATCAAGTGCAATAAATTGCACTTGTGAGCGGGAGATAAACAGTATGTTTATCTCAATCGAGGTACAACGCCCTTATGTGTTCCACCCACTCGGTATTGCAACTGTCCCCAAGCAACCTCTAAATTCAGAGCGTTATTCCAGAACATGGTGGTTACAGGCGATCCTTCGATCCTCGATTTCTGTACTCTCAGGGACTGAGCCCTGCGAACCAGTGAATACGAGATCGTTTTGGGGAATACACACTTCTGCGATTATCGGTGGCCGATGCCGCTCTGTTCTCCTCTGATCAAGCCCCGTTGGCTAGACCTCGAATGTTGGATACTTCCATGCCACATATCGTGATATGGGCAGAGCCTCAATCTCAATCCCCATTCCAACCTCGCCCTCAAATCTCATCCTCAACCTCATCAGAATTGAATAAGTTGGAAGTTGGTCACACTTCCACTTGAGTTCGCAACTTCCTTACCTGCACTTTTCCGAGTTGTTTTGAGTTCCCTTTAACAAGGGACTCCTTTCTTTCTTGAAACCTCAGTCTACGTGAAGCATACATCATCAATGAAACTAGCTACAGTCAGATATATCTGACCGTAGTTGAAGACGCAAAACTTTGGTTGGAAGGAGTTGGGACAACTGTGCGCAAGGCTATTCTCGTGAGGCTTTTCCATCGCATGCAAGCTGTCGCTGGAGCAATTGAACCTTGACGACTGAATCCTGCGGGCAGGGTATCTATGATCTGGAGTAACCGGATTTTACCAGTTCAAGGGTCATTTGAGCGGCCCATTTATCTCATCGAGGAAGACCTTCTCAACGGCGCGATTACCTCAAACTCTCAGGCCAGTGATGGGCTTGAATTCGACATCACTTCTCTCCGAGGGATAATCACGAAAAATGGGACTCGATCTCGTTGGGCTCACTCCTTTACCTTGAGATCTTGACTACGCGGCTAGCCACATTGTGAAACTACGCATACCTATAACTATGAAGGGGGATCGAATATGTATAAGGATCCAATATAACGTATTTCACTACCGAGCTGCGCACACCCCCGAGCTGCGCACCCCACCCAACCTATTAAATTCAATTGCATATATCTCAACCAAAACGCCATTAATTTAAATATAGTAAAATCATCTATCTACCGAGGCACCTATTGATTTTATACCCCATTTTTCCGCACCCACTATACCTTGGTGGGGCCCGTATACGTGGCTGTAAAGCCGGCGAGTCGCTCATTTACGGCGGGGGTATAGGTGCTTCCACTGCTTCTACTATCCTAGTAATTAATTGAGAAGCTTCTTGAACTAAGAGACCTTCTTCGGAAGGTATCTGCCTTTGGGATCGAGTACGCTTTTGCTTCTACTTCTTATTTTCGGCGTATAATTCCTTGTTTTCTTTAGCGAGTAAGATAGCACCTTATATTATAAGGCGGAAGCCTTTTATAAGTTAATTTAATAAATGGTCGGAAGGACTTAGTAGGCTTCGAGATCTTATACGAAGTAGAGCTTTGATTAACAAAGCCTACCGATATAGATCTTTCTTAGTACCTAGTGTTTTTAGTATAAAATTCCGGCTTAAGTTACTACCCCGGCTTAGGGGGGGTATTAGGGTTCGAACTCGAATATTAAGCTTTAAAATAACTCTCTCTAATAAGAAAGGGACTAAACTAGCTACCCCGAAGCTATTTTTTATAGTCTCTATTTTAAAAGCTTTAATTCGGGCGAGGGGGTACGCTTTAAGGAAGTTAAGTTTATTAATATAATTTACCCTATACCGTATTTTTAATTTAATTAGCCGGCTATATATACGTTTTAAGATAGTAAAATAGCTAATATCTAAGGGCTGTAAAAGATAAGATAAATATACTAGTATATAAATTAGTATTACCTTTTTTTCCTTATAAATTTCGTTAAATTTAGGTATTAAATAACTTTTATAGCTATCGAGTATTAATAGCTAGTATACCCCCTTTATATATAAAGTACTCGGAATAAAGAGCTTCTTTAACTAACGAAGTTTAATTTTATCGGAAGTCTAACTATTAGGACTAACTTTAAAGCGCTAATTATCCGGAAGGCTATTAAACTAAGATTTAAGATAGACTTTTCCTTTAAAAATTATATAAAGTAGGAGCGCCTACCCCGAAGTATTTATATACTTAATAGCAGTTACCTATTTACGATTTCTAGGTTATAAAAGTAAGCGCCGACTATAGTATTCACTCCTTATAATAACCTTTATAGGAGCTGTTAACCCTATTACAAAACTAGTCTTATTAAAGTTATAGATATTATTAGGGTCGATTCTAAATTAAACGATCGTCTTTTAAACAAGATTAAACTACTCTTAAATAATTTTAGGGTCTTTATATTTCGCACGTTTATAATTATAGCGTCTTAAGAATCGGGAGGATAGGATAGGGTACTATTTCACAAATTTTATAACCTAATTTTCGCTAACCGAAACGACCGGTATAGTTCCGCGCTTTTCAAGTAAAAGATTCGCCATTTCTTATACCGAAGAAGGCCGGGGTACAGATCCACGTGAATCTATAGAAAGGATCCATTTTTTAAGAGACTCCTCTTCAATTTCAGTCAATTTCGAGCAATTTGCGCGGGTTTCAGCGCGAAAGGTAGTCCTACGAAGACGCGCCCGGAGGGTTAATTCGGGTACGTTAAAATGGCGTGCTACTTCGCGAATAGCGCTGATTTCTTGCTTCTTAATAGCCTGAATAGCTAATAAGATCCTACCCTCTCTCTCAATTGATTTTTGAGACGATTGAGTACGAATTGGTGGCATGGTGGGTGGTTGAAAAAGAAGGGTCTATATTGATTGACGCGTTTTGGGTGGGGTGCGCAGCTCGGGGGTGTGCGCAGCTCGGTAGTGAAATACGTTACCAGTTCTATCTTCAGTTGAACAATACAACTGATCGAGTACCAATGTATTTGTTGGATTCGATCGACACCAGTAGTTGCCGACAACCCTCAGCTCCCAGAGATTGCACCACAATTATCTGCTTGAGCGGATTGGTCCTTCTGAAGGGTGGGTCGATTGCCGTCGTGACAGGTTCTTGGCGGTCCCAGACGGGGCGCTGACATAGGTATTCCTTTCCGAGAGAGTCTGTAGAAGCAGCCCCGGCTGTGGTAGTCTCATTAGCAAGGCATTTGCAATAGGAAATATGTAATTCAGATATGTATTCCAATTTTCTTACTGTTCTAAAGCAAGGCTTTCAGGCACCAGATCCCCAAAAGGGGCAAACCTTGATCGCTATACGTGTGTAACATTGCGCACCGGGTGATATGGAAATTATCATGTGCAGTTGGCTACATGGATAATCATACGATTTATCCCAGTCGTACAATATAAATCCTGCGTTGCACCCAGAAGTCTACAACTGATACCTAGGTACCTCCGCGGCTATGACGCCACTTTACGCGGTCCTTATCGATAACCTAATTAGGACTAGTGTATCTAACGGGAAGGCCTCGACCGCTGACTCAGCACTTTCGTTGCGGGCAATGCGCTTCAGTGGTTCAAGCCCGCACAATCTTACCGACTCTCTGACTACTTACACTGGTCGCGCAAAGATGGATCTATCCCATTTAACACGGCCTGGCATTTTGTGTCAGTGTATTCGGTGCTCTAGCTCACTGGCTGCACTGGAGAACGAATGGGCCAAACTATCTAATGCCTACTCAATCCCCACCGCATGGCTCAGCGTTGACCTCCATCGTATCGCCGTTTCTTCGGAGCGGAAGCAAATCCCCCATACATCGGATATGACACTTTTACGTGGCCGTGTCATTCAGGAAGTCTCGTGTAAACTCTGTCAGCAACGGATGGGAGTACTTTGTCCACTTGACAACGGGTGAGTGGCTGTCGATAAAAATTGGCGCTTCTCAGGGCTAATCTCTGTCGCTAGGATGAACATTCTGTGGAAAATGTCAAAAGTTGCTTTTAGAGAGATCGTTACCATGAGGACGGTCCAGCCCGTATTCAAACAGGGGGCCCTCGAACGACTGATTTGTCCCCCTAAAGAACCTCCGCGCCGAAACCCCGACCTCGTCCAGGGCAGTGCACTGGTGCCAGCTGGCTGCACTGACCCCACTACCCTCGATCCATCCATGCAAAAACAAATGCTTCACCAGGGTCGAAGCATCGATCAGATTTCGAACTCAGTGAACCACCTCCAAGACACAATGGCAGATCTCAAACAGTCATTCACAGCACTTCGAATCGAGTTGAACGGACCAAGCCGAAACCTGGGGGAAGGTTCTGTACTCCAGGGACATGACTTTGACATGATCGCGATGGTTCTGAAGGAGCTCAAGTCCAAGTCCGACGAGATCGAGAAACTGAAGTTGGAGATTGAGGCCCTGAAACTGAAGAATCGCTACATGGGAGTGACCATACCACATCAACAAGAATCATTGTCGACCATGAGCATGAACGCTGCGCTTCCTGAAGTTCGGAGCCCCGGCTTGCTCCAAGCGGGCCGGAAACGCGGCTGGCCTGACGCATTCCCGGGCGATCGCGGTCACACCATCCCGGACTCCTTCGACGAGGATGATATGGTGGATGAAATGTCGCTATCAGATCCGCCGTTGTATAACTCGCGCGTTCCTCTTAATGACCTACGTCAATCTGCAATTACCACTAGCCAACCGGCAGAAGAGCAGTCGAGGTCCCTAGAGGTGCAGATGCCTCCTCAAGAGCCTCAGAATGTCTCTAGCTCCCTTCAAACACAACCCTACAGTCTTCCACAAACCGCAGCCAAACGCCCGAGACTAGGTGCGCCAGCTGAAGATGTGCCCCCAACAGCCCCACCGCAGCTGCAAGCTGTTCCTCAGAAAAGACCACCTGGCAGACCGAGGAAATCAATAAGTCATCCAACCCTCCTCGATACCACTGAATCACCCAGTACGGCCCCTTCTAGTACGCATGGGGATTTTGAATCAAACGGACAACCAAACACAGTCCGACGTCGCGCCTCTCGTCGCAGCTTGCGTGCACAATCCCTTGGGGCTAATACCGACGACAAAGATAGTCAAGAGGACCAGCAGAAGTCACAAGAATCACCCAGACCTCCTCCTGGGATGCACCCAGCGCCCAACAAAAAGAGCAAGCGTAATACCGGCTCGCCCAACGGAAAACGAACTGGAGGTCCAGATGATGACGGAGATGAGGCTGCTATGAATGAGAAGCGGAAAGCTAAGGTTGCGGCGCGGGACGTCATGGCCAGGATGGCTTTACAGCACGAGGAGGCTCTGGAGGCCCAGAATGCACAATAAATTGTCGGGGTTTATTCTTCACATACTTGTACAATAGGCAATAAGCAGTATTTAACCTACTATGATCAAACTCTCGAAGCCTTCGACTCAATACGATCGTCGAGTAGGTCCTGGCCAGTCGCCTTGGTGTACATGGAAGAGGTTTCCCAAAAATGGATGTACCTAGCCCACTTCTCTTTCTTATTCCGACTAGGTGTTGATAGAGCAATCCGTCATTAATTAATAAGAAAATACTATGTAGGCTTTGTAGCTGGCGGTGAAACGTCCGACGCTCGGCTTCGCCATTTGGCATCCACAACTCGCGGTGAACAACTATTCGGTCTTTAAACTACGTGAGATATAGTAACTTTGCGTAAAGCACGAGAGAAAAAAGTATCCATAGGCATTTATCCTCTTTCAATACCAAGTGTAGAATGTTAGGTCAAAGAACACATTATATATATTTGATATATGTATTCGTCAAAGATACATGCTTCTTCCAAGTTTGGCAATGATAGAACACCATTTAATACATTGGTTTCTACCAATAATATAATTGTCTTTGCAAACAAAATTTCCATTTGCTCAAACCTTCAGTATATAGGTAGAATAATTGGGAACTGGATTCCTAAGCTATGTAGGAATATGCCCTAAAGCGGTATCATATCTCATAAAATCATTATTTTCAGTCTGTAACGTCCCCATAAGCAAGCGTGGGAATTTCAGCGAGTGGGGATAAAGTTCTTGGAATCGTCCTGCTGTTGGCTGAATGACTCAGGGAATGCAGCGATCCCACCAATGATGCCAATAGCCATAACAGCAAGAGAGATGAGAGACCAGATAACTCCCCAGCACTGGGAAGATCCACCGTACCTCTTCGCAAAGACGCTGGCATCAGAGCTGTTTACTTTGCGAAGGATCAGATCGTCGCACTAAAGCACAGATTATTAGCAACATAAATCAAGAGATTGTAACTGGTACTTACAATATCCCAGACACTGTACAAAGCAGACATGACACCGATAAATAGCTATAAAGAAAAGCCCATTAGTAGGACTCCACGATAGGGGAATCAAGATATCAGACATACCACAACCCAGCGCAAGGCTTCACCATGGGCAATGAACCAACATGCCACCAACAACCCGACAGCAAGAAGAACAGTCACGATAGTCAACCAGTCTCTCCGTGCCCACCAGAGGGTAAGCAGAAAACAGACACCGAGGATGATGCTGGCAACCTTGCTCGCAACAATATTAAATCCAGCAAAGATCAATAGAGCGCCAATAATCGACGATCCCAAGTACCCAGCAGGCAGGGTGATAGCACTCATACCGCCTTGCATGTGAGTGACACCACCTTCATGTGGATCCAGTGAGATGGACTTGACTTTTCCACCGGTACAACAGGCAGTGATCGCGTGACCGAACTCATGGAAGGCAATCACTAACATCTGTCAGGGGTTAGTTCGAGTAGGTCAACAAGGGGTTAGGAATATTTACCTTGAAGGGCCAGAGTACCCAACGGACATATGGTATGTTCCATAGTAGTGCGATTATTACAACATATGCACCCATCACCCCTAAGGTGACGGCTTGGGTGTGGTTGACACTCAAGCCACGCCGGGCCAGTTGATGCGGGGCCGTCTCCGCGTGGGCTAGCGCTGCATATAGGGCTGGCATAGTGAGCGATAAATTAACTTCAGAAAAGTCAAGAAATGAAAAAAAAGCAGTTGTTTGAAATGGTCGAGGGCACAAGGGAAAATTATTTAATGGTCTATTAGAGAGACCTCGGGATCATCCACGCGTCCCTATAGGAACGCGCATGCCACTTGTTATGTGGCGTATGTGGCTGATCTTTCGTGGCTATTTTTAGCGTCTTGGCCATTTTAGGCTGAAGGGTTTTATTCTCTTTTATCTACCGCCTAAACTAAAATTGTTATTTTTTATACACAGATTGGCAAGTATTGAATTAATTGTGATATTGATCCCCACAAGAGATGAGAACCAACTGGAAAAATAGTGCAATAGGGTCGTACCTGCCAACTATGCTATGTTATGGTAAAGTTGTGAGGAAGCTGCGTTTGTAGAGAATATCAACGTTACACAACTTGTACAACATATCTTTACACTAATAATCCTATCAGTACCTCACGATCAAATAACAACAAAGGATGAGTCATCTAGGACATACAGCATTACGACTATGGTTCCAGACATTGAATCTGCCACGGCAGTTACACCTCTCGTGGCATAAAGCCCGACTTCGAGAAGAACCATACGAGCGTCGAAGTGCAAAGACAAGCTGGCAAAAGCTTAGTGAGACTTCAGATGTTCTTTTCTCCATCACTAGGGCCCAGTACGATGGGCTTCCAACACGCAATCCTTCTTGCTTCTCCAGTATCCACTCTACGCCGATCTACGTGTACATGTTAGCAAAGTACACGTCGCGATGGTCATTTTTTAAAGTAGTCGCCTTCTTTTGTAATGCTCGGCACTGGAATCTGGTACATGAGGTGGTCAATCCAAGCAAAGATCACAAAATCATAGAAGTCGCTTCCCGACATGCGATTGACCAAAAGGACTTTCGACGAGTTAGCCGTCATCTTAGGCGCATCTGGCCACTGTTTCCGTGAATCAGAAAATATGATCCCGGGATGGTAGATGGTTTGATTGCATGTTTGCTAATGCACTTCAATCTTTCTTTATTTTCTTTCGCCTCTTGATACCAGGTCTAATCTTGAAATTACCCCAGGAAAGAAAAGAGTATCATTTTGACCTTTCTATTTAAGTAGCAAATCCTCTGCCTGTTTATGATTCAGTATCCACCTCCATTCAATCATGGAACCGTACAAGATGATGTGTCGTGATAACTCTACCCAGATCACCCAGCCACCAGCTATTCAAGTTCAATGTATCGATCCTCCCAAGCCAGTTATCATTGGTATCTATGGCCTCCCAGGGTCTGGCAAGACCTTTTGGTTAGGTCAGCTCAAGACAGTTCTCAACAACGAGGGATTTGCGTTCTATGATGGTAGCGATGTTATTGCAGCGGTGACTCCTGGAGGTCTCGAAGGATTCCACAACCTGACAAATGAGGCCAAAATCGAGTACCGGGAGCGTGCTATAGCCAAGATCAAGCAGGAGTGCTGTAGCACAAGGAAAACTGCCATCGTGGCTGGGCACTTCATGTTCTGGGCTGAGGGAGATGACGATGGCCACTCGATTTGTACACCAGCAGATTTGGCTTCATATACCCACATTGTGTATCTGGATGTCCCCGTTGAGAAGATTGCGGGGTATCGTTCTAATGATGCCAAACGGAACCGCCCAAACGTCTCATTGTCTCATCTGGCCAGGTGGTAGCGCGTCGAAAAGAGCCAACTTCGTGATGTTTGCAGGCGTCATGAAATCCTTTTTGCACCAATATTACCATTTGTCGAATCTCTCCACCTCCTTATTCATGATTTTCATCGCCACACGGAGGCATACAACACGCATCTCGCCAAAACGAAGATGGATGAGATACTCGGTGCCCATTCCGCCTTGGAAACTATAATCGTGATGGATGCAGACAAAACCTTGGCCCAAGAAGATAGCGGAGTGCTGTTCTGGGGGAAGGCCGGTGTTACCTTAGCCGAGGGAGAAGGTAGCGACCCTTTGAAGGGTTTGTTCAGCGGTCCTCTGGGATATTCCTATACTGCCTTTCGGCAGTCTACACTGCTGTATGAAGAGGCTATTGCCGAGGAGGACTTCGAAGTCTACTGCCAGCATCTATCGTCAATGATACATATGCACCGTGATATCGTGGATCTGTTACACTTGGTTCGCGACACGACACATGTCCGGGCAACCGTGGTTACCTGTGGGATCCGATCTGTTTGGGAGAAGGTCCTGAAGAGAGAAGGGCTTTCGGACACAGTCGAAGTAATTGGAGGTGGCCGACTCAGTGACGGTCTTGTTGTCACGCCCTCTCTGAAAGCTGACCTGGTGACTCATTTGTGTGCCGTTCAGGGCATGTATGTTGTTGCGTTTGGAGATAGCCCTTTGGATTTGGCAATGCTTCAAGCCGCAGACCAGGGTATCGTTATTACCGGGGAAGACCTGACCCGAAGTAAGAGTATGGAGAAGAAGCTGGCAGAGGTCATTGGGAAAGATGGCTTCCGGCCATGCCAGATACTACTACCCCAACACGCAATACCACGCCTTGATACACCACTGTTACCCCTAGCACGGCTAACAGATAAATGTTTCATCGACTCGGTCCTCGCCATACGCAAAAACAAAATTCCTCATGTCCTTCATGCAACTGACCGGCCTGGAGTCAGATGCCTCATGACACAAATGCGAGATGCATCCATATCTGGACCTGCGCTACGGGATGTTCACCGTCGAGTCGGATGGTATTTGGGAATGGAATTTTGCACCCAAATCATTGGAATCGAATCTTATCCTATTCCGCATGTCGAAGGCCATCAAGCGGACGGCCATCGACTCCTGAACGAGAAAACAACACTGATTGTGCCGCTAATGCGCGGCGGCGAGCCAATGGCCTTTGGTGTCAGCGATGCCTTCCCCCTTGCCGTGTTCCGACATGCGAAGATTCCAAGCGACATTCAGGATGATGATCTGAAGAACATGGCGACAATCATACTAGTCGACTCAGTGGTAAATACCGGGAAGTCAGTATTGGAGTTCATTGACCATATCCGCAGCCTACACACGACGATCCCCATTGTGGTTGTCGCGGGAGTGATTCACTCTCAAACTGTTTCTACAAGCAGGATTGCTCGGGCACTCGGTCGATTTAGTGGACTGTCTTTCGTTACCCTCCGTCTTTCTGACAACCAATTTACTGGCAGAGGGACTACTGATACCGGTAATAGGTTGTTCAACACAGTGCATATCGTTTGATGATGCTGGGATACGGCAGGTGATGTCTCTTGCCTCTTTGAGCTCTTAATAGGATAGTGTTTACTTTTTCAAATTGAAATAAAATGAAGAAATCTCCAGGAATATTTGCAGAAAGATACTGAAAATTAAAGGTTGTTACTTGTCACATATTGCCCCTCACCTAGTCCAGACGATTATATTTGATTGAGCAGAACTCCTTTGCACCTTCCCGAAAGCAAATTTGTTGACTTCTCAAGATCTCACCCCCTCTGGACTTTCTGACTTCTTCACCATTTTCCCATCCAAAACAATCCAACACTCAAAATATTACTTTGTGGGTTTCATCGATATGTTTGTTAATTTTGAGTAGCTAACATCACTACCTGGATCAGGATATCTGCCTAGCAAAGTGAAGACTTACATTGACTATCAAAATGCAGGTCACTGATGCACTTCGTACATTCAATCCCCTTTCTGCCATCCAAGTTGCTACCCATGGCTGACCTTCAAATGCAATAGAACCTCCTCTCACGCCCGCCGAGCGCGCGATTGTCAAATCCTACGGCGGATGGACATCCTTCATGCAATCGTTTGGGCTTAAGCCTTGGGAGGCAGATGATGTTGAAGAAGGAAAAAGAATCCTGGCAGCCTTTGTTACACACGGAGACTCTGAATGAGACATGGTGTTTGGTAGTCACGGAGTGACTGAGCCAAAGGCGAGGCAGATCCACTGAACGTTCTGCTCATCGTCCTTCAAGCCTTTGAGATGACATTCAATCAATGATTTTTATTCCCAATAATTTGTGCCCCCGGGCTTGATCGTAAATGTCCTTGCCTACTGGCGTGTATAATGTAGACCATGACTTAAAGCCCTATATATGCATTAGCTACATCCAATCCCCTATACTCTATCGAATACGACTTCAAATGGAATGTTGTCATCCCGATTAGAAGCCAATTATGGTTGAAAGCTTTATCCAATTTAGACCGAGAGTCTCCTTACGGATATAGAAACGGTAGAGCAGTTTGGCCAAGAAAATAGCCTTTTGATGACATTGGAAGAGCGCGCAAAGTTCGCTAATAGAGCCCAACTTGTTCAATGAAAAAACATCAAGTACCTAAACATGTGATACGCAGCAAAAAACAGGAGAGACCAGCTCGCACAAGACCAAATCCTAACCGAGGATGACCGAAAACAAATTGACACCCCGTCTAACACCTTACCGAATCAAAGAAAAAACACACATAGCCTAGACCGTCTTTCCCGTTGGGTCACCAAGATACCATTCTGTTAAGGTCTTGAGAGATACCGACGCGGACTTCCGGTCAGAGAACTCGTAGAAATCAGAAGAGCGCACAAGAAGACTTTTGCCATCGAAATAGGACTCCAGCATACGTGCACGGTTCCCCACAAATGCGAGAATCAAAATCTAAGAACATCTATCAGGAATCTATAGAAGTGGAACAGTAAGAGAGAGCTCGAGGACTTACCGGTGCGAGAGTATGATGAAGTAACCGCGCCTTTCTCAACTGGGCCAACATTATGCGGAGAATAATCAATAGCTCTCCACGAGACAGTGAGCTGCTGTCCCGCTCGTGTAAACTGATGTATGTGGCTGCTGTTATATGAGGGTATTCTGCTCCGGCAACGTCCATGATGTCAACAACGCCAAAGCTGGGTTCATCGTACTTGTACAAAGACCTGAAAGGGCGGTAATCGCTAACACTGTTGAATAGTGTTAGGTGTTATGGCAAGGCAACATGTAGGATATTACAAGATAGTACTCACCTCATTGATCGCCACGGTGTTTTGCTGCTAATCCAGTGTGAAGAAAAGGTATAAGCTCCCCATTGGGTCTGAAGTGCATAAGCACGAGAGAATGGGTCGGTAAAAAAGTCTTTGTTATGTAGAATATCCACTGTTTCATCAAGCACTTCGTCATCAGGTTCTGGAATGTTGGTATTTTGTGTAAAGAAGCGCGGGTTGGAGTCTAAATCTCGATCAAGACTCATGTGTTCGCGCTGGATGTTGAATTGATCGAGTTGGGATGGGTCAAGTACGTGAATCTCAAGAGCCTCGATATCATTGTGGAGTGTGATAAGGGTCTTGCGCTGCTCCAGATGTTCACGTGATTCTGTATTTGGTTTTGAAGACATATTTGCTAGTGAGAATGATGGAGGGTTGAATGGATCTAAGCGGGGTTTTATGTACATAGGATCTTAGGATGTGCAATAAAGGAAGAGCAATACGTTCAAAGCAGCTGATGTTATCAAAATGTGATAAGCGGGGTTGGCTAGGCGATACGCCCGGCGGCTCGGATCGGACTAACCCCAAATAGGGAAGGTTGGCCGATCGGACGTGAAACTATACAAAGCAAACATTTACTAGTTCTTAAATAACTGGTCACAATCACTTTGGGAATATCTAATTTACCCCTCGAACCCCTTATTGCCGCCCAAACTCATCCTTGTAGTCATTCTCCACCAACCACTACGCGCCCACCATCCTTTAGCCACGAATAGTCATGGCGCCTCCGGTCACTGAACTCAAGGCCCCCGTTTCCAATCATTAACCGCCCATCGTCATAATCAGCTAAAGGATGTGATAATGTGATATGTGCAAACTAAAAAGCAATAAATGTGGTGGAGCTTAAAAAGATCATCATTGCTTGTATATTCCCAAGGCACAGGAACAGCGCTTCACCAGAACAAGCACCTATTTATCCACACGCATTAGTTACCACAATGTCAAGCCGGTCTTCCAATGGCCTATGAGCACCCAAAAATGATCAACAATGGGAAGATCGGGTGAAGAAATATGATCTTCAGAAAACAACAATCCATAGTACTGATTACTACAAGCAATTCCTACTACTACGGGTGCTGTGGAAAGAACACAAAACAGTCCCTGTCATCCCTATCGAGGGTATGGACGAATGGGTGGCACTGGCTAAAGAAAAGCTTGAGGGGTATGAATCTTGGTCCAGGTACTGCCGCAGTTTTCAATCCAAACATGAATCCCTGGAAGGGACATTCGCCATCGCTCGGTACTGTCAGCGTCAGGCTGCAAAAACCAAACCCAAAGCCGAACCTCAAGCCTTCCACACGCCCATCTCATCTCGAACCCGTGGAGCAGTGAGCCAGGTGGCAAAGGGCATGGCCGGGCTTAGATTGGAGCCCCCTGTGACTCCCACCAGGAAAGGGCCAAGGCCTTCACATGGTACACCGCTTATACCTTCTCCCACTGATGATATGGATCTGGATGAAGAGTCAAGCCCAAGTCCAAGTCACATGCAATTCATTTCTCCTGTTAAACGTGAACTAGGAAACATTCTGTACCCCCCGACAAAAGATGAACAAATCGTGAACACTGCACTTATTGTGTTTCTCGATGCCCTTACCATCCACTTCGACCTGTCTTCACAATGGACATTGCACAGGAAAGCCTTTACTGCCACTTTTGAGCAAGCGGAATTCGAAGCAAGAACGGACGGATATCTTGACAGTCCTCGTGGGAAACCCAGGGTCCTGATTGAAGTCAAACCTGTCCTCAGATCCTCGAACCTACTACGTATTTAGATGCAGGAAAGTGCCCAAATGGTTGCTTGGATTAAAAGCGATGATAAATTGGCCCAAAAGGTCAACACCACGTATGCTTTGAGATTTTCTTATGCTGTTTCTAGTTACAAAGCTAACATCACAACAGGCGCTTTCATATATCCCAAGATTGACATCATGTGTTTGTGACAGTTGCTACATATGACCATGACTACCTTGAATATCTGGTCGACGAGAAGTCTAAGGCCAACCGGTCTTTCTTGACTGTGAATCAATATGGTCCTTGGGATACTACCGACCAAGCTCATATGCGTCAGTTAGGGCCAATTTTGTTGGCAATCACCCTGCGAGCCGAAAGTGAGAATGATACTTAGATGAAATTATGCAGGTAGTCGTGCATAATGTGGTGTTTACAGGCGAATTGATAGTTGTCTAGTTGGTTGTTAATTTGGATGCGTGTTCACCGTGATTGAAAGTGCAAAGTTGACATTTCCCTCCGTCTATGTAAGCCAAAACGTCATATCATTTTCTAGTTTCTTGCATGTTTCAGACCACGCAACTTCCACTGCGATAATGGAGCGGAATGTGTTTGTGGAAGATACGTACAAATTATGTACGTTAACTAGTAGGTAAAGCTGAGAATATAGAGGAATTAATGTGTTGTAAAATTCAACCGGAGGGCCGGTGCTAGTACGATCATGTCATCCCTAATCGCGAATTAGCTTTCCCGAGAACAATAGTCACCATCCGCAGTCTTAAAATGGCTTCTTCGGTATAGGTGTGGCTCATGGGCGGGATAACTTCCGGCTCGAGAGCGATGGTCAGGTGCTGATATGACAGGGAGATCTCGAAGCGGTGGCTGGTTTTACAATGGCTTGATTAAGAGGCGCGGCGTCACGGACCGTAGGGAGCGTGCTTGAGCGGCGGTTTGGTGAGACCAGGTCGAACCGCGAACTCGATTTGAATGGGAAGCGATAGACCGTACCATTTGTTCATTAGGCTGCCGAAGTACTTTATCCCATACTCCAACCTGCATAGAATGACTTGGGGGGTTTTTGGATTACAAATAGAAGAATGAACATAGCCTGGTGATTGGAGCTCCTTCAACACTGGGCGTCATTTCTAATGAAGATATTCTCGAATTTGGCATCATCAGTACCTGAGACCGAGAGGATTTGGGTCGGAAACGATGACTTCCTCCTCGATCGTTCTTTTTTAATTTGCCCCTGGTTGAGTCCGATCGTAGTGTCTACAGTGTTAGGAGTCTAAATGTCCGATTCCCCGTTTGGACTTGTCGACCTCCTCGGTTATCTTGCCCAGTTAGAATTTATCCAACTTTTGATCTAAATAATCCTTGGCCACAAGCTCTGGGGTAGCCAGCAATGAGGCTTTCGCCTGAACTGGGCTCCCCATGGCCTCCTGCGTGGTAGTTGTGCACTCTGGCATTTTGTCAGAGGAGTGGTTGATGGAGAGGTTCAAGAGGATATATATAGACTTGGCACTGAGGACACCAGTTGCCGGAAAGGTAAGAAGTCTTTGATAGATGTGTTGATGGGAGAGAAAATTCACCACCACAGTTCATTGGAAAGGAAAGTAAAAGGAAAATCAAGCGTGTTGGGCTCAGAATCCGTTTGAGAGCCATTGTTTGCCTGGTCAGGGGGAGGTTCAGACCAAATAGCTGAATATCTGATGCGGCGCAACCATCCTTGGATCTCGAGTCACCATCGTGATTTTTCAAAGTAGAAAATCCTTCAAAGGCAATTAACAACTAGAGTGATACATGGAGAGAAAGTGAAGAGGATGCAAACAGAGGTTGAGGAGGAAGTGACTTTTGTTGGAGAGAGTGCGTTGTGTTGGGAAAGGAAGTAAGATCTCTTATGCATCCTCCCCTGCTACCTCTCGTGCAAATGTTACCTCTATGTGTATACATAGACAGATCTAGATACAGATTATCCTGTCACACAGACTCGAATTCCAAGCAAATTAGAGAAGATGGTGGTGATACCAATTATGATCGATTTCCATCTTCAGTTTGTAGAGTCTCACGTTGTGATTATAAAAGCGGCCTTACTACCCTTCACCTAATAAGACTGTATATGTGAACTGTAACGCTGCTGGAATTGTTTGAAGTTGATTTGTCAGAAATGCTATGCCCTATCCACGTATGGTGCATTCTATGCATTGTAGGGCTATACAGGATATGGTAAGCCCATTGGATGAGAGGAGGACAAGGATCAGGATATAGTGAGGGGGCTACCTGATGTATAAAATAGCGGTGTATCAGACCAAGTAAGGGTCTTGTGATATCTGAACTTTTCTATGTCCAATATTCCGACGATCAGTCTCACACTGTTATTTTTTGACAAGGCTATGTTTCTAGACAACTTCATCACCGATGGAATTGCTCTACAGTGAAAGGAAGAAGGCAAAAATAACATCTTAAAGTGGTCCTGAGTGGGCCGGGGTTCATCATGTACTACGTTAAGCACCATTTGAAGTTACAACTCAGTGTGAATCTGTAGGGCTGGACATGCCGATGGTGTAAATCTTCGGGATCTAACAATGCAAGCCATATGTACGCTATGTGGCTTGCACAGCCCAGGCCAAAAAATATATGATTTCTCTTTTTGTTTAGCCACTGTTGGCAATTTGATTTGATAGAATAATAATTTTAAAAGCATAGGTAGGATAATTTAATAACTCGATCTCTTCCCACCATCCGAGCAGTAGCATTCCCTATTAGAATAATCACCCTGTCTCCTACTTTTTGAACTTTATTTACCGGCCTTTTCATCCTACCTTCATCTGCTTCGATAATGACTTTCCGAAACCAAGAGTGGATCAATGCCTCCGAACTCCCTCCTTTCGTCCGTGATGAGCTGTTAGGACCCGCGACGTCTGTGACCGAGCGTTACTACCGCACCGCGAAGGGCGGATTTCTGGACCCAGCAAAGGTGACATTGGAAAAGCCATTTGTCGTCGCTATTGCGGGATCTGGAAAGGGGATCGGGGCCGACATTGCCCTCTCGTATGCGAGTGCGGGTGCGACGGGAATCTTACTCAGTTCACGCACTGAGAAGGACTTGCGCAAGGTGGCAGAGGATATCAACTCAATCAATCCCAGTTGCCAAGTTGAATATGAGGTGTGCGACGTGTCCCGCAAAGAAGATGTCCAGCGGCTTGCCTCCCACTGCAAGAAATCATTCGGTCGACTCGATGTTGCTGTTATCAATGCCGCAATACTGTCTAAATTTGTCAATGACCCAGACGGAACCACACGACTCCCTCACGGAATTCTAGAAGACACGCCGGAAGACCATTTCAATGTATGGCAAACCAACTACAACGGAGCCTATCTCACGGCTAAAACCCTACTTCCTCTGATTCAAGAGACTACTGGTGGTGTAAAGGCCATTGTCTTTGTTTCCTCGTTAGGGTCGTTGTATCACAACACAGCAATATGTTCAGCAGCCTATAACATAAGCAAATTCGCACTGAACCGTCTGGCGGAATACGTCCACGAAGACTATAAAGCCGATGGTGTGGTATCCTTTGCGCTTCACCCGGGTTGTATTCAGGTCAACAAGGACTATGAGAAAGAGTGGGAAGATGGTATATGTGAATCCACTGAGTATTATTGCATCAAATGCTAACGATGTTAGTTCTCATCGACGATATCAGTCTTCCAGGTGGATTTTGTGTTTGGCTCACAAAAGCGAAACGTGACTGGCTCTCCGGACGATTCATCTCCTCCAACTGGGACGTCAACGAACTAGAGAGTCGAAAGGATGGAATTGTTGCAAAAGACTTATTTAAATTCACACTTACACTTTGAATTCAAATAGAGTGATCGGACTCATAGGGTCTCGGCTTTGAAAGAGTGAAACAGGTTTCTGTACTGGGAATAACTTTGAATCAAGAGAATCAAGAGCTTGAGGCACCATAGTGTGCCTAGGGATGGCTTGCTGGTATTTGGAATAGCTTGATAGCCCATGCGCCCTGAAGACATGCCAGGTTTAATAGGAATTGTGTACATTGCATGATGGTCTTCAAAATACAGTATTTTTATTTAGGAAAATTTTTTAAAAAAAATCGAAAAATCCCAGGTAATTTTTTGAATAGACAGTGTCTCCGTATCGATGTCACGACGTTGTTAGTCGCATATCCAACTGCTCCCAAATAGGTCAGCCTCATCGAATATTATATCGGAGTAACTCCGTGAATTGTGGTGGACTCGCACGATCTTCAAAGGCGGGATGACGCAGATCTTATCTGAGATTCCAAGTTCTTGCGCGGGTTAGAAAAACAACTTCCCCTTTAATCCACCTCACCATGTCCAGCGAAACAGACCCCCTGCTGGGCAATGGTAGACTTCATAAACCGTCCCAGCTATCCAGGTTATCCAAACACCTGCGAAGTGAACTGAACCCTACACACGGTGACCTCGTCCTTTTATTCTGTTACATCATCACCGGCCTACTAGACAGCTCAGCCGTATTCATATGGGGCTCCTTCGTGAGCATGCAAACCGGCAACACTGTATATTTCGGACTAGGTCTTGTCGGCACTGAAGATGATCGCTGGATCAAATCTGGAGTCTCTATCGCGGGGTTCTGTCTAGGCTCCCTATGTTTCGCCGCCTTTCACCGTCTCTTCCCGGCCAGACGCAGATGGGTCCTCTGTGCGTCATTCCTTGCTCAAACGTTGTTTGTGTGTATTGCAGCTTTGATAGTTACGATTTATCGGCCGCCCCGTGATGCGCCCCTGGGTTGGTTGGTCCTCGTCCCGGTTGCGCTTGTGGCATTCCAAAGTAGCGGACAGGCGGTAACAAGTCGTGTTTTGAACTTCAACGGCTTGACTAGTGTTGTTCTCACTAGTAATTATTGTGATTTGTTTTCGCACCCTGATCTTCTCACGTGGAAGGTGGTCGGTCATCCTGAGGAGATGCGGCGGCTTGGCGCAGTCTTGTGTTTGTTGCTCGGGGTGGTTTTAGGCGGCCTCTGGGCTCATAGCGCGGTGGGGATGATGGGAGCCTTGTGGACCGCAGCCATTCTCAAGTTATTGATTGTTGGTGCATGGTTGGCATGGAAAGGAAAGAGTGACGGGAATATGGATTGAGTCTTATAAGCCAGCAAGATCATGCTACAGAAACTGGGGGATAATTTTGATGTATTTGAGTTACCAATGTGTTAGGTAGATTATAGAGCAAACCATACCATCTTAGCTCTGCAATTTGTTCCTTCGCACAAATAAGAAATTGTTTCAACCTGTTGCTTGAAAATTGAATCCATATATCCAGAATCGTATAGATCAACCCAGGCGAGGGAGACGCCGAGGGTATATCCTCATGGAAGTGCAACGGGGAGCGAGAATCGCCCGAGGCCGACAAGTTGAGGCACACATTTGGAGTCTATTTGTAATAGAAACCAAGAGGGACTACTATTTCATCTATGATTTCATAGTAATGAGTGTTGGTCTTTGACGGTGCGTTCCTCGAATTGATCGAATATGTTAGACTGGTCTGCTTCTTTTTCTTTAACTCAGAAATTTGTAGCACTGGCAATAGAAACAAAAACTACCAAGGAAGAAACATGTCTTCCCGAATTCCGGCCGACATGAGCAAGGAAAAACAAACTGATGAAAGTCGAGAGCATGGACAAAGCTCGCGGTGACCAACTCTGCATCCAATCACTTCTTGTCAGCTACAACGGCCCTTTTCCCATTTCCTCTGGCGCCACGACGTTTCTGTTGCTCCTTCTTGATGTTAGACTCGAGAAAGTTGACGTCCTTCTTTCCGCTTTTGTCCACTTTCACAATAGCCTGGCCTGCATTTTTGGCATCCTTCTCTTTGAATTCCTCCACTTTTGCAATGCCATCATCGGCATATTCAGTATCTTTCACGAGCTTATCAGACCCAGCAACGACGATATCCTCTTCATCTTCATCTGTATTCTCACCAGACTCCAGCCTATTCGCCTTTGATAAAGTTGTGAAAAGCCGATCGATGTCTTGCACAACGCGCTCGTACACTGAATGGATCCACTGAAGTGCCTGGCGCTTCTTTGCAAAATGTCCTTCTTCATTGATGTCGGACTGATCGAGCGGTGATTGATAGTATGTACCATCATATTCAACGGCTCGCTTGCGCTTTTGTACTTGCAGGTATTGAAGTGCGCCATCGTTGAAACCATCGGGAGACGCGACCTTGTCAATCTATGTGAATCTTGTTTTAGCCATTTAATTAAATTCATCCAACGGACAGCATATCTTAAAAAAAGTTCAAAGCAGGGCCTAGGTGAAGATCGTAAAACTCACAGGGCCATGTTGGTGACAAATCTCAGGATTATCCATTAGGCCAAGAATTGATTAGTTTCAATATAATATGCCGTAAGTAGGTGACGACTTACATAGAGAACAGTCATTTTTGCCTGCAAACACACAGTTCATACAGGCCCCTCTCTCCATAACACCATAGCTAGGAGAAGAAACAACCACACAACTTAGAAAAGCTCCACTGTGCATCTGACAAAATGTGCATGATTCTTTGAATGTACGAATATCTCTACAACGTTGCCCATGGGCAGACAAGGCCTGTCAGGTGGTGGTCATCAGATATTTGTATTTCGATCGAGCTGCTACCCAATCGACGTCTCGTAGAGGTTTGAGCCCCCACATCATTTTCCACGACTGCCCAGAATTATTGTGAGGAGCTCCAATGTTGACATTTCTGTTGTCATCCAACTCGTACACACGACCTATGAAGCTATACTGTCAGGACACTTCGATGACCATTGAATATATATTTCAACTAGAACCGCACAACGAACGAGAGGACATTTTGGAATCAACCAGAGTATCCAACTACCCCCACCATGACAGATCCTAGAACTTGGTATGATACAGTAAAGACGGTGCGTAGTTAGGCGCGATAAAGACGGGCAGATAATGTTGGGGGTATGAAGAAGGATAGAGGTTGTAGGGGGTCTGTCGCCCATTTATATGCCACTAGGCCACAAAGAAACAATCACGACCTCAGGCAACCACTTCCGATCATTGCAATGAGTATCTACATACTAGCTCGATTCTAAATAATGCAGCTCGTAAATAGGGACTTTTGACTCAGCAACTGCTCCATAATCACTCATAGTCTAAATGGAATATCTGTATAGTCATTTGAAGGTCATCAGCAGTAGGCTGCCAACATAGGTAAGTTCTATTATAACCCATGTAAGTGTTAGCTGCTTAGCTGAACCATCACAACAGGTCCAACATAGTGCCTTCTGCCCTGGAACAGATACATCAAAACACTGATGATGAACACACCAATGAAAATAACCACATTCCAATTAAACTCTGGTGCTGAAGGAAGAGGACTAGGAGGCCAGAAAGACCAAAACAGCACGAAAATAACATAAAACAGCCCAATGATATTTATCCCGAGACCCAAACGACCAAGACTCCACCGTCGAGAAGGTAACGTTTCAGGGCAGGCGATCTTCCGGTAAATGACGCAGCTGATGGATACCGCATATGTGTACATTAGTGCAGCAACATTGAGAGAGATAATCGCGTTGAAAGCAACTTGCGAACCGATGTTGATTAGGGATAATAAGCCGCTGATCACACACGAAAGTGCAATGGCACTGACTGGGATTCGGCGGCGTGGGTCGACTCGTGAAATCCAGTTTGCGAAGGGTAAACCGCGGTCCCGTGCGAATGCATATGTTTGACGCGCGGTTGATGCATCGAATGGAATGTTACTGAATATAACGGTAATTAATAATATAGATGTAAGGCCGTTGATACTGGCGGTTGAGAGGAATTGACGGAATACGTAGAGAAAAGGGAATCCGGTGCTGTCATTGAGCGCATCGGGCACCGAGGGTACAGCCAGCAGAAGTCCAACGACCAATATCAGTGCGAGGATTCCGTTGCCGAAGTATCCTCATGTTATTGCGATTGGTACGTACCGACCTGCATCCTTGACTTCTTCAGACATATGTGCGGTAGCATCGGAGCCTGTAAGCGATATTTATTTGTTAGCTCTGTACATTGCCACAGTCATGTATTGCTGTGCTATATATACATTGAGATGCGTATACCGCTGTAATTTGTCCAATCATCAAGCTCATAACGATAGAGGACCAATTACCGCCATTGTAGAATGAGGTGAAGACGGTTTCGGCGGAGTTATGAGGAGCCATGGCGAATAACACAATTACAATGACGGCCCAACATAGCAAATGCAGCGCGAGGAGGACATTTGAATTCGAGGCATAATGCTTGCCACGTAGACGTTGAAAAAGTAAGTGACGGCTATCATCGCAAATACAAACAAGGTTCCATGCCAACTTTGGGCTTTGTAGCTCGGGTCACGGAGGATAATAAGACCTTGGATAATAGTCCCAGTCAGAAACGAGCAAGATGCAGCTCCTGCCTGCCAGGAAAGTACGGACATCCATCCTGAAACATAATTGTTAGCGGTATGTAGAGGCGACTATACGAAAGATCTCACCGGTGGTATAGCTCAGAAACCTTTGGTATTGAGGCGAGCAAAATTCCGATACCCAATGGTATTGACCTCCTGAAGTGGGTGCCCTGGTTATAGAACAAGATATGTTAGAAACTTCTGAGCTCAAAGGATGTTGATCGTTCATAACTCACATTGAAGCCATCTCGGCTAGCGAAAGAGTGATGAAGCCAAACCCAATGAAGGTCCACATATAAGACCAAAACATACCAGCAAGGCCCCCATTTTGGAGACCTTCCGTGTTTGCGCTAGTCATGGGACGATCAGTACTGATACAATGGCACGTGAAGAGGCAGCCTCTTACATGAGCATACACTCCCAGGTAGCTTGAAGGACCGCCGAGAAACTTAACGCTGCAAGCGGTCTAAAATTCCGCTTCAAAGCCGTCAGCCTACAATACTCAAATTGCATCAAAGACCGCCAATCAACACCTTCAATTCCTGGGTCTTGCCCATACGTGTCATATCATGGTGATCCTGTGGACTGCCCTCCATCTCGGGTAGATCTTTCGCTGGCACCTCTTCCATCGTCTAAACTGCGGTGAGTGACGAGGTATGATGGTGAGTTCCGAGTTCCTCTAGCGACATTTCGTTTAATTATATGGCCCCAAGGAGGCTTTGACATCTCAAGGGGTAGATATCAACGAAGAATAAAATAGACCACTCGCGAAAAAGGAAGAACAACACAAGAAGGCCTCAATTTTGCTAAGTCTGGGCAGTCTCAGCCATTCCACTGGCGCATACCCCATAGTGGTACAGTGAGTCGACTTCGAAGGCCAAGTTCTCCTTCTCCACCTATGTACCCCCCGACGACGCAACCTACCGACGACAGTATACAAGGAGATACATGGCATGGATTTTATGGACAGTTGAGACGGAATTCACCAAGCATCATACAAACCTCAAGACCGTGTCGGAAATAACCCCACGGCGGAGCCCCTCTCTTCCTCGAGCGGATGGGTACCTCACCCATGTCGATACCTATACCGTGTCTGCTTGAATACGCACATCTTCGTCACCCTCCACCCTAGTCCTGGCCCCGCCGTGTGATGGGATGATATCCTGCTTGTTGACATGGTTACATCTATCTTTCCCTCCGTATCCTGATGGATCGATTAATCCGCGAAGTACGCCTAGGCGAGGTGTGTAACCGGAGACCTTCGCTCTATTGGCTCGGATCGCCGGCAGTTTGGTTATATATCAACTTTGCACACCTGTGGATCGATACAGCGTGTGTGAATCTAAGCAGCGCAAAAGCGATAAATCAATGCCAGTACAACTAAAGTCCAGCGCGCCACACTTGGTCGTCTGAAGTCAAGGCCAAGCACTGTTTGGCGTACCGACTGAAAGTGGATAGTGATCTACCATTCGTGATAACGACTATATCTTACTCGGTCTGAATATATCGTCCATCAAGTCCATCAGGGAATACCAGGATATGGTTCCTTCTCTCTGCCATGGCAACCCCGTCCCCGGCAACATCGGGCTTGACACCTCCGCTAACAGTGAACACCGAGATAAACCATAATGGACTAATCACAGTCATCGCTTCGGTTTCGTTATTTTTGATTCTGGGATCTCTCGCGATTCGTGTGTATGCTGCACGTAGTAGAAAATCCCGTCAGCTAGATGATTTGACATTTACAGCGACCGTGGTATGTCTTTCCCTCTTTATTAACATGGTCCCATCAGAAAGGCTTGGTGACTAAAGTTAGATGAATGATATATCTAGATACTTGCCTTGGGACAGATATCAGCGGTCTTTGTGCAGATCCATTTTGGCTGGGGAAGGTCAAAGGTACTGACCGCTGATGAGGATTTGCACTTGAATGAGAAGGTAAGTGCTCACTATCAGGATGCTGTGTTTTTCTTGTCGCCCATTTCTCCTAGGCAGGGTACAGCGCAGATATACTCTACGTTTCAGTATTATCCTCATCAAAAGCATCAACAGTGCTTTTTTATCGTACCATTACCCCACATAGCTTGCTATGGATGAGCTATGCTTTTCTGACGGTTACCTTGCTATGTGGCCCTGTGGCTATAGCTTTGTTGGCAGTCCGCTGTGATCGATATCCGTGGCATGACATTAATAAACAATGTTCTGTTTTGGTAAGTCACTATATCTGTGAATACTACGTGCAACATACTCATACTTATCTAGTTCCCTCACTGGCAGGCTATCACAGCACTGGATATTACTTTTGAAATCATGTTGTCACTCTATCCCATCTGGGCAATCCTACGACTACAGATGACATTAAGCAACAAGACCATTGTAATTATGGTGCTTGGTTGTCGAGTACTGTATGTTTGATATTTTGCGGTACCTATTGTCCTATATGACTAAAACTGACCCGGTATGTCTACAGCCTTATCCCGGTCGGTGCCATGCACCTCCATTACATCGGTCAACAAATCAATTCGCCAGATCCAACACTCCAGGGAACCTTCGCTACCGTTGTCGCGGAGCTCCACGTTGCACTCAGTGTGCTCGTATTGACAGCGCCATTAATGAAACCATTTATCGCAGCCTATGTAGACGAGAATGGGCTGGCCTATACTGACGATGCGTCGAAGTCACGGGCCAATGATAAACCCACACCACCGGATCGATGGAGCATGACATCTCCGGGGTCACATATAAGTGGTCCTTCGGCGAAGAATCGCATTATGAAGAGTATTGAAATGTTGGTTGATTGTGACAATGTGGAGCTTTCGGAGAGATGATGACGCCCTTAACGGGAGGCTTGTGTCACGACCCTGAGGGTCGTAGTAAATCTATATGAGAGACTCGAGGACTCGGAGATAGATTTTTGACCTCGCTTAGCCCGCATTGCGTACTACTATAATAGTGGAACTCGGAGTATAAGAAAGGCTTAGAGTTTAGTTTAAATATATATATAGTACAGCTAGACTCGATTTATCAGTAATACAGGGGTTAAATAGCGAGAGCTTCACGCTCTTTGAAATACACACTTATTTTACTTTTTGCTCTGGTACTGCGTATAGTGGGCACTAGTATCAAGTTATCTTTAGTCCACCTTCATTCAACATCATCCATCCATCGACTGTACCAGGGGTAGGGGCAAGAGGAAGCCACAACGCATTGGCTAAGATGAATTTGTGTCTGACAGGCTTAGTCCCGTGGGGTAGAATCCGCCAAAAACAAAAAAAACTAAATGAAATCACGACCCTAGGCTGACAAGGTCCTGGAAAACAGCTTGCAACTTCGCGACGGCCGTAAATTGACCCTTCACTTTCAACCTCCCTGACATGTATAGCTTCTCGACATCGGCTTTTCCTTCAACAAAATCACTGAAATCGGACGCTCTCATCGTGAAGACAACTGATCAACGTGGTTAACTGAAGGGTCCAGAAGTTGGATGACCTAATAAGGAGTCGTGCTAAGCGGGAACTAACCATCAGGGGATGCTGAGAACTTCGGCCTCTGAATTATAGCTTCACCGTCTTTACAAACTATTAAACGTGAGGTCACGATGCCATCATCACTCTTAACATTGACCTCGAAATTGGTCTTATACTTGAGGACTAAGCTGTGCCGGGTTTCTGTGGAGGCATTATCGAGGTTGCTAGACCAGCTGTCAAAATAGCTATCGGCCTTAGAATCTTTAGAATGAGATAAGCTCCAATTAGCACGAATCTAGAGCAACTCGGGACTGGGACGGGGGCAAGGGAGAGTGGCTTCGCTTTTGTAAAAAAACGTACTCGACATCATCAAGTCAATTGACTTTTTATCGTTTATATCCAGCAAGTAGGTCTACAGTCTGTTCGATTGTAGTAGTTGCGGAATATATGTTGTATAGACCTAAATGCCTTCCAGTGGCTGGCTAAAGCCACGTCATCAAGGCAATCGCTAGCTACTAGCTACAATGAACGTGTGGGGAGATGACGTAATATCCCACTCAGGAAGAGGGATTTCTTTATACAGTAGTGATGATGCCCTAGAGAGTGCAATGCAGTAAATAACACGCAGTACTAGTGCTAATGGCCTTCGTAGTAGTATTGTAGATACCCCTGTCACTCTGATCATTTAAACCAAAAGCCCTACGCAGAGTGGGCCTTCACAGCTCGGAGTAGAGAATTACCGTATACGCCTGATCGGGAACACTCAATACGCCCATTATTCGCCAGCTGAATTGTTTGAATAAATAACAGGATCTCTCTATTGAGCTCCGATGGTGGATTGACACATAGCGTGGGATCGACGCTTATTTCAGTATGTGTTGACAACCAGATATGTCTACTTCAAATGCGCTGGGCCCAACGTCGGATTCACACGGACAATATCGCATGTGAAAGATGGGCGAAACCAGGTTCTGAAGACATCCTGGGGTTACCAGGGGCGAATCATAGTTTCCATCAGACCACTACAGCCATCAGAAATAAGGCGTGATCCTCCTTCTGGCCTATGTGGCGTAACCAAGCCTTTTGCATCGATCAATTGCGCTACATTTGACAGTTTTCTTTTACTGTTCCCCGTCTTCTTTCGAACAAGTGCTATTTCCCAGCTATCGATCACTAAGGTCCTTCTTGTCTGACACTTTAAAGAAGTTCATCGCCAACTGTTCGGCTTCCAACTCCGTAAAGCTTTCCCCACACTATGACATCATCAATCTACAAACTTGAGCTCTAAAAGTATTCGAAGGCAACATTCTATTACTTGCAGGGTATTATTTCTATTATTCCAGTCACTATAATCGCGACCACGAGCTCTAAACAGCCACCCCAGCCAACGCCCAAGTGCCGGCACTCGGTGACATGACAGATTCTTTTCATCCTACCCAAAGCCCCGACACTGACAGATGGAGACACTCAGTTGAAAAGGAAGAGGACCATCAGTCGGAAGAGGATGTGATCACACATGTCGCCGATCCATTTGGGGATGAAGAACATGCGGAAACGAAATATCGCACGTTGACATGGTGGCAGTGCGGCATGATTATGATCGCAGAAACCATCTCACTAGGTATTCTGTCCCTTCCGTCAGCTGTTGCAGTACTAGGCCTTGTCCCGTATGTTTCTATCACTTCCATTTACCTCGATGTATTTCAATATGCTAACTGCCTTCTAGTGCAATCATTCTCATCGTCGGGCTTGGTATACTAGCAACCTACACTGGATATGTGATCGGCCAATTCAAACTCCGATACCCGCAAGTACATAGTATGGGCGATGCGGGAGAGTTGCTGTTCCATCCTCTCGGCCTATCTCGCTTCGGTAGGGAGTTCATGGGAACAGCTCAGCTGTTCTTTCTGATCTTCGTCATGGGCAGTCATCTATTGACTTTTAGTGTCATGATGGATACTGTCACAGATCATGCTACCTGCTCGATTGTATTTGGAATCGTTGGATTGGTTGTCTCCTTCATCTTTGCATTGCCTCGCACTCTTCGCAAGGTCTCCTGGTTCTCTTTCGCTTGTATGTATATCCACACCTCTTCTACAATGACCTATTTGCTAAATGCCACAGCCTTTGCAAGTATCATCGCCGCGCTCTTGATTACTATGATCGCTATTGCTGTCCAGCGCCCGGGTGACGGCAAGGTAGATGCGACTACAACAGTCAGCCTTTCGAAAGGGTTCCTGGCCGTGACAAATATTGTATTCGCTTATGGTAATTATAACCAACCAGATACCATCAACTTACAACTAATTTGTATCTAGCTGGCCATGTGGCTTTCTTCGGCTTTATTTCTGAGATGAAGATTCCAACCGATTATCCGAAGACCCTATACCTACTCCAGCTCACCGATACGAGTATGTATGTGGTAGCAGCTGTTGTTATTTATATCTACGGTGGAAGGGATGTCAAATCACCCGCCCTAAGTTCGACAAGTCCAATAACAGCAAAGCTTGCATATGGAATTGCTATTCCTACGGTGAGACATTTTTGGCACATGTTGCTATTTTGATACTATGTCCCTAACTTGATATTATAGATTGTCATATCTGGTGTCATCAACGGACATGTCGCCGCAAAGTATGTTTACGTCCGCCTGTTCCGGGGCACAGATCACCTACACAGGCGCACATTGTTCTCAATCGGATCCTGGATTACGATTACTCTTGTTTTATGGGTGATAGCGTGGATTATCTCCGAGGCAATACCGGTGTTCAATACTTTGCTAAGTCTAATCGTGAGTAGCCCTGCAATTACAAGGCAAACAACTACTAATATGGATTCACCGAGTAGACTTCCCTCTTTGCTAGCTGGTTTACATGTGAGTCATATTCTGTCTACATCGATCCGTCTACATTACTGACATGAATGAAAGATGGCTTAAGCGGTATATTCTGGCTGTTTCTGAATCGAGGCCAGTACGGAGCTACCTGGAAAAAGATGGTTCTAACTGCTATCAACTTGGTTATTGTCGCCATAGGTGCTTGCTTGGTATGTCAGATCTTACCGTATTGTGCTATATCAGAAAGCTAATTTTGATACAGTGTGGCATGGGTCTGTGGGTGTCTGGAAAAGCAATCCATGATGATTCGAGCGGTGCCAGCTTTTCGTGTTCTGCTAAAAGTGGATGAAGTCGAGGCCTGAGTGTACAAAGATTTTATAACTCGTCTATACCTATTTGAACAGACATATTTTGGCTGTTCTATTCATAATTTATGTTGACTCTCCCAACATCTGGGATCAATATTTGCATGGCTGTTTATATTTCAGTGGCTTTTGCTTGGAATACCTTGATGATATATATTTTGGATACATACAAGCAACGAACCACACCCAAAGCAAGAAGATTGTTTGAGCGCAAGCTCCCCCGGCGCCCTTATATGCACCGGCTCAAGCATGTGAATCTCCATCGGAAAATACGTAAAGATGTCGTTGATACCATGCACGACTCAGCCAATCGCAGGTGGATGGACGCCATGACGTTTTGCAAGATCACAGATCATGTCTTTATGTGGGAAAAGAGAGAAAGAAAAATGCAGTTAAAATAAACTATTCCTACGTGGTAATTATCCTGAAGTGCTTGCGACGTATATATCAAGGAACTGGGTGAGCCTCTACTCAGTACATGCTGTTACTCCATCAAACGAACCACCCCCTCAACTCTTATACTCCGTTAAATGCGACCCAGACGGTGGCCGCAATGTCAGACAGAGAGAATCCAACGTCATTATCCCGGCACACTACCCAACAACCATCTCCTGATTCCACCAGCCTGCGGACTATGCTCGACGATGGCGACCCATACGACGTGGCTGATGCGTTAGAAAGCAACGCTGGCTCTAGAGAAAGAAAACCCGAGCCATCCCCGGATTCCACCAGCCTGCGCACCATGCTCGACGATGGCGACCCATACGACGTGGCTGATGCTCTAGAAAGCAACCGGGGCTCTACAGAAAGCAAACCAGAGAGATCCCCAAATGAGAAAGAAAACATAATAGTGGGCTGGGATGGCCCAGATGATCCAGTATGACATCCGCCTTCCACCTTCAACTATGAATTTATGCACCTCTAATACAATTCAAGGAAATACCCTGGAATTTCCCAAGATGGCGAAAGTGGGTTATCACCCTAATGCTAGGAATGATGACTATCTGCGTTACTTTCGGCTCTTCGGTCTTTAGTACAGCAACAAAACCAACAGCGAAAAAGTTCGGCGTCTCCTCAGAGGTTATGGTGTTAGGTGTCAGTTTGTTCGTCCTAGGCTTTGCTTTTGGCCCTATCATCTTCGGTCCACTGTCTGAACTATACGGTCGGAAGCGACCGATGTTCCTTGGTATGTTTGTTTTTGCTATATTCCAGATCCCTGTCGCGGTAGCACAGAATTTGCAGACCATCTTTATATGTCGCTTTCTGGGTGGGATATTCGCTAGTGCGCCTCTTGCCATTGTGAGTTGGGGTTCTTTTCGAATATACGGATAGACCTACTGATTGGAATTTGTTCTTGCAGGTATCCGGTATCTTGGCCGATATGTTCGAGCCCGTTGAACGGGGCATTGCAATGGCCATCTTTGCTGCGGCAACCTTCATCGGCCCAGTAGCTGGCCCAGTCGTCGGCGGCTTCGTGACAACCTCCTACCTGGGCTGGCGCTGGACCGAGTACATTACAGCTATTTGGGCATTTGCTATCACCGGCATCGGGATCCTGGTCATTCCCGAGACGTTCGAGGGGACGTTACTTAAAAAACGTGCTAGACGACTACGCGCCAAAACCCAGAACTGGGCTCTGCATGCAAAGGCAGAAGAGAAGGTAGTTCGTCCTCGGGACATCGCAGTACGGTATCTCCTGCGTCCCTTTCAAATGCTCATACAAGAACCTATTCTTCTGCTTGTTACTTTGTATGTGGGTTTTATCTATGGGTTTTTGTATACTTGTTTCGTGGCCTACCCGATCTCGTTCCAAGAAGAGCGCGGCTGGAATGAGGGCGTTGGGGCATTGCCATTCATCGGTATCATTTGTGGTGTCTTTTGCGCTTGTTTAATTATCATTGCTTTTTCATTGACGCGATATCGAACGTTTATAAGACGCAATGGTCATGCTCAACCAGAAGAACGGTTGATTCCGATGATTATTGGAGGTATCGTGTTGCCCGCAGGAATGTTTTGGTTTGGCTGGACATCAAATCCGCATATTACTTGGGTACCGCAGGTTATATCGGGCGGATTCTTGGGCTGTGGGGTGCTATTGATCTTCTTGCAGGTATTATTATCCCCATTGGAATTTTAAGGGTCCTGTACTTAGGATGCTTACCATGTTCGTCAGGGACTTAACTATATCATTGATGTGTATCCCATGTTTGCCAATTCCGCGATCGCAGCAAATTCCCTCTTTCGGTCTTGGTTAGGGGCTGGATTCCCTATGTTCGCATCCCCAATGGTGTGTTTTGTCCCTTTGCTGCCAAGAATTCGGCTGATCGCGATTCAATTAGTTTCACAACCTGGGCGTCCCTTGGGCGATGACTTTGCTAGGCTGTCTTACAGCGGCATTGTTCCCTGTACCTATTGTCTTTTTCATATACGGGCCGAAGATACGGTCATGGAGTAGATTTACTATTAAGGAAGAATAAAGATTCAGCTGTGAAATATTCACGGCCCATGGAGAAGGAGTGGAGTTAAATCAAGGTATAATATATCCGATATAGTTGTTGATAGTGATGCCCCTGAGGTTCACGTACATTCAATTGATATAGACCAATGAGTATTATCAAGTGATTTATAATATTAGCCCTTCCCGAGGTCGCTATCGCCCTAGGCCCGGGAGTTCTCTCTTACTTGTTTTCATGTGCATGCTTTATGCAGCTACGACGAGCATAGTGATGCAGCCAGTACATAAGCTGTCGGCTACAAGTTCCAGCATTGAAGACAAATAAGCATGACACGCGGTTTGTGTTATCTTAAACCGAGGCAGAAATGGCAGAAGTCTCCATCGGCCAGGTCCGATGTGGGGAAGACCGTCATACATGACAGAGAGTGATCCATACTGCAAACTCTAGCTAATATACGGAGTACTAATAGAGAACATCTTACCCCAGCTTTGGTTAAGGGTGAAGCAAGCTTCCTGGGGATACCCGTACAGCTTGCATTATCCATCATCCCGTCCCGTCAGTCAGGAATCTGGGGAAACCAAGACTTTTTAGCTAATATTATCTTCCATTTCGATGACACTCGACCATTTCTTCTCCACTCCTCTTGAGGACTTGACCCGATGTGTCTTAGGTCCTACCCCTCGCCAATGGGAACTGTCATTCTTAGCTCCGGGGTGTGCGTCGCCCCACGTACTCCTCGGTTCCACCAGTATCAAGATCGTCCGGTGGGCGGCGTTCGCCGTCTCAAATGAGTGTATATATGTTTATATCCAATTTTATTGAGGTAATTGGTGCAGCATGATCTCCAATTTCGAGTGAATTTGCCTCTTTTCAATATTGCAACAATGGCACCGTATTTCGGCCTTCGAGGCCCTTCGCTCAATAGGGCTATTATGTGGTTGGTCGTGTGTCCAGCCTTTGTCACTTATGGATACAATCAAGGTGTGATGGGGGGTCTGTTGACTCTGGAGTCTTTCGCTGAGACGTTCCCACAAATGAACACCCTCACTGCATCCGAGGAAGAGAAGACCTACAATTCGACTATTCAAGGTAAGCCCACTCATCATTCCAGCGGCGCAGGTTGACCGCAGATGGTCTCCTTTGTGTATCCATCACCAGGATAATTTCTCACGCAATATTCTTTCAGGCACAGTAGTCGCATTGTATACAGTCGGTGGAATATTCGGTTCACTATCATGCATTCAGTTCGGTGACAAGCTCGGCCGCAGGAAGGTCATCCTATTCACCTCCTTCATCTCGATGATTGGCGCTATCTTGATGGCAACATCCTTCTCCCTTCCACAGTTCATCGTTGCACGAATAATCCTCGGATATGGCACTGGCGGTTACGTCGCTACAGTTCCCGTCTGGCAGGCCGAGATCTCCAAGCCCGACAAGCGTGGCGCGCACGTAGTGACAGACGGTATCTTCATCGGCGGCGGTATCGCCTTCTCACTCTGGGTCGACTTCGGGTTCTTCTTCGTCAAGGCCAATTCCGTTTCCTGGCGTTTCCCTTTGGCTTTCCAAGTCCTTCTCTCACTAATGGTCATGGGATTCGTGATGCTCTTCCCCGAATCACCACGTTGGCTGGTTAAACAAGGCCGCAACGAAGAGGCGCGGGAGGTCATGGCGCTGCTGGACGACGTCGATCCTCAAGCTGAGAAAATCACCCTCGAGATACGCGATATCGAGACCTCCCTGGCCCTGTCCGGATCAGGTTCGTGGAAGGATATGCTCACAATGGGCGAACAGAGACTGTTCCATCGCACTGTTCTCGCATGTATGGGTCAGATGTTCCAGCAGATGTGTGGAATCAATCTGATCACGATCTATGCGACGACCATCTTCGAGCAATATCTGAAACTCAATCCAATCCAGTCTCGTATCCTCGCTGCTGCTATGTGTCTAGCACAGCCTCTTGGCGGCCTACTGGCCTATTACACTATTGATCGTCTCGGTCGCCGCGTGCTCATGCTGTGGAGTGCGGCCGGCATGGCTGTCTCGATGGCAATCCTAGCAGGTACCACCTCTGTTCATGATAACACAGGCAGCTTGGTCTGTGCCGTGGTGTTCCTTTTCGTCTTCGTGTTCATTTTCACAGTCGGATACTCCGGCTTGACATTCCTATATGCCACAGAGGTCGCTCCCCTCCAATGCCGAGCATCTATCAACGCCGTCTCCGCTGCAGCCGTGTGGACGTTCAACTTCCTCCTCGCTGAGGTGACGCCCATTGGCTTCGCTACCATCGACTGGCAATACTATATTATCTTTGCCGTGCTGAACGCCACCATCGTGCCCACTGTCTACTTCCTCTTCCCGGAGACTAATGGCCGCACGCTGGAGGAGATTGATGAAATATTCTTGCAATCGCGGAGTATCTTCGATCCGCCCCGTATTGCTCGCTCACTCCCCCGCATGCACGTTGCCGAGGCTCATAACATCGATGCCAAGGAGGTTGAAAGTAGCGATGATGCCATGGCTGAGAAGCCCAAGGTATAAACCATTCACGAAGTTATGAAATGAGAGTCCCGCGAGTTTATCGGGATTTGTACATAAGATTCTAGATCGTGTCCCTTGAGCGACCGGTTATTTTGAAATTATGAGAAGCATTATCTTGGCTTATTTCAATCGTTCCATATTGTGGGTAAATAAGTAGATTGGGACGGGCATATCGGTCCGATGCGACCGGCGTCTCACTCTCATACTTAGCACTGTTTCAGGCTAAGCTGCAGAGTTTCATCGTAATAATCCTTATTTCCGTGACTTATTTGGGGTGGCGCCTGTCGATCAATTTGGGGATGTTAATTGCGCCAATCCGGGGTTGTTGAAGAAATTACAGACAATGGAGAAGGCCTTTGACGTTTACTCTCTTGGTGACGGGATTATCACGAACAGGGCGTTTTTGATGGTGGCTAGCGTGATACCCCGAAATATCGCCGACTTTCAATGGTTGTCTCAAACCACCCTGGTTTCATGCTATCCATAGCCTCCGTGTTATATCCGGCGGGTCTCACCTAAGGAATAGGTATATAATAGCCTTCGCAATAGGGTCATCCATAGTTGGAAGCCACCCAATCCCACCTCTAAATCACCCAGTATAACGCGAACTTCCAACCATCTCGCCAAAATGCGGTCTCTGGCATGGCTTGTCTCTCTCCCCATAGTAGCCGAAGCCGGCAAGGTCCGATGGAGCGGGTTATTCGACGCCTCTGCGAGCGTCGCTGACTTCGACGAATGTAAGGTAGTCTCGTGTGTTGCTATTGATTAAGACTGACACATAAGAAGGGTCGTGGTCTAACCAAGTCGGCGCTTATCAGTGGTATATTCACGGAAGTGGAGCCACAGAAAAGTACCTAGGTCTCTCACCTGAGAACAAGAACCCGGCCGCCACAAATGAGGAACAGGGAATTCGGATAACGATTGTAGGTCATATCTAAAGATCAAGGGACCTAGAAGCTCATAACAGCTAGGATGGCACGTCCTTCTGGAATGGACAAACCATGGAACGATCCGAGATCATTCCCCAGACCAAGGCAGATCTGGGGAGCGGACACCTGTTCTACCATTTCTCGCTGAAGACAGAAGAGAAGAATGCACCGAATCCGAGCTTCGAGCATCAGATCGCGTTCTTCGAGGTATGACTCCCCCAAAGTGTCTAAGCAACCGACAGCTGACAGTATTTCCACCACAGAGCCATTTCACAGAGCTGAAATACGGCGCACTTAGCGGCACCTCGGGCGATGATAACAAACTCCGCTGGTGCATTGGTGGAGTCTCGCACTGGGAAACTGAGTTGGAGGCAGGAAAATGGTACAACTTCGCCTATGATATTGATTTCGACGCGAAAACTGTTGGACTGTGGGCGTCGAACGGGGCAGATGACCTAAAGCAGGTTGTGCCCGCTGTCGGCGCGTCGACTTCGACAAACTCCGCGGATTGGCATGTTGGCGAGTTGCGACTCGATAACGGGGGCAAGGATGCGGCTCCGGAGGATTGGTTCTGGTCTGGTATTTTTGTCGAGGAGGCTCCGATCACTGCTGGTATTGCTGGTCCTGCATGAATATAGCTCCAAAATTCATGATGCGATCTGTATTTGCTTGACAAGGGGATTAGCCATCGGCCCTCTAGGGAATAAAGACAAACATTTTGCAAACACGACAAACCTGTCAAATGATCCACTTTGGTATAAATGATCTCATGACGTCATCCATCTAGGGTACTGTTACGTCTCGTGGAGCAGGAATGGAGTCTAGAATGAATTGATTTATCGTAAACTAGTCATGTAATTCATATTATTGTACAGAATGAACCCTTTACCGCACGGTGTATCCACCGTCAATGAGCATATCGTTACCAGTCATGTAAGTGCTGGCATCGCTGACGAGGTAAACATAAGCACCCTTAAGTTCCTTCGCATCACCGTTGCGACCCATGGGGATCATGGAGTTCCAGAGGTCCTGAACATCCTTCGCAACGAAATCAGACAACCCGGTGTCAATGTAACCAGGTGAGATGCTGTTCACACGAGCAAAGTCGCGCCATTCGTTGGCCAGTGAGCGGGCAAGGTGGATTGTGCCCGCCTTAGCAACATTGTATGAGGTCTGTTCCTGGGGGAAGTTGGCAATGTGGCCAGACATCGAGGATGTAATGACGAAGCTGCCAGTTCCACGCTCCTTGAAGTGAGCGCCAACTGCCTTGGCACAGTGGAAGGTACCAGTCAAATCGGTTTGGATGACTTCATTCCAGTCCTCCACAGATCCGTCAAGGATGCCGCTGTCGGCTGTGCGGCCGGCGTTCGCAATGAAGGCATCGATCTTGCCGAAGTCCTTGAGCACGTCCTTCACGAGGGTATCCACGCTTTCCCAGTTGCCCACGTCGCACTTGTATGCCTTGACCTTCACGCCGTACTCCTCCGAGAGTTCCTTGGCGTTCTTCTCGCCGCCTGCGGGGCGGGAGGCGTATGTGATAGCCAAATCGGCGCCCATCTCGGCACAGCCGCGGGCGGCTTCGATTCCCATGCCTCGGGCTCCGGAGGCTCCGGTTACAACGACAACCTTGCCCTTGAGGCTAAGGAGGTCGAGGAGGCGGTTCTCTTTGGGGACAGGGATAGGCATTATGGTAAAGAGATTGGAGGAAAGAGGGAGAGGCGGAGGTAATGAGGTATGTTTGTATGGTTTGAGGATAATGGATGAGAGAGTAATGTTGTTATATGATCCTCACTTTGGACATGAACGTGGCTTATATATATGTCCCCCGCCGCCAATGACTTCATGGGTTATTTTTACGCTGACATCAGATCAGATGGGCCAGCAGAGACCTCCTGCAGCCGGCTTGATCAGGTTGGCCTCAACTGTTCCAGCCAACTTGGCATGTCCAGTAATGAGATCGAATCACATCGAATGACTTCAATCAAGACAATCCGGGTGGGGACGCATGGCGGGGCAGTGACATCATGAGTTCAACTGGGATTCTTCAAGTCTCACATCCATAACATCATTTTGATAATGTTGTGTTTGAGGTTGATATTGGCAGTGGAATCTTACAAATTGATTCATAATGGTACAATCTTCCTCAATTGCTATATCTTCTTGAAAATGCCCAGTTAGGCAATCTATGAGATTCCTGGGCGTGGGGGTTCGCCCCACTTTTATAGTCCAATGGAGAGTATACAATCGGGTTCACGGCATTCAGTCCATGGGAGTAATTCTAAGATCTTGTACTTTGTAAATGTAACAGAACAAAAGGATAAAGAGCCCTAAAAAGTGATGACGGACACGACAAATAGTCGTAGACTCAGCCATGAATCGCATAAAATCAATCTCCCGGCCACTTCCACGGTTGTGATGTAGGAACTACCTTTTAGGTACTCATTCGAAAAATGGAAGGTCAACCTGAAGGAATCCCTTCGACTCAGCCTGTGCAGGAAGGTGAACATATACATCGATCGTCCACAGCCAGTACCCTGCATCACAACCAGTTTAAAGATGGATTTCTCTCAAGGTGGGTGGAAGATGATGACCTATAGTAACTGCAACCAGCTCACCATGTTGTAGATTGCATTCGTTCTTTCAGCGTGACAGTCACATAGGCCATGTCGGCCGTCACCCTTTGCGCGATAGCAAGGACATCGAGATACATACCTGGAATGGCCCAGATGATCCGGATAACCCGTAAGACCCAGAAAATGATTCTTAAGAATTGTGCTGACAACTTAGATTCAATTGGAGCAAAACATATAAATGGATTCTCACTCTGACTATTTGTTTCATGTTAGTCACCTAGTTGTGTCCCATTTGAAGGAACACAGTGCTAACATATTATAGTTCAATCCTGACAGGCCTGCCAGCTGGATCCTACGGTGCCGGTAACGATTACATGGGAGAGCGTTTCCATGTCCAAAATGTGCCATTTCCAAATCTTGCGTGGGCGACGACCTCTTGGAATATGGGTGCCGCCTTCTGGCCGATGATCTTCGTACCATTGACTGAATCATCGGGGCGTATGCCTGGGTATTTTGTTGCATATGTGATTCTAGTTATATCACTTTTTCCTTCGGCCTTTGCGAAGAATTTTGCCACGCTAGTCGTTACTCGATTCTTTGGCGGTGGTGCGTCTTCGGTATCCATCAACATTGTTGGTGGTAGCATCAGTGATGTCTGGTATGGTGACAAAGCTCGGAGTTTGCCCATGTCTCTATTTGGATTCACCAGTGTCGTTGGAATTGCTTTGGGTCCATTTATTGGATCGGCAATTCTACAAATTCATAGAAGCAGCCCATGGAGATGGTAAGTTTTGCATTCAAATCTTTCTACTGATATGGGGAACATTGCTGATAAAAATTTAGGATCTTCATCATTCAGATCATTTACAACGCAGGATTGATACCAGTCTTCTGGTTGATTCTTCGCGAGACACGTGCAGATGTGATTTTAAAGAAACGTGCTAAGAAGCTCCGCTTCGAGACTGGTCGCCCTATTTACGCTGAAGCCGATTTGGACACCACCAGTGTCTTGAAGCTTATTCAGATTTCATTCGAGCGCCCAACTCGCATGCTCCTCACTGAACCTGTGGTCATTTTCTTTACCCTATGGGTCAGCTTCGCATGGGGAATTCTGTTCCTCTTCTTCTCGAGTGTCGCCCAGACCTTTACTGCAAACTATGGCTGGAGCACATTCCAGACCGGTCTAGTTCAGCTGGCTATATCGGTCGGAGCTGTGATTGGCACGGTTTTGAACCCTATCCAAGATTGGATCTACTTCAGGTCTGCCCGTCGTAATCGTGAGCGTCCGGGTAAGGCTATCCCAGAAGCGCGGCTGTATACTTCTATCCCAGGCAGTCTCTTGTTTGCGGGTGGCCTCTTCTGGTACGGCTGGGCTAGTGTCGGGGACGGTTCTGTCCATTGGATTGTGCCAGCGCTAGGAATTGGCTGTACTGGCGTGGGAATCTACTCTATCTACATGGCTGTGGTCAATTACTTGACTGATGCGTACGAGAAATACGCTGCTTCGGCATTGTCGGCTGCTTCATTGGGCCGCAATACCTTTGGCGCTTTCCTGCCTCTTGCGTCTTATCAGCTCTTCGAGAACCTGGGCTATGGATGGGCTGGCTCATTGCTTGGCTTTATCGGACTTGCCCTATCAATTGTCCCTGTTGTGCTCGTGCTCAAAGGGCCAGACATTCGTCGGAGAAGTCCGTTCATGCGTGAGGCCATGTTTGACCCTGGTAACGACAGTGAAAAGGATCAGTCCTCCGAAAGCACACCTTTGTGATAACTCACTGTGTTGAGGGTGGGTGGGCCTGTGTGCCTACTGAATACTAGTGAACGCCAACCAATGGGTGGGCAAATATGTGCCATATATGTGTTTAATTTCGGAACAGTGTACAATTGTGATTTATTAGCTTACCTGGAAAGCATTTAATGTGTAATTTAAGATGAAACATTAGGATTGGCCAAGGTAGGCAGATATCAATGTTATCATGGAGCATACGCCACAAAGAAGACTAGGTGAGTGCACACGGCTATGTTGTTTCCTCCAATAGCACATGGTCTGTTCATCATCTGCCAACTGCAGCGACTAATGTAGGTAGTATGTTGTAGGTATAATTAGTGCCAATAGCGAATTTAAGCTTGATACTCCCATCATCTAGCCCCACAGGCGTCGTTGCGCCAAGGCTAGGCAGGCAACCATATTGTGTTGGAGATGATGATATATTCTCGGCGCACATTATCAGTCCAAGGCCTATGCCACGGGTCAAGTTTCCTCTCCACAGAGATACAGCATCAATCAAACTAAGCCAAGCCAACAGTTTAAGAGCGCAAGGAAAATAGTGCCCCTATTTAGGACCCTATGTGCTCAGGTGCAGAGAAGAAGGCCTCGGGCCTACCGCTCCGCTTAATCAGCCATCAGCTTCGAGGCGCAATCCTGAGGCCCGCTAGGACTATATTAGGAAATGCTTCAACAGAATTAGTTTGCAATTGATGGATTGTGATTTGCCGACTCCTGGCGATCTTCCCTAAATTGAATAAGCTCGTGGGGTATATTTGGCAACGACCAGCATCTATCAACTGTTGACGCGGCGCCAAGCAAGCTTGTGTGGGAGATAGTCCGAACCTGTGACCATTGAGCACTAAGCCATTGGAGATTCACGCACACCGGTAATCCTACTGTTGGGAATGCCGTGCCTGTGCTGAACGACACGCGTCCGGAGGCCATGGGGGTATCATGAAGAGGTATAAATCCAGGCCGTCGCGACCATGATGTCCAGCCCTCCAGAAACCACCAAGGCAATTCTATCTTGTTCAAAATGGTCCAGCTATCCAAATTCCTCGCTATTGCAGCTGCATGTCTGGCGGCCCCTACCATCGCCCACCCAGGAGAGAAGCATGATCCTCACGCCGTGAAGCGTGAGATCCATACCCGGGATGCCATGGCCGCCCACGCTAAGCGATCCCTGGGCGGTTGCGAGAGCACATTGCATGCGCGCGAGTTGAACAAGCGTAGCATCGCCCGTCGCTCGAGCACTGTCAAGAAACTCCGTCAGAAGCGCGGGATCACTGCCTGTAAGTCGGATCATTTGTCAGATGGTCGGGGACACACCAGCTGACATACATCAAGCTTCCCAGAAATGGCGCCGTGATCTTGCTGCCCTGGAGAAGTGGGAAGCCATCGACCACAATCGCACTGGCGTTCTCGATTACAGCCCCGCGACTCCGGAGTCTGTCGTCTTCGGTGCTAACACTAGCTTCGTTCTGTCGCCCACAATCACTGATGGTCCCTACTATGTCTGGGGCGAGGTTGTGCGCCAAAATGTCAAGGAGGAGCTGTACTCGGATGGTGTGGATGTTTTCCTCGAGGTGCAGTACATCGACGTGACTACCTGCAAGCCCGTCCCTGGCGCAGTGGTCGACATTTGGCAAGCCAATGCCACCGGTGTCTACAGGTAAGTTTCCCACGTAGCGACTAACGTTTCCATTGAAACAAAATTCCTCATATCTAACCGTCGTCTGAATAGTGGAATCTCAATGTCAGGCAACTACGCCGCAGACGGCTGGGACTCAACCTACCTGCGTGGTATCCAGCAGACGGACCGCGACGGCGTCGCAACCTTCGAAAGCATCATCCCAGGCCACTATGAAGGCCGAGCAACACACACCCACCTCCTCACGCACCTCAACGCAACCCTCCTACCCAACAAGACACTCAAAGCGGACACCGGTAGCGTGGCCCACATCGGTCAGCTCTTCTGGAACGAGGTCCTTCGCAGTGCCGTCGAGAACACATACCCCTACAACACCAACACGCAGGAGATCACCTCAAACGCCGAGGATATGTGGAGTATCGAACAGGCTGACAGCGCTTACGATCCCTTCCCGGAGTACATTTACCTCGGTGAGGGTCTGGACGATGGGTTGTTCGCCTGGATCCAGATTGGAATCAACACCACTGCTGATTACACTGATGACTCCTACTACAATATTGCTGCTTTCCACGGTGCTGATGGTGGTTATCAAATTTCTGATAGCTCGTTCGGTGGTGGTAGCGGTGGTCCCGCCGGTGCCTCTGGTTCTCCTCCTAGTGGTACTGGTAGTGTTGGTCCCACTCCATCCGCCTCCTCTAGTGTCTCTCCTTAAAGGATAGACGAGGGAATGTACTCAATTCGTCGGCCGGGAAATGTGACAGTGAAATTGCCCCACTTTGAAAAGCAAAACCCCATCAGGATATCCCGCATTACGTTTGTTTACTAGAAACTGTTTGTAAAACATTACCCTGGCTTGTTATATACGAACAAAGAGGTATTTTTAGATAGGATCATTGAGCGCATTCCATAAAGACGTTTTCCATTTGTTGCTTCTCTCCTTATTTTCCTGTAAAGAACATCTATATGGTGATAAAACCCAGCACGCGAGTTAGGGCTCGGAAGTGGGCCGAACACGAACAATTGACCCCTGAGCGGCCGCAATGGTGGCTGTAACAGGCTAGTGTGAGAATAGACGCGCACGGACAGCAGCTTTTGACGATTGTGAAATCATTGAACTCAGGCTAGGTTTTCCTTTTTTCGGGTTGTTGAGCCTAGCTGTATCCTAACGTAGATCTTTTGTAGTGTCAACCGCACATCTTCCCAATAGAGTTGGGGACGGGACGGTACACCGGTCTCTAGCCAGTCCTAGTTGAAATTTTCACATACAACATAGTATATTTAACTGCCTACGGAGTACGGAGTACACGAGTCATGTTTATTTATGGACTAAAATTGGATTTTTTAGGATATTCTTTTCCGTTTGCCTTGAACTAGTGCTAGTTTGCCTTCGACATGGCGCTGCCTAGATAGGCAGGTTAACCATTTCTCTCATATAGGGTTCCAGGATTCCAGCCCTACAATCAATTCGCACATGTTCACCGAGGCCTGCGAGATGCTTCTGATTAAGTATTGCATGGCTTTCAATTAGGAAATTGGGGAATCTCAAAATTCAAAATATCAATTGTTTCCACGGTTGGGAATTTAAGTTAAAACTTTGGGGGGGTAAAGTTCAATGTTTCCATGGATCTGGAAAGGAAACCTCACCCACGTTCCCGGTAGGATCATTAAGATCGTAAAACGTGGGTCTGCAATTGAAACCATGGCAACTTTCTAGATGCAACAAATCATTCCACACGAGGACCAATGTGGCTACGTTCCCCTGTTTCGCTAAAACGCCACTTCCATAGGTTATGTTCTCGACTTCTAAACGACGGGCGGCGCCGGAGTCCTGAAGAGGAGGGAATCCGGCATGGCGAAAGTCAGTGCACGTTGTGCCACCAAAATCGCTCCATAGCCTCCAATTCATCCAGCGTAACCGAAGGCAAATGTCAGAATCCCTGTTGGAGTCACCCAAAATTCCAAACAGCAAAATAACTCCGCTCTGTACTCTAACCCCAACATGTCGGCCCATTTGGGTCATCCCATATGCCGATCTATCGAAAATAGTCGCGATCCGTAGATCAATGCCCATCGCACCCCACTAGGCGTGTTATTGTTCAATCATTCACGTTTGCAGGGGTTACTCCCACATTTTCAAGGCTGGGTGCCCACTTCAGGACTTTCGGTAGGAAAGTTGGAGGTCTAGAGCGAACAATGTCAAGGTTTATTGAAGTTAGAATAGCCGGTGGGGATCTTCAAATATAACCCCGAGCGGCTCTTCCATTTTGTCGAATTCTTTTTGGTCTTTTCTATAACTACGGATGGGATCTTCATGCCCTCCGCTTGTTCATTATGGACGTTAAACTTGAGGAACTTGAGGCGGGCCACCTCGATGGCAGCCGAAACAAGGCCATTTTGATCGTTACTTCCGTCTTCCTCGCTATCTCCCTATTCACAGTTATGCTAAGATGCTTCGTTCGCACACAAGTCGTTCGTGCTTGGGGGTGGGATGATGGAACTATGGTTATAGCTATGGTGAGCCAACCTGCACCTTCCACAACGCGAACACCATCTAATACCTCTCCTTACATTGCAGGCTTTCAACGTAGTCTTCGCCCTCTGCGGAATCATTGGATGTAAATACGGACTCGGCAGGAAATTGGCTTATTTCACTACACGCCCGGACGACTACCATAGCGCAATGCTGGTACGATCCTGACCCTAACACCTCAACACCCTGCGACCCAAACTCACATACTTCAACAGTGCTGGTGGATAGCCCAACTCTTCTATGTATTGACCTGCGTCGCCGCAAAAGTCTCAATCATCATCGCCCTTCTCCGCATCACCGTCTCTCGTGTTCACGCCTATATTCTCTACGCCGCTATGACTCTCTCCGCTGCCATTGGCATCATCTTTTTCTTTTTCACCATGTTCCAGTGCACACCCGTCAGCTATTTCTGGAACCATGCGCAACCTACCGCCCATGGCTCATGCATCAATAGAAATTCACTCCTCGCTATCGCCTACTTGTATAGTGTCGGCGCTGCTATCACCGACCTGACTATTGGATTGCTTCCGATAGCGCTGATCTGGGATTTGCGCATGAACAGTCGCACCAAGGGCGCTATGGCCGCTATTTTGGGTATCGGTTGCATGTTCGTTATCCCGGTGCACTTGGCTTTGATCTATGGTGGCAACTACTAACATCCCTCTAGTGCGAGTGCTGCGGTCATTATTCGCATCCCATTCATTCACCACTACAAAGATAGAGACTTCCTATGTACGCACGCTTTCATCTCGGCCTCGAGGCTACTCCTGTCAATGCAGACCCACTAACAAATCAACAGATGCCACTTACCAAATCTCGATCTGGTCAAACGTCGAAGCTGGAATCGGTATCACAGCAGGTTGTCTCACAACACTCCGTCCCTTAGTGCGCTTTCTTCGCGACGGCTCATCCAATGCCCTAAGTCGCACACCAAGCTCCTTTCCTTTAAGCGGTAACGTCGCTGGCGGCTACCACCGCTCCATGCCGTCGAAGCATATATCCCGTGACGAGCATCAGCTCTGGACTGGGAGAGGAAGTGACGATTACCACGGCGTCACGACGACTATCTCCGGAGCTCACGCGAAACAGCCTAGCTCTAGTGAGGAGGACCTGACTCCGACTAATGCCGAGGATACTCCCGGGTGGAAGGTCGAGAGGTCTGTTCGCGTGTCTGTGCGCAATTCATGACATGCAGGTCTAGGCCTGTGCATATCTATTTTAATACTTATATTACTTTGTATAAATTTATGACTATTCTAAATTGTTTGTTTTCCTTGACACTACGCTCGAAAGGTGGGCCTGGGCAGGTTTCTTATGCAGGGATGGCCTGTGTGCTCAGTCGTTGCTAGGTCAGACAATCGCCATGCGCTGTTTAATTTGAACGGTTATTGGATACCAGGGCACTAAGCTAGGCGACTGGTGATTCTACAATATCCATCGTATGTCTCATTAGATCGCCCAGACCTATCTTGCCACTGCCACTAGCGGGGGATGTCTGAGAATTATATATTTGAAGGCAAAATATGTTTCACCTGAATCTCTAAATTTTCAACAGGCTGAATACCTGTGGCAAAAGCAATGGTAATAATAGCAAATTAATGATTATTTGCTTCTGCCTTTTTAGTCTCGAAGTACTAGCCTTGTCCAGATCGGCAAGATCTACCGATAGTGCCAATCCTGATCCCACGATGTCCAAGCTCTATCGTTTCTATTTAGCGCTAATGAAGGCAATTTGTGACCATCGAGCCGGATTAGGTAGCTCAAAGGCTCGTTCTTTAATTATTTCTAGGAAGCTATATTCAAATCCACTGGGTATTAAATTCACTATTTGCTAAAACGTGCGAAGTCAATTCACACATGGCGTTATACACAACCACCGGGGTATGCCCCTATTTATTAATTTGATTTCACTTAGTCTAATCCGTCTTTTCATTCACAAGACGATCCTGCGACTCAGCAGTGTGAACCGCATAGATATCGACGACAGTCGAAGAGAACTTGCGCGCATTAACCTTTTGGACAAACAGAATGTCCAGCTCTGCATAGGTGCGGTCCTTGGCCTCCGGGAGACGGAAGAATGCCCAGACGAAGGCAATGAACGCGGTGCCACCCCAGAAAAATCCGGTCTTGCCGGAGGCGTTCCACGCTGTTGGGTTCATGAAGTATGGCTCCAGGACTTGGGACACGACGTTGATGATCTGGTATGCTGTGCGGGCGAGGCAGACAGTCAGCGGGCGAAGACGTATAGATGATGTCTCTGAGACAATGGCGTATGCAATCGGTCCAATGGTTAGGGAATAGGTCAAGAGCCAGGCGAAGCAGAGTCCGGCTTGCGCCCACATAATGCCGTTCGCGCTGGAAGACACGTCCAGGATGCCAATTAGGAGGAGGATCGTACAAAGGATCCCCTGGCCCCACACGTAAAGCGTGCGACGGCCGAATCCGGTGATCAGCCACCAGGAGAAACAAGTTCCAGTAAATGCAATGGCAGTGCAGCCCACGCCGAGTTGGAAAGAGTGGGTTACGCTCAGGCCGGCTTGGATGAAGAAATAGGAAGGTGAGTAGGCGAATGTACTACCGGAAAGAATCTGACCGACAAAGGCCATGCAGCAGATCTCGGTGCGGCGCAGATCAACTCCCTTGAAACACTCGTAATAGCTCGTTCCGGCCTCAATCTCGGATTCGAGCTTGATCGTGTGTAACATCATCGCGACTTGTCCGTTGATCTGGTCTTCGGTCTTGCCGCCGCCGAGTCGGCGAACACTGCGCTTGGCATCTTCTAGGCGATCCATGCGGACGAGCCACCAGGGGCTCTCGGGCGCGAGCCAAGAAATAACAATCAAAGGAACAGGCCAAATCCACTGCAGGCCGAAGGGGATACGGTAGCCCCATTGGTCCGTTCGGTCGACGAGTCCGTAGAGGACACCGGAGGCGATGAGCTGACCGATGGCCCAGCACAAGTTGACGTAGATGGTGAGGTAACCGCGCAGCACGGTGGGGCATACTTCAGATGCATATGCTGGTCCAACAGTGGCGAACACTCCCCATGAGAGACCGCAAAGTACCTGGCCGACAAGGAGGACTGCTGCGGAGTTGGCGAAAAATGTGATGAAGATCAAGGCCGTGAGAGCGGCAAGGGCGACAATCATAACAATTCGGTAACCGTACTTGGACGCCATATATCCGTTCAAGATACCGCCTATGGTCATGTTAGTATTTATCCTAGTAGAAAATGATAAGAGAACTCACCGAAGATACATCCAACCGTACTGGCCATGCTTAGACCGGTCTGCCAAGCTGCAGATACCTGCCATCCGATATCACCACCATAGTCCTGTCCATACTTTTTATTGAATGAGGGGTAGCCCCAGAAGTTTCCCATTAGGATGGTATCGTATCCCTCCATGATAATGCACCCAGAGATCAAAACAGACCACATAACAGCCTTGCGGTTTTCACGCAAGGCCTGCATCAGCGTCTGGGAGTGCTCATCATCGGTAGCTTGTTTGGCCTCGTGGATTGCGCCGTGGCCCAGGGTATCTTCCACATGGTTAGCGGCAACCTTTTCCACCGCAAGCACAGTATCATTGGACGCCATGGTGAACAGAGAGATATGGCGATTGATGACTCTGATACAGAATCCCACAAAGTCTCAGACAGGGGGGTGCGATCGTCTATATAAGTTGATTATTGTCACATCCGAATAGCGAGATCCCAACAGCTATGATCCACATTTGCATTAGCGTGCGTCCGGGGTTGTGGAGAAAGCAAGGACAATTTGGCACATGATACCCAGACTGTGATCAGCCCATGTAGTGTTCAGGCTAATTGCTGTTCTGAATAGATTGGAGAAAGATATTTGTGAGTCGTATACCATCGAGGCCGGCTCGTCTAGACCAACTTTGGAACGACGGACATGAAGGTGTAAAATTCGCACCTATCAGCAGTAAGCATATTGGTAGGTGGGAATTACAAGATGAATTCAGCCGGCAGTGGTGTTAGTGTCTGGGGAAGCGAGGTGAGGAGGAATACTATAATGCGATCTGATTGGATTTAGTCGGTTAGCGTGAACGCCCCCGGAATGTGTAAATGAAGCTATTCCCTTCTTGTAACGGAGAAACTAGCCGCACCTGAACCTCGGAAGAATTGCAGATGAAAATTCGGCGAAATCTTTTTTCTTATTGGAAGAATTGTTTGTCAGGTGGCTTGAAGATATCCTGTCACGGTGTATCGGGCCGGGCCAGTGATATTGACCCATCGGTGATGTTGCAGCCTCCCCGGATTCTCGATGTAGCAACTGTTTTCTCTAAACTCTGGGGAATCCGGGGTTTTCGTACCTTTTCTTGAACGCGTACCATTCTTTTGGGCAGGGATCGGTCCTTCCATTCAGCTTGAACTTGCTATTCACATGTGGTGCCTCTCCGATCCCCGAGGGGCTACCCAGACTTGCCGCTTCGGCATACCACCCGACTTTTTTATATGAAATCTTCCATTCTCTCGGCCCAGGCAGCTCACGAGCAGCATACTCGGCTTTCTGGCCAATCATATCACCTTAATGGTCTAGACCAAGTGGGCTTCCACGGGTAATACCGGCGTGAATAGAGGTTTCTCCATAATCATCGAGGTCCTCATTTGTCTAGGGCTGTGGCTAGTCATGGCTCAACCTGATAGTTGTCAGAAAGATAAAGGCAGGGAAATGAAGATTGATGAATCGTGCACGAATTGTTGGCCGAAATAGGTCTGCTTGATCCATCTCGTCTGTTGCCTTAGGCTTCCCAGAAAGGCACCATCCCTCTCCCTTGCTCTTTCTCTCGCCCTTTCTTCCCTGCACCAACCCGTGTGTTCCAGTATTGCCCACACCATGCCATCCGTGTCACACAATATGATCCCCCTTACTGGTCACCTATCATAGGCATCCTGATGCTCAAAAGGCGAAACCTTGATATGGCGCAGTATAGGCGTCAATATATCTGATCCTTCGACGGCTAAAGGCAACCAGGGCCGGCTACAGCTTCCCAATATCAGGTTTGGCCTTTTCGGCCTCATGGTAACTTATGGTAACTCGCGCGTCTACCCACACTTTCTCAGCTCTCACCCTTTGTGGATGGGCTTGATGTACTATTAAGTGCCATTATTCAGGTGGGAGCTTTCCTCAAAGGGTTACAGGCAGCCCTCGACATATTCGCAACATGGCATCAACCACGTCCCTAGTTTCCCCGAACTCTAGACATTATCATACCATCTCCAAGGAGGTAGGATAGTCTGAGGTTCGCCATTGGCGATACCCACCATCATGCCAATCCCAACGGCCCTTTTCCTTGGGGGTTTATATCAACATCTACCATTTTTGGCTGTCAATTCCAACCAATTCTAATGACTGGTTCCTTTGTTTATGATGTTATCCAGACCTTTGCAAAGCCGAGCATGGAATATACCGGAGCGTCGAAGTATTCGATCATGGTGCGCTATGAGCACAACACTGTGTTGAGGAACGACATTGGACTTGGTCCGCTCAATAGCCTTGTGCACGGCCATGAGAAGATGAAGAGAAAGTCGATGATATTTATAAGCTAGAGAAACTGGGGATTTTATACCCTGGAGAACTGGCAAACATTCACAGCCTGACAAACAAGGCACAGGGGACGAAACATGGAGCATAAGAAATAGCATAGATCAAATGGAGAACAATCGAAACACCGAATTTCGCCGACCCATGAAGCCAAGGGAAGCAGTCAAAGGAGAGAGTTACCGTCTAGGACAGCCAAAGCTCTAGGGGTGTCAACATACAAATTGAGCCAGTACTTTATTAAGCGAATTTCCTACATACCCGCGGACCTTCTAATCCCTATAGTTCCAGATACGAATGTGTCTCTAACACGCTGATCAGGTCTGAATAAGAGATATCAATCCAGAAGCGTAAAGACTTCTAGGATAACTTCGTCGCATTCCTTCTCCATATGGGATCATAGGGTTATGCAATCTCCGATCAGCCATCTAGAAGTTGTCAGCTTCAATGGCATGGAAGCGCTGGTGTGATACTCCCACTATTACTACGTCGCGCTCGAAGTCATGATGTATTGGCTTTCAGAACACTATGGGAAAATCACAACGTTCGTTGAGGAGAATACCGCAGATAAACATAACTCGAAACGGTTGAGAGGCGAATCGACATCCTTCACCGCAATGTCACGTAAGGCGGGAATATATCTGTAGACGCTTGTGTATCCGAAGAGTATAGAAATAACTCCATTAAATATCATTTGAAGCGCATAAAATCAATATAAAACAACACCGCTGTATGCATCGCCAGGGGTATAAAAACAGAAAACAAAACAACCACGCCATGCAATCCAAAACAATCAAACTCAGCTCCCATCAATCCGAATTAATGTCCTATACTCATTCTCCCGAATACTCGTCTCAGGAATCATCAATCGCATAACCCAATACGGCTTCATATCCATAACGCTCACATCCCTCCCAGATGAGCGCACCACCCAGTTCGTCTCATTATTCGATCCGAGGAACAATCCTTCAACGGGTCGACCGCGGATGTAATGTCTGTACGCCTGTACAGGCTCGGCTTTGGGCTTGCCCCAGACCAGTCGTCCTGTGCTAGGGTTGTGGTCTATCCCGACGGCGTGCCAATCCAAGGCACCCGGGGCGGGTCCGGACAGGACGTGTGCTTCGATTCTGTTTAGGGCGCCGTTGCAGCGGAGGGTCGTTTTGACGTTGTCCTTGTCACTTACGATCGAGATCTGAATTTGTGTTAGTTCACTTGGTGTTTTCTGGTGTTTATATGTAACGGATCGAACGGAAGGAACTTACAAATCCATGCTCGATCGTGTTAGGTCTGTCTTCTCGTTGTCGTGTGACATCACTGCTTGTTTCAAAGCCGTCGATGCTGCATAGCCCCCCAGTCGCAGTTCCATTATAGCAGGTGTCGACCTTGAGTGTCCAAGGCCCGGCCATCCTGGTGTGATTGTTGTACGATGGGAGTTGAGAGCAAGATGTAACAGGCTCGATAAAGTGACCTCGTTTCCATGGTTGTGCACTGGCAAGTAGAAATAAAGACGATAAAATAACAATGACGAGCATCGTGAGGATTATGATCGTGAATCGTAGAGAAGAACCGTCGGGTTTTGCCATCTTTTCGAACAGAACGTGTGAATCTTATATTCTCTTCGTTTTTTTTTTTTTGGTTCACCAACTTTTTTTTTAGACATTCAAAACATGTCTATGAAGGTAAACTCTGTAATTTCTCCGAATTCTGTTTGGATAAGACACGGCACACCTAGGCTACAACATACCGAAGGGTTCGGTCAAGACCCTGTATAGTCCACTTTAGCGGCGGAGCTAGAGGATTTTGACTTCGTTAATTGGTTGAGAAGTGAACTTGTCGAATACCCGTTGTTGAATTGGGATGTTTCATTGGAGGGTGAAATTCATATATCCACATAGTGTCTCTCTCACTGCCTACTTAAAAGGCTTGATCTGGGGCCAAATTGTGGAATTTGAACCCTCCGGGGGCTATTTTCGACCCTGAATTGAGACACTCTCAAACGTAAAAAACCCTTAAAACTGCTCGCCAATAATATCCTTGAATGCTTAAAGTTTTTCTCCAAGTTTCTCTTGATTCTTCTGCCTACCCGGAGAAAATTCTGCATTTCCTCGATAAAAATAATTCAGAAAAAAAGACTACTAAAAACAAAAAAAGCTCACATAAGTGGCCGATTGTTGTTTATAATCTATGTCTTAAATATCCCATGTTCGAGTATATATAGTCTAGTCTAATTGTCTACTCGCGAGCTAAAAGTCCTTCGGCTTCTTGGGAATCAGCGGACCCACCGTGTGACTTGTCCAGGGTTTCAGCCATAGCCAAACCTTCATGTCGGCCCTTGTCTGCATTAACCATCCAAATGAGGGGAATTGGAAGAATAATTAGAACCGCAATGAAGAAAAAGCCACTCCGGACTTGACCGGTCGCATCGACAAGAACACCCACAATAGCGGGTCCAATAAATGAGCTTCCCTTGTCTGTAGCAGCATAAAGAGCATAGAAGGCAGCCTCACTACCAGGGGGAATCAATAGTCCGAAGAACGACCGGCAGTATGAGGCTAATCCACCCGAAACTACCCCGTGTACGATAGCTAGTGGGAAGATCTCCCACGGCTGTTGTAACCCGAACACACCCCAGTTTTTGATGAACGGGATGTAAGCAAGCAAACCATAAAGTGGGATAAGCTCAAATAAGGCAATGCACAGGATGATCGTGTGATTCGGTTGCAGTCCGAAGTACCGAGACACATGTGGCCATAGGAATGCGCCCGTCATCCCGGATACTGTGGCAGTGATGGATAGCAGCCCAATCAAGGGGGTGCTCAGTTTCAGTTCAGTGCGCGCGAAGAGAATTGCTGTTCCGGAGACGGTCGCCATCGCGTCGGAGAGTAGGAACCATGCCACAAGGAAGATGAGAACTTCGCGTAGTTTCATCACTACTTTGACGGTGTTCCATAGAGATTTCCATGCAAAGCCGACCAGGCGCAGCCAGGCTCGCCATCTTCCTGCCCCTTTGGTGGAGACCGTGTCCAGCGGAGGTCCCGGTCGTGCCTTGAGCAAATTACGAGTGACCAGGGTGAATGCGCCCCACCAAATGCCGACTAGAAGCAATACAAATCGCATGGGAAGACTAGGTGACGCTTTTGCAAGCGCGGTCTTGGATAATGTGATCAGCATGATAATGCTGATGATTTGCACAAATACCGCTGCGCAATATCCAAGACCAATGCCTCTAGAGGAGATTTTAGTTGACAGCTGCAGCTCCGGTGAGGACGAGGGCGGGGCCTTGGATCCCATTTCAGTTTCTAAGGGGCTCTGCGGCTGACCCGGGGGCTGAAGCCCGTCTAAGCTGTCATCATCCGCATCCCTGTCCCCATTCCATTCCGGGCTACCCGCGCCCCGGTCGAAGCTTGACATTTCCGCGGAGTTCCTATCTTGCAGAGATGGGTCATTCGCGACGAGGACGGGCAGGTAAGAATTCAGCACAACGAATGATGAACCGAGGCAGGTCACACCGACGACGACCAATATCGACCCGAGAATGAAGATTGGCGGTACAATGAATACGAACAGCATGCTGGCGAGTGCACCGGCAAATCCGAATGTCATAAGCAATGTCTTGCGGTTATTCTCTAAACATCCAACCAAACAAATCTGACGTTAACTCATGTCCTTTTTTCGCTCTATAGATTCTTAGTCGGCGTTCTGCAACCATACCGTAATCCGCCAGCGCGCTGAACGATATTAGTGTTAGCGCCTGGATGAGCACTGCCAGCGAGAAGGTATACATGGCGAAGCTGGCTGTATTGATTTCGAGGCCAAAGACCGGGACCACACATTGGCCATTTTCACCATTTGTGCTATTCCCTGCCGATGGTCCGATACATGGAAGGCGGCTCGTTTGTAGGGTACCTCGCTCTCGGGCTAATTGTTCCAATGTGAGGGGTAGGAATGATCCTGATTAAGATAAGTATTTCGATTACTTTGTGCGTATACACTTTCACGAACCTACGCCGCAGACCGCGAACACCTCAGCCGCGATTCCGTACGAGTACCATCCTAGGATCTCCCGACGAGTCGTTGGGGTGGTATCTTCACCAGCATACCGGGGTGGTCGCTGCTGTACGCCTTCATCTGGCGAGGCAGATATATAGGATAACATGGAGAAGTTTGTTCTCCCAAGGAATCAAAAAATTCGGAAACCCAGGTACACCGACACGGATGCGGGCGGAAGCTCCAGAGCATTCCTGATGATGTCATTGGATCGGCAAGATCTACACCCCTTTGGGAATACCTTCAATTTCTATAGATATAATAAGACATGAGTTATATAGTGATATCTACTTATTCTGTAAATTACTAGAATCGAGGTTATATGATCGTGAACACATATATTACCGTACGCCTGGCATCCACCTGTCAATTGTTCAAAGGATTGAAAGATACGAATAATTATCGTCGCCCATCTTCATAAAGCGACAATCTGTGATCGAAGCGACTCCATTCTCAAAACGCCTTCTTCGTGGGCACCACCTTTGGCAACTCACCATATTGGTTGTAACTTGCCCGTTCATGTTCGAGGTATCGCTAGGGATAAATGGCATCACATGGGTGATTGGGACCAACACGCAACCATTAGACGGCCTATTCCGTATAAATGCACCGAGATACCAGATGCTGACCATGTATGTTCTTGTCTGTCCTTGTGATGGGAGAGAGACCCATTAAGATCGGAACAAGGCAATCCCACCGTTATCCACCATCTTCTGCTGGTAGATAATGCCCTGTAGTTGACTTCGGGGAGAATTTGCTTCATGTTCACGCTCTGTTGCTATCTGCTAGCTTGATTTCTGCCAGATTTTTGCGGAGTTGACACATCAAGCAGGTATTCATTCGCCGCTTCACAACACCGGTGGCCAAGTGTGACCGGTGATATCGTGTTGCAAAGTCTTCTTCAATTTTGGAAATTCCAATATGCTTTTACATCTTGGTGACATTCCACTTGTCTTCGTGATCAGCCGCTGAGATCTTCTTTGGCCCGTGTGGCAAGAATAATGATGTCCTTCGGTGACATCTTCTTCAAACTAATACAATAGGAGTGGCTTTCGTAGGGACAACATGCTTTCCTTGGGTAGGAAGTCTATCGAAGTTATTTTGACGAAATCTGTGATGAAGTTGATAGACCTACTACATCTATATCGGAAACAAGTCAGACTAACCAAGTATCGAGATATATGATATATATAATGATGATGGAGAACCACTGCGATCAACCCAATATATATAGCTCCAGGGACAACAATAAATAACAAAGAGATATATGACAAACAGCATAAAGAACCTCGCTAGTATAGAAACTGATGGAAATATGGGCCTAAATTTATGTACAGGACCTAAGGCAACTTGATAAGTAGTTCACTATATGCATAGGCACTCCGGTATATGCTAATGCCCCCCACGAGGCGTTCTTCTCACGACTTATCTGCGATGTGTCTTAAAATGAAACAAATCCTACCCAGGTATATATCCTGGATGGAAGGTTAAGGCGAAGTCTTAATAATCGGCGGCGACGTCAGCCTGTAGTCACCCATATTTAACAGACAAGTTGCACACAGATTCCCGACCAACTGATCCTGTCATCCTTCGACATGCCTGCTTCTGTCTTCCTCCTTGGTCCAGGATTTATCGGTGGGGAGATCATAGACCTTCTCCTCGTATCCAACTATAAAGTTACAACCCTTGTCCGTCGTGAATCGGCTGTTGCAGATTACGCCAACTTGGGTGTCGAAACAGTAGTTGGTAATCTATACGATGCATCAGTGATCACGGACCAGGTCGCGCGTAGTGACATTGTCTTTCACACCGCAACTGCGGACCACTTGCCATCTGTCGAAGCAATCATCGATGGTATCAGACAGCGCGCGGCACGAGGACTGAAAACAATCTACATCCACAATAGTGGAGCAACTTTGCTATCAGATACGGCCCAAGGCGACTACAAGAGTCATACCATCTTTGACGATGACCAGCCCGCACAGATAAACGCCCTCCCCGATTCTGCATCGCATCGACAGATCGACCTAGCCATCCTCCGGGCGGGCAAAGAACTAGCCTCCCACGCCAAAATCGCCATCATGATTCCGCCCCTTATCTACGGTGTAACCACCAGAGAGAAGCGACTCTCAATCCAATTACCCACGCTCATTCGGTTCTCTATCAAACATGGTTATGCGGGTCAAATTGGGAAGGGGTTCGCTATTTGGAATCAGATTCATGTCAAAGATCTTGCTAGGGGATATATGGTTCTTCTTCATTGGATGGAATGCGCATCCGTCGGGGAGATCTCTCGTAACCCTTACTTCTTTTGTGAGAATGGCCAAGAGTTGTTCTGGGGTGAATGCGCTATTGAGATTGGGCGTATATTAAAGCAGATGGGGCTTATTGGTGACTCCACCCCTAGATCCATTCCGGAGAAACAGTGGGGCGATCTATTCGGGGATTATTCGGGGATGGTGGTCGGTTCAAATGCCCGGAATAGAGCGAATAGACTTCGAAAATTGGGATGGGCTCCGTTGGAGAAGGAGACTTTTGCCTCCTTGGCTGAAGATGAGATTCCACTCATCGCGAAGGAAACCGGGGAGTTTAAAGGTTATGCCAGCGTCGTTGCATCCTAACTGAAACACTCAAATACCGGTTTGCCTGTCAAATAACGTGTCGACTGATATCCTTTTTGTCATCTCATCGCGCCAATAGAGCTTTTGCTATCATCCTTTATCGCTGGAACTCTGGGTTGAAAACGCAAGATCATGCACCAGGTGGACATTGTCTAAGCACAGATGCTAGAATAAACAGGACCAACCAGATTGGCCACGGGTTGGTAAGTTGAACCATCACAAGGACTCGAGGGAGTACAACATAAGCTGTGAGGATGTCGTGACATATGGTTCGGAAACATGAAAGCGCCAAGGAAGGAACACATGTTCGTCCTGGAAACCGAGTTCAAGCATTACAGCATGGAGCTTAAATGTTTAAATGCATATACAAATGGAATGTATCCCAACTGGAAACATAAAAGATCCCCAGAAAGAAAAAAGAACATAAAAAGATGAGGTCCAGTCGCACTTGCCGATTCCGGGCCGGTGCAGGGCGGCTTCCCAATCGGGCCGCACCTCCACTCCTCTTAACGTCAACAAAGCGACTTTTGTTCTTTCTTCATCTTCACACAAAAAGAACTCAAATCTGAAATCCCATCAAATCTACATACTATGGAAGTGCTACATTATCTCGCATACATCCTTGGCCGGCTACTGTACCCAATCCGTGGCCATGATTCGCGCCAAATCATTCATTGCCAGGCCTTCAAAGACCTTCCCGAGCCCAATATGACTCTCGAAGCACCTGATATTGGCCCCTCAGGCTCCAAGCTCCCACTTCATTGTACCTGCAAGGCAGAAGATGGCATGGGCTCCCTTCCTGAGCTACACTGGACAGCTCCAAACTGTTGCGAGGAAGTCAAGGAGTATATACTCCTGTGTGAAGACCTCGATCCGCCGATTCCATTCCTAGTAATCCACCACGGTCTCCTCTGGGCGATCCCAGCCACTACTACCAAGGCCGAAGCTGCCAACGTCGAGCCAGACGAACACGCTAAGGTCTCCCGTCTGACCGTTGCTGGTTGGCGCTTCGTGCCCAACATCCTCGGATTGCCGTATGTCGGCGCTGGTGCCCCCCTCGGTCACGGAAAACATCGCTACGTGTTTACTGTTATCGCCCTCAACGAGTCGTTGAAGTTCAAGACCCCTGCGAAGGTCGGCAAGAAGGATATCAAGCGCGCTATGACGGGTAAGGTTGTCGGCTGGGGACAGTGGACTGGCATCTTTGAAAGGCCCTGGCCCAACTAGGTCGTCAAGACACAACCTGCTTTCTATAAGGATACCCGGCTTGGACGGTCATGAGGTGCTTGAAAAATAGGCCCACGGTACTTCGGCACTTGGTGTGTATTTCTTTCCTGATCTTCATGTGAGTATCGATAAGGTCCTAATGACAATATATCTATTGCTATCATCATATTCAATTCTAATGTGCATTTCCTGACTAATTTGCGCAATGAACATTAGTAGTAGCTCAACCCCCCTAGCCCAATTCCAAATACTGTGATAGCTCACGTCAGATCGGAGTTGAATGTTTGGCCCCATTTTGGGGTTAAAAAGGCCTTTCGACCAATGGAAGCCTTCATATATGGGTTTACGTCACTCCTGTTGCCTGCCGTGCAATTTCAGCAGGGATCCTCGACAGACACGATTCTGGAATTGTTTAATGTCTGCATAGTTCGTTCCAATGACCCTAATTGGCAGTCGCTTCATTCGGCTAACATCATCGTCGAGTTAAAAAAAGCCGATGTGTGATGATGGATGGATTGTTGTCGAAGCTGTCTTTCAGGCTTGGGTACAGCAATCAACCGAAAGCTTGTACTTTCCTTTCCCGTAACTTGCTTCTTTTCGGCACATTTTGGAGAGATGAATGCTCTCGTTGGGACATCATGAGATTCAAATATTTGGCAGCAAACCTTTAACTGCCATTGCTTAACCTGGCTGTATACAGCAATCAAAACAAATAAACCGCCAGAAACCATTCTCTCCAGCCAGTATCTACACCGACATACCTACATGTGTCGTTCTTTTCGAGCATGTTTCACTCAAAAAGTGCCATAGATAGTCTATTGGGAAAAGTCCTTGTGCATTTAAAGTTTTCTGTGAGAGGCAGCTGACACAACGCTCTTTCTCAGTGCAACTCTACCCATTCCGGGGTGTTGGCTCTGCCTGCTCTGCCTGCTCTGACTACCATGACTGGCCAGATGCCTTCATGAGACTCCAATCACTTGTCGGGGAGATTGATTACCATTCAATAATATCTCCCCGGTCGGTGATTATGCGAATAGTGGGCCCTTTTGGTTTCAACCTGCAGGGATTGGGCTTCGTCGGTGATTTCCAACATTCACACGCCCCAATATGCAAAGTTGAACTGACTATCCTACAAGAACAAGCCATGGAGCGTCGACGGAACTATCCTAATCATCACCGCTCGTCTTTGGTTTCCTGCTCCTACAACTACTGTGGGTACTTGATAACTTGGAAAATCTCACGGGTTCTCAGGTTATATTCCGCATCTCACTATATACACACATTTACAACCAGCGATCACTCGAAGATTCGAGTAACCGACTGCAGCCGTCGATCTGTCTCGTCGGCTATTACCAGATGCCACCTCGAAGACGAGGAGCACTCGAGATCTTGGTGGATAAAACGGACGATAATTGACAGATGAGACAGGCACCGGCGCATCTGGCTGATGTCCTCCTCCCCCCAGACGGAATAAAGCCCCCCCTGCACCGAGGTAGTGGCCAATTTGACCCTCACCTTCAACGCCCGTGCCGCTTTCTCAATCGCCATGACTAATAAACCGAGAATGTTAGCCCTGGCGGTTGAAGCAAAGCACGCTTGACATTGAAGGATGACCACTCCCTGTTGCTGCACCCTTTCAAGGTGGAGCAATATCTGGTTTCCCCCCTTTACCTCCTCCGACCGAACGACTTCACTGAATGCCTGGGCATAGCAATTGCAGTGAAGGGAAGACGCATCTTCCGGCAGTGCCTCGAGGTCAATCTCTCCTGGAAGAGATTGGCTGGACTCAGTGTCGAATGGTTCCAGCCAGATTTCATTGGAGGGCAATTCCATGATTCTAGCCGGATCCTGCACTGTTCCTGAGACCTGAATTGCGTTTGGTGCGAGGCTAAAGGGGTAGATTGCACCACCCTGAAGGAGTGACGCAGACTGGGTGCCCGGCGCAGCTCCAATGGGTGGCTCGTCGACCATCAAACCGATTTGGGGAGAACAACACTGTGTGGAATAGTCAACGCGCGGCTCAGGAAAACGGGGACCCCCAAAACTCTCGAATCCGTCAGCTCGTTCAAACGAGCTGTCCAGGCATGTATTGGCGAATCCTGGATCGACATGGCTATTGGCCTCGTTTGTGCTGACGAAAACCTGGCCCTGAATCCGGTCTCCATTCGTGCCGTTTTCTGGTACTTCGAATGGTTATCTATCGATACCTATATACCCCGGGATTAGGTCTGTGCTCACCTGGAACGTCCGAGAACAACTCTGTGAAACTCGGCCACTGAAAGTCTTCCTCTGGTGGTGTGACTTCAGTGCCGGCACTGGAGTCGCTTTTGTGCGACTCTTCCCCTGACCTAGGACCCGAGCCGGTTGCTATACTTGAATTCGGGATCCGAGTCGGGACCCTGCGCGCCCTCAGCGTCCTCCCTCCTGGGGTTGGCCTCGGTGCCCTCCCCGCACTTCGCCGAGTCGGACGGTCACCTACCTCCGCCTCCCCTCTGCGCGTCTTTACACCTGCTGCCACCGTCGCCGGCCGAGTCATCTTCTTCTTGGCAGGCCGACCCAACGGCTGCGAGATCGAATAGACGCATTCATACCCGTGACTCTCGCAACGTTCGCACGGGTATGTGTGGCTGCATCGTATCTTCGCTTGCTGACAGGCGTTGCAGGTTGTGCGCATTTTTTGGTTGGGAAGGAGCTGACCGTTAGACTGGGGTGACCTCTTACTAGAGGCCTCAGCCATGTGAGTCGTGGAAAGGTATCGAAAAGGTTATTGTCGTGAACTCCACGACGAACAAGTCTGGTTCTCTCTTGGCTTGGGCAAAATTGAGGTATTTATATTTCATCTACTGATCACTTCCCCACATCTCAGTTGAGAATCTCTACTGTCCAACAACACAGGACCACGTTTGATTGCACTCATGCATTCATGACGGAAGGCGACACTGTTTACCCACACCTCAATGAGCTTCGTTGACAGCACTTTCCGAAAGCACGAAAAGTTACATGGATCGTGAACTTTACTACTGACAAATAGTTTTGTCCTACCCTCCTTGGGACCTGCGTGGGAGTACCGCACATGTAGTCCGTGCCAGTCTTCCGTGTTCAAGGATCGCCAACCTTATCTCACCATGATTTGGTGAGTAATGTAAGTAGTGTATTCTACTTCATGATGTCTCTGAATGCTAATTGATTTCAGTAACGTGTCCGTATGGTATTCACATTTTATCGAGCTCGTATGCCTCTTTACGCTCACCTACAACCCATTGTTGCACATAAAAATAGCTGTTTCCGTTCTCGAGCAACATCCTATTCTAGTTGAACGACGCAGCAAACACAAATTTGTTGGAAATTCAAGCGCATCGTTAGACAACATACATCAATCTGGACTACCATATCAGCCAACTGAGAGAAAAGCTCTTCCATACAAGCAGTATCGATCAATCAATCTTTCGACATTTCTCTCTATAATGTGGCCAATCGGAGTATCTATTCGCCCGGTACGACAGTTGCCTGACGATCCATATCCAGACAAAACAATTGGTGCATTGCCCTTGCCCGGCCTAACAAGGTGATTTAGTATTCTAACATTATTCCATTAGACCCTGTGTCGACCTAGTGAACAATTTTCGATATACTATCCGCACTGTTTTGCCTGCTATGCGCTATGCTTGGGGTTGCCAGATATCATCGTCATCACACTTCCTTGATAATGTCATTGCAGCTCTCATCTAATGCCACTTGTGTAAGGTGGAAAGGTGGTTACTCGGAACGATCACAGGAATTTGATTTGAACCGAACTCCATGAAATGATTGCGAGAAGGGGAGGCATGGATAAATATATGAGCTTTTGTTGAGAGCAAACCTGTTAACACTCAGGTCCATGTTGTCTCTACTGCCCTCTATCTCTCCGATTCGACAACCCCAATGTTCAAGGCATAGCTTGCTTTCAATATCTGCTACAATTGAGTTGAGTGCTTGAACCCCACATTTCACATAGCACGAGGCTTTAGAGTATTGCCTTGAACGCAATCTAAGAGCCAATCGCCAGAAAGGATAATCTAGAGTCACGGCTATCAGACCTCTAAATTAGCTTCCTTCACATGGATGCCACGGTATACGCACTGCCGATTAGCTGAAAGGGCTTGGTGTTATTTCCTCCGGTGGCCCCTTGGACTATGTAACACAGACTTTCCTTATAAACACATCTATCACTCTCTCCCGAGGTCTACCAGAGCAGCCTCGGCTGATTCAAGTAATTCCTTCCCCATTCACTGAAAGCAGATACAATGCCCCGCCGGATCGCTTGAAGGGTGTACAACAGGTCATCTCTTCAACGTGAGGATCACTCTAACATGCTAAACACGGCACAATAAATATATGAGCATGCTTCAACCCTATAGTAGATATCCATCACATGTACATAAGCTTCTCGCATCTCCCTTCATATCCGAAGTTCATGCATTTGGTGCCTATATTTAGCTATAAAGCATCAAATCGGCGTTCATTAAATATGTTCCAAACCACGGAGCAATCCCAAAACAGCATCCCACATAAATCATATTGAGTCTCCGTAAACCCTATTACACAAAATACTATAAACCAACCACATCTCCCATTTCCACCACGCAATGCCCTACTTCACACCAACCCCACCGTCCTCGTAGGACAATCCACGGAACGGAACGAGGTCATCGTCGCACTATAAGGCATCGTATTCTCCCCATCGGAAGGTACATGTTTACCAATAAAATAGTTCATAGCAATAGGCGCGTCCAGCCCTGCTGCCTGTACAAATTCCTTAATATCGAACCCTGCGCGGGCGTTAACAGTCTCAGGGAGCACATGTGAGAAGCATTCAGGAAATTGATAGGCTGCAGGCTGCGTGAAGAGGAGATACACGTAACGATGGTGGGTATTTGGTGGTGCACGGGGTGCTATGTACGATGCTGCGCGCTCGTGGCCTTTGCCTGGGACGATTGTGGATGGTGGTGTTGGTTTTGTGCAATCCATGCTGAGATTCGGTTGGTACCAGTGTAGAATCACAGATTGGATGGCGGTTCCTGGTATGATGACGTCGAGGTCGATGAAGAGGATTATGTATTTTTGGTTGCATTGGAGGTTGGTGCTGCTGATCTCTGGGATCATGGTGGTTTCTAGTTGATGTTAAATCGGTCGGTTTATTCCAAGGTTGTCTTTCATATTCGCGTACCTCGAATATCTAGTTCCATGCCCGGATTGATCCATTGGCCTCCAGGATATCGTATTTGCAATTGCTGGCTAGGTGTTAAAGGGACACTCTGGAATATTTCGGTTAGAACGCCGAAGACGAGGGTAACTAGTGAGAACATATTATATTAATCTGGAATCAGCGGAGGGGACTGAAATCTGACTATAGCATTCAATCAAAATTCGAGAACTAGATCAATGCTTTTTGATGCTTCGTGATCCAATTTATAGACGCGCCTGCCCTGCCCCTACATGGTGCTACGGTCTCTCGTGTACAGTTCGCCGTTGTGCATCAGTTTCGGCTTCTTTCTTCCGCCATTCCCAGCCCTGAACATAAACAACCCCTAAAATCGGAGTTACTAGAGCCATCGCTGCCGATACAAAGCAGTATGTCCACTGCACACCAACCTGCTTGATCAAGGGGTTGACCACAGCTGCAGCACCAGCACCAAGGAAACAGCGCACAAGGTTATTAGCAGCCATTGCGGTAGCAGGTGTCTCGTAATACAAGTCGACGATCAGAATGTTCATCACATTGTACGCCGCCGTAATACAAAAACAAATTATAAAAACCACAGTAAGCGCAACTAGGAGCGGTGCCCGTAAGGGTATCAATACTCCGTAGACGATCATCGAGACAGCTGCAAGTATCTAAAAGGGGGAAATGAAAGTCAACTAATAGAAGGTGGCAAGGATGTCTCAGTCAACGTACAATCATTGGCACACCAATCTGTAACCTCGCTTGTTCAATCGGAAATCCAATAATGTCTTGCTTCTGGTTCTTGTGTACCGTCTGACCGGCATTTTGTCGAGCACGTCGATAATTCCAGTCAACTAATACTCCATTGGCAGTTGCACTGAGTAATGACCCCAAACCTGCGGGAATGAAGCACAGTCCAATACCAAGGTCATCTAGATCATATATTTTCTGGAACAATGCGGGGATCCCAGCTGTGATGGCGTAGTAACTGCTGAATATAACTCCATTTGCCAAAAGCACAAGTCCCACAGGTCGGTGGGAAAGCAGACGGAGGGTTGAGCATGGGTTGGGGAAATTCTTGCGATTCCTTGACACACCAGATGCAGCCGGGATCTCTTGAGTGGTCTGTAAGTAACTCCAAATGGTTCGGTTCCACCCAATTGTAGGACTCGACCCATTTCCGACAATCCCACGACATGTTTCAGGGAAAAAGAGTAAAAGCGGTACGAAAAAGGTACCAGCTGCTATAGCGAGGAACCAGAATATCGCTTGCCACCCTAGATACTTACTTAACACACCTCCAAGGATAGGCCCAATGGATGGGGCAAGTATGTTTCCCAGTGAGGCAAACCCCATGTACATGCCTCGTTCAGCAGATGTGATAATGTCGGCCGCCACTGCGGATGCAAGGGCTACAGTGCCACTACTGCCACAGCTTTGAACTGCGCGAAGAGCTAAGAGCGTGGGGAAACTGTGTTGTAGAGCTAGAGCAATGTTTCCCAGTATGTATACCGTGAAGCAGAGGATGTATGCTGGTCTACGACCTGCTTGGTCTGCCAATGATCCTGTCAACATTGGGGCGAAGCCCTGACATATCTTCAAAGCCAGCGATGTCAGTGTATTCAAGTAGATTTTGTGTAATCTCATTTATGTGTACCATGTATGTCGTAATTGTCAGATTAATTTGGGATGGACTGACATGCAAATCCTTTGCAATTGAATTCAATGCTGGGTAGTAGATATTGGCAGATAGAGGCGAGAAGCTCGAAGCCAGTGCAGCTGTGAGAATAATGAGGCGTTTCTGTGTTGATGTGAACACGGAGTATGGCTCAGTACGAGGACTAACATGCACCAATGGGGTTTCTTCATTAACCTCATCCTCCTGTCGTATTTGTTGGTCTTGATTGTTCATGTTGATATAAGGTAGGCGGCCGAACAGCTAACAAAGTTTCTGAATTCCTCGTGGGCTTGATGGGGTATAAATACCTCGGAGCTTTCATTAAATCAGCCGGAGGCCCAGTATCCCTTTCTCGGTGAAGGCGCAATTATTCTTCAACATAGTTCACAGACAAGTGCATTATTTCTCAATAAATGTCATACTATAGAAGGGTTTGCCTAATTTCAACAGGGCTGCTAACAAGAGTGGCAAACTAATCATTCCCTAACACTTTCTAACACCTATATCTTAGCTCTGGGATCGGGATTCAGCTCAGTGTATCCCGTATACAGATGAGTAGGTCGAAACAGTTTGCCGCGAGTGACTATAACCCGTCAGCCAGGTTAGCCAGCCTCCAGTGAGTCGTCTTACCCATGTACTCTCTCCAGTGTGCCATAATACCCATAATACGATGCGCAAGCATCGCTGCTGGAATAATATCAGGTTCAAACCCGCTAACTCGGTGTTAGAGCCTGAGTTATAATGCATATGACGACTGACTCACATTCCAGTAAAGACAAACTGACCGTAGAAATCCGCATTTGGGTATAAACCCCGTGCACTAAAGTAATCATCTTTTGCAGCAGTCTCCTCGATTGCTTCGGCAACTTTCAATAGTGGTTGATGCACATAGGCCAAATCTTTCAGGATGCTCTGGATAGGACGCACACGTGGGTCCATTCCTTTATAAGTGCGATGACCGTACCCGAATAATTTTCGCTTTCCGGCTTTTATTTCTTCGATAAAGGCTGGGACATTCTCTAATTCTCCGATGTCGTGGAGAGCGCGTTGAGCCGACTCTGTTGCGCCGAAGTGTAGGGGACCATGGGCAGCGGCCACGGCAGATATCAGACAGGATACAGGGTCAGTTAGAGATGAGGCAGTCACTAGGGCTGAGAAGACTGATAGAGCCATTCCGTGCTCGGCGTTGAGGTTTCCAAAGCGACGGAAGCAGGATACGCGTATAGGATCAGGGCGGTTTGTCTCTGGGTCAACGAGGCCGGCCATTGTGAATAGATTCTCGTAGTAGGTTTGGTGGGGAGATGGACTCCTCCAGGGAATGCCTATCCGATGGGATCGTACGGCTCCAAAGACAACGGCATAGGCAGCAGCGGTTTGGAGGATAACTTGGTCAGCTCGTTTGAAGTCTGTTTGGAAGACTGTCGCATTTGTGGTTGCTGGGATCACATCGAGTATACAGGCAAGGTAAGCTGAAAGGCCGGCTATTATTAGCGGCAGTGGGCTGGTCGTCTTTCTGCATATTTCAATGCTGGTTAGAAACACATGATAACTGATACCAAGGGACTCATCCTACGGGAGATTAAAGATAGTCTGGCGCACAATATCAGGGACCTCTTGCATATACTGTGCTAGTCTCTGACGTAGCTCTTCGGATTGACTCGCTGTGGGATATTTGCCCCATAGCAGCAGATGGAACATTTCTTCAAAGTCACATCCCCAGAGTTGGTCTAGGGTGTACCCTCGATACAGAAGTAGACTATTCTCGTGGTCACTAGGCACAGATCAGCCAGATACCGAAAGCATCTTTCTAAGATTCTTACGAGAAACTGATAGCCGATTGTGTCACTGCAGTGTTCTGCAGTCCAGGATCATAGACACGCAATCCATGCGCAAGTTGGTCTGCGTGGTTGCTGTTGAGCGAAGGCGCTCGGATACGCTGAAGGTCAATCGCTCGTACTGAGTTTTGGTTAATGGGAATCTCGTAATTCACATAAGTGCGTGAATCGTGGATGAATAGAGTTCCAGACATTGTGAAGCACACTACAATAAAAAAGCGTTAGAATTGCGTCCGAAAGGTTTGGTCAAGAGAGCATATTTGTTGCCGAGCCCAAGAACATACTGTGACAAACCCACAAGATAGGTTGTATCACCTTGCCGACAAAGATCCTTCGGTTACTATTTGCTTCAAAGGTCTATGTTTGTTCTGCGACAAGAAACTGGTGTAAACATTTTGATTGATCATTAACGCAAGCCACATTAGACTATATCGTTGCATTGGTCATCATCACTCATTATAACCCACAAAAAGCTATCTTTTCGTTAAAAACCTCGAACTCCATTTACTCGGGCATGTGCTTGAATGGGCGGGCAAGGTTCTCCTGGCAGAAAGGAAGCTTGCCAACGGTCCAGATCTCGGTGTCCTACATAGAACAAGGGGTCAGTCACACTCTAACAAAGGCTAAATAAAGCCCTGGCTTTGCACACTTACGGGCTTCAGGTTCTTCTTGATCTCAGTGTCCAAGGTGCCAGCCTTGATGGCAATGATTTCAGGAGCTGCATCAGGGTCGTGGGCGATCGGGGAACCACACTCAGAGCAGAAGATACGGTGGACGGCGAGGCCGGAGGAACCCTTTCCAGCCCAGCTCTTGGTGGGGCCTTGGATAGTCAGCTTGTCCTTGGGGACAACAGCGACAAGAGCTATAAAAAGGTTAATAATTGTATTTCTCCGGTTGTTATAATATAACTAACAGTAGGTTGAGCCACTCTGGCGTTGGCAGTCATCGCAGTGGTCATAGCCAGTGACCAGAGGAGCGTCAACGTCCACGGTGTATGTGACGGCTTTGCAGAGGCAGTGTCCGGAGAGAGGCATTTTGTATTTGATTCTTTCAAGGTACTTGAGAGTGAGGACCTTTGGAGAGGGGAAGGAAAGGTATTTAAGAGATAATAGTCCCCCAACACTAAGAAAAAAGTTGAATATGTCAACTTCATTAATTTTTCAAGTCTCTAGTACTTACTTTTCCTCCGAATCAATGCTAGTGAAACAAGTACCTAATACCTAGATTATTACATCATCGCTACGAAGCTGAATTTTGTTGAGCTTTTTTCCCGACGGCAACTCCACCAAATTCCAATTTGACCAATTCCATGAGGTTTTGGAATTCCAAATACAAATTCCTTTCAAATCCCTAGTGCTGATTTATATTGTCAGCCCCCAAAAGCTGCATAATGACAAATTATTGTGCCCCGCAGCTCAAATGCAAGGCTGGGGGACTATTTACCCCTCCAAAATTCAGCAGCTAAGCGCACCACTCATGTCAAGTGTCATTTTTTTGAGCTGTGCAGATCGGACTCCGCAAATCAGCTTGGAGATTCGCTGCGGCTTATCTGTCACGGTTCATTGTCCGTCCAACCCCCCCTCTGATAGGAGCCAAGACCCACTGCTTTTGGACATGAACATTCTTCAAGAGGCGTATAAAATGAGTCTGGACGCTACCAAATGTGTCAAGCTGTTTTGAGAGAATGATGCCTCGGAGAATGACCAAAATGTGATTGGTCAATTCATTCCCTGAGTCTCGAGGGATTCATCAGCAATTGGCACGGCTCATAGTGGGTCGGCTGTGTTTGTGATTCTTAGCTCCATTATACAACATACTGAGTTTTACACCTAAACATAGGATTTTGAGACGGGGACGGAGTAGCACAAGTTTGCATTGTGATTAATCGCTACCGAGAGAGGCGCTGGACATCAGTAACAAGCTGAGAGTTCTCATTCGACCCGATATTTGTCAATTCATGCAGCTTTATCCAAGAAGCCAAACTGTCATGGACTGAACAGAGTTTGTTGAATATCTTGGCAGATGCTCGACTCCGTATTCCATTTCCATGAAGGAACAGCCGAATAGCGGGTCAACACATATTTGGCCTCCCAAGCGCCCCCGGTGTAGATGATCGCCACAGGGATGTTCATTAGCCAATTCAAATGGAGCTTCGGAAATTTCTCATACTATTGGGCGTCTCTTCTGACACATGTGCAAAGTAGGTATATTCAAACTGGCGATGCCAGCATATGTTCACTTTTGGTACAATATGTACGTTAGTATGTTCAGTGTGACTATTTTACATGACAGTATATAAAATGTTAATAGCTGCCATAGCTGCCTCGTCGGGCATTATCGATCTTGTCCGCTGCACTCTGCAGAAGCACCTGTCAGCTACCATCGCGTCAAAGATCAGCATATCCACTTACCTGCATCTGAGCTGCCATTCCTCCCCGAGGATTCTGACCGCCATAAACTGTAGCTTCAGCATGTTGCGCGTCTCGTGCATCATCCTTAGTGATGTATGCAGGCACATCAGCCGCATTTATAAGACCCCAGGCATCATTACTATCCGCAATCGACCGAACTTGGGCAGATATGTAGCCGACTCCCGGTGGTTGGTTAAATGCACGTCCCTGTAGGAACCTCTCGTTAGTAATTTGACTCTGCTGAACTTTTCACGAGGATTCGCTAACCTCTGTTGTTTGAATTTCTTCTGCATCTTCTAGCGAAATCGCACTTGATGGCTTCCGGGACACCTCCGCGACCTTATTTTCGAAATTCCTTTGCCGCATGGAAAGACTTTGTGCCGTTGCTATATTCGATCAGTCATCCGTTGCTTGCAAATAGAATGTAGCCTGGACTCACCAGCTGGTCCACCCCTAGAAGGTCCGCGTCCGGTCAGCGCGCTCTCGGCCTGCGCGATAGACGAGACATCATCCTGTGTGATGCGCTGCCCCCTCTCGGCAGCGAGCTGAATTTCAGCAACAGAAGGAATATCAAAACTCATGACTGCGCACAATAAATGACAAAAATTACATGCTTTGTTTGATTCCACTTGATCTTGTTGTTCTGCTATATACTTCAACTTCAAGGTCAGTGATGTCACGGTGAGGGCATATCGGTCGACCAAACGTTGCCGCCGCTCGTCAGTGGTGGGGGCGTCGGGTATATCCAGACCTGAATCGAATATTCGACCCTTCAATCGAACAGAAATTGCGGGGGATGCGCGATACCCTGAATTTGCCATGTCGCCTAGACCCCCATCACATCATGCTAAATCATCATTAACCCGGTAAAACGATGCCTGGAGTAAATTCAACTTGGACCAACACTTCGTACAACGAAGTCAAGATTATCTAAAGATCTTCAAGGCCGAAAAGCTTGCTAGAATCTCGTTGAGTGGTCATGTTTTGGTGGTTGGCCCATTCGCAAGGTATGGCAGCTTCTGAGTACAGTTCCATGGATGTCCTGTAGATTTCCCCTGTCAGTGCCACCGCAACCAACTCAAAATGGAAGGAAAGGTGTCGAATGAGAATTCTCAGCACAAATCAGCCCCCATGTCCCGTTGCCATCGACCGCTCCGGCCGAACGACGGCATCTGGATATCCAACCACGAGACCTGACAAGTTCCACGTTGCGTGACCTGGCATGCTATCCCATTTGACCTTTGTCATGGGGAAGAACGCCTCCCTGTAGTCTATTGGGTTTGGTGCTTTGGTGATGTGAGACACATGGCTACGAGTGAAGGTCACAGCAATGTACCCTCGTCAAAGCTCCACAACTGTGTTCAGGGTCTTTTGGGTTTCCTCCTGACAAATTATCTTACACATCAGGTGGTCAACCTCGTATGATAGTCCCTGTTACAAGACTATCTCTCGTATGAGACGGTTGAGTATTGTCAATCCAAATGTCTTGTAATTTGTTACGTTACAATCCACACTTCATATTCTTATTTGATTATATGTCACTCTCCGAATGTTATAGGGTCGGGTCTAAACGGATTTCATAAGCCAATATTATGTGAAGCTATACCAGTTGTAGTTGGGCCCACTAGATTAGAAAGTTTACCTGTGGGCTCCAAAGATATAACATATAATCAACTGTTTGAACAAGTGTCTGGTCGTAGCAAGAGAGGTGATATGATTCGTTCTGCAGAGCCTACTCTAAACTAGCTGCGATAATTCCCCTTATGCTTCGTTGCGACCCAATAAAAAGAAAAACATATCAAGCTTCCTAAGAAATAATCCAATCTTAGTCCCCTTTCTATCTTCGTTTGCCCAATTCCTTCAATTAGTATTAGAACGTGTAAATATTATTATATTAGGAGACTTAAGAAGTTAGGGATATTATAATCGCCCCCAGTATACCGATATACTTTCTACTATAACTCCTTCATTGCTATATTAAGCTATCTTTAATACTGTTATCGTACAAGTATCCTAAATAAGCACTACTACGGTGTGATATATATCCATAATATTGCCAATGCTATATCCCTCTCAGGAAACATAGTGGATATAGTTGGCAGCCTATCAATTCACCGAAGAGAATGTGCTAGCTTCCGACAACGACGGCCCCCTCCCTATATGCTTATGGTAGCAGCCCGCAAATCGATAACTATGGACATAGTCGATTCCCAGGGCATTTCTACAATGACTGGTACGCAGAATTGATACCTTATATGCGCGGTTGCACATACCTTCTCCAGATCGATGGTAGCCTAAGAAAAGCTACTGATATATTTGATTTCGACCAGATAAGTCCCTTGGATGACATCATTGTTGATATGGGTAAATGGTGGCAAAGAGGAGAAAAGCTTCAGGCATCTGACTGGCTGGCGTACTTGCGGCCATACCTAGGAGACATGTCTCAAAGATTCCGAGCGATGCTTCGGGGCACATCAATGGACTTGAACGATATCCTAATAACTTATGAAGACTGGACTATGGCGTCCTCAATGCAGGAAATCCTGGAGCTTGGGTTGGACAAGTCGAGTACCAACAACGCATTGTATCTGGTCTCATGCAAGGATCAAGAGCCGCCATTCCGGGCTCAAAAATGGAGATAAAATTCTGTCGACATCACGGGCAAGTGTTTGTTTGATATCATTGAGTGCGACTTTTCAAGTTTCTATCACGAGAGACTGTCAAGAAGTGTAAATTTCATATTGGCCGCGCTCATTCTCAAAGGCTCGGGTTTTTTACTTGCAGACTGCAAACGATGCAGATCCATCAATCCTGAATTTCGCATGCCAGCAGAGCCAAAATCAACATGAGCAATAAACGTAAATACAAAAATATCACCTATCTCGACTTTTGACCACTAGGCACGCTTATATCGTTGCGGGATCAAATATTTGACCGCGATTCCACCGTATGTCCTCAGGTGTGCGAGGCCTATGAACAATGTAGGCAGTTTGGGTACGGTGAAGACAAGTGGGAATGGCCACAAATGGCGTTAGAAGAGTTACTAACATGTGTCATCCTAGCATCCGCTAGTCCACGTGTCGATTTTTGGAGATGTTCTAGATGAAACTGGAGCTGGGTCCGCTCAACGCCTTGTGGCGTAATTCCATCGGCGTATTGACTGAGCAGAGAAAAAGTATGCTGCTGTTCGAATCTATGAGATATTCAGACTACGGTCAATGCTATATCCCTATCGAGAAACATAGTGGATATATATATCCAGCTACTAGTACCAATGTGCGGAATTCAAACGACATTTTTTGGCCGCAATGTAGCTTTGGCTTCAGTCCTAGTGCAACTCAGTTTATGCCAGTCTGTTTTTGTAAGGGGAAATACATGCTCGTCAGGGAGAGACTTGAGTTGTTGAACTTCCAATTTTGGAAACCTTCGGGAAAGCCCGTGTTCCGCGTTCACGTGATATGGCAGCAATCCAATATGGCAAGCGGTGTGACTGGGCTATATGTGAGCATCACATGACCTCGGCCCACCTCAACCTTACTTGTTGGACCAATCACAAATCTGCCATCATCCCGTTACCGGGATTGAGTACTACAACTCTGTCTTTCCCCTGTTCTAAGGTCGAAACCCCCAAACGAAGAGAATAAACGAGGAGTTTGGTCACATATTTGGCTCCTTTCTTGGCTGGGAACCGCAATATTACGTTGTATTTGCCCAAAGCTCAGAAATGGAGGTGTACGAGCATCTATTGTTCACCATCTAAAGAAGCATGCTAACATAACTATATACAGACTACCCAAGAAAGGAAAGAAGGCGTGTACTATGTGCCGCCAGCAAAAAGTAACAATGACCATCCTTTTACAAATATCCTATTGACACCAATAGGCCCGATGCGATGTCTGGCGGGATGAGAGTATACCATGCTCCCGATGCCGCAAACGCAACCTCGAGTGCACCATAGATGATAGCTTCACAAGAGAGCACAAACGTCGGTAAGAGTCCAAATCTGATTAAGATGAAACGAATCTACTTACACATATTTCCCCGAAGTCGATACATCGCATTAGAGCACGAGAATAAGCAGTGGCGCGAACAACTGCAGGCCTCCCAGCAGTTGAACCCCGATTCCGTTCCGATTGCGTTATCCGCAGCGGCAACGGACCTGGGTATACCGGCCTTGCTGAAGTCTGATGTCCAGCTGGAGGATTCGCAAGACTTGTCGCTGGCATATCCCCAATATCATCTTGCACCAGCGGGCTCCACACCTGATGCGATGATGGGAGGGACTGATCCCACAAAGCCCCGTTCACTGAAAAGCGTCACCGTTACAGGTCGAGAGATTGAGGACCTGTACCAATTGTACATATCCCTCGACGCTTGTGGTCAACCTGTTTCTAACTCCTTGCAGATTCTTCCGTCACTATGCCTCATTCCTCCCCATCCTCGATGTCCAGACCAAGCCGAATGCGTACTACGCGCAGTCGCCATTTCTCTTCTGGGCTGTTATCGGCGTCGCTAGTCGATCATATTCCCGAAACCCGACTTTGCACACTGCGCTGGCCCAGGAGGTTACGGAAATGGCATTCCTATCGGTCCTGTCGACATGCGCGCCGTGGTACACTATACAGGGACTACTGCTCCTACTGACATGGCCTTTTCCCAAGGAAAACCGCCCTGATGTGACATTCCCTCTCAGCGGAATGCTTTTGCATGTAGCAATGCAAAATGGCTTCCATATCCCGATGTCGAGCCATGAATTTTCCCGAGTGAAGATTCCGGCGCCCTCAGACTTGGATATGGTCCGACGCTCAGAGCTCTGGGCCCATTGTGTCCTTATTTACCAACGGTGGGTGTCTCTCTTTTAAAGTGTGTTCAAGCGAATTACCGTGCTGATTGTTACTAGGTCCTGTGTGATAAAAGGGCAGTCCCCCCGGAATCTGGTCAGTTTGGCACAGGATACCATCCAGCGCCAGGTGCTATTTGATAAGATTGCTCCACACCTCGTTCAAAAACTCAGATGCCTGGAGGTCGTTGGGAAATGCAGCGAAGCAGTTCTGGAAAATGGAGTCCGTGCCATGTCTGTGGATCAAGAGCTGGCTTTGGATATTTTGCTGCGGAAGTATGAGGGAGAGGTTGACGATATTGCACTGCAGGCAGTAGTCGGTTTGTATCTGATATGGATCACCTCGGCAATTGTCATTCCACTAACGCTTGTTTCTTTATTCCAGACGATGAGAAGTATCATCTTCTCCTTTGCCGGATGGCAATCCAGAGCTTCCATTTCTACAAAAACCAAACACTGATCTCCAGTGGATGCCTTCCACGTCTTATTGTCACCGCTTGCAACTTGATAGACTATATTCAAGCCTTGGCAGATCGTATGGGATCTCTCTTTATGGCACCTGTTCAAATAAGCTTCGGTCTGCTCCTGGCTTCGATGTCCCTGTTACGCATTCTCAAAAGCGATTTTGCCTCCAGCGGACTTGATACAAGCCGTGCCCAAGCCTCTTTCTTTGCCGCCATCAATTTGGCCAAGCAAATGTCCACTGACAGAAGAGATACACCTGCCAAAATGATCACGGTCTTGAATCAACTCTGGAATAGCACCAAGGCATTCCGCAAAGCGGATGGCTCGGAATACACCGCATTGCGAATTCGCAGTCGCTTGATTCTTAGTCAGATATTGGATGCTGTCTGGTGGTGGCGTGATGAATATGACCCTCACGCGCGTGCTAAAATGCGAGGGACCGAGCCAGTTGATGGTCCCACCCGAACCAATATGTTCCCGAGCGTGGAGGCAGGGCGTGCTATCATGAGAAAAGATCCCGCCCGAGACTCCGCTGGGGGTATTCTACAGAACGCGGATGCTCCTTTTCAAGGAGAATTCCAGATCAACGAGGACTACTTCACTAACTTTGAGTGGCTGAGTGATGAAATTTTCTCATTTCCTCCGGACTCGTCATCGACGAACAATCTACCGTGAGCGCTGAAGTCGACTTTAGAATCCATACTCAGAGCTCCACTTTACCTCTGCATTTCCGTCCTCCGGTCAGAGCATATCATAGTGGGGCCAACGGCCATCGATTTACGCCCTTTGTGATTGGAACTAGCTAACGAAGCCTCTGTGTGGAGTACAGCGGGCCTACGCCCTATGCAATTTGAGCTAGCAATGGAAGCCAAGGCTAGACCCCGGTATCTACTCCAAGCCTATCATTATTGGCCTCGGCTTATCGGCAAATTTATCTATGTGTGCCTAAACTGGTTCAGCGATATTCGGACATTTTGATGTGCCCACGAAGCGCAGATCCAAGTTGAGATGTCAAAACAAAGATCTCACCAGCGAATCCAACCCACTAGGCTGATCGACCATGGAAGCAATGCCTTGCAGATCGGTTGTACTTGTGGTCTTGCCAGGGGTCGTGGATCGTGGACCTTTTTAGACTGCACTTGGTGGATCCATGGATACTTCGAGACATTAAGCCCAAGCTTATCATTGATGTATTGTTCGGGGGAACTCCGGAAAATTAGATACGGATGTATGCAACCACAAAGTCCAGTATTTTTGCCCAGCTAATGACAATGCAATATTATTAATAAATATCATGTTCACGGAGTACTCCGTAGATGCGATTGAGCATTGAAGTATGTGGCTTTGTGGCGGTTTATATTGGAGGCGGTCAAGGACTGCCTCGGCCCAGCCCTCCAAGCCATGGGGGGGGCTTGTCTCTCTCAAGCCTTCGAAGGCTGCCCCAGCTTTTGCTTCAACTCTTTGTCACTGGAATTGTTTCCATTGGTTATGTTATTTGATTTACCCCGGTTTTAGGAGGTTCGCATTTCAACTACCATGTGTTTACATAACATAATATTAATGCAGTCTCCAGATAATGTCCCCAGATAATGATTATTCCTCCTATCACGCGATGTACCCATCATCACTTGACATATCTCCCGTCTTCCTCTGGGCCAATGAGGAAGAATCATTCTAAAGGCTGATTTCACAACCCCTGCAACTCCGTGGGGCCTCCGGTTTGAGACATCCTAGATCCAAAACACATACTAAATTTTGCCACTAGTGCAGCACCGACCTTGTCGTTTTCGGATATCGAGCGCGAGCTATAGAAGCCCACTAGAAAAGTCTCCCCGCATTGCTGAGGGCCCCTGTGCTTTGCCCTACGTGAGCTGTCGATTTCTATCAGATGATAATCACGGACACCCCCTGACAGGGGCCTCGAATGGCCTTAAAATGCCGGGTATTTGACCTCCACTTTTACCCCGGGCCGGGGCCTAAACTCAAGATAAGAGGCTATTCCCGGCTTTCTCACTTGTGGTTGGAACGGAATAGGGTATCAAATACGGAGTACGGCATATGCCCTTTTCGCCAACACCGACGACTAGCGCCGGAGATGGGCCAAATGGGCTTAAATGAATGGCGCCAGTTGGTTGGCCAATATTTTAGCTGCAAAAATTAGCGGCAAAACTAACACAATAACGGCAGGCTCATCCCTTTTCCTCCGTGCGCCGGCTTATCACTAAACAAGCTCTCCAGACATTGCTTCTGTGTCTTGGAATTCCCTTGGAATGCCACATTTCACAAACGCCCCAAGGTTGGCAGATCAAAATTAGACATCCTATACTTTATATTGACTTAACTAGATATTTTGACCTGATCATGGACAATAATTCTTTTGTCTGTTGGAAGCTCATTTGAATAGTAGCTGGGGTGGAAGGTAACCCAAGGAACGCCACCAAATATCTATATTCTCGAGATACGAATGTTCTCCAGATTATGCATAAGGCAGCGTACATAAGAGGTCTGTGAGCTATCGGGCCAAAAAGCAAAGGCCAAATCATAAGATGAGTTGAGATTAATGGCCTGCTTTGTTTATATGCACTTTACCACTTTCCGCCTCAAGGGTCTCCTTCCAGCCACTCACACTCAGCTCACCATTCCTCACTTCACTTTGAATCACCCCTGTCTTCCTTTTCCCCCCCACTTCTTCATTTTCATCAAATCATTTTGTTTACTATAATATTCGGTTTCATTTCCGCTCGTGGGTTACATCCACCCCAGGATAAGCCTGCGATATCCTTTTTGGGCGATAAGGCGGACCTCCGTCGGCCTCGTCTTTGAGGAGCTTTATATTATTCTCAATTACCCCCTGTTGCTGCTTTGATTTTCTTTCCTCATATCCAATCCTTGTAAAGTTCACCTCTCCATACCTTTCACCATGGAGAAGGACGAGTCTATCGCCGTCACCACTGGTGCGATGGTCGATGAGACCGCGCCTGATGATAAGATCAAAGCGCTGCGTGATCTTAAGGCTCATCACCACTGGGATCCAAACATGCCCGAGGAGATTGTTGAGGAACTCGATGAGGCCTTACATACATCCGACAAGCGTACCCAGGAGGTTATCGCCCAGGAACTCCTGGACAACTCCCCATACCCCGAGGTTCGGTCCGCTGTTCCCAATGTCGATGAGGGTGGATCTGTGAATACTATTCGTGCCTGGGTGATTGGTCTCCTCTTTGCGACCATTGGATCTGCCCTCAACATGTTGTTCTCGATGCGTCAGCCCTACATTGTCATCCCCTCATACATTGCGCAGGTTGTCGCTTACCCCGTGGGAAAGGCATGGGAAATGTGGATGCCCAATTACACTATCAATTTCTTTGGATTCAAAGGTCAACTCAACCCTGGTGTTTTCACCAAGAAAGAACATACCATTGTGGTTATCATGGCTAACGCCACTTTCGGTGGTGGCGCCGCCTACGCGACGGATGTCATCTTGGCTCAGCGTGCTTTCTATGGACAACACTTCGGCTGGGGTTTCGAAATCCTGATGTGTATTTCCACACAGATGCTGGGCTTCGGCATGGCTGGCTTCTTTACCCGCTTCCTGGTTCAGCCCGCTGCCATGATCTGGCCCTCGACCCTGATCAATACCTCTCTCTTCGCTGCGCTGCACGATCGCACCAAGCCGGATCCCAGCAAGGTCGCCGGCTGGAGGATTGGAAAGTATCAGATGTTCCTGTACGCCATGATTGGCTCTTTCTGCTGGTACTGGTTCCCCGGCTACATTGCACCGTTCCTGAGTATCTTTGCCTGGATTACCTGGATTAAGCCCAACAACGTGGTTGTCAACCAGCTCTTCGGTGGAGCGACCGGCCTCTCGCTTCTGCCAATGACATTTGACTGGACTCAGATCTCTGGATTCAATTTCAGTCCCATGATTGCTCCTTGGTACGCTATCTCTAATACTATGATTGGCATGTTCCTCTGGTTCTGGATTGTCACTCCCGCTATCCACTACTCCAATCTCTTCTACGCTCAGTTCCTACCTATGAGTGACTCCAGCAGTTACGACAACACTGGCCATGTATACAATGTCAGCAAGATTCTTACTCCTGACTATACCTTTGACACCGCCAAGTACGAGAGCTATTCGCCTCTGTTCCTGTCGACAACATTCATGCTGTCCTACGGCCTCTCCTTTGCCAGTATCATCGCTGTGCTTGTCCAGGCCGGCCTTTTCAACGGCCCGGATATCTGGGCTCGATTCCGTCGCGTCGGAAGGGAGGAGGAAGATGTTCATGGTCGTCTCATGACTTGCTACGCTACAGTTCCACTTTGGTGGTACTTGATCGTGTTTCTGTCCATGACCGCAATCGGCTTTGGTGTTATCCTTGGCTGGCCTACACACATGAGCTGGTGGTCCTTCATTATTGCTCTGATCATCGCCGCTGTCTGGTTTGTTCCTATTGGTATTGTCAAGGCTGCCACCAACATCGATATCGGTCTGAATGTCATCACCGAGTTCATTATCGGTTACATGCAGCCCGGTAAACCCATGGCCATGATGCTGTTCAAGACCTACGGTTACATCAGTATGTACCAGGGAATGTACTTCACACAGGATTTGAAAATTGGTAAGTTCTGTCGTCCTTCGGATATTGATTTGTTATCCTAACCTACCCCATCAGGTCACTACATGAAGATTCCCCCTCGCGTGACTTTCATGGCCCAAATGGTCGCTTGTTTCTGGTCCTCCCTGGTGCAAATCGCCACCATGAACTGGGCTCTGGGCGCCATCAAGGGCGTCTGCGACCAGTTCCAGCCCAACCACTTTACCTGCCCCAACGGTCGTGTGTTCTTCAACGCCTCGGTCATCTGGGGTGTCATTGGACCCGCTCGCATGTTCTCCATTGGCCAGCTCTACTCGCCGCTGATGTTCTTCTTCCTTGCCGGTGCCATTCTTCCCGTCCTCATCTACCTCGGTGCCCGCTACTTCCCCAAGAGCCCGATTAAGTATCTCAGTGCCCCCTTAATCTTCGGTGGTGCCGGTTTAATTCCTCCCGCTACCCCTCTGAACTACCTGTCCTGGGGTATTGTCGGATTCGTCTTCAACAAGTACATCCGTGACCGCTGGCGCGGATGGTGGATGCAGTACAACTATGTCCTCTCAGCTGGTCTGGATGTCGGTCTTGCTTTGAGCACCATTGTCATTTTCTTGACTCTTAACTTGACCGATACTAGCTTCCCCGAATGGTGGGGCACCAGGATCACCGTTGGCACTATGGATGTCAACGATGCAGCCATTCGGAACCCTATCCCTGATGGCCAGACCTTCGGTCCTACCAAGTGGTAGAAAGACCTGTTCCTTGTTATGGTTCATATTAACTACTTGGGGGCTACGGTCAGAGTCGGGGCACACAATTCTGCGGTCATCCGTTTAATTCACGTTCGCCACGAATAGTCACGATAAAGTAATACCATTGATTTTTCTTCAAGCCTTTTGTATCTAATTATTCGAGTTTGTTTGAGACTTGATCAGTACATGATACAAAGAAACTAAGTCTTCAACACTACCTTCAACTAAACTCATATACTCCACAGTAGCTCAAGTGAATATCCAAAGATTTCAATCCAAAATATATAAAAACATGAGATATGTACACGCTCATCAGATTCCCTTATCCAAATCGAAATCGACAAGCGAAAGGAAATTCGTCAATGGCCACTCCAAAGCACAGCCATTCTCAATCATGACGAATGAAGATCCAAAATAAATCCAAGAATCCCATTCCATTCCACCCTAGGTCCAAACAATTTCCAAAATAACATCCCCGCTATACAAGGGATGTATATTCTATAATTCCACTAAACCCGACGACGACGCATACCAACCTGCAAAGCAAGCGGCTTTCGCAGGAATCCCTCACGTGTCTCCATAGGTCCATCCTGGTGCATCTCAAACTCGAATAGTCGGAACACAGTAGCACAGATAACGAGTAGTTCCATCTCGGCGACGTTGCGACCGACACAAGCGCGGGGTCCGTGGCTGAATGGGATGAAGGCGGCCTTTTGACGTGCGGTTAGACGTTCCGGACTCCAGCGCTCTGGCACGAATTGTTCTGCGTCCGCGCCCCATACTTCCTTTGAGCGGTGGATTGTGTAGCTGGGTACTGAGAGCACGTCGCCAGGTTTGAAGGTGTGGCCGCAGATCACGACAGGGCCGGAGTTGGCGGGGATTTCACGGGGAAGACCCATTGAGGAGGTGCTGTGGATGCGCATCGTTTCCCAGATCACCCATTGGAGGCTGGGGTTTGTTAGTTTGGGCTTTTAGTTCGGAGTGAGGTATGGCTTACTAGGGAATTTCCTTGACCATGGCGTGTGTGGGAACTTCGATGTCCTTGGGGATGGCTTCGTCCAGGATCTTGTGTAGCTTGGGGAGAACGTGTGGGGTGATCATGCACCAGTAGAGGATGGCACAGGAGGTGTTGGAGGTGGTGTCGGAGCCAGCGATTAGTTGAGTGAGGGCTTCGGCAGTCAGTTCGGCGCGTTCGAGCTGGTTACCCTTTTCATCCTTGCCTTCCATGAGGCGGGCGAGAAGATCCACACGGGTGTTATTGGCCATAACCTCTGGCTTGAGACGTTCGTTGACGCGGGCGATGGCGATACCAGCAAGGTTCTCAACGGCTTGGAGACCTTCGGAGAAGAACTTGTCCGGGATGTACTTGGCATAGGGGATGAGAGACGGCATGCAGCCCAAGGTGGCAGACACCTCACCACGACGGTTCAGAACTTCCACGGCGGCGACGTACTTGGGAGGGTCCTTGGGGTCCAGACGCATCTCGGCGATATCCTGGCCCTTCTCGAGCATGCCGAAGGGAGCACCGAAAGCCAGGTCACCGATGATATCGAAAGCCAGATAGTTGAACCAGTTCAGAGCGTCAAGAGTCGCATAGCCAGTCTTAGGGTCACCCTGGAGGTCGGCCAGGCGGTTCCATTGCTTCACAAACTCCTCAACATTGCCGTGGATATACTGCTCGAATTGGCCAATGGATTTGGCACTGAAGGTGTGGGAAACGGTTTTGCGCTTGCGGGTATGCTCGGCACGGTCACGGGTGTTGAACAAACCACGGCGGATAGAGACAAAGGCATCGTAGAAGTCCCTGGGATATAGTTAGTTTGGGCGCAGTTTTTCTAGGTGCGGCAATGACGTACGCTTTCAAGAAACCATTTCCGTGTCCATAGACGCTCTGGATGGCCTCGTCGTCGGCGATAGAGACCTGGGTGGGTGAAATGCGGACCAACTTTCCATACTTCTTGTGGGCCTCGTCGATCGTTAGGTACTTTTGACCTTGACGCGCCTGCAGCAGTAGCCAAACGTTGCTAAAGGCGGCAAACCCCGCAGTGGGAATGTCGCGCAGGTGCGACTTTTGCAGGTATGGCACCAAGTAATACGATACGGCGAGGCCGAGGAGAATGACCGGAATGGTCTCAAGTGTCACAAACATGGTGCAGTGTTGTATAGGAGTGTTGGACAAAACAACACGGAAAAAAAAAAGGTACCGGCCCCAATGGAGAAAAGAATGGAAATAAGATATAGAATGTATGTTTAAATGAGATGAATCACGCCAGATCCATCCAGAATCCAACCTATTTATGAAGAGAGGGATGCGTTGTCCATCGAATCGTCCCCGAGGGCAAAAGCAACGGGAAGCAATTTCGGCAGTGTGGAGTTCGGCCACTGGCGGCGGAGATCACTGGAGAGTGCCGTCCCAAGCCTCCGAACTTCTTAAACGTCCCTAGTTTCGGTTAGTTGTTTGTGGGGTTCAGGCAAATGGGAGTTCGCATGTTAGCAAACATGTTGGCAAACATATTGGCATTCCATGGGCATATCATTGATGCTTGATTCGTTAGAGAGTGTGGGGTGAGGCACGAGGGTCAATGCCTTGGATATTTCCCCATAATAGAACTGTTCGCTTCCCAAGCCCGGTAAATGTGGCCTCTTTTCTCAGAAGTTTTGTCGCGTCACGATCACATTTTAGATAAGTTATGAGTATTTTCATCTACGGATTCCGTCGATTGTTGTTCTGTGTCCTCGACCGGCCTGAATATCACGTGCTTTGTTTGACGTGTTTGTTAATATCACGTGACGGATGACTTGGCGTATCCCAGCCGAGGTCTCCATCTTCAATATGGTTGCCCTTCTAGAAACGTTGCTTGGATTTCAGGAAATACCTAATTCTCCTGACTCGGAGATCTCCAGCCTTTGCAGACCATTATCTGCGCTCCATAGCTTGAAAGGGCGAATGCTCTCCCACAAGTTTTGAGTACCTCGAATGAAATTCCTTTGAGTTTTAATGAGACTACTCTCTTGAAGACACAATGAAAAGCCCACGCATGGATCTTACTCAAGCTTTGTGCAAATGGAATTGTCAGTCTATGCATCTCGTATGTTCTCCGAGTCTCAGCACCCGTACCGCTCCATGATGGCCCTGAATGAAGGATCTCGCAAAAGTTCCTCTGCGGTCGGCCTTTTTTCTGGATCTTAGGTAAAAACTTTCGACATGATGGATTGCACATGTTGCCGCTCGACTATATCAGCGTCGGGACGAAAATATGCAAGTTTCGCAGCAAGGTCGCGCTGTGGATCAGGAGACCCAGACTGATCATACCATGAATCAAGTCTGCCGCGGTGCGTGTAGAGATCTTTCCACTTCTCAGGTAATGGACCTAAGCATTCAACCATACCACTCACAATTCCACCATCGAGAAATGCCGGGAACGGAGGAAATGTAAGATAGAGCAGAGAGAAAATAGCCATATAGCTCCACATATCGCAAGCAAAACTTGGCTCGTGGTTATGGAGTCGATCCGGAGAGCAATAATGCTTAGGTGGATAGCCGCATTGAGTGGTGAGGTCGTCAATCTTCTTTGCTAAACCAAAGTCGCAGAGGTAGAATTCATCTGTGCGAAGGTTTTGAGCCTTGACAGGGCTAACAAGTTCGCCCTTTTCCCAGAGATCGACGAATGGTATTGTCTGCCGTAATGGCCAACCTAGTAATTCATACTTAGCGCTTCTGCTAAGCCCATCGATAGGAGCCATTCCCCACATGCAGTTTCTTGCATTTAGATCTGTAGCATTCTTCTTAGTGTATAAGGAAACAATATAAGAGAATGTTAATCTTAACTCACCGCGATGTATGATTCCAGCTTTGTGCAAACTTGCCACAGTCTCCAGTAATTGTCGAGCAGCAGACATTCGAGATGCCATAGGAGTCCTTTTTATGGTGTAAGTGCAGATAGATGGCCCTTTAATAGGGAAGACCAAGACCCTATGATGACTTCCATCGTCTCGGGATAGAAAGAAAGTCGCGGTATATATAACCAGGCGAGAAGTATCCTGTACCGTTTTGATAATCTCATCCTGGATTCGAGTTTCGTTGTCGCCCCATTTCCCTAGGGCCATGACTTTGAGGGCGACGTCTCTCTTGTCCTTAATGTCAAATGCCATCCAGACAGTTGAACCCCCGCCAAAGCCAAGTTTATGTTCAACCAGGTACCTCTCGTTGAGCACTTCCCCAAGATAAATGGGATAGAGTGGATTTTCGTTATCCTTTGCGTCATACCTATGCCATGGCTCGACGAGCTCCCCGAGATCAATTTCTTCATCTTCATCCTTCACGAAATCACCAAAATCTGTGTCCTCAGGTAATGTTTCAGGGTTTGCCATTTCTGATGAACTTGGGTGGCAGAGTGGATGATGGAAAGATGTTGTCCAAGAAAGAGGTCGAGATATGTAGTTTTGTCACACCGCCCCTTGGTTTCTGGGTGATTGTAATGACTTCATGCGTTCCCCCAAATCGTCTCAATTTGGATCTTACCACTCAATTCATCCCAGATTCGTTGTGTGCAAACCCGGCAAGTCTAACGTATGGCAGAATCAAATACAGATATCCCGCAATGAAGTGAATCCTTGGTATAGACCAGACTGTTAGAAAGTATCTCGAAGAGAAGGCATATGTACTAATTGTTCCAGATGTATATGTACATGAATTAAAACCAGGCCTCCTGCCGACGTTTTAGCGATGAATCTGATGATGACGGGCATGATCATGCTGATGACTCGTACTCAGCAAACCGTGAGCCCCCAAGAAGTCATTAATCTGCTTATAAGCCCCAGTAGCATTGTAATGCAGATTAATAGCATGACCAGTATTGGGATGGACGTAGGCAGAGAAAGCCCTAGCCGAGGGGAAGATCATTTTGACACCAGCAGGAATAGAAGCCGCCTTCCCACCCGCGTTCAAGCAATCGCCTCCACAAAATGCCACATCGTTCGCACCATCAATGACATAAACAGGGCCAGTGAAGTTGCTCTTCGCCGGTAGTCCAGTGATGGTCAGGAGTTCGCCGATCGTCATGGGCTGTTTGTTGTCTTCTGCAAATTTCAGAAGACCGGTGTCGAAATGGGGTGGGTAGAAGAAGAGATATACATTGCTGCCGATATCCCCAGTCGTCAGGTACCCTGCTGTGTAGTCCCTGTTCTTGCCGTTGAGCCGGGCTTGCTGGAAGTTGGCTCCGCTGAGGAACATGGGCATATAATCGGCGCTTGTGGAATACCCTGTGAGAACGAGCGCATCGGAAAGGTCTGGGTACATGGCAGACAGTGCAACTGTCTGGGCAGAGCCGAAGGAATGACCGACGTGGACGATCTTGGTGGGGGTCTTGATATTACATATCTTGCCGTTGCGCACCATCCGGGTCAACTGAGCGAGTGCTTCGACTTCCAGGAATGCCTGGATCTCGTTTTTTGCGTCGCCATGGGAGGAGTTTCCAAAGCCCAGTCGGTCATAGGAGAGTGTGTGATATCCTCGAGACAAGACGTAATCCACATAGGAGTAGTTATAGTTGTTGTATGGTAGATCCCAATATCTAAGTTTCCATATTAGACTATGTCTAGAGACCATTCTTCTCTTAAAACTCACGACTTGTCAAAGCCCATTCCATGTGTGAGGATCTGAAGCGTGTAGGCCGAGTTCTCATGGTTCTTTGGCATACAGTATTGGGTCGAGATATTGTAGTGGCCCGAAACGGTAGCATAACCAGATAAGGCCGTTTTGGTTAAATTTCTACCTTGTTTGGTCGCGGAGAGGGAGAAGGAGGTAGCGTCAAAATTCGTCTTTGGGGTGTTGATGTTGTCGAACACGCCGTTGCGAGCCGTGACAGGGACCTCCACTATTACATTATAACAAGTCTTTGCAGCGGCGGCACCAACCGCCAAAGCCCAAATTCCAATTGTTGAAGTACGCATCGTGAATGAATGTCGGGTGGAATATCACGTTAAACAAGCGCAAAGGGGATTGCTTCGCTTAAATAGACTATCCACTAGAGAACACACTTGCAATGAAAAGAACATCCCGGGATAATACGGCAAGTGCAATTCGAAAAATTGGCCTCAGGTTATTTGTCAAAAGCATCATAGTGGAACCGAACTAATGCATAGATCGATAGTATATACGCCCATCAAAGGTTGTTCTCCGGTGCTAAGTTCTGGGCCTATTGAACATTACAACATTAGAGGATCTTATTTTTAACATACTCCAAGCACCAATCATTACATTTGATCTGATACCGTTTAAATAGGATACACTGGGATGAGTTCGCACTGTATACCGTCGATCCCAATCTAAATAGGAACGAATTATCAGTGAGGATCATTGATCCTTTTGATCCACTCTGAGCCCTAAAAATGAGAACCCATTATCTCCGCCGAGGTTTAGAACTTCCTTAATTGTGTGAAGATTTGGATGCAAGTGTAAAACTGTACGGTTGTACATGGATTATTAATAACCTGAAGGTGTGAAACTAGGTAATGTTCTAAAATCGACTGTATGAACTAGATATAATACTGGAGTATTGGTATCTTGAACAGGAAATCTCTTAGTTTCGAGCTTATCAGGCGGAATTGGAGGGGTTCTTTAGCGTATTGGTATTTGGGGTTAGCGAGAAGATCTAACTGTTGAGATATACTCCGTATATATTTCAAATCAAGAAAACGATCTACAAGCGTTCCCATGTTCGAGGATCTAGGCTTTCATTTAGTGGAGTCGATGGTGCCTGAAACCACTAAAAAGGTTAGAAAGGCAAGAAAAACACAATCAGAACGAGAACGAAAATAATCACAGGCAAATCCTGAATTTGAGCACAAATATATGCAATCGCTATGTAAATGCCAATGCGTTAAGTCTAAAATCATGTGTACATTATCCATCATCTGTGCAAGCCGTTGATCACCAGCGATCGCCAGTGACAGGAAACAACCCATTCTTCTTCTTCTCGGCTTCCCACCGCTCTATCCAAACCTTCATTTGGTCTCGGCTCTTCTGGCTGGCAACATTAACCGTCGGGATGACCCGCCCAATACGTAAAGCGCAGCAGAACATGGTCAACTCGCGGAATGAACTATGTTCGCTATAGGGCACGCCAAAGCAGGCGCTTTCACGCGTGCTGCCCCGCTGTGGTGTGAGATCCTGGGTGGTGTATGGTGACTTCCAGTGTTCGCCGTGCAGCACAGTGGAGACTGGTGGGTTTTGGAGTAGTCGCCCGGCTGGGGGGCGATAGTTCCAGCCGGTCGGGCGGAACCCGACGACTCGGGAGAAGTGTGGTTTGAAGCCATCAAGGTAGTCTGCCAGTGTATCCGCGCGGATCTCAAAGAGGGTTTGCATATGGACTTGCGCCTCGTGAGGATTGCTGGTCAGCATCGCGGAGAGCTCGGGGTCTTCCAAGCAGGCGCAGATTCGCTGCTTCGGTGGAGTCGCGAAGATCTTGGATCCAAGTGCTCGCGCAATCCCCATGCATATCCGTTCTTTGCCAATACTGTAAGTGCCAATGACTACGAGCAGTCGGCCTCCAGCCTGCGTGCCTTTGTCGGGTGCTTTGTTGTTCCCCGTGGCGGAGAGAAATTTGCCCATCAAACCACCTGTGCCACTCTTCCCCGCATCAGCTCCGACACCAGCTTCCTGATTCAGGCGCACGCATAGCTCCGCGCATGCTGTGATCACATCCTCCTGAGCGGGAAAGCCATATTTCGGGTTCAAATATGTCGTGTCGAGGTAGCATTTATCGATATGTTGCTGTCTGGGCTTACCTGTGACCGGGTTGGTCACATTGGGGCGTAGGAGCGGATGTTGAACCTGAGCGGGAGATGCGCGGAAGTCACCACAATGCAGCACCCGCTGGTTATGGGCATTTGGTCCATTCCCGGAGCTCTTTTCGAAAAGAAAGAGTGAGCTACCGGGACAATGATTTGCATGTATCATGGTGACCCGCACTCCGCCCGTCTCTGGTACTTCGGTCGTAGATTCAAACTCAAGATCAACTACCCACTTGGGATCAACGCGGAGCTGCTGGCGGACAAGATTGGCAGTGGGTCGACTGCAGTAAATGGGCCCATGGCACCAGGACTTGTTGAGCCCTATATAGTGATCACTGTGGAAATGACTGAGAAAATAGGCGTTGCATCCTTCCACGGCCCCGTAGCGGAAGGCATCCACGCATATAGAAAAACCCGGAAGAATTTTATAAAATGGGCAAGTCCGCTGGTATGCTTGTTTACCGCGGGAAGACACTTCGTTCGCGGCTGCAGTAGCCCAGGCAGTATCTTCCGCATTGCCAGCCATCATTTTTGAGAATGCAGAACCTCCAATGGATTTATTATGCGAGTAGGGATCAGCTTGCGCAGGCCGAGCAATGGCAGCTCGCTCTGCGCGTGTCAGCCCTTTGTCAATGCCGAGTGGTTTCGAAGACGGATTCACTGCGGCCTTAGGTGCAATTGTGGCCGGGGTAGGGTTGGTTTTGCCATCAAGGCAGTCGTTGACATGCACTGCGATTTCCTGTGCTTGGAATCAGCACTTGAATCAATCCAAAAGGCAGTAATGGGAACGTACCATTTCACTGAGCTCGCCCAACACTATTTGGCAGACAGGGCATGTCCTCACTCCCCCCTCGATATCCTCTATACCCGAACAGTCGTTTAAATCTTTGTCGGGATCTACCTCGAGGTTGATCTGCTGCTCTTGTTCCTCGCCCTCCCAAGGCCGATTTCGAAACTCTTCCCCTATAAGCTCGTCCTCTTCTTCTATATCGTCAAAATTCGCGTATTCATCATTATCGGCATTATTCGTGGCGGCTCTTACCAGTGGCAGGGGTGTAGGTTCAGAAGTGCAGTGCGAAGCCACTATTTCATCCATTTGTAATGTCTCGTTCATTGCGTCCCTGGAGGTAGATGTGGGCTCATGAATTCCAGAGTCCCGGTATGCTTCCATATCATCCTCGCTATCGGATTCATCAATGAACGGTCCGCTTCTTTTCTCTGTCTTTGCGGGTACTGGTTCAGGTGTAGGTGCTTTTGTAGTATTGGATTCGGGGTCTAGTCGTGATGTCTCCTTCGTCACATCCTTACTAGAAGGAGGTGTAGTCTCATGAAGCTCCCGATATGCTTCCATATCATCCTCGCTGTCAGACTCATCGATAAATGGTCCGCTCCTTTTCGGTGTCTTTGTAGGTGCGGGTGCGGGTGCGGGTGCGGGTGTTCTTGTAGTCTCCAATTCGGCGTCTGAGTGCTGTGTCTCGTTGACCTGGTTATCCGGAGAGTCGACTTTCCGCCGCTTCACCGCCGAGTCGCTCTCATTATATCGCTTGTCCTCCACCTTTGAACCCTCTTCATCTTCACCCCAGAAATCAGGTGTCAGCGATCGCTCTCTTTCGCTCGTCGCTGCTGCTTGTTGAATCTTTGCCAGTCCCTTTTTATCCTCCAAAAAAAGTCCACCGGAAGCATCATTCCTTGAATTGTTTCCCCGCTGAAATGCCGAAGTCCCCCGGCCGCTGCTCGGTGAACGTGAGGTCGCCGTTCCAAATTGGGTGATTCGAGCCTGGCGGGAAGTGGCGCCTGGTGGCGTGTCGGTCTTCTGGAAGAAACTCAAGATGCTCGAATTGCGCTTTATTGATGATTGTTTTGTCCCAGAAGAGCCCTTCAATGGTGTGGCGCCTTTCTTCGCGTAAGAGCCGGCCATTCTGGCTCGGTCACAGAGAGTGGGAGTCGGTTGCACCGTGTGCAATGGTCGAGTAGTGGCGAGGGGTCAAGCTAGTTCGCAGTTGGTTCAAGATAGTTATATGCCAGATAAAACGCTAACAATATGGCTAAATGCACAATACATCCATAATATGTGCACAGTCCCAGCGAAAATGTCCAACATAAGTTGGAACGAGAAGGCGCGAAGAGACTGGATCGCGACACGAAGTCACGTGTTAATTATTACTTGGCTCCGGTCCTGAACAACCGGCTACATTCAATCATAGTATGTTTAGGACATTATGAAATAGTCAAATGGCCAAAAAAAATATTGCCGTCATTATTGCAAAGAAATTTCTAACGAGGTATCATGAACAACGCAGTCCAGGTGCCAACATGAGCTATAGGCTGGCAATCTTCGACGAAACTGCTTTTGTGGCATATCAGCAGGATTCATTGAGCGGCGATCCAATGTCCATTTGGTATCTTGGGTGCAGTCGAGTGGTATGGGAGTTTTCGAACATCCTTCGTTACATGAACCCATCCCCCAGTCATCAATTGGGTCATCTCAATATTGGGGTCACATGAACCCCATACTTTTGGCCATATCCTCATTTTATTTGCTGAAGACCACCTGGCGGGAACAACGGTATTGAAGAGAGCGATGCGTGATTTATCGTAAAATGGAAGCCATGGTCGTTTACCGAGCTTTGCCAGCCTGATTGGCAGCCTCTGTATGATGACTCTATTAGTATTGATTCGAACAGTAATTCTCGTCGCAAGCTTTGTAGATCTTTTAAAAGAACCTAGGAGACTGATTGATCCCAACAACCCAGCTCAGGGAACGATGCGCAACTCACCTCGTCGTGTGGCATCCTCCAACAACCCCACGTCAACCTCCGACCGTGGCAGCATCACGTATCGCACCACACTTCCTCGGATGAACATGTTCTTGACAGAAGACAGGTGAGGGTACTTGGCCAGATCCAGCACTTCGATATCGTCGAGCTTGATGTTCAGGTATTGGTCGACTGATTTCAGAATCCCACGAATGCGGATGTCATTCTTGAGCTCAATGGTGACCGTCTGGTTTGTGAGAGTCTTGAAGAAGCTGTAATGAAACATCTATTAATTTTCACCCATAAAATATGAGCTTGAACTTCGCCTCATAGCATACCTAAAGAAAAGCATGGCTGCGGTAGATAGGAAAGCTTGGAGGGGTGCTAGGATGGCCAGAGGTGTGTTGGATCAAAGCGGTGATTTATATTCTGCCGGTATCAAACGAGGCGACGAGTTTGATGTGAGGGCGGTAGTGAGTATAAACAGATTTAGAGACAGGAATGTCGACGGCGCTCAAGAGTTGGTATTGCGAGATGCAAAAGAGAAGCCGTCGGAGGTGGTCACGTGCACACCCCCATATAAGCGGCCTATGTCCAACATTCCGTCATACATCCAGGGCTATTATTTCCACCATTTTAGTCTACGTTAAACTAAGAACTGTTTCTAGGCGTATTATGGATCAACCGCCACACATCCTTATCAAGCAAATGTCCCTACAACATTTTTGCCTTCTGGTCATTTCCCATTCCTCACATAGGCAATCCATATCTGCCTCCGCTGCGTAGCTGTGAACTACACTTGGGCCCATTCCCCTTTGAACAACCCTCGAGCCCACTCACACACAATTTTGAAATGAACCTGAAGCTTCAATATAGACACCGCTCACGCTAGGTAAGGACGTTGGCGCCTCATACGTCGACAAAAGAATCACCAATCTCCCCAGTACTCTGAAATAAAGGATCCGGCCCGCTTCCACATGTACTCTACAGCAAGGACTAGGACCTAATTGGTAAAGAGACTTTTACCGCCACCGAAAACCTGAATTTCGGTGTCCAGCTACTTCAGCTCGATTCGCACACCACTAGAGAACCAACGAGCTCAATCTAGATAGAGAGCATCTCAGACACGAACTATATATGACGAGGTTCCAAAGCCTCGTCCGAATAGTCGGGAGCTTCAGTTGAACAACACTCTGCTTCCTACCGCTTTTGGTAAGATGTCAACTTCCAATGTTGAATATAAAAATATCTCAACGAAAATGAGGTAACGGGACGGACCTAAATCAGTTTCATCCTTATATTCTCTTCATTCTAACGCACGCTACTGCACCTCTATGACTCAATTTGTGTTTCAAATTCCAGAAATGATAGTATCACAAACTCCCAGGAGAAACGTTTACCAGCATCAGAGATGCTAATGGGTGTGTCCAATGTTCCTTTCGAGCACTTGGACCCAGAATTAATATCTGCGATAAGATCTAGGTATGTATTGGATTGGGTGCATATACTTGAAGTGGCAGCATCAAAATTCAGGCCTAGATATCACAGCATCTATTCGCTGCAGACATATAGGAGACACAGATGTCCTTTGGCGGCTATACCGGGAACACAGGAAATGCAAGGCCAAAACAGGAATATCTGTTTTTGCAGCTTCTACAAGTATCCATCCGATATTCGGCTATATGGATCTTGCAAAGGCGCTTCCGGATGTCAGGTTGGTAGTACAAACTGGCATATTCTCCAAGCTGACACAGTAATTATAGAATCTGTAGGTAAAGAACCCCTGATTACTGATAGAAAGTGAAGTCTGTTTAGGATAGGTGGATTATTCTTCAACAGAATGCATGTTGTGCCGTTGGTCTGAAACATAATTGAAGGTACTTCCAATGAACTCCTAATCTCGGACCTAAATCATGCCTAAGGAATAAGCATGGTTCTCATAAAATGTGGAATATATTACAATGACATAAGAACGGCCTAACCCTACAACACCTGGGTAGTTATAGGCTAATTGTAGAGCCATTCACGTCAGAACAGGGTACTTTTCAACGAATTATCGCATGATGTTAGGTTCCTAAGTGAGTGATGAGTTTGGAAGTGTACAGTAGCGTCAAATCCTGATAAGCATCAGCAAGAGGGGAAATAGTACATTTATTCATACCAACATGAGAAAGGCTTCATGATTCGACTGAACTGGACTTTACGCGCCTTTAGGGTCACATCGGTGTAAGCAAAATGTCAATTGTACGTGATCACACTACACTAAGAGACTCAAAATTGTGACAATGAGGTCAATTAGCATGATATTTCTATTATTATTCCTTGCTAAGAGGCCTGTACCTCTCTAGCGTGCAGTAGTATATTGTACAACGTAGGGCTTGGCAGGCATTTCCCCTCACTTTCTCTCTTTTTTTCCCTTCTCTCCCCGATGATCGCCACTTCATCTTACCGACTTTTGTATCATGCGACATTAATTATGGTGATTTTCTACCTGTTTTGGTACTGGAAAGATGCATAATTGATGTTCCATCTACTCCGGACAGGCATTAATTTGGCTAAAGATAGTAGCTCGGCGCCTACACTCAGCCAATCACCAGCCTCTTCACACTGCATATCACTCTCATCCCACCACCCTTGGCGGTTCGTCACATTATCTTCGACTGTTATTGGTCCCTTTGGACATTTTTCACCTCGCTCACTCGACTCTTGCTCAAAAAATGGTCTTGGCTCTTTGCTCACGGATGAAACCCCCTGTTCAGCGCGACGCGCCCATTTCTTGATGGCCAATAGTATCAACGCCCGCTACCCTCCAGACCAGGGTTATTGGATTAATTGTGCCCAATCCTGCAGTAGTCTCTGTAACCGAGTGACTCTTTCTGAAGACGGATCGGCTGGTCACTGCACAGACCCCGTGGCTGGTGGAAAGCGCCCAATTGACTATAAACACTTCCCAACTACCACAACTTCTCTGAAGGCTAGCGTTCTTCGTTTCGTTGACTTCATTCTCTTTCGGTGCCTATAGCTCTGGTAGCTTTTGCATCTGCTTTTTCATTTCTTAGTGTTTATCTTGTTATCTTGCTTTAAATCACTCACTTCACAGACCCGTTGATCGGTGTCGCCATTTCCTACGAGTCGAGATACCCATAGATACTTCCAGTGAGCAAGTCACGCAAAACCAACATCCAACAGTTTGATCAGGCGTGCAATATGACCGATACACTCCGCTCAACTGTACGATTTCCGCCCCTTCGGCAGGCCCGGGGGACGGTGCTTAATACTATAATGGAGGATACGCGCGAATCTCAATTCGCTCAAACCAGTCCGAAAAGTTCAGTACCTGCCAGACTTACACCGGCAGCTATCAGTCCCAAGTTGAAGTTGCAGACTAGCGGGTTCTCAATACCAACACATCCCCGGTTCGCACGCATAATGTCGCCTCTCTCAGCCGGGACTTGCTCGTCATGCTCAGACACAGAATGGCAGTCTCAGATGCAAGGATTTCAAGGATTTCAAAGATACGACGACTCATACGACGCATCGGATTGTGACAGTATTGACGATGGGACCGAGTTCAGTGATTCGTGCTTTTCCCCCGATACGCGGCCATCGAGCTTGGTTACACCGATTACCCGAAACTCAGTGACGTCTACTGGGAGCCAGAAGCTGCCTCTAACCCTTAAGATTCCCTCATCCACGATGTGGCCATCAATTAATGGGTCCCTCAAGGGCTCCCCAGTCCCGCCGACACCTCCAGCCAAGATTCCAGTCTCGCCAGCAGCGCTGTCGATGCTCAGTCGTTCTGTGCCTGCATCATATGCCCCACCTTCACTCGATGGTAGTATGACTTCGGACCAGGAATCTATCAGCGCATTGGCTACACCGGACACTCAATCTCTCCCAGACACCAACTGGGACGCCCATGATATACATGTTCGCCGAGATGTGGACGGAAGTGAAAGTGACCTGGACGACGGCGATGCCAGTTCAGACATGCAGACTGTGCCTATCGCTATCGAGACCGATAATGAGGACTGGCGTCATGTGCTGGGAAATTTCCCCCGGATTCCAACCGCTCAGGCATATTCACCCTCCCTCTCTCCCTCGCCTTCTTTCTATCTAAATAATGAGCCAATTCCTGATTATGACGACTTGTACGACCCCCCAGCCACTAATCAAGGCGCACTTGTGCCTAATTTGTCCCTGGCGATGCTTCATGACATTCACTTGGATGAATCAACCGACTCGTGTTCCGAGACCTCAGAGGATAAGGGTGAGATGTGGCAACTGCAGCCGCCTCCCAGCCGCCCGAGGAGTGCTGACGGGGTGACACCCGCATCTGAGCTGTCTGGATACAGTTTCAGTGACCTGAGCGTTCCATCTCCCGGTGGCTTCTTCGCCTCTCTGGCGCCCCGTGCACGTCACACATGGGCAATCCCCAACACCAACTACCAACCAACGTCGGCGGCTGCAGAGAGTTTCTATAATCTTCCATGGCGTCGGGATGAAGGAGAGATTGTTGAGCAGGTAGTCGAGTGGCCTACGCGCCCTGATGACGAAGACCCAGTCACAGCGGTTCGCATCGAAGAGGCCCCGCTTACTGCCATTCGAGTTCCCTGTGATACACCCACTCGTCGCTCTGTCTACCAGGACAGCCCCATGAGCGCTGCATTTGACGCAGTTCAGGTCCAGGAGATCCCTCGCTCTGGGAACGGGTATGAGTACGATGAGTGCTACGACCAAGAGCTACAGGAACGTGCAGTTGCGAATCACGACCGCACCAGTGTCTGGCTGTCTGCTCAAGCATCCTATCTGTCCGCTCTCAATGAGACAAATCCCGTGAATGACATCGACGCTGTTGAACCATCCGAGTCTGAGGATGACGTCGAGGCTGAAGCTGAAGACATCACAGAAGATTCATCCAAGAAGATGGTACGATTCGCCGAAGTCCCCGAATCCCTCAGTCCTCTGCCCCCATTCCTTGCTAGCAAGGATTCAATTTACTGGCAAGGCTTCCAGTCTATGCGGGCACGATCGACCAAGACTGACGGGTTCATGCATCGCAATATGCGATTCGATGCCGTGCAATCCATGCGCCTCGCCATGACTGACTTGCACATTAACTGCTTGCTGGGCAAGTATGAGCTTGTTCGCCCTGAGCGCCCTGCTTACAGGGGTCCTTTTGCAAAGGCACCCCGCAACTCGGTGATTACCACTGAGCTGGCCGAGAAGGCCCAATTTGACAAGGTGGAGAAAGAGCAGCTGGTTCTTGCTCAGCTTTCCCAGCCCATGTGGGCCATGGATGCTCTCCGATCTCTCAACGGCGGCAAATTGCTCACAAGCCCTGCTCAGCGCGTGCTTGCACGGGCCCCACCAAAGCCCAAGACCTCGCAGGGACCACGCAAGCGTAGCTTCCGCATCCTGGACCTTGGTGGTCACTCTTCATGCGACTGGGCTTGGCAGGCCGCGTACGAGTTCCCAAATGTCAAGGTTTACACTGCCAGCTCCAAAGGCCAGACCGTGAACAGTGCCATCAAAGGCCCTCCCAACCACCGTCAGGTAACCGTGGCCAACCTCTGGGAGCTCCCCTTTGGCAACAACCAGTTCGACGTCATCTCCGCACGATCCTTGCACGCACTACTGAAGACTGAATGTCCCGCAGGCAAGGATCGCGACGAGTATGACCTAGTTCTGAAGGAATGCATGCGTTGTCTCAAGCCAGGCGGCTACCTCGAGTTCCAAGTTCTTGACGCCGAGATCTCGCGGGCAGGTCCTTACGGCAGCGCAACGTCAGTAGAGTTCGCCTTCAACCTGCGCAAGCGCGGATACGACCCATTGGCATCCAAGAGCTTCGTTGGTCGTCTCCGTAACACCGGATTCGTCGACACACAGCGCGCATTCATGTTCCTCCCCATGGGCACTGAGCCCATCGAGCAGGAGCCGCTGCGTGAGACTCCTGCGCCGCGTGTGCAGAGCCAAATTGAAGATTATGAGGCGGTGCAGGGACCGATTGGTAGCACTGCCGATATTGCTAGTATGACTGGACTGATTGGAGGGTGGATGTGGGAGCAGTGGTTACTGAAATTGCGAGTAGAGATGGGTCGTGAGCGGTCTATGTTGCTTGAGGGTCTTGGTGGGCTGTTCGATGAGGGGAGGAAGAGTGGCGCGGGCTGGACCTGCCTGTCTGGATGGGCTATGAAGCCAAAGCGAATGGTCTCTTTGGCTTCCGGGTCTATCTAGTGAGGTCTACTTTTATGTATTTAGCCCTGGCCCTGGTGGCTCGCAATTAATGTAATGGTTTATGTCTGATGGTTTTTGTTTTGATCTCAATCTCTGGTATATAAAAAGGTCGTCTGTGCATTTCATCCTTTTTCTACCTTTTTCTGCTGATATAGTTATAACTGTAGGCAGGGAAACAAAATTAAATGACGGTGATGCTTCGCATAAGTAGGTGAACTGGTATCACATGCCTAAATTATTCTGTCTTAGCACGTGTCTAGGTCTTTCACCTTACACCTTCAATTCACGTCTTCTTTCCCCTCTTCAACTTCCACTTTGCTCCCTCCACTTCTTCATTTGATCCAAGTTCACTATCTCCCCACAGCCCTTGTGGCGTGGACCATCCAGTTCATACAGTCTGATGCCTTCTTTTTGTATTAATGCCCTGTCGTGCTAATGAGAGATATATGCAGATGTATTGTTGACGAAGCTCGCCTAGATATCCCGTATCGGGTCGAGGTCCTGGCGAAAAGCACTACGATGAGCTCGGAGAGTTAGACATGGATTAGGAGCCGGGAAAAGGTGGTGGCTCGATGTGTTGCTCTACCCTTCGGCATCTTTCATTAGGGCACTGATTAACACTCTACTTCGGAATGAGTGGTGAAACAGTACACTTGCAACAGTGTACAGCAATCTCATACGAAATGCTCGGCCAGTCATAAATTAAAATGGCCGATAATGCCATATGGGACAACAACAGCTAGCTTTGCGCTGGTGCTCTGTGATTGGGATCCCGTCTTTGTGGTCTTGCTTTCCTATTCCTTCTCCCTACATTTGGTTGTTGGCTGGGACTTGCGGTATATACAGCCTGGTTTCTTTATTCTTCTCTGTTATTGCCCTGTCGTGCTAATGAGAGCTATGTGTAGATTCATTACCGGCGAAAAGCACTACGATAAGGTGGGGGAGTTATACATGGCGTAGGGGCCAAGAAAGGGTGGTGGCTCGATGAGTTGCTCCACCCTTGAGTATCTTTCACCAGAGCACTGATTGACACTCTACTTCGAATGAGTGGTGAAACAGTACACTCGCAACAGTGTACAGCAGCCTTATATAGTATGCTCGACCAGTCACAAATCAAAATGGACGATATCATATGGGACCACAACAGCTCGATTTGTCCTGGTGCTCTGTGATTGGGAATCTTTGTGGCCTCACTGGTCTTGATCTGGCCTTGATCTGGCCTTGATGTTTTGTTGTCGGGATCTGAGGGGTATACAGCCTAGTTCCCAACTCTGCATGTAGCGCAAAGCTGAAGTCTCCTTCGTCCACCTTTGGATACCAAATATTGTATTCACGTATGTAGCCACAAGAATCCATTCATGTAGCAAATGTCAAGCAAAGTAAAGACATTTTCAGCCTTTCTTATCACGCCCAAAAATTCGCTGCCGCCGGGACTTTCGTTTTGTTGGCTTTGGATGCCACCAAAACATCCAATCTGACAATTTCAGAAGATAGGCCGAACCTGGGACTTTGACATTCCCGGTCTCCTCCTTTTCTTTATCTGGAAGCTCGAAGCCCCGAAAGCTGATACAGCGCCGGCACTCTATTGTGCAATGGTCTTGACCTCTGTTCCTTTTAGATAGATGCCTCTGTTCGCAACATCCACAATCCCGGCTGCAACATCATCTTCGATCCGAACAACCCTGAACTAGATATTGTCGCATAAACCTTTTAGGATCACGCCTAACTCTGTCATAATATCTTTTCCAATGCGGTTTCATCAGAGTCTCCAAATCGTAAAGGGCGTACTCTTTTCTCTGGTATTGCAGTTGAACCTCTTTAAGTTGCTGATTTTTCTCTTCCAGCTGGGCTCTTGTAGACTCGATACCCGTGGCCTTGCCGGGCGGTAACTGATTGGACTCGATAGCTACAGCCTTTTCCAAGGCTCTAGCTCTATGTTGTAACTTTTCCTCACGCTGTGTTAGTTCCCGTATACCGTACTCGGTGAGAACCAAATCAATGACCAATTTCGCGGAGATAAGTTCGGGGTTTGACCCATTTCTGATAAGGGTATAATGGTCACTAGTCAGGTAGTAAGACTCCATATTGCGAGTGGAAAACACGAGAATAAGGTAGGATGGTGGTAAAGAAATGAAGTCCTCGGAAGCAGGAAGAACAATTCCAAGTGATGTAGAGTCGTCCGCTGCCTAAAAGGGTTTAAAGTTAGGAGTTTCGGTATCTTGCTGTTTTGGAAATTCTTCAACGTTGTAGGCATTGCCAGCGTATAGCATGATCAAATTGTTATAGTATTTGACTCCTGTCACCTTCTACCTCATTCGGATGGGTCCGTGTGCCAATGGAAACCAAGTCAGGGCGCAGATCGCAAGCACCATTCTCTCCAGAGGGAATCTCTTGCTAATTGAACCAGTCTCTCTAAATTGCTTTTAAAGTCTTTTTTCGCCGTTACAGTCAGCAGGATGATTAGAAACATGTAGCTGCTAATCATCCGTAGAATCAGACTGGAGACGGGCCGTTCTAGGTAATAGCTGAACATAGCGGCGACTCTTCCGCATCTGGATTGGAACGAACACGTGCCTGTCGAGTCACGCGGATGAGGCACAGATGAAGTTTCGAGTTTCAAAAGTCATGAGGTTCTAAGGATCGACATACTCTGTTGGTCAAATTCGGATGCCCAAGGGCACGGGAGTCTGACGGATTTATAGTCTGTATGTTGTAGTCATATTCTTCACGATCGACCCCACTATGGCTCCAGTCTATAGATATAGATGTCCAGTATATTCTTCGATTATCTCAACCAAAATTATAATTGGAGGGTCTCAACCCGAAGGATCATAGCACAGTAATTTAAACCGACTAATATAATGGCATAATTAGAAATGTTGGGCGTCTAGTATACTCCGTAGACAAAGTGCTGACGATGCGCCGGAGCAGTGTGCCCCGCTAGAAGCACAGACAACCCACTTTGCTAAGCACGACATCTCTCTTTGGGCAAGTTATTTTAACGGCTATTGACCGTAGCATTCCTACCCAATATTCACAAGGATGTGCTGTAACATGATCGGCGAAAGGGAGATTTGGATATTCATAGTACATCAGATCGACGATAATAGTAAGACATCTCGAATATAGTATAAAGCGGTCAAGTTAAACAAGAAATACAACTTATACAAAGAGCTACCGGGATTCCAAGATTGGAAAGCGAACCTGTATAAGAACAGATTTTGATTGGTGGCAGCTCTGACTTCGGCGGCTTCGACGCAGATTCTAGGCGATACCTATTTGATCTTAGATCGGATTATCCTAGTAAACCCCTGTCTATCAAGGTCAGCAGACTTGATCTATTTTTTTTTTTTTTTTTCGGAATCACCTAAATAGGATATCCAGGTAAGGAAATGCCGATCTAATTTTGGTTGAATTGAACACGTAGTTACATCTTACATCAATGGATGATAGTATACAACAAGTTATACAACAAGGTATAAGTCAAGTATGTAGATCGTGACACGTGAGAGACAGAACCCTTATCTTATAAGAGATGATCTGGACTATTTAAAGAAATATTGAAATAGTATTAGATTAGAATATTAGAGAATATTAGAAAGAATAGAAAACAAGACTATTTCCTTCCAAGTTAGTGTATCATTTTCTGGATTTACGGTGAAGCCGGTATATCCACTTCTCGCCACTGATGTAAACACTTGGAGCTTCATATTTTTTTTTCTTTATATTTCCCCCACCCCCTCCATATTCTTTCTCCAATTTATCCCCCCGCTATCCTCTATACATCATGGCACCACCAGCTATCATCGCCCCCTCCATCCTCAGCGCCAACTTCGCCGATCTAGGCCATGACTGCTCTAAGAAGATGGAGCAGGGCGCAGACTGGCTGCACGTTGACATTATGGACGGTCACTTCGTACCAAATATGACAATCGGCTGCCCCGTCGTATCTCAAATCCGCGGCTGTGTCGATCGACCCTCCGAACCCTGCGGTCGTGGCACTTTCGATTGCCATATGATGATTATGGAGGTTAGACTTTACCCGCGTCATCCCGGAACGTCATGAGCTCTCCTGCTGACAATTGCTTTGCTTACAGCCGCACAAATGGGTCGGAGAGTTTAAGAAAGCCGGTTGCGATCTCTACTGTTTCCACTATGAAGCTGCAGTTTCCTCCGTCGCCGCCAAAGATCCTACAGATAAAGAAACAACCGCTCGTACAAGCCCTAAGCAACTCATTCGTTATATCCACGAGGAAGGTATGCAGGCTGGTATCGCGATTAAGCCAGATACCCCCGTCGATGTATTGTGGGATATTATTGAGAGCGAGGACCCCGCGGAACGACCGGACGTGAGTTACCTTATTCCGGTTCGGTGTATTTCCAATATACTAATTAATGTTTCACAGATGGTTCTGGTCATGACTGTGCATCCCGGTTTCGGCGGTCAGAAATTCATGGCTTCAGAGCTTCCTAAGGTCACCGCTCTGCGCCAACGTTACCCCGATCTGAATATTGAAGTCGACGGTGGTCTTGGTTTGGGTACAATTGACCAGGCTGCTGATGCGGGAGCTAATGTGATTGTTGCTGGATCTGCGATTTTCGGCGCGCAAGATCCTGCCGACGTCATCGCGAAGCTGCGCGAGGCTGTCCAGAAGCGTCGCGGGGTGGAGTAGAGATGATACGGTTTCATTGCACAAAATGGGGTTTGGGTGTTTTGTCTTCTCTTTGAGGGTTTTCTGGTTACATTTTATATTATACATTCTTAATCATGAGTTATGAATGGCATTTATGTGTGGGACTGTTCACACTCCGAATTATTTACATTTTCATACGCATCGTACGAAAAGAAAATCAATTGCAACCTTGTCAGGCATTTGATGTACAGATGTCATAAGAATTCGTGAAAGCAACTCCCTCAGTAGAGGTAGTGGCCTACTTCGCCGACTTGACCGGCGCTGCCTTGGTATCATCATTCGCACTGGCCTTCTTAGGCTCGACCTTGATTTCTTGAGGCGCCACAGCTGTCGCAATCATTTCAGCGATCGCATTCCCCTTGGGCTCATTGGGCTCCATGAGCTCTTCCTTATTCTCGATGGCCACATCGTCAATAGCCGGACTAGGCACCTCCTCAATCGACTCGGACTTAGTCTTCTCCGCGGCCTCTTTGCGCAGAGCATCGAGATTGCCTGTAGGCTCCGCAGAAATGGACTGTCGGATCTCATGCACCGTCTTGTCTTGATCAGCGTCCTCGAGAGTCGATACCCTGGATCCGCGGTGGTGTCCAACCAACCCGAGCATCTCTGCGTTATCCACATGGAAGTTCGCCGAGGACACAGCCGCCTGTTCGGGAACTAGAGCCGGACGTTTGGCTGACTTTGGTGAATCCGATTCGGGGTCGGGTAATTCGGGGGCCACTGAGCCGCGGTGCGTGCGGTTGGCGACAGGTACTTCCGTAGTCTGTTGTTTCGGCTCTTTCTTATCGTCTGACTTGGCCTTCGCCTTGGAGGCAGCCTCGGAGCTAGCCTGGCGCAGGGCCAGCACGGCCATATCGTCCTTCTTGTCTTCGGGTTTGGTAACGGGGGGATCCTGGATCTTGATTGTGGAGGGCTTGGGGGTGGCAGGTGTGGGCTCGGGTTTGGTCTCGGTCGCTGGTACAGGATTGCTAGTGGCAGGCATTCCATCTAGGTCCTGAACGCTGTTTACTACCATACGTAGTTCGCCGAACTCGTTCCATTCTTCGACCTGTTCGAGATCCTAGGAAGTCGGTGGGGTTAGCGCTACGCTCTCGGTATAAGATAACTGCTTTGGAAGCTAATCCATGCAAGGGGGCTGTCATACTCCTACAATATCACCGTATTTCACCAACCCGGGAAGCTTCTTGCCCTTGGAGCGTCGACCCCAGAGTTTCCGGGCGGCCTCATCGGTGGCAACATCGATCGCACGGAAGGGGAGTTTGTTGGCTTTAAGGATTGTTTCAATTCTGGAGGTCGCGGTAACAATGTGCGACGACCCCGCGGTCAGGGAAGTGTAGAGGTAGAGGGTTGAGTCTGGCATAGTGGATGTAGGATGTAGGATGCTGAGGGTTAAGGATAAGGGAAAGGGTGATAAAAAGATTCAATTCATTCAGGGGTTAGTTTTGTATTCCTCTTTGATTGAAGTTCTAAGAGAAAAATAAATTATTTCCCCCCTGGGACGTTTATTATGACGTGGTTTGCGTATCACGTGCAGTTACTTTGTTGATTTCACTTCAATCCTTTCCTTTATATATCATCATTTTCATCTCTTCGTCTATGATGAATTCCCCCTTCTCCACACGGGTCGTTCCATGTGTCCAACGGCTATCTGCCCTGGAAAATGGGCCCAGTGTGGCAACTTGACGTCAGATCCGGAGTTGGAGATATCCTGGAATATTCTCGTGGATCTTGGCCTCTTCAGTTTCAGTCTGGAACTGACAAGTTAATATATGTACTAATGTACTTCCCTGGTGTAGCGGATTATTTGACATCCTCGAAGAACATGCGCCATGCATAGCTATACCTGTCACATGCTCACTATCGAGCATTATTGTCTGGGCTGAGTCTTGAGTGAATGACCAGTGTTGGGTAGTGGACTTTGATAACGTCAAAGAGAGAGGTTCAGGCTTTCCTACTACTTCTGACACTTCACCATTGGCTATAGATATCAGTTGGATCCTTATAGGTCTTTAGCAATCCAATCATCCGACATCTGGTGTCCTACTGACAATATTTCAATAGCTTGGACAGGATAATCATATTTATCAAAAAATTGCCGATATACCACTGTCATACCTTACATTGTATAACAAGAAGAAGTTTTCACTGCCCGAGAGTAGTTGTACTAATCAGCCCGATATATATATCTCATTAGTATAGTCAGAAGCACACGAGACAGATATTGTGCGGCTGCTGAATATGTTTGCCTATTGGCTAAGAAGGAAAGAATATCAAATCAGCACCAGGGGCCCCTGTGTTATAGTGGGAGTATATATCCTGTGCTCGCGAGAGGAAAGTCCGTAGAGCCTCAAAGGACGCGTCCTCGACTCGGCGCAGCAATATGCATAAGAGAATAAACCTGCTAACTCAAGCCTCCTACCTAGGTATTGAGAACTGGACCATGCCAACTAGATCTGTGCTGACATGCGCTTTCCCCGAAGCATAGCACCTCAACTGACTTGGCGTCTGGGATCCGAGCCCTCGTCTATCGCTAGCCGGCAAATGGCGTTCCATGTCACACGATCGACATAGGTAAGCAGGCTGCATCTTTATGCGTTTAAATGCCGGGGAGTGCAGGAGTGTGGTTGCGAGGTGCCGCGGAGGTATACCAAGTGGAAAAGCCTGGGCATGGAAGACACATATTCCTAACCCGTTGTTTTCCGTGCCTAATATTTCTATGAACTCGGTGAGTTAATTTTATCAGCTGAGGTTTGGGCATTGGAAGGATACTTATAATAAATCAAAGTACGAAGTATAGGTTTCCGGTTTGAGTGTGATGCATTATATGACTTCTGCCCGTGCACACACCTAGAAATTTACAGCCTATCACCTCAAAGTGGCTCATTTGAAGTGGTTTGCTAGTCTCGCGTGTGATATGTCCTGTTCAAGACAACCTCTCACGACAGGAAGCAGTCCAGAAGCTCCAGCATTAATTGATGCAGGGGAAAAGGTATCAGGGTCTCGGCCATGTAACGCCTGCAGACCCTGTTTTGACATGGATGGCACACTAAAGGAACCCCAAGAAATCTGTACTTTGCCCATCTCCTTTTCCTATGAAGTAACGAAGCCTGTCAGAACATGTCGGGAGAAAGGATTCGAGTTCACGGTGAGAGCGAAATCCGTGTCGAACGTTGGGAGGACTCCTAGACCACCCAGTGGGCAATAGATCATCAACCAGAAAATCGCCCATTCGATAGGAGATATATTTGGTGCAAGACTGCCCAGCCCGATTATCCTCATTGACTGCCGGAGGACGCCGCACACTGTACTCCGTAGCATGCTGTGCTCACTTCTGAAAGTCTATGCTGAAACAGAGACCGATGTGATTGATCACCCTGGCTTACAACGCAGTCAACGTACTTTGTCTCTTTCTTATGAGCCCGAGATTACCGCTCTTGACGAAACAATGGTGATGTCAGTACTCGCTAATGCTAAGGATCGGTAATCATAATAGAACACTAAATGTCCAACCATTATGCGATCAGGAGACTGGTCCACCTAATACCGTGGAGCCTCCGTAGTATCGCACCAGTAATCTCGTTTATCCTAAATGGTCTCCATACAGCCATCACGTGGAAGGGATGATCTATCATTAGTGCGTTGCAGACCGTCAGGAGTTAAAAACGACCATTTTTTGGGCATGTTGAGTAAGCCAACAATAGCCCCATACCAAACAAACAAGAGCAAACTGCTTTATAGGGGGTCCCTGACTTGCCACAAGCATAACTGAGAACCGTGGAACTTCTCCGGGAGTGACCCACGGTAACACGTGAATCGAACCGTTCTTGTACGACCACTCTATTTCTTCGGGGATTTCCATATTACTTCGTTAATGAGTGTGTTATTGTTTGCTTTTCATCTCTGGTTGGGCATTGGGCGCTGAAACTGCGAGCTAAACAATGTCATCTGCAAGATGCCATGCCCCGGCCAGTCGACGTGGCAGTCCTCGACGCGCCCGAGCGATCTTAGTCCGACCGTACTCCGTACATAGTAAATGGATCCTAAGTTCTTGGGTTATGGCTGTGCTAGAGGGGGGAAATGGGCTCGTTTTGTTTCTTTTGGGCTCCCGCTGTAGGCGCTCGGTACCCCGTAGTTGAGAAAAGAGACTTGATTATGTATTGTGTAATGTACTCCAGGGCCCAGTTTATCGAGTACATGGATGTATCAGGTCACCTTTTCGTAAGCAAGGACACATCTGCTGGCTCGGGCCATTGTCGGGGTGATCCGGTTCGCTGCCTCACTTTTAATTCATTTTTTTTTCTCGGCCGTCTGCAGCTTCTAACCTAACATGATCTCGCTTCTAGCAGGAGTCGGCTCAGTCACCCGGGTATGTGCCATTGGGAGATGGCTGATGGCTTGCTGGTGGCTGACCTCGACACGGATGCACTTTGAGACCATACGGAGTAGTATTGGGGAAATATTAGAACAAAGAGCGGAAAAAGAGAGACATCGTTACCCGAACGTCTTAAGGGCCCAGACCGGTGATCGACTACTATGTTCGTTGGAGTATAGCACTCTCTTGCTGCCAATTCTCGTATCTCATTTTGTGGGGAGGTATCCTTCATCGTCGATCTGAACTTTTGTCCTTTATTTTATCTCCTCGTCTGCCCAATCTGCATTTGCTTCTTCTCCCAACTTGTAATATTTTTGTCTGATAGTTTCCTTCCCCGATCATTTACTATACATTTAACTCCACGCAGATCTTCATCTTGATTGCATTGATAAGATCTCCTATTCCACCTGCCATCCACTTCGACTTAATATTTTATTTTTCTATTGCGCTCCAAATCTATGTAGGTCTTTCTTACCTATTCTCACAAAGCATACGCTGACCATTCACAGATATAAAATCCACCTTTCTCCATCCATTTTATTACTGATAGACAGTGACTTCCCCGGCCATTGCGACGAGGAAACCAACCATGACTGTCACTCTAGATGACGAACTGTTCACCAGTGCCATCTCTGGATATCGCGAAGCATTTTTGGTCCAACACTCCCACCTCTCGGAAGATGAACGAAATCAGCTCTGGATCGAACAGCTACGTCGGTTCATCCCGGCCCCCAGTGACCGGGATACCAACTGGCAGTCCGCTGGGAGCCTGAGGAAACGGACTCGACAGGATGCGACACCACGGACGTTGCCATATTCTGATTCGGGTCTTCCTCAGGCGAAACGGAGAGCCACCGTATGTGTGACCTTGGTTACTTGATCCAACCTTCTCTGATCCGCCCCTCCCGCGCTCTCGTCTCCTAATCCCAGCCGCCATTGGTCCTTGGATTGACAATTGGCAGACCCCGGATCTCTCGGTCGACCTAACCCGCGACATCTCCCACGCCTCCTCCCCCGACCTACCTCGGAACGCTGCCTTCTCGGGACAAGGCTCCTACCGACACACCGCCATGGTGCGCTCCCAGAGCCAACAAATACCGGTCTCCCACCAACACCAGCCAGTCGGTGGCGCCATGGGTAAACGCCAATCCTTCTGCCCAGTACGGACCCATCGACTCCTCGACCATGTCGACGAATATTCGCCATCTGAGTACACGAAGTATTTGGACACCTCTTCCAGTCAACCTTTTGACTCGGCATTGACTTTCGGACTTGCAAATAATGGACAAACCCGGCCATCATTCCCTCAATACCCTGACCGGACGTCCCCCTGGACCGACCCGGCCCCAGCAGCTGCGCCAGAGATGACCCGCAGCACGACCACCGACTCATTAATTGGCGGAATCAATATGTTTCGGTTCGACTCGACTGGACCCCAATATCAAGAACCGGTCGGCTCCCTTCCCACGGAGTGGGTGCCAACATCCACCTCCGGTCTGCCGTATCAAGACCCCTTTCTATCCCCCGTGTACCCTGACATAGATCCCACATCGTCTTCCCCGTTCTCCCACCATTCTCCCATCTCCCATCCATCGTCCTTCTCCAACCCGTCATTCTCAGCATCCGCTCCCCCAACCACCTCCTTCTACTACCCAGTGCCCCACAATATGCTCCCCTTCGAATCAGTGGAGATAAAAGCCTCCGACTCAACCGACAGCAACAACTTGGCAAACCAGAGCTCACGCGCCGCGCGCCGCACCAAAGAACTGATCGCCCAGGCTGCGCGCCCCATTGCTCCAAAGGTCGAGTCCGTCGACACCAGCATGTCCAAGATCGACCCTCATAAGATGCTGCGCATCTCTTCCACAGATGGCACAACGAAAGAAGTCGCCGCCATCCCAAAGGTCTCCGTGAGGCGACCCCAGCGACCAAAGACATATTGCAGCATCTGCACAGATCACCCCGACGGTTTCCACGGCGAGCACGAGCTGCGCCGCCATAAGGAGCGGGTGCACGCTTCCATCCGCACAGTCTGGGTCTGCAACGACATCTCGCCTGGCAAGTACTTCCTTTCGAATTGCAAGGCTTGTCGAAATGGGAAACGCTACGGCGCCAATTATAATGCTGCGGCGCATCTGCGCCGCACGCATTTCAATCCCTGTGAGCGCGGCCGTGGCGGGCGCGGCAAAGATAGTGAGAAGCGCGGTGGGAAAGGTGGAGGTAATCAGCCTGGCATGGATGTCTTGAAACATTGGATGATTGCCGCTGAGGAAGTCACCGATGAGGCGGCGGGCGGTGGTTCCAACTCCAAGCTTCTAATTCGAAATCCTAGTCGTGTTTCGACTAAGGATCCTGGGTATCAGCTTGCTGTTGCTGCTTGTCGCTTGGTGGATGGTCAGCCTCCCCATGTTGTGGAGTCAGCTCTGCTGAAGGAGTCTGACCAATTCCCCGAATTTCCTGATGCGCCGTTTGAGTTTGATTTTGAGCTGGACCTTAATCTCGACCTCGACATTGAGAGGTCAATGGGTTCCCCCTTCTCTGATTCGTCATCGTGCATGCCTGATATTGATTCGTGTGTCAAGTGAGCGATCGTAGTCTGTTTCGTGTTTTATCTCTTCATTGTGGGTTCTTTTGCGACTGCTTGTTGAGAGCACCGTTTGACCGGGTTCGTGTACTGTATTTTGGGATATGGTTAATGGTTAGTCTCTGAGGTTAGTGGGGATTGGATCTGGATATATTTTGGTTTCTTTGGCGATATATGTGAGATAAGTTCGGTAGAGAGCAATTCTGGCGAACCTACATAGTATAATGACGAGAACGAACTAATGATAATGAAAGAGGTGTCACAGCGTTGCAATGAAAAACCGGGGATCGTCGGTATTCAGCCCTGTACATATGTACTTAGTACCCGGTACGAGAATCATAGTGTGCCATAATATGAGAGCGCAGGTACCAGGTACTGTCCAGGCAGCAACAATACGGGCGGTCAAGTACCAAGACGCGTAAAAAGCAGAACAAGGCTGTGAGTGGCTGAGAAACTCCGGAAGTGGGGTCCCGTGTCACCCGGTGGCTGATCCTCAACCAATAAAATGTGACCCAAGGAATGCACTTTGTGGCTTACTACGTGAGTCGGCGATAGGGCTGGAAATCTGTGGCTGAAAAGACTTTGCTAGAATACTGTGGCCTAAGTACACGATGGGTACCAAGGTTTTGTTTCATAGCTTTTTTTTTTTTGCTGAGGTATTGAGCAGTTGTCTTAGATTAGTAGAATTGAATGTATTGGCTTGTAAATCACGCAGCAACATCGAAGCGAAATATAAGATGATCAATATTTACTAAAAGACTCGGCCCGTGTGGAGAAGAAATGTAAAGGGGGAAAGACATAAAGGTACTTCGGAGGTACCTCATCCCTATATCCTTGGCAGACAAACTCTACTATCGGGCCCACCGACCAAGTATCTCTCAAGTACCCCAACAATTTCCTTCTCACCTGCAATACAACTTGAAAGTGAGTTACCTGACCTTTCCTCCTTTCTGACACTCTTAATCTCATCTTCATCCCCATTTTCATCCATTATTTCTCCTTTTCCACTTCGCTCGCTTATCCCACTGGCTCATCACAGCCTCCCCCTTTCGACCAATCTCAGTCTTTGCCTTATCCCAGGTACGTGGGTTTAACCGCTGTGGCGGCCATTCCTCCACTGTTTAACCTTACTCTTATGACATAAAGGCGCCGCAAGGCCCTATAATTTTGCTTGTTATGAAGTCGCTAATTCGTTTTACCTCGGTTTTAGAATAATATCCTGTCGCAATGTCCTATCCGCAGCACCCTCAGCAAGCCTATCCTCCCGGCCCTCCTCAGCAGTAAGTCGTTTCCGCCCACTTAGAAATCTGCTTTAGCCGCCCGAATTATTGAAGGCGTGAAAACTGCTCGGCTTTTGCTTTGCGACTGATAGCCCGGTCCATGGTATCTGGAGTGGTCAATATTTCGAACATGGTTCTGATCTTTTGAATGCAGATACGGTTACCCGCCGCAACAACCTGGATATGACCAGTACAACCAGGGCTACGCCCCTCAAGGAGGCCCACAGTACGCTCCGGGCCAGCAGCCGGCGCCAGTAAGTGTTGAAATACCTAATTACACACGTTCGCACACACTTACCAATATACAATAGTATTACCCACCAGGACCACCACAAGGGCAACCACAACAAGGAGGGGACAATGACAAGAAAGAAGATAAGGGTTGTTTGATGACTTGGTAAGTATCCGCATTGTCCTGGAAAGTAGGAAAATGCTAATGTGCACCCTTTCAGCTTGGGCACTATTTTCTGTTGTTGGGCATGCGCCGAATGTTGTGACTGCTGTGTCGACTGCTGCGACATGTGTTGCTGAGGTTCATGATCAATGATATCTACGATACCTTTCTTCTTGCAGGCGTTGGGATTTCTGGATACGCCCCGCAGCATTCTAGGACAGGGTACTGCATATTCGAATGGCAATAATTTCTTTCCGCCTTTACTTCATGGAACTTTTGTTTTTCCTGGACAGAATGCTCCAGGTCAGGTCAATTTTAGCTCCAATAGTTTATTCATCACATTCAAGAATTCATTCGATTGATCCGCTGGCATAATACCCGATCGTCTACCTAGGTAGATACAATGCGCATATATAATCCATCAAATGCACCTGCGTATTAAAACCTCGCACTAATTAGACACTTCATTGCTTGGTATGATATTGTGCAAAAATAATGTTACATCAATTGTTAACAACCTTGGAAGCTTGAAGCTCCTACGTAGTAAGCTTTATTTGTACTAGAAGCGGCAACCTCTTGATATTCTCAACTTCGAAGTTTATTCCTAGGAGGCATCGGACTCGGAAGACCTATTCTGGATTTATTTAATCTATTTTTGGAAATTGAATAGTAAGGCGCATCGCTTGCTCTAAGCTAACTAGTCCGGGGAATGATAGGCAGAGGGCCACTCTTCGTGCTGTGCCTAAGCGCCTTGCTATATGCGTTGTTGTCCGGGCAAGTTACGAATTTCCTTGGACATTAAATAAGGAACCCCCGACATCGTATGTACTTATTGAGCTTGTAATTATTCTGTTGCTCCGCCATTTCATCTTGGTTTGATCATTTCCTAGCCCAATAAACCTCAACCTATATGTCAATCGCAATATGGCTACAGAGATCGGACCAAGCCCGCTTGACACCAATGGATTGTGTCTCTTATCATTGGATGGTGGAGGTGTGAGAGGATTGTCAAGTCTCCTGATATTGAGAGATGTGATGACACAGCTCAATTCAGAGCGTGAGGATAGTGAAGTCCTCAAGCCTTGTGATGTGTTTGACCTGATTGGAGGCACCAGTACAGGAGGGTGTATATTAACAATAGGGTTATAGAAGCTGAGCTGACATATGCGACATGTTTAGATTGATCGCCATAATGCTAGGGCGGCTGGAAATGGGTGTCGACGAGTGTATCATTGCATACACCGAATTGATGGAATCGGTCTTCAGCGAGAAAATAAACAAACTCCCAGTTGACTGGTCTGAAAAGATCGTATCACAATATGACAGCAAGAGACTCAAAAAGGCCATTGAAAGCGTCATCACTCGTGTTGGGTTGTTGCCAACAGACCTGATGAATGATGGGAAGCCCCGTCGCTGCAAAACGTTTGTCTGCACAACCTCTAAAGATACTTTTCAAGTCACACGCCTTCGAAGCTATTCATTGTCGAATGAGATTGCATTACCGGCGACTATCTGTGAAGCAGCAATGGCAACATCCGCTGCGACCAGATTCTTTGATCCGGTTTCGATCGGCAACCACCAATTTGTGGACGGAGCATTCGGTGCTAATAATCCTATTGAGGAAGTCGAAGGAGAAGCCGCTGATATATGGTGCACAACGAGCCGGGCTCTGAAGCCATTGGTGAAATGTTTTGTGTCTGTGGGGACAGGAGATGCTGCACAAGTCCCCATGGATGACAATATGCTGACGGTTCTTTCAAAGACATTGGTAAAACTGGCAATCAAACCAGAGAGTACTGAACGTCGCTTTATGGCTCGATGGAGCAATGAGGTAAAGGGGAAACGTTACTTTCGCTTCAACGTTAAGCAAGGACTGGAGCAAGTCCACATGACCGAGTTTGAAAAGCAAAGCGTAATCGAGTCTGCAACATATGTCTATCTACATCATTCATCCGAAAAGATCCGAGTTCGTGACTGTATTTTGAACCTATCACAGAAGGAAGGTATATATGTAGGAATCAAACTCGCAAAACTCCTGGCGCGTTGTGGTTAGGTGCTGACCATTTGCAGGAAAGACTAGGTAAAATTGACTTTGAAACAACTATACGTGTAAGATATGAATATTCTCTGTTATGGAGGATAATGTCGCTAGAATTTCTAAATCTGACTCTCTATTAGGAACATGGAGCTCGAGCTGCTCACCATAAAATCCTGCAAGCGCTGGATTTGCCAGACAACCCTTTTCACCACAAAAAGCCTGCTTGCTGGGTTGTTCCTTTTGAAAGGAATCCACGATATGTCGATCGCCATGTCGTGGGAAAGGTAAAATGCAGACTATTTGCCAAGAACCAACCCGAACGAATTGCTATCTTTGGTCTTGGAGGAATAGGCAAGACACAAATTGCCCTAGAGCTTGCCTATCAAACGAGGGAGCTATATCCAGATTGTGCCATCTTTTGGCTCCCTGCAGTCGATACGGAGAGTCTCCAACAAGCATACCAGAGGGTGGCCGATCAGCTTGGGATCGCCCTTGGTGATACGAGGGAGGATGTGATGAGGCTTGTAAAGGACCCTTTGAGTCGGTCAAGCACTGGGCGATGGTTGTTGATCTTTGACAACGCCGATGAGATTGATATGTGGACCGAAAGCCAAATTTCAACAACTGGAGGGCTAAAAGACTACCTTCCCACGAGCAATGAAGGCGCCATTGTCTTCACGACCCGAAGCAACAAAGTGGCTCAGTACCTTGCCGAAACAGAAGTTATTGAAATTGCCGAAATGGATGAGCAAAAGACCACTCGCGTCTTGCGGAATACCTTGATTAGCAAGGAACTGCTCCACGATACCGAAAGCACCCGAAAGCTCCTTAGCCGACTTACGTTTCTCCCTCTGGCTATTGTGCAAGCTGCTTCGTTTATTAACGAAAATAGACTCACACTCGCTAGCTACGTTGATCTTTTGGATCGGACAATAACAGAGGATCCCCATCCTGCACGGACCTGCTTTTTGCACAAGGTAGGCAGATGTCAAACTTGGGACGGGAGGGCCAAAGAAGCCGAAAGAATCTTCATTGAAAGCATCGAAATCGCGGGTGTATTATACGGCCCTGACAGTCCATATGCTTTATTTGGGGATTACGAGCTGGTGCATAGCTATTTAGGCCAAGGTAAGCTGAAGGAAGGAGTTAAACTTTGCGAGGAGATAGTAGAGAGGATGAAGATCATTTGTGGTCCTGATAGCATTGAGACCATGGAATATGTCTGGGACTTGACAATTATATACCGCACTACTTCTAACCACGATAAGGCTCGAGAACTTTGCAAGAATGTGATCCCATATTTTCTCAGAAGACTTGGTCCAGATTCCATGGAGAAGCTGGATGAAATCGTTTCCCTGGCCTCATCTTACCTCCTCGATCCAAAGCTCTTAGTTGCTTCAGAGTTATCTCTCCGATCATTGCATATGAACAGAACGGTATTCGGGTCGGAGAGCGATCGAACGCTCCGGGCAATGTGTGATATGGGCGTTATATATTTGAAGAGATGGTGACTTAAAAAGGCCGAAGCCCTGTTTACAGAAGCAGTCGAAACTCATAAGCGTATCTTCGGAGTCGAACATCCTTCCACACTCAGCTCCATGGGTTGGCTATCTATTGTATTGAGGTGTCAAAGTCGGCGCAAAGAAGCCGTTGCCTTGAGGACAGAGTGTCTCCGTTGCAGTGTGAAGGTCTATGGTTTAGACCATGACATTACCCAGCTGCAATACTCATACCTGGAGGCATGGACAAAGTTCAGGTATGTTTTGTCACACTACTGGTATTGGCGATACATGCACTAACAATGCTATCCAAGAACATTCAGTTCTTGCATGGATGTTCTCCCTTATGTTCGGCATGCGAAAAAGGTATTTTACGACAGGAGCACGTATGCGAACGCCAAGAAGTATAACCCATATTACGTTTTCCCACAGCCCGGAAAGGACCCTTTACTTCTTGAGATTCTGGAAATGGTGAACGGTATTCTTACAAAGAGACAATTGTCGAGTGACGGTGTCACTCGGGTAGAAGGCCAGGAAGAGGCGAAATTCGTTTGATTGCATGGTCATCATAATCATCCCAATCATGTTCTTCATACAACTTCAATGCAATTTCACAGTGACCTATGATCAATCATACTTGTTATTTCCAAAGCCTAGGTAGAACAAAACTGGCCCTAACAACAGTCAATGCTGTAGTAATCGCGACATAGTACAGCGGATTTTTCTATGACCGTCTTATTTGCCCCCGAGCCCTTGGACAAAACAAGAGGTTAACTTGTTATCCGAGATTATTAGCTAAACAAGGGTCGGGCTGTGCATTTGCTATATTGGAGTAGCATGTAGGACGCCGAAGTAAGCTTTATTTATGCGAATCTAATCGGTTCATGGATATCCTTCTATGTAATATTGAAGTCTGAAAGCCAAGAGGCTAAGAGAAGCTTGAGACACTACAGGGCTTATTGTGGCGCTTGCTTGTTATGGCATAGTGCTAGATTAGATGAGGGTGAGAATCTGATTAGATCTCCGCTTGTCTCCAGTTCTTTCGCAAAAGTGATGAACACCAGGGGTCATTCTCAAGGGTTCCCGTTCAACCGAGGCTTGATATTTACCTTCACCTCGTCCCCATACATTACTACTGCATCTCCTGTAGCAAGGGTAGCAGATTAATTCTTCTATAAGGTCAGCTAGCGAGCGGTCTGGGCTGTTGGGCCATTATGTTCCCTATTGTCGCCGCGACATTATACTTCATGCCTAAGATTAACCTTGGCAAAGCGCAAAGACAAGCGCCTGGGATTCGGGAAATCAGTGATCGCACACTGATGTAAAGTGTATGGTAACATACTATCGGGTTTGGTCGTCAGCATCAACTTTGTCACCTCACAATCAAAATTATCTATCCCCTCGGAAGCGAGCTAAGAGTGGGAATTCAAAAGGCCAATGGGAATGTAGAAGTCCGTATGATTCCGGTTGTTCTAGGTGTCATGGTTCCGGTCATTGTCTCTCTGGAAACACCTTGGTCTTAGGTACTGATCTCAAGAAGACCCCCCAGGTCAGAGGCACGGTCTTCTAAGAGTTATGGGACAAGATAGAGGTGGTGTCCGATTGGATATCTGACTGCGTGCATCGGACTGTTTGTGGTCTATGCTGCTTGATATTGTCGGCTATTCTCTGGTATCTATCTATTGTTGTCTTTTTTTTGACCCTTTGATATATATATCTACTCCTGATCTGTTACTATATCACAAACATGTGTCACATGCAATGAGAATGAGGTATTCAAATTTGGGATTCAGTGTCTGAATAAATCAGCACTATTTATTTTTACGAACCTTTCACCCATGATATTTTTTTTCTAAAACCCGGAACAACCCTTCGTGACAATAACCAGGCACCCCGGTCCCGGGGGCAAGTGGATGGATGATCTGCAGCGGAGAACGCCGTGTGGATTTACCCGTCAATCACAACTCATATCCCCTTTCAATAAGTACCCTTCCACGCTAGCCAAGAGAAAGGTATCAGTTGAATGCAGCGCCAATTACCAAATCAGCACCGAATCCGACATTTCTTACAGCTGTAAGTCTCGGCGCTCTCCCGGAGAGCCAATTGCTCTAGTGTTGGCCCCACGCAAGGGAGGATGACAACACAAGTCGGCCGATGTTTTCCCGGGCGTTTACTTTGAGTGGGTTCCGCTTAGGATATGCACTCCTCATGGAGAATTACCCAATTAGGAAAAAAAAAACCTCGGTATTACGGTCGCTGTCGGCAGAATGGCCTATGCAAAGCAAGAGATCAAGCCATGCTCCTTCGATGCCATGGACGTCATCTTTTTCCGCCGGGGTCTATGGGGGTGCAAGGAGGAGTATGGGTAATTAGCCGACATGGCACTCATCGCTGGTTGATTGAGTTGTCTGCATATAAATATCCGCTCCAGCGCGTCTTTTACCCATACCCCCTGCATTCTGAATAGGATCTACTGGTTGAAACAGCCAGGTGTGAACTTAACAGAGCAAGATGTTGCATAAATACCTTCTTCTGCCACTTTTGGCATCGTACGGTGCTGCTGTCACTATTTCGGTAGCCAAATCTGGAGGCAATGCTACATCAGGTTTGCAGTATGGCGCGATGGAAGAGGTATGCTGAGCTTGTTGTCTATTGGTATTGCATCTAATCCAAGGTCTAGGAAATCAATCACTGTGGCGAAGGAGGTCTTTATGCCGAATTGATCCGCAACAGAGCTTTCCAGGGGAGCACCAAGTTCCCTTCGTCACTGGAGGCCTGGTCTGGTGTTGAGGGATCATCGCTGTCACTGAAGAACCTCGACGACCCACTGTCAACTGCCCTTCCGACTTCTGTCAATGTCAAGGGCTCTGGCACAGCTGGGTTGGCTAACGCCGGCTACTGGGGGATTGACGTTCGTCCACAGAAATACACAGGGTCGTTCTACGTGAAAGGCTCTTATAAAGGGTCTTTCACGGCCTCTCTCCTTTCTTCCAGTGGCAAAGTTCTGGCCACTGCCAAGGTTGCCTCAAAGAGCGTTGCAAACGACTGGGTGCAACATAAGTTTGTTCTTACTCCCAAAGCGAAAGCTTCTGATTCAAAGAATACTTTCTCGCTGACCTTCGATGCCTCGGTAAGATTTGGCATGGATATGATATTCTCAATGACCTCGGCTAATTCTTTCTAGAAAGCATCGGGTGGCTCACTTGACTTCAATCTGATCAGTTTATTCCCACCCACTTGGAATGATCGCCCCAATGGCATGCGGAAAGACTTGATGCAAGCTATGGCTGATATGGGTCCTGTAAGTTGCAGTTCATATGCTCTGCATAATCCAGAATCCATGATACTAATAGAGTTGATAGAAATTCCTTCGCTTCCCAGGTGGAAATAACATGGAGGGTGATAGCATCGCCGGTCGCTGGAAGTGGAACGAGACCATTGGACCACTCACAGACCGGCCCGGTCGTGCAACCACCTGGAAGTACCAAGAGACCCTTGGATTAGGCTTGGTTGAGTACATGGAGTGGTGTGACGATCTTAACATGGAACCCAGTGAGTACACCACTTTGCAACGCTTTGTCTTACCAAGCTGACAAACCCTGTTTAGTCCTGGGGGTCTATGCTGGACTTGCTCTGAACGGAGAGGTTGTCCCGGAGGCTGAGCTCGATTTCTACGTGCAGGATGCCCTCAACGAGATTGAGTTTTTGACCGGCTCTGTGGACACCGAGTACGGTGCTCTACGCGCCAAGGTTGGACACCCAGAGCCATGGAAAATTCGGTATGTTGAGGTCGGGAACGAGGATATGTTGAGCAATGGACTGGAGACATACAAGGCCTACCGGTTCGCAGCCTTCTATGACGCTATCACGGCGAAGTACCCTGATATCCAGGTCCTTACGTCTACTATCGACATGACAATTCCTGGAAATGCGGGTGGTGATTATCACTTGTATGATAACGCGGATAACTTTGTCAAGAAGTTCGACATGTTTGACAATTTTTCGCCAAAGCATCCTATCTTGCTCGGTAAGTGATTTGCTACAATTGCGAAACTATGACTATGACTGACACACGTCAAGGTGAGATCGCCGCCACATCGCCATTGAATGGAGTTGATATCGACTGGAGTGACACCCATTTCTCTCAGTACCCTTGGTGGATTGGAACCGTTGCGGAGGCTGTGTTCCTTATTGGTGCCGAGCGTAATGCTGACAAGATCATTGGAAGCACTTACGTGAGTTATTTCAGAATTTGCTTTGCTAGATGGGAACTGACAAAGGAATAGGCTCCCTTCATGATGAACTTGGACAACTACCAATGGTCGCCAACCATGCTATCCTTCAATGCCGACCCTGATCAGACGGCTCGCTCTACTAGCTGGCACGCGTGGAGCGTATGTTACCCTATTATCCGAGCTTGAGGGTCTACTTTACTGACATGAGATACAAATATAGCTGTACAACCACAACGCCATGACAGAGACTCTCCCAGCCACTTCCTCCGACGGCTTTGGTCCTCTGTACTATGCGACAGGTCTCAACAGCAAGACCAAGTCGCACATTTTCAAGGCAGCAGTATACAACAGCACATCCGATGTGCCTGTGTCACTGACATTCGAGGGTGTCGGCCGTGGCACCAAGGCAGACCTGACCATCCTGACAGCTCCGGATGCATTTTCCATGAACGAGGTGGGCGGGCCAAACATTGTCAACACCAAGACGACCAAGATCAAGGCTGGCAAGAAGGGCGAGTTCTCTTTCAAGCTGCCCAATCTGAGTATTGCCGTGCTCACTACCAATTAATGTGGCTTCAAGAGTATACATTTGTGTTACGAGCTGCGCATACATAGCACTACTAGAATAAAATATATTGTGCTCCATTTTGGAAAGTAGTTACTCTATCTCCATCCATCTTATCCCTGTCCTCGCTTCACTCCCACCAGACCTAAACCCGACAAGCATCAAGCATCCTAAATCCGAAATTTCTCCGGTGTATCCCCCTGATTCCGCCAATCCGCAGCCTTGAAAGCCTCCAATTCCTTAAGGGCCGAATGAATGCGCTTGATGTTAGGCACGAAATCCAAATCCATTCGGTATAACAAAGCCTGGTCAACTGTAGGCACCAGTACGACATCCGCCATAGAAACAGTATCTCCAAAGGAATATCTCCCCCCTCTGGCCTGCTTCACTAATAGACCCTCGTATGCTTGGAATCCATCGGTGAATGCCTGTTTGGCGAATTCAAGTTGGTCATCTTCACTCTCACGAATAGCCTTCACCCGCTGGACGATACGGGAGTTGGTGGTAGGTTGTGTATCGATCGCGATGATATTTACTAGATCGCGCACCTGCACACGATCCTGTAACTTGGTAGGCAGAAGTGGAGATATATCTGGGAACCGTTCCTCGAAATATTCTAGGATTGTCATGGATTGACGCAGGATGGTCTTTTCACCGTTGGCACTTGTCACTATCAGAGTAGGCACGCTGGCGCTGGGGTTTGATTGTTTGTATTCGTCTGTTGTGTGCTCTTTGGTACCGAGGTCGATGTAGGTGTATTCAAGAGGGATGCCCTTGAGGTGAGCGGCGATTATGATTCGTTGACAGCATGAGGAGCAGAAGTATGAGTAGAGATGGAAGGTATCGGTATGCATGTTTGGACTGATTTGAGCAGAGTAGAACGGAATGGAGGGAGGTATCAATCAAGGTTACCTTCAGTATCAGCACTAGCACTGATCTAGTCAAGTGTCATTATGGCCCTCCAGGGCTGACAACTTGTCTTACTAAGAAGGATTTTGCTAGATCAGTCAGATATTCGCCTGAACAAATCGGCCTTATTATCTCTTTTTTCAACTCATCAACTTCTATGTTCTATGCTATATCCTTCCGATATTTACAACTTGTCGCATTGAGTATCAGCTCTTTGCACTGTGCGGTCGCGTTAATCTGCTCCCGCCCTTTACCACCTTCATGTTTTGGTTGAGGAGTCTTCCTCGACCGACCTGGATTGATGCATAGCCGCCAATCCATTAGGTCTGCGTGAGGCGTGGGTCGATCTCACCATAAATACCACGCCTATCCCCTATACTCCCGCATGGGGCTGAACCGGGGTACGGAATCGTGTTATTTACTTGCCGCCCGCGCGCTCCAGACCCTTTCCACGGGTAAATATCGAAGCGACGGTCGCAATGAATGCGAAGAGCGCGGAGGCCATGAAGGAGAGTCTGATCCCACGGTAATACACCAGCCGAGCGGCCATTTGCACATCCGGAGGGAGGTCATAAATAGCCGAGACTGAGTGGCGGATCTCATCAATAACCTAGGAAGATGCGAATATTTAGGTCAGCAAGGCTCATTCAGAGGCGCAGTAAAATCGACTGTTGAAGGAATTGTACTTTCCATTTATTGGGTATTCCACTCAAGGCCTCCCCGAGGCCTGAGTTAAGTGTATTCTGCATGATAGTGGATGTCACTGCAACGCCCCAAACTGTTCCGAGGGAACGGATGAGGTAGACGGTTGAGGCGGAGACGGCGTGATCTGCAGACGATATGGTTAGTAGGCTTGCTTGGAAATGGCTGGCCTCTCGCAGATTCAAGTAGTGAGGCTGGTGAGAAGAACAGGAAAAGTATCTTACCGGCATGGTCGAAGGCCGCTAGGAACGTGAACAGGATTCCTGGGTACACCATCCCCTGACCCAAATTGGCGGGAATGACAAACACGAAATACTTCCATTCCGAGTCGTTGAATCGAAGGACTGCAACGAGAAGGTTGCCCACGAACATTAGGACTGCACCGACGCGGACAATGGAGGCCAGTCTGCCCCAGCGCGACATGACGATTCCCGCTACCAAACCACCAAGTGGAGTGAATAGACAGGGAATCACAAGTCGGGTGCCAGCCTTGCTGGGAGAGTCGAGAAGAATCACTTGGAACATGAGAGGTAGAGTAAAAAGGAACTGGAGGTATTACGTTAGTTGTGATACTCATCGGACTGGTGAAACGGGTGATCTTACTGCATACGCTGACATCCCGACACAAACATTGGCGATCTGCGTGGAAACAGCAAGCTGCCCTCGTAGCATCTTCAATGGAATTAAAGGTGCGGCGGTGGTTTTCGCTTCAACGGCGACAAATGCGGCCAGCAAAACCACACTTGAGACCAATGGCAGAACTACCCACATGTGAGTCCAAGGAAGGACGTTTCCACCTAGGCTAAGTCCCACCAGTTGAGCCGAAAGGGCCAAAATTAGCAGACATGCGCCCAGCATATCAATTTGCTGCCAAATTCCCTCGGTCTGTCCATCTGGAGAAGATTCAACGTTGCGAGGAGGAAACCTCAAGACTATATAGCCCATGACCAAAGCAAACAAGGAAATTGGAACCTGTAGCAGGAAGCACCAGCGCCATCCGATTGAGTCAACGATGGCACCTCCAAAAGAAGCGCCACAGATGCCACCGAAGCCGTATGAGACATTCTGGATTGCTTGGTACATACCGCGCTGGCGGAAGGGAATAAGATCCGAGTTGATGATTGTTGCTAGAATATTTTGTTAGCTTGATTTATTAACTGAATAGTCGTCGACTTACCCATAGTCATCAAACCTCCCCCGCCAACACCAGTCAGGGCGCGCATGATGTTCAAAAAGACTACATCACGGGCCACGGCACATCCTAGACAACCGACCATGAAGGTGATCGTCGCAGTGAAGAAACAAGACCGCCGACCGAGGAGATCCGAGAATCGGCCGTAAAGAGGCTGGAATGCCGTGCTCGTAATCAAGTACGAGGTAGTCAACCACGAAGCAGTGTTTGCAGCGTTGAACTCGGAGCTGATCACAGCATAGGTTGAGGCCGTGATGGTGCCGTCAAACCCGCCAAGAAATACATTGGCCATGATCGCTGTTAAATTGTCAATTTCTGCCCGATTACCCGTAGATTTTGATATAACTTACCGATCTGGATCATTAAAAACCCTGGCGGCGGGCTCCAAGTCGCAGGAACTGGATCTGATTGCAATAAAGGCTGCTCTTCGCTTCCTGCCGATATTTCGGCTTCATTCTCGTGAGTCGACATGTCTGAGTGACTTTCCTGCGAATCCTGAGAATCCAATAATGCCATAGTCGACTTTCAATCGCAAATTTGCTTAGAAGATGACGAAACTGTCCGACTGTCGGAAATTTCAGAGATTTTAGTCAAGCGGGCACTTAATCGGGAAATGCGAGCGGATTATCCCCCGCCAAGTGCCAAGCACGACATCATATTCCACTGTGACATAATGGCATAGGGCTTGGTTTATAAAAGGTGTTATCCCATTATTATTCTCATTTTAAACAAATATTCCGATTCAATCAAGTCAAAGAGACTCAGTGCAGAGCACCAAACTAAGGTTAATGTACCCTATCATGCATATAATGACCAGCATCATGGAAACTGATCGCTGGACCAGTACTTATTATGAAGCTCCTTGAAACCATCGCCTGCACTGCAGCGTTGTTGCCGCTCGTTGCAGCAGACTGGCAGTTCAAATCTCGAACAGATCTGGCCCCGCCTCGTCTGAACATCACCATCCCGGCGACAAAGGATGTCGAAAAGGGTTACCTCTTTATCGCGCCTTTCCCAGGTCAATGGGCTGAGCCACAGTTCCACGGTCCGCGCCAGGAAGCTCCATATATCGTTCGTGATGACGGTGAGCTGGTCTGGTCAGGCTATACCTACTTCTCCATCTGGGCCACCAACTTCCAGAAGGCCAGATGGAATGGTCAGGATGTGCTGTTCAGCTTCGAGGGTGATCATAACCCGGCCTATGGACATGGTCATGGTCATGCTACCGTTCTGAATCAGAACTATGAGACTATTCGGGAGCTCCGCGCTGGAAACCACAAGCTCATGGACAAGCATGAATTCCACGTCATCGATGAGAAGACTGCGTTACTTCAGGTCTATCAGCCTGTGCCGAAGAATCTGTCTCGCTGGGGTGCTAGCACTGAGCAGCAGTGGATCGTCGATGCCATCTTCCAGGGTATGTGGGTCCTTGAATATATGAAGAGCTTAATGCTGAGTCGCAGTAGAGTTGGATATTGAGACTGGAGAACTGCTATTTGAGTGGTCTAGCCTCGAGCATGTCTCTCCTGATGGTAAGTCAGCTGTCTTCAAGTCTTATAATGGACTGGTTTAACATCATGTAGAGGCGGTCCTCCCTCTCAATCCTGGTCAAGCGGGTGCGGGCTACAACTCATCCGACGCATGGGACTACTTTCATATCAACTCTGTGGACAAGGATGTCCAAGGCAACTACCTGATATCTGCACGAGATGCATGTGCAGTCCACAAGGTCAACGGTACCACTGGTGAAATCATATGGCGGCTGGGTGGTCTCCGCTCAGACTTCGAGCTCGGTCCCAATGTCAAGTTCTGCTTCCAACATCACGCACGATTTGTCGAACAGGGCGACAATGAGGAAATCATCTCGCTTTTCGATAACTCGGCTCATGGAACAGAGAACCACGGCGGCAAAGAGGTTCACACCCATCCTTTCTCACAGGGTAAGGTCATTTCTGTCAACACTGCCACCTGGACTGCAGAGATTGTTCAAGCCTTCCAACCTCCCGATGGACTTCTCGCCAAGTCCCAAGGCAGTACCCAGCTTCTACCCAACGGTAATGCCCTGGTCAATTGGGGATCCGAGGGAGCTATGACTGAGTTCCGGGCGGACGGTACCCCGATTTTCCACGCATACATGGACTCAGGACTGCTGGGCGAGGGTGTCCAGAACTATCGGGCATTCCGGTACAACTGGACTGGCCTACCCACAGAAGAGCCTGCCATTGTAGCTGAGAGGACCTCCTCTGGCACTGAAATCTTTGTTTCGTGGAACGGTGACACTGAGACCGCGGTTTGGCGATTTTATGCTGTTACCGATCGATTCGGGTCTCGGGAATTCTTGGGCGAGGCTACCCGCGCTGGATTCGAAACGTCTTTCTCCGTGCCTGGTCACTCATACCGGAAATTGGCAGCTGAGGCTGTCTCAGCTCGCGGTCGTGTCTTGACTACAACTAGGGTTGCTCATATCCAGGAGGCGGTGGTCCCTCCTAATACTGTTATTGCAGGATCCGAGGACCGTAGCTCTTGGAGACAGTTGATCTTGCAGGCATAGAAGAGATATATGTACTAGGAGTATAGAGGGGAATAAGATGGAGAAGTATGAAGTGTGACGTGGTTTCATAATCCTTTTACCGGATCTTTTGCTGTCCGGTTCGTAAAGTTCTTATTAAACTCTCGGATCTTGATAATTCCGAGTTAACGATATATTGCCCGAAAGAGAGCCGTTTACCCGAATGGGAAGTTGCTATGAATATAAGGCCGTGGGGGTGAGGGGGGGACTATGCTGATACACAGCCAATCAAGAGACTGAAAAACACCTTAAATGTATACGTTATGTGAGGTAGTATTATCATAATGTAATGTGACATTCAAGTTAGACAATCAGATATTGATATATTTAGCTATTGAGATAGGTGGTGTATAAGGTGTATAAGGTGTATAGTATGTATAGGGTGCATAATGTGTATAACATGTATAATATAAGTCCCATTTCCGGAAAGAGCGACGGTCCAGTGGAAGTTGAAGGTTTTCGGATTTCTTACTTTCCGAATTGCCGTTTTCTTCTTTACGTCCACGGGGTTCCTTCCTTCTTGACGTTCCTTCCTTCTTGACGTTCCTTCCTTATCTTTTCTCCCTGTCTCGTCACGTCTTCATCTCCGTCACGTCTCACCCATTTGTTTTCTTCCTGTCAACATCTCTCGTTTACCTTTTTCATCTCCATTTACCTCTTTCACCTTCATTTACATCTTTCACCATCGTTTTTCCTACATGTCTTCACAGCTTCTTCCTTCTTTGGGCTTCTCGCCAACTCAACCGATGCTAGACCAGATGGCGAACATGCTTGACAATGTCGTTGATACTCCCGGCTCCGAGACTCCAGTATCCGAGTCTGGGGGTGATCGCGACAGACATATCACTACTCTAGCACGTTCCATCTCGCAAATCTCACGAACTAGCAGTGTCCGCATCGGTGTACCCTCAGAGGGTATCAACACCTTCCTTGATCCTACCAGTCACCCAGAGCTGGATCCCAATAGCGACCAGTTTGACTCACGCAAATGGGTCAAGAACATCTTCCATATTCTCGCTGAGGATCCAGACCGCTACCCTCCTCGCACGGCGGGGGTCTCCTTCCGCAACCTCAATGTTTTCGGCTATGGCAGCGGATCTGATTATCAGATGAATTTTGCCAACGCCTGGCTCAAGGTTGCCAGTTGGGTCTGCAAAAAGCTTGGGTCTCAGAGAAAAGTTCGCATCGATATTCTACGGGAGTTCGAAGGCATTGTCCATAGTGGCGAGATGTTGGTTGTTCTAGGTCGCCCTGGAAGGTACATGAATTGACACTCCTTGGGGAAGACTAATCACTAACGGCCACCAGCGGATGCTCGACCTTCCTCAAAACCATTGCCGGTGAGACACACGGTCTTTATCTCGACAAGGAGAAAGGGTCCGAGGTGCAATATGACGGCATATCCTGGGACGACATGCACAGCCAATTCCGCGGCGAAGTCATCTACCAGGCCGAAACCGAGACACACTTTCCTCAACTGACAGTCAGTGATACATTGATGTTTGCCGCTTACGCTCGAGCGCCGAGTAACCGACTTCCTGGTGTCACACGCGACCAATATGCGACGCATATGCGGGATGTGGTGATGGCAATGCTTGGATTGACCCATACCATGAATACCAAGGTGGGCAATGAGATTATTCGAGGTGTATCTGGTGGCGAAAGAAAGCGAGTCAGTATCGCCGAAACCACTCTTTGTCGGTGTCATTTGCAGTGTTGGGACAACAGCACTCGTGGACTCGACAGCTCCACTGCCCTGGAATTTGTCAAGAACATCCGCCTCTCCACTGACTATACCGGATCCACCGCTATTGTCGCAATCTACCAAGCGAGTCAGTCTATCTACGACTTGTTTGATAAGGCAATTGTGCTCTACGACGGGCGTCAGATTTATTTCGGAAGTGCTTCCAATGCACGACAATTCTTTATCAACATGGGATTCCACTGTCCAGACAGACAAACCACTGCGGACTTCCTTACGTCTCTCACCAGTCCCTCGGAACGCCTTGTTCGCCCCGGATTTGAAGACACCGTTCCACGCACACCGGATGAGTTTGCAACGCGCTGGAAGGAAAGCCCAGAGCGCAAACAGCTCCTCGCTGAGATCGAACAAAACACAGCCGGGAAATCTGACAACCTTGCGCAATTCCATCGTTCTCGTGCAGCAGACAAAGCTAGGTTTACTCGCGCAAGCTCCCCATACACACTTTCGTATCCAATGCAAATTCGGCTGTGTCTTTGGCGAGGGTTTTTGCGGCTCAAAGCAGACATGTCTACGACGGTCGCCACACTCGTTGGAAATATAGGCATGTCTCTGATCATTTCCAGCGTCTTTTACGACACACCAGACAACACCGACAGCTTCAACAGACGTGGAAGCCTAATCTTCTTTGCTATTATGATCAGTGCCTTCTCTAGCGGGCAGGAAATCATGACTATGTGGGTGCAGCGCCCAATCGTGGAAAAGCACCTCAAGTACGCACTATACCATCCGTCGGCGGAAGCTATTAGCGCGCTCATTGTGGAACTTCCATCGAAGATCATCCTATGCGTGGTTTTCACTTTGATCATCTATTTCTTACCCAATCTTCGGCGAACTCCCCGGAATTTCTTTGTCTTTTTCCTCTATTCGCTAACGACAACCCTTGTGATGTCCAATATCTTCCGATTTATTGGCGCAATCTCGAGATCCGTGGCACATGCCATGCCACCTGCTGCAGTTGTCATGCTTGTCTTGGTTATGTACACCGGATTCATTATTCCTATTCGCAATATGCGCCCTTGGTTCCGGTGGCTCAACTACGTGACCCCGATGGGGGTAATGATAACTCTACTTTTCTGTATTTACACCAGAATATGCTAACACAAAATAGTACAGCTTCGAGGCGTTGCTGATCAATGAGTTCAGCGGACGATCCTTCCCTTGCTCGACCTTTGTTCCAGGCATCTTGGACATGTACAAGAATGCGCCTCTCAGCTCCAAAATCTGTTCACAGAAGGGTGCTGTGGCAGGTCAAGATTTCATTGACGGAGAGACATACATTAACACGACTTACGAGTACAAAGGCTCCAATCTGTGGCGAAACTTCGGGATTCTCTGCTTTATGGGCGCCGGTTTCTTTGTGCTGTACGTTTTAAGTAGCGAGCTCATCCGGGCAAAACCGTCTAAAGGTGAAATTCTCGTATATCCGCGCGGCAAGATTCCTGCATTTGCAAAGAATGTTCGAAAGGACGATCCAGAGGAGGTCATTGCATCAGAGAAAGGTGCAGTTTCTAGCGAATCCCGGGGCACAACTGCAGCAATTGCTCGCCAAACTTCGATCTTCCATTGGGAAAATGTGTGTTTCGACATTAAGATCAACGGGACTTCGCGACGTATCCTGGACAACGTGGATGGCTGGGTCAAGCCTGGCACTCTAACAGCCTTGATGGGTGTCACTGGCGCAGGAAAAACATCCTTGCTCGATGTGTTGGCCGATCGTGTCACTATTGGCGTCGTCTCCGGCGACATGCTTGTCGATGGCCGGCTACGCGACGATTCCTTCCAGCGAAAAACAGGTTACGTGCAGCAACAGGATCTACATATGGAAGCAAGTACTGTTCGTGAAGCCCTGGTTTTCAGCGCTCTCCTTCGCCAGCCAGCTAGCATTTCTCGTCGGGATAAGGTTGCCTACGTCGAAGAGGTCATTCGGATGCTCGGTATGGAAGAATACGCAGATGCTGTGGTCGGTGTTGAAGGCGAGGGCCTCAATGTGGAGCAACGCAAGCGGTTGACTATCGGCGTGGAGCTGGCAGCCAAGCCAGATTTGCTGCTATTCTTTGATGAACCAACTTCTGGTTTGGATAGTCAAACTGCTTGGTCAATCTGCACTCTGATGCGCAACTTGGCCAACCACGGTCAAGCTGTACTATGTACCATTCACCAGCCTTCGGCAATGCTAATGCAGCAGTTCGACCGCCTACTGTTTCTCGCCAAAGGAGGACGCACAGTGTACTTTGGTGACCTTGGCCCGAACATGGAAACTTTGATCAGATACTTCGAAGACAAAGGATCGCCCAAGTGTCCGAAGAACGCAAACCCGGCTGAGTGGATGCTTAAGATTATTGGTGCTGCACCGGGCTCTCACACAGATAAAGATTGGGCCGAACAATGGACCAACAGTACTGAGCGCACAGAGGTCCGCAGACAGCTGGCTGAGATGAAAGAGGAATTGTCCAAGAAGCCTGTACCTGTGCAGGTTGCAGAGTTCAGTGAATTCGCCATGCCACTCTGGTATCAGTTCCGCATTTGTACCCAACGTACCTTCCAGCAGTATTGGAGAACTCCGTCGTATCTATACGCCAAGACTCTCACCTGCATTGTACCAGTAAGTTATCTTCCTCCCTTTTATTGGATTGAACTGACTGTTATAGCAATTGTTCCTCGGATTCACGTTCTGGAACATGGATAACAGTATTCAAGGGATGCAGAATGAGATGTTCGCAATCTTCATGTTCCTCGTCGTCTTTCCAAATCTGGTCCAGCAGATGATGCCGGCCTTCTGCAAGAACCGTGGTTTGTATGAAGCACGCGAACGGCCTTCAAAGGCGTACTCGTGGGTCGCATTCATCTCGGCCAGTATTATTGTGGAGCTAGTATGGAACATCACGATGTCGGTTCTAGCCTTCTTTTGCTGGTACTACCCAATCGGGTTCTACCGCAATGCAGAACCCACCAATGCGGTGACCGAACGAGGCGGCATCATGTACGTGCTCATCATGCTTTTCTTGTCCTTCACGTCGACCTTTAGCTCAATGGTGATTGCTGCAATTGAAAACGCCGAGACTGGGAGCAGCATTGCTCAGTTCATGTTCTCTCTTTGCTTGGTTTTCAATGGGTAAGTGATCTGCAGGTGCTTGGTTGTCAATTGGTGATAGTACTAATTGGCTTGCAGAGTACTTTCGAGTGCATCTGATATGCCTCGATTCTGGATCTTCATGTACCGGCTCTCACCATTCACGTACTACGTGTCCGCTGTCCTCGCAACTGGCCTGAGTGGGGCGACAGTGGAATGTTCCAGTATCGAGGTGCTCACTGTCTCGCCCCCCGATGGACAGACTTGCGGCGGCTACCTAGGGCCATACATCCAGGCCACCCAAGGCGCGTTGCTCAATCTGGACGCGTCGGTAGATTGCAAGGTCTGCACAATGTCGAGAACGGACCAGTTCCTCGCCGGTCTCGGCATTGAGTACTCGGATGTTCCACGCAACGTCGGGATTTTGTTCGCCTACGTGGCGTTCAATATTACCATGACGTTCGTGGTGTACTGGTTCTTCCGCGTCCCCAAGGGAAGGGGGCGTGAGGTCAAGCGGACCTAGAAAGGTCGTCTCTGGTGTGAGGTTGTGGGGTAGTTGGTTTCATGCTTTTCTCTTTTTGGCATAGAGCCGTATCTTGCCAAATGTATGATGTAGTTTATGTTAATCAATATTGTATTATTTTGTATATTTTCCTGATATAAGAATCTATGTAGGCAAATATCTTTTCGCCATGTATAGTTCACTCTCATGGCAAACTTTACGATCAGAAATTTCAGGATCTCTAGGCACCGATGCTGGATGGTATACTATATAGTTTGTATTTGTACGTATTTTTAGAAATACTATATAGTGCATTGTTAGGTTCCTATGTTGACCCCAGACATCGGGGCATTATACTTGAACACTTGGAACTTCCTGAATTGCCGGTCCACCCTGCTTCCCAATTTTTACCAACGGAATAAGAAAGATCGAAATCCCAGTCGCCGCCGCTGCGAAGCGAAAGGTAAAGAGATAAGGAACCACATCGGTGGTTGTGGCGTCCGCCTTTTCTTTGATCGAAATGTATATCGCAGTTGAAATCCCCAGTGATAGGTTACCGCATAGCCTGGTAATAGTATTGAATATCCCACCTGCAACTGACTGCTGCTCCGGTAGTGAGTTCATCACGTACATCTATATAGTTGTTAACATATCCAGATCTTAGTTAATACAAAGGCTAAACTTACATTTGTGACGTTGTACTGAACATCAACCCCAATCACCATCAATATCAGGCTTGGGAAGATAAAGGCCCAGTATGTCGCCTCTTCTTTCAGAAAACTCAGAATGAGGAAAGCTACCGTGAATGCCACAGTCCCGACTCCCATTAGAACCTGATTGCTGACTCTGTGGAGAATCAACGCACAGATAACATTCACTGTTATGCCGCCAATGACCATGGGTAGCAGTTGAAGGGCGATCTTTATGGCGGAGTCTTTGCGGACATTCTGGAAGAATAGAGAGAGCCAGAATGTAGTGGAGGAAAATCCTACCTCTCCTAAGCATTGAACGGCGATCACCTGTATGTAATTTGTTTTGTCAGCGAATTGTGTAGACAATATTTCCATCAGATGCAGCAATTGTATACGCACCGCGGAAAACGTTCGGTCCTGCCATATAACGGGTGGCATTAGTGGGAATTGTGCTTTTGACTCCCACCATATGAAACAAACAAGCAGGGCAGAGCCAATACAAAGTAGTGCAATCACATATCCCGTACTCCAGCCATGAGGGGCAGCTGCTGCCAGGCTTCAAATAGTTAGCACAAGTACTCTAAATAGAGTGAAATAGTCATACTCACGACAAAGAAGCAGTCAGTGATGCAAAACCGACAGCGATAAGTACCGTCCCCATGACATCGAACTGTTTCAAGGACTCAATAGACAGGGGTACAGTATTACCCTCATCCGGTGGGAAAGCCCAAGCACCTGCTATGGTGAAGATTGCATAGAGAACGGCAAGGACACGGAAAGACGTCCTCCATGTAGAAATATCTGCCGCAATACCAGATATCACCATACCACCAACATACCCAAGTGGATTCCCAGCACTGAAGCACGCAAAGGCGCGGTTTTTGCGCACAGAAGATGTCTCATACACAGCTCCCAGTTTTCCGATTGCAGGTGGAACAACGCTGGCGGAGCATATTCCAATGACGCCCGAGAAGATATTTAGATAAATCGGGGAGGTTGCAAAGCTGGCAGCCAAGACAGCAAAGGTGAATCCACCCATGCCAAAAAGGAAAAGCTTTTTGCGGCCGTAATTATCGGCGATTCGGCCAAACATGAGGAGAAAGGCGCCGCTTGTGAGACTAGGCAATGTGTAAATATCAGTTCTGATAGGATAAGTTAGATATTACTGACGAGCAGCCAGCACTTATCCAGGCGATTTCTGAGATGTTCATGTCGAGGTCATGGCCAATAACGGCGGTTAGGCCAACGATAAGCCCTGTGAAAAAGGCTTCCTGGGCCAGTGCCGTTGTAGCTGAGATCACGAATAAGAACTCTTGGGTGTTGGATTTTAGGCAAGTTGGTCGACTTCCTATTTTGTTATCGTCAATAGGGGCCAGCGGCAGTTGGTCGTCATCATTTTGATCTTTCTCTCCCATTGTATTGAAGATATTCAGTAGACTCGTAAGCCAAATATTCCCTTATTGAATGAAGACCTAGGCTCAGTGGTGATAATACTATAACATTGTTTTTTTGATGGACTGGGAGGACGAAAGAAGGCAAAAAAGAACACTCAGCTGGCACATGTCATTTAAACGACCTTGGCAATACAACTACAGCTATTTATCTGTCGTACAAATTTTTTTAATCCATAAATAGGTTCTAGTGGGATATCGTGGAACATCTAGAGCCAGTCCTGATCAAAATGGGGAATGAGAGCATAAAAGCAAGGGGGTTGGGTTACAGTCGGTTATATTGGACAATATTGGTTTGAGAGCAGTCAACTCATGGGAAAAAACTTCAGACTCATATAAGAGTTAAACCATTTCAATTTGGTCCAGGTAGAATATTGAGATCCAGAGATCTACATCCAGTCGCCCTACATCCATCCCTCGGCATCGGTCCGTTCGAATTTTCAGCCGCAGGAACTTGATAGATCTCATATTATCAAATGCAGCCCTTCCCTAAACCTCTTCAATCCCTTGATTATCGCAGATGTGTTCACGTCACCAAAGTTCTGTCGATCAAGCCAGCCATCGTACATAGAGTAGGACTCGCCTGTAGCTCGTGGAGGAAAACATTGATACCAAAAGCAAGCTGGATCTGCTGTAGGAGATATGCTCCCTGAAACTCACTGCGAATAAACGCGAAGAAATTATCCTCGCTGGTAAATTTAACGGTTGGCATGGCTAGAACGCCAGCCCATATATAAGCAAGCTTCTGCTCTGTTGTGCGAGCAGTATCATTGTCATTTCCCTGCATGTATGAATTCCATGTTGCAAGATATCTTCGAGAAAGAGCTTTACGATCGACCTTGAAGTGAACATTGAGGGGGAAGCGATCGATGACTTTGATGTGTGGCATAGCCTCCGTGTGTGGAAGATACGGTGCCAGGGCGCCCTCAATTCCATCCAAAACTTTATCGTTCGCGATATCCTCTGCAGGGATTACATATGCAACTAGTAGTTTGCCCATTTCTTTGATTGGAGAGTCGATTGCCAGTGCCACCGCGTCCGCAAATCGGCCGGTCTTCATGAGTGCTGCTTTCACTGCAGCTAGCTCAATCCGCATGGTAAAAATGGTAACTTGATGGTCCTGTCGGCCAAGGTAGTAAACTTGTCCAGATGAAGCATTGCGTCGAACAAGGTCCCCTGTCCGGTAGAAACGAGTTATTGAATCTAACCCTTGGGGGTCTTTGATGTTGATAAAAGATGTCGAGTTCTTCTCCTGGTCGTTCATATATCCCAGCGAGAGCCCCGACCCACCTATAAAAAGCTCTCCAATTTCTCCATCGGGGACAGGCTGAAATGCATCGTCAAGGATATGCGCAACTGTATCTCCGGTCGGTTGTCCAATGCTCACAGGCTCAGAATGAGTGTCTTTCATCGAAAGTTCGTGTGTAAGAGACCAGCAACATGTTTCAGTAGGACCATAGGCATTGATTAATCGAGTGGGTGCCGCGCCGCTTCCGAGCAGTCTGGCAACAGCCTTGGGACTAGCGGCATCGCCACCGAAAAGGACCATTCTCAACGTTGAAAAGGCTCCTGGGTTGGTGAAAGAGACGATGTTGAGTAAGGCAGTCACAATGATCATGACGGTGACACCCTGCTTTCGCAGTGTTGCTTCCAGAGTACGCCCGTCAAAGGCATCACCGTACGGCAGGATAGCAATCTGCGCCCCCACAATCAACGGCGCGAAGATTTCGACGAGTGTATAGTCGAATGTTGTGGGGATATAGTGTGCCATGATATCCGAGGGCTCGAGTGGGCTGGTGGGTATGTGATGGATAATGTGGAGCAGAGAGCGTGCTGATATTTGAACCCCTTTGGGTTCTCCTGTTGTACCTGAAGTGAACAGGATGTGGGTTCGGTGGTGGAGTGTTGTCGTAACTGGGATTTGTCCCTCTAGTCCATCGATTTGCACTGAGGAAAGGAGTGTACCCCGGTCACTTACCGGGATACATGTAAACATAGGCAGGCGGGACTTGTTTGGTTCATCCACGATCAGATATTCCACCCCAGCACCAGCCAGCTTGCACTGTATCTTCTCATCACTCTCATCTGGATAGACGGGTACTAGCGTTCCACCAGCATACATCACTGCTAACTGGATGATAACATTCCATGATCCGGGGCTGACCAAGACTCCTGTCGGCTCTTCTAGGGCGTATGCATTTCTTCGTAATTGGAAGGCCAGGGATATTGCACAGATATGTAATTCTTCATAGGTGATCACTGAGTCGATATCGATAACAGCAGGCGACTTCGGTTGTCGACGGACATTGTCAATGAATAGCTGGGCGACAGTGCTGTTGGGCTTGACCCGCTGGTGGTCAAGGCAGTGAGAGACCTGAGTCAAGACACTCATTTTCCAGGTCTTTGCTTGAAATAAATGTGCTCACTTTCCTGTCCGGTCCAATTCTGTGCATCATCAAGGGGAGGGGGGGGAAGCGTTGTCTACCATTTTGACTGCATTATACATCATTTTATCTTCCATGCAGCTGCATTAGAACTAACAAAAGTTAAAATATTATCTTATTTAACCGAGAACACGAGAGGTGTTTCTATCAATATAATTGCACACCGCTATTTCCCCTGTGTGTTAGATACAGGTCTTTCAAAATACATTATATGGCCTACTTCAACATAATATTGTCTTTCAATCCTAACAGCAATCCATGTGGAATGCTCACTTTTTAAATCAAAATTCTTGATCAAAACTCTGCTGCACCATTGCAGGTTCTCTCGAATACGAGGGATGCAAGGGCTGTACAGTGGCCAAAAGCGTGGCTCAAGCCACAAAAGCAAGCTATAAATTTTCCAATAAATGGGCTATATTTCTTTACAGCAAGTGGAGTGACGTGGTTACAGAGGCTAGATCTGACCGGTGGGTAATGAAACGGAAAATATAGACAGAGTCCAGTTGCATATTACTGCCAGAACTCTTCGTCTTTCGATTTGTGCTGTAGATAAGAAACCAGTAGACCGTATTGTCTTGTCAGGCCTTTAACCTCAACGCCACGGCCTTCAAGTTCTAGCGAAGCGTGTATTGATATGGGGATGATGTCTCATAATCAATAGGTATACTAACGAGTACTCATCCTTGATATTGGGTTTCTATTGATCTGGAACCTTCATATGCATGTTTCAATCAATTCTATACTAGACTATCTTATATTCGTTGGAATCTAACGTTGCTTCCTATTATTGTAACATATTTTTATAGTGTGTTCGTTTGGAGAATAGTGAATATTATATGCATCCTGCCAGTATATATTTCCAGTAGAGTATCAAGATATGCCCTAATATCAGCCATATAGCCATTTAGTAAAATAATACTCCTTAATTCGTACATCAAATGCCAATCTATAAAACCCATGGGCTGATGGCCATAGGTAGTTCCTATAATTAAGAAGTGAATGACTAAAGAAGAGTACGGGTACATAGGTAGATAATGAGTATTCAAGTCTCTGTATCTCAGTGTCGGCTCGCGTAGCAATTCAGAGTCGGAATTAAAAGTGAGAACATGACCGGTTCTGTGGAATTGAATGCCCTTATCTCTTAGCTCTATTATGCACCATTCATATATTCTGGGAGCGACAAGGTCCATGCCGATGCTGACATCCCAGTCCAGTTCGAAATAGAAAAGAGAGAGATGATCTCGTCTTTGAATGGTTCTAGATCAATTGGGGCTGGCATCTTGTCTATACGAAGAAGCCTGTAATGAGAATAAAAGGGGAAGCTCCCCAGCTGAGGAACCATGTAGCTAGAAAGTAAGGCAGTGAACTAGGCGGTAAACAAATTAAATGAATTGGCGCGATGGCGGTTAAAACTTGCCGTAGATAATGAATGTTCTCTTTGTGCGAGGCGATACTATGTTGTAAAGACACCCCTGAACGACGTACCTTTATATAATTCTCATAAGAATTCGCTTCCCAGATCAAGACAATTCAGATGGATATCATGGAATTTCCAGCACCATACATCCACCAGCTCCAAACCTCTCACACCCATACGATTATTCTGCTACATGGTCGTGGCAGCAATGGCCTCGAGTTCGCCGAAGAGCTTTTCTCATCCACAACTTCTAAGGGCAAGAGCCTAGCCTCCTGTCTACCTACCTATCGTTGGGTCTTCCCCACCTCACGCGACCGATGGAGCACTACGTTCCAAGAAGAGATGTGCTCCTGGTTTGATGCCTACTCCCTAAACGATATCCAGAAAAGACCGGAGTTGCAGAAGGACGGAATAAGAGAGTCAGTTCTGCATATTCTGGATATTCTCGAGGAGGAAGCTAGGCTGCTAGATGGGCAACTTGCTCATATCTACCTTGGAGGCATTAGCCAGGGGATGGCAACCGCCATATGGGCCTTAATCGCCGGGATAGGGACGGGACGGGTTCAAGGAACACTAGGTGGTCTGCTAGGCTTTTGTGGCTGGTTGCCGTTTGCACAACAGCTAGAGGATTTGCTATACGAACCAACCTCTAGTGCCCCTAGCATCCAGCAGGCACAGCGCCTAGTATCTACATTCTTCTTTGATGAAATTGCCGGCCATGAGATATCGCAAGCTAAGCAACCTGTGGATACCTCTGTCTCATCTACTCCTGTGTTCTTGAGCCATGGAGCAGACGATGAGTGGGTATCTGTGGAACTCGGACGGCAGGCATCTCGAATTCTACGGACAATCATGGTCCACGTCGAATGGCACGAGTTCACTGGGGCGGAGGGCGACGGTCACTGGATCAAGGAGCCTGAAGGCTTCGACCAGATCCTTCAATTCCTTGAGACCTGATTCGACCGGAGTCAAGGAGCTGCCAGTGGACCGTTCTGCGAGGAATAATCCGTCAGCGCCTACAACCGACGACACGCCCCGACGGAGCTCTACGTTCATTTTCAGAAAGTGGCACGCCGTATCTAGTCATGAAAGGATAACCTTATCTGTCGTGAAGGGAAATGACCTAGCACGCACACTTCCCCGAACACTTATGTAAATCTAGGCTGATGTAGACCCAACTATAGCCCTTTTAGGGCATATCTAATAATCCCAAACCTATTAGGTAACCTATTAGGGCCCTAATATAGTGTATAAACTAGATGAATACAAATTTTATATACTTAAAATTCGAAAATTCGAATAGATATATATATAAATAGTAATACTAAAAAGGTATCTAACATATATTTTGTCAACCGGAATATTGACCCATTAGATTGGTTTTTGATATGCATTTTCGTTCCACAGTAAATCTATTTGGGTGAAGGTTCTGCCAGTCGGTTTCGACTTTGTGGGATTAAAAAGAGACCACGGAGGTATTTCTTCTTTCTTCTCTTCTTTCTTCATGCTTAGAATTCTTGATTAATGCATTACTTTTTCTTTTAAACCGGCTGGCAACACCTGGGCAGTAATTATATATCCTTCTATAAAGAGGGCTTTTATAAGATATTTATCCTAGTTATAGTTATTCTAAAGGTATTATATAAGTATATAGCTAATTAAATTATTAAAACTTTCTAATTTTCTATTTATATAGAGATAATATTGTGATTCTGAGAAATGATCGCATTTGTATAAACTGGATATACCAGTAGCTAAATACTATGAAATACGGGGGGCTAAGGTAAACCCTACGTAAGTACCATCTCCCCGCTTATCTGGCGCGCGGAATAAACATTGAACCTCCTCGAATACCCGCGAACTCCATGCCAACACCTATTTGGTGATCGAAACAATTATACAAATCATCCACACAATTTACCTGAATTCCTCCAGTTATCTTTGCTTCTCCGGTCACGCTGTCTGTACCAGCGTCACAACTCATCATGTACGCTCTCCATCTGCTCATTGAATCGCATAGCAACTAATGTGCTCGACAATAGGGCCGTCTTCTCCTTGATCATTATCAACAAAGCTGGTGGTCTTATCTACCAGCGCGAGTTCCAAGCTGGCTTGCGCAAGCTCTCGACAAATGATTACCTCGTCCTAGCTGGCACCTTTCACGGGTAAACTGTCAACACCATCTCTCTCTCCTCGAATACACATTTGACCTGGTTTCCCACAGTGTTCACGCAATCACACGCTCGATCACACCGAAAATCCCAATCTCCCAACCTGCTCAGTCCACCACAACCTCAACGGGAACCACCGCTCCTGCTGCCTCCGGCTACTCCTACCCAAACCCCGGTGTACCAGTCTCCGGCCTGGATTACCTCGAGACCGACAAGTTCCGATTGACCTGTTTCCAGACCCTGACAGGGACGAAGTTCTTATTGTTCACGGATCCCTTGACTGGCAGCGTGGACGGAATCATCCAGAAGATCTACGAGCTCTATGCGGACTTCGTGATGAAGAATCCATTCTACCAGATTGAGATGCCGGTGCGATGTGAGGCATTCGATCGGCATTTAGGGGCGTGGTTGAGGGGGAGGACATAGCCCCGACGGGCGATGGAACCACGCAGAAAGGGGATAGACATCATGACTTTACGAACTAGATACGTTTTGTTCCTGTACTTGTGTCCGGATATCACTCCGTCTCGTATAATACCAAATCACATAATTTATTGCCCTTGCACACTGCAGAACGTACCCGAAAAGTAGGTCGACTCTTGAGAATACAAGACGAAAGCAGAAGGAAACGCCGGGTATGCATCACAGTCATATTCAAAATTCCGGACCTTACGCGGTGTCCATCTTGTCCTCGTCTTTCTTATCTTTGTCACCGCTGGACTCGCCATGGCCCTCCTCGGGAATATTGCCCAGTTGCGTCTTGCCTTCCTGTTCTTCCCGGTCGCGCTTCTCCTTCTCCTGTCGGTTCTTCTCGTCCTCCATCGATAACCGCAGGGCGAATGCCAGCTCGGGGTCATTCTCAGCGGCATCATCAAATCCAAATCCGCCGGCTTCGCCCTCGCCGCCACCTCCGCCGATCTCGGCATCCTCACCAGCCAGGATCGGAGTCAGCTGGAGCTGATCGCTGAGAAGATGGGGTCCCGGTGGGATGATGGCGAGGTGGGAACCATCGCCGCTCTTGACATTCTCAACGAAAGCCTCGAGCTTCTTGGTCTGGTCGGATTCCAAATCTCCGAAAGCTATCACATCGATCGACACGTTGTTCTTCTTCATCTTCTTTGCGAGTTTGACAAGGATCTTCTCATCCTCTTCGATGGGCGAGCAGGAGAATACAATGATGCGCTGACGCTGGGACTTTTCCATGCGGTGCTTAAGTGCCAACTATTATACCATCATGATTAGTTATTGAGGGCTCGGGATCTCGGAGATCGGCTGGAAGAACTTACCGCTGCAACCTGGATAGTTGAACTGAGATGAGCTGTGCCGTGGATCTTCGTTCGATGAAGACCAGCGAGAATTGCGCCAAACTCGGGTGTGAAGGTTGACAACACCTCGGGGCCCTTGCCGCCCATGCTCATAAGGCCGACAGCTGACTGGGCATTTACACGCATCTTTGCACTGTGGATGATGCTAACGGCATCGACTTGGGATTGCCACCGAGTTGTTCTATGGCAATTAGACGTCATCTATACAGACAGATATTGTATCATCGAATGTACTCACGTGTAGTCTCCATTGCGACTGCTTTCGCTGTTGTCGACACTGTAGCTTGGAGTCAGCAGAGTAAGCTAATATGGGATGATGGGAATGACGGACATGATCATAGTAGCTTCTAGCGTCATTTTGGCGGAATCTGAGGGAATTAACGATGTAAAAAGAGGACAGAACAGCGAGTGAATATGAGAACGGCGTATGGGTGATGAAGACGGATGACGAAGGCGAGGTGGAAGCTCTGTATTCTGCCATTTCTCTCCGCCCGAGGCACGCTGTTTGTTGTGGTCTCCTTGCTCCACCTCGACTTTGGCCTTTGTACTTCGACACGACTCACTCTATATCCCTTAAACTAGCAACAATGTCTGGCACTAAGCGCAAGTCCGATGCTATGGACGTCACGCCTACGGGTAGTCCTACTAAAAGGATGCGCTTGACACAACACCAGAAGCAGGCGCTGATGGACAATCTACAACTTGAAAGTGGGTTGAATTGTGGGTTTACAGTGTGAACATGGCACTGATTTTTCTACAGTCACTGAGCGAGCACGTAAGCTTCGTGCTCAATATGCCCTTCAGGCAAATGACCTACGGGCGCGCATTGAGCGACGCGTCAATCGCATCCCAGTCTCGCTACGCAAGGCCAACATCGGCGAGCTGCTCGAAAAGCACAATGCTGCCGCCAACAAACAGCATGTCGCGTCGCCTTCCAGGAAATACTCGCCCATCAAGGTGTCGCGGAATGTCGCAAGCATCTCCGTGGACCCAGAAACCACACACGACGGTAGAGCTCGGAGGGGAAGGTACGGTATACCACAAGCACAGTTTGTTTCTCTGACTGACAGAACGTATAGCCACGATGGCCACTTCTCCGATAAAGAGAATGCTCCTGCCGGTCGCTCGCCCGAACTCAAGAACCCTAAGCGTCGCGTGAAGCCAGCCGGAGCAGGCGGCACCTCGCGCGTGGCGTCTCAAGAAGTACGGGCTAACGAGAACCGGATTCTGTCTCCAAAGTCCAACAATTCCAGAACCTTCCCTCACTCGCCCTTCCGTGCATCCCCCGAGAAGGGTCAACCCTCATATCTGGCGCGCCCTACCTCTCCGTTAAAACCGTCCAGTCCGTTGCGATCACGTGGCCACACTGTATCTACAGTGAAGAACACTCGGCCTCCTGTGCAGAACCAGAGGACTACGACCCGTGCCGCTACGGGGCCCAAGACTATTCGGTCGCCTTTGCCACGCCCGGCGACCCGACAGGGCGAGCGTAAGAATAGCACAGGGTCCACTGCGTCTTCGGGTACAACAATAACCAAATCCACACGGACTGGCACTGGCGCGAGGAAGCCCACCACAGCATCTGCTGCTGCGGCTGCCGCGAAGAGGCCGACTTCTCGTATGCAAACTGCCTCAATGGCTGTCAAGAATACGCCCACTGCTGCTTCAATGCGGAAGACTACTGCTCCGGCTGTCACTGAAACTGCGACCCGGACTCGAGCGCTGCGTAAGCGGATTTAGCATTGTTTACATGAACTCACAGCCATATGTCTATTTTTTTGGAGTTGGGGTTCGGTTTCTTTGAGCGTGGGTGATTGCAGACTCCGCAATGAACAACTTGAGTCTGGGCGATGTCTTTCGTGTCGTGATATCATAGCAGGCGTTTCCCTTCAGGTCGGGTATACTGCCTTTTGTTCGAATGTCTGAATCAAGTTCTTTTTCAAATCAATACTTTGCCGTACAAAGATCATAACTCGTCTCGGTGTGTAACCAGTCCGAAACCACATGACAGAAAAGAGACCCCTGTCACTCTGCCATCAATTCACTGGACTACTTTCTGGTCATCCCGCTCTTCCAAGTTCATGTCAACTCCTGCCCAACTAACATAACACGAGCTTCACCTCATACCGAGAGCACCCATCTCTGCGTCCAGAATGGAGATCTTCTACGAGAGTACGATCTACGAAACCGTTGATAGCAAGAAATAAATTCTCTCTGAAGAGTTATTATGTGCGGCAGGACGGCATCACATACTACAGTTTATGGAAGGATCAATCCTCAAAGCCTACCGATATCAGTCAGTTTGAGAAATTGACGACAATCAAGACACACGACCGAGGCCCAAAACTATAGGAAACATGGACAGTGGCATCACAGGAAGAATATTACCTGAAAGCGCCAGCGATATACGATTTCATCCATTCGGACCTGGAACGCACTAGTCAATGCCAGATTGAAATTTGGGAAGTCCTTTGCAGAAATCCACACCCGAATATTGCTACGTATTACGGGTGTCGAGAGGAGAATGGTCGGGCTACTGGGCTTTGCTTCAAACGATACACAGAAACCTTGTTCAATCAGGCCAATCCTCTTTTCTTGAATAAGAAGGAGTTCCAGGCTAGTGGTCGTGAGAATGTCGATGATTCTCTCATGGAGAATGTCTACCGGATTTTGGAGGGAATCAGGCATCTTCATTCACTTGGGCTAGTGCATAATAATATCAAGCCGGCCAGTATCATGCTTGATGAGCATGGTGTCCCGGTGATTTTGAATTTTGAGAGTTGTCTGAAGATAGGGGAAAGATTGTGGCCCAGAGCTAGTAGGCGAATGGATGGTTGGTATGGTCCGGGGAATGAGATTGCCTTGGAGAATAATGACCTGGATGTCTTTGAAGAATTGAAGACTTGGTTGTTTGGTTCAGATGCATATTTTTTCGAGGAAGTGTTGTTTAGGGAATGACGAAGTAGCATTCACAGTCAGTCGCTTCCTGATTTCTATTTTTAGTCTTAGGCATCTCGAGAATTGAGAAGTTTTATATGGAAGCCAGATCACACATTCATTCGCCCCATTCAACATCCGTACCCTAACTATCATTCTCGAACCTTCAAAACTTAGCATGCCCAACTCGGGGGGTTCTGGCCAGGACTCCCCTGCCGGAGGACTACAAGGAACATTCAATAAGCATGTTCAGGGAAGACCAAACCCAACGGTGATAAGGATAAGGCAATACAGGTTACGTACTACATCGTTACTGGCAAGGGAGCTGGTGAACCGGGAAGTCCCTCTGATACCCCTTGACTGAAAGGAGGTCAGAAATATCTCATGCTTTGGGAATGTAGCATAGATGTAAATAGGGAAGATTGCAAAGATCACAGCCTACCTAGGTATATCACCATGTCACTAAGGAAAAGCATTGGATATCTTCACTGGGTGTGTGTAAAACGCGAAGTGGGTCTAATAACCAAACCATGGACCCATCAAGCTTTACCCATGGGTTAATGAACCTTATGTCCCAATTAGGATCAAACTTCGAAGCCACAGCGGAAGAGATATACAATCTGAGTATAAGTATTCCATCTCCCTGTACAATTACTATATATATATATATATGCACTATATATTCCATGTAGTGCTGTTCGTTCTATACAGTTGCTATACCTTATATCGTTGAAACAAAGATAAAAATCATAGAATACAGTGGTATGGGATTTCGAGCTGCAATTCTAGACGTGATAAGCCTCACTTCCAACTTGAAGATTCTGTACAATGTACGGAGTACGGAGTACATATTCTAATCTCAACCCCATCACCCCATCACCTTCACACATCTGATAAATTGCCGATCTCCTCTATTGTAACCTTTCGGGTTTAGCGGCATAGATTATCATGGCCGATCTCCTGCAAAGTGGGCTCGGATTAATAATTGCAGATCACTACGTGTAAAAAAAAGAAAAAAAAAAAAAAAAAGAAAAAGAAAAAGTCATAAAGGGAAAGTGGCATATCGGGTATAAGAGTACTCCGTAGCCTCTTCTAAGCTCTGCCCGGGCCGACATTTTGAATTGATAGCATACCCCGTACACGATCTCTACGGAAACCGGCCAGGATGTTGGGTCGGTCTATCACGGCTGTGCTGTCAATCGCCCTTCTCATTAATGGCAGCGAAGCAAGACAGTCGGCTCAAGGTTATGAAGCTAAAATCGATACATCAAATTATCGATTTCTAACCAACAAGACCAAATGTATGCTTCACTCTATCTATTCCTTCAATCTCCACTAACGATATGATTCCCAGCCCATATGGTGGAGAGCCTACCAGATGTACATTTCGATTTGGGAGAGATGTACTCCGGGTTTATGCCGATCAGTGAGAATGATTCCTTGTTCTATATCTTCCAGCCCAAGATCGGGGAGCCAAGCAACGATCTCACGATTTGGTTGAATGGTGGGCCAGGATGTAGTTCAATGCAGGGGTTTTTGCAGGAGAATGGACGCTTTACTTGGCAGCCTGGTACCTACCTGCCAGTCATTAATGAATACTCATGGGTTAATTTAACCAACATGTTATGGTAAGTCATTAACCAGGTCTAAGGAAATAGTAAACTCATTGTGTCTAGGGTTGATCAACCGGTTGGAGTTGGGTACTCAAATGGTACGCCGACTGCTATCAATCAGGAGGACATCGCTGCCGATTTCGTCAACTTTTTCCAAAAGTTCCAAGAAGAATATGATATCAAGAACTTTCGAATCTTCCTAACTGGTGAGAGTTATGCGGGCCGATATGTACCCTACATATCCGCTGCCATGCTCGACAAGAATGATACCGAACACTTCAATCTCAGCGGTATGTCTTGAGAATTCATCCCGAATTACACTATATCGGTTCGCATATTCTAATCCCATACTAGGAGCTCTGATGTACGATGCCTGCATCGGCCAGTGGGATTATATCCAGGCTACACTCCCCGCTTACCCCTTCGTTCAACAACATGCCGAGCTGTTCAACTTCAACCAATCATTCATGGGAGAGCTACAACATACCTACGAACAATGTGGATATAAGGAATATTTTGATGAATATTTCACTTATCCGCCCTCTGGTGTACAGCCCCCCAAATACATGAACTACTCCGAATGCGACATTTACAACATGATCTATGCCGAAGCTTTTACACCAAACCCATGCTGGAGTCCGTATAAGATCAGCCAAACATGTCCACTCTTATGGGATGTCCTGGGCTTCCCCACAGACCTTGCCTACCAACCAGGTCCAGCAACCTATTTCAACCGCACGGATGTCAAGAAGGCTCTGCATGTTCCTGAGAATATCGACTGGGAACTCTGCAGCGTGGAAAGTGTCTTTGTGAGCCCCAACCCGGGGCCCGAGCAACAATTCGATGAATCTCCCAATCCCACGGAACATGTTCTACCCCGGATTATTGAAGCGACAAATCGAGTGTTGATCTCGAACGGAGATTGGGACTATCTGATCATCACGAATGGAACGCTGCTGGCCATCCAGAACATGACTTGGAATGGTGAGCTAGGCTTTCAGAGTCGTCCAAAAACTCCCATTAATATCGACATGCACGATTTGCAATACCGTGCCGTCTTCGATGCTCAAGAGGGATATGGCGATTTCGATGGCCCGCAGGGAATGATGGGCGTTCAACACTATGAACGGGGTCTGATGTTTGCGGAAACCTTCCAAGCGGGTCATCGACAGCCCCAGGATCAAGGCCGGGTCTCTTATCGCCATGTCCAGTGGTTGTTGGGTGAGGATGATCATCTTTGATACCTTTCTCTTTTCATTCGCTTTTATTTAGATTGGTTATTCCTGGGCTCCGGGTTGCCGCCAATAGCATGAGCAACTCCCTTTTCTAGCTTGTGTCCAGACCGGCTTCCAGCGCTGGAGTGTAAACTCACCTGCTAGGGCATGCGGAGGTCACAAGTGGCAGAGAAATTGGCAGATCGGCCGAAAATGACGGCACTTGTGGCCATTTCTGGCCATCTAGTTTAGGCAGTAAGAGTGCGTAATTACATCTCTAAGAGCCAAATCATAAGCTTGGTGAGGATAAGCATGTGGCTTGATTCTACAATTAAGTATTTCAGACAAATCAGCAACTACATAGTACTCAGCACAGGTATCGTGGCAATCATGTTGATTGAACAAATACGAAAGGAAATAAAAGCTCCCAGGGTCGTTAAGCAAAAGGCCTGGGGGAGAGAATCAGAAAAGAAGAAAGGAAAAAGGGGTCTAGGTATAGCCGTAGCCTGGCCCACGAGAAAAAAAAAAAAGGAATGAGCATGCTCAAGAATCGAAAGCAAGAAAGAGAAAGGAAGAACAGGGCGGTTATGGGGCCCAGAGGGACAGGTATGGGTATGGCTGATCCCTCGAATCAGATGCAGATGAACAAAGAGGAAGAAAGAGGTAGGGCATCCCAGCCACTATAGAGATAGGGAGAACATAAACAGAAACCAGTCAATAGCGACCAAGCAGCTTGTTGATCACTTTTGGGGAATTTTCAAAGGAAAAAAAGGGGAAAGAACTCCGTCAACCAGCCCTATCACTTAAAAAAGAAAAGAAAATGAACGCTAAGAAGGTTCCAATAAACGAGAAACGAAAACACTCCACGGAGATTGAATCAGACAGATGAATGCAGGATGGGGTTGGATAATGACAGTTTTGCAGCAGTGGAGGGGGAGCATAAGGAGATCCAGTCTACCCAGTAACACCCATGGCACCTGCACTTGGACGGGGCCTATATGGCACATTTGATGCCTGGCCATCAGGTCCTCCTGCGACTGGCTGGGCCCCGTTACTGGTGCTGCGATCACGGTGATATGCTGCTGGGGGAGGAGCGAAATCAAGTCCAGCCTGGGGGTTGGCGCTTGCCGAGTGAGTGTGTCCACCGGGCCCGGCCACATGGCGAACCGAAGTCTGCATCTGCCAGGCTGCATCCTGAGATGGATCGGTCTCGATGCGCGCGGAAGCTGGAGTGCTGTTGCTTCGGTTGGGAGTGGTGATCGTAAACGTCTCGCCGCCGTTTTCCGGCTTCTGTGAAAAGCTGCCTCGAGCAATATCGCCATATCGTTTGAGGATTTCCTTGGTTGTCACTTCGGCATTCTCCTTGAAAAGAGTCGGATCACCTAAGACCGATTGTAGATCTTCTGGAATCTATTGATAAAATTAGCAATAGTTAGGCAACATTTCAACCTGGGTGACCTACCTCGCAGAATACATCGTTATACGCAATTAGGGCATTGACAGCCTCAATAGACAAGAAGCTCTCGTCCACTGTGCTACTTTTGGCATTCGGGTAGAGGATATTGGGTGTGATGACAGTTGCAAGATTGTGAATGTCCATCTTGCTTCCAGACTCTTCATCCACATGGGAGAAGGATGATGTCCAATTTAGGAAGGCGAACAGGACTTCCATCGTATCACGATGGGCTTTGGGAAGGAGACAACATGTCAAGTGGAGTAGTCGCCTTTGTTTCTCGGCGTTTTCCATCTCTGTGACACAGGTTAGAATTGCACAAGCAGACTGATAAACTATGAAGTTAGAACTTACTTTGTGAGATGACAAACAACTTATGAAGCTTGAAAGTCAAGAGTGGATCGGGCATTTCGCGGAGGAACTTCTTCAAGAGAGCTGCGATCTGCACAGGAGTTTCCTTTGTCAGATCAACTGACTCATACTTGGTGTCGATTTGCTCAGCGGTATCCTTCAATCGGCGGATGTTTCCGTTCTTTCGGAAGACACCCTCGACAGACATGTCCATCTGCCGCATAGCGCAGACAGAATCATCAACCAATGTTGGGATGCGGAGCGCACCAGGGCCAACGCCGTGAGTTGACTCTGTACCCTCTTTCTCGACCAAATAGTCTAGACCGACACCGAAGACACCCTTCTTTTTATTACCCTTCTTGTTGTCTTTGAAGGCACGACCAAAGATGTTCCATATGGTAGGTTTGCGAGACTCAATAAGAGCAAGAAGCTCTTCCATGCTGAAGTAGCCCTCTACCAAGGGTTCCATCTGCAGCACAGCAACGTGGCGAACGATGAAATATTCCAAAGCCGTTAGTTCTGAGAAATACCGCTTCGTTCGGGTTGGCTCGACGAGGGTCTCTAAATTTCCGCTCGACACTCCTCGCTGGTGGCCATGATTGTACCTGGGCATCGGTTCTGTCCCGCCGATGAGTTTCGTACCGGCATGCCTATAGGCATTAGGTCGCTGCTCTTTGGCTTGCTCGGCCGCAACAATGCGCGGGATATCATCTAGCGTCAAAGCATCCTGAGCCCCGAAAGTCAGATCGGTGACGGTTTCGCCATTGGCATCTCGTTCTTCAACAATCTGGAAACCGTGGCCCCTGGGGTCACTGCCATCATTGCCAGATGACCCTGGTCGGGCACTTCTGCCTTCTGGTCCATCGATGATTCTGGATGCGCGAGCCCGTTTGTATGTCGTGGATAGGGTTCGCTCGTTGCGAATGGAGCGCAACCGACGCATCTCGCCCACGGTCTGCTCAAGGGAAGTTTCTTCCAATCCGTCGCGCGAGCCTCCGCCATATGACTGGCGCGTGTTTGCCCGGCGAACCTGGGCTGTGGTTCGCTGGCCATCTTTGTTTTCATTGAAGTTGGGGTCGTCTGGGGCGTATCAAGTTAGACAAACTGCCGGCGGCATGGGGGTAGTGCAAAAGTGTCTTACCGGATGTATCAGGCAAGGTTCCACCGGATCGAAGAACGGCGAGAAGCCGTGCGAGAGCCACTTTCAGTAAGAAGACGAATTGCTGCAATTTTGAGACTTGGGTGAAACCACCCTTCACAGTGGGGCCAAGTTTCATCTTGTGGGCGCAAGCGCCGCAGTAGACTTGCTCCTCGCTACCACTCCACAATGCGTCTTGGAGATCAGCAGTCAAGTCCTTCTCACATGACTTGCATGAGAGATGAGGCGGCTTGATATGCCAGCGACTTTGCCCCCACTGAACACATTCGTCATCAATTGGTTCTTTGCAGGCCATGCAACAATCTGAAAGTTGATCGGCCAAACCCTCCACCCCAGCCATCAGATCGACTGGTGTATCGTCATCTTCGCGCTCTGCCAATGTCTCCAGATCACGGAGGTGCTCCAAAAAGTTGTGTAAACCATCTGGCGCAGACTTCTCGCGTTCAAGTTTGAGTGCACCTTGAAGGCCAATGCGGATAAGGAGTTTGAGGTAATGAGCGAGACCGGTCACCAGAGACAGAAGTTCCTGGGTGACGCCAAGTTTGCGTACCCCGGTTTCTTGAGTTTTCGATAAAAGTGCGAAGAAAGCGACAATCTTTTTGCAGAGAAGTTTGGCTTCGCGGCCGTAGGAAAGTTCTAGTTTGGAAGAATCAGCGATCGGTCCGGACGACATGACACCAGCTGCCCGTGGCCTACCTTTTAACTCATGGGATTTGATATAATCAGCGAGCTGATCGACTGCACCAAAGAGGATTTCCACATGTTCAATGAAGCGCTTGGCTACGAGAACACCATCGATGTAAGCACCGTTGCTCACATGAAGCAGCATATCTGAGATGCAAGCGGCGGATGATTCTTCAAAGGTAGAGAGAGTGTTCCAAATATTAAAGACCTTCTCTTCCATGATATCTTCTTCATCGCGGATATGCTTGCGCTCCTCTTCGCTAGCATCCTCATCCACCGGTGGAGGCTCCCATGTTTGACCAGCCGGCGACAACCGGACATTCCAGAACTTGTGGATCATATAACATTCAGGGTGCCAGTGTTGATTTTGGCCGTTCCGGAAGATCTCGACAAACTGTTTTAGGATTGCAGTGTGACATCCATGACAACGCTGGGCAAACTGGGTTGAGTAGTGAAAGTGGCAGTAGACCTTGCTCTCGTGTTCATAATAAGAGTCTTGAGCACCGAAGACGGTCGGACAAACGGAGCAAGTAAAGTGCTCGATGTGATACTTCCGGTCTAACGCTGTAATGTATGATCCACGTAGTGCGCCGCCGCACTCATGACATAAGAGGCCGAGTCGTCTAAAGTAATCGGTTTCACAAAGAGGGAATTGGCAGCTTGAATCTTCTGAGTCGACGGGGAAAAACTTTGAAGCAACGATCTCACCACAGTCCTGAGGGGAGTACGATAGTTAGGGAAGGTTTCCAACGCCCTAACTAGAGGAAGCGACTTACTTCGCATTTAAAACACTCCAGATGAAAAGTACCACCTAACGCTCGAACAAATTGGCCAGTGAGTGGTTCACCACACTTTTGACATAGGCGAGATGAACCACCGGGGGACTTATTTTGACGCCCGTTCACTCGTGAGCGGTCTCGGGGCGTTGAACGGTCGCGGAATCCAGCCTGGTCAGGACCCAGGCCACGGCCGGATCGCCCACCATCCTCCTGATTCACTGGAGTAATTGGGCTTGCGCCTCCCGTTCGTGTTGATGGGGAATCGAATGGAATTAAACTGTCTTCGGGAGATGTGGGTGTGTTTTTCGTATAGCTAGCCCCGTAACCAGAAGTATCGACGGTGGGACGGCCGCTGGGATTGCCTGCGACCAGACTAGCTGGGAGTCCACCGGGGGGCATCTTGGTCCCCCGTCAGCAGAGATATGGTGGGGTTTGCTAGGTTGAGTCACGCCGAGCGCTGCATGCGAAGAATCGAGAGTAGGGAACGAGGTGATGTGGGAAAAGAGGTTGACGGTGTCGAATCAAAGATGCGACACGATTAAAGATTGGTGGTAAATTGAGTGGTCGGGCGCGTACGATAGTCTGATTCTTAAATTAGAATGTCATGCCTTGGCTGGGTTTAACCGGGGTTCAGTGTTGTTCCCCAGAGTATACTCACCCTCACGCCATGTAAATACACGTGGGGGTAGTCGATGTAGTGATGAGGGGAATATTGCGCGCGCTAAATCACTATTATCGAACTAGTGAGGCGATATAGAAGAAGATTGCTGTGAAGGAAGGGTCTGAAATCGCGCAGGGTAAAGGACGCGGGGGCCGATTTCGAGGGGAGAGCTTTCAAGGTGAGACCAACAGCGGGGATTATCGGGCGACAATCATCCCACAATGAAACCGAAAATGCTAAGACACCTAGAATAAGGGAAAAAATTAAGGTGTAAGGGCGAGGGGAAAAGAAGTGGGCTGGGGAGGAATGGAGATGATGGCTTGGGCATTTGTTGCCCCCCCCCCTAATTAGTTCGGGACCCTGGGTCACGTGGTCTATACAATTTCGATGTTTACTGTTCTATTAGGGGGTTATACTACGATATTTTTCGATATTTTCGATATCATTAGAGTATATTTGAGATTCATTCAAATCAAATTAGATCAGTTTATTTAACAAATATCAACATTGCACTGTATTTGTAGACACAGCTTATTGTGCACCCCCTATGTGCCATTAGTGTGCTTTTTATAGAACATTCTGCAGATTAGTTTATTTCGTATTTCTCCATACAAATATAATTCTACACTTTTGTGTAATAGAGCAAATTCAAATAGGAAGAAGTTTCACATAATTGTGTGCTTAAATTCTTTTGTGTATAGTATCTTTCATATTCTATAGATATTCTCTGCCAATATGCAACTTGATACATTACCCGATATAGTATGTAATTTAAAGTTGATCTCAGACTGATCATTACAAAGTAGGAGGCTGGAAGATGACGTGGGAGAAATATGAACTCCCAAGTAAAGGAAAGATAGAAAAGAAAGAAAAAAAACTAAAACCGTAGAGCAAACTTGTCCAAAGTTGTTGCCTTATTTCCTTCAACTTCTTTCCTTTGACATCCCTCATCAATATTTTTCTCTTCTTCTACATGATCACCTCTCAGACACGACATGGGTGACCAGTGCACTCTACGACTCGTCCGCGTACGTTTCCAATTTACAATTACCCGGACCAATCACTAACCCCCGTAGGAGTTGAGACAGATTGAGCGAAGTGAACAACTCGGTATGAGATCTTCAAATCCGTTTCAAGTCACTCACGTGCTGACCTCGGTACAGCTTTTACTGTTCGTTATGATGAAAGCAACATTCGTGATATACAAGCCCTCATCATAGGACCTCCAGGTACCCCATACGAACTGGGGTTTTACGAGGTAAGATCCACCTTTCCAAGGGCCCGCTTTTTCATAAACTAATATATTTATGTCTCTAGTTCTCGATCCAAATTCCATCAGGTAAGTTGGTCTTCCAAGGTTATCTTTCATAGGTACACTTGCTAAATCAAATAGATTACCCAGCAAATCCCCCAGCAGTGAAAATCCGGACCACCAACAAGGGCCGAACCCGTTTTGGGCCTAATCTGTATGCCAACGGGAAGGTCTGCTTGTAAGTACACTCTGTGAATTACTGGATTTCTGTGCCTGATACTGACATTCTACAGGTCAATCTTGGGGTAAGCTGCAATTCTAATATGGATGACCTTTGTGAAAACTGACCACAATAGAACTTGGCATGGTTCGCGAGGTGAACAATGGTCGCCTGCACAGGGACTCGAATCGGTTATGTTGTCCATTCAGAGCCTGCTATCATCAAACCCATATACCCTGGAACCAGGATTTGATGACGACCAAAGAGCGAATGACACGGAGAATATGGAGATCTACAAATCCAAGGTAAGAATCCCTATCTCATCAGAAATAAAGACAAAGCTCACAGGCTAGATCCGCCACGAGAATCTACGGCTCTCAGTCATCGCACCTCTTGAGCAAGCCTTAAAACCCCCGTCCCCTCCCCGCCGAATGGCGCCACGGGTCGGACAGGAATTTAGCCCGGAAGAAAATTGTGATTTCGATTACGAATTGGAACTCGATCCCGCATTGCTCAATCAAAGCAAATTTGACGATTTTCGCAAGCGACGATTCCTGTGGTACCTCGAGTTCTACCACAACGCCATTGAGAAAGGTATCACGGATGAGGCACGGAGACAAGGAATGTCATTCATCCAAATGCCCTTTGAAGGCTACGGTAACTCCATGACCGGCGAATGGAACTACATCAACCTGCAGTCCCGGTTTTTGTCCCTTCGAGACCGCTTGATGGAGGAGACGCACCGCTGGCCCGTCGAGGGTCTGGTTTTGGTCGAGGAGGATGCTGGAATTGCAGTCAAACTGAGAGGTCAGCATGAACAGATTGCGGCGGACATGAACGCATACCCTCAGGTCATCGATCTGTCACTCGTTGATGGTAACCCATTCATCTGGAAACTCACCTATGCTGGCCGCAATGAGTCCAAACTGGAAGGTGGCATCATCAAGATCAAGATTTACATCAGTCCCCGACATCCAGAAGAACAACCTCGGGCTTTTGTCGAGCCGCCATTGTTCCACATTCGTGTCTCGAAGCTGGGAGCATTGATGTACCTTCCCTCTCATGCCGATGAAATAGGCCAACACATCGAGGGTATCATCAATACACTAGATGACGACAATCCCCCATACAACCCCCTCATGACAGTCAACCCAGAGGCAACCGCTCTATGTTGGGGCTCGGAAGTAGATCGCAGGCTCTACAGGCGCAAGCTCCGAGAATCTCTAGAGGAGTCCTGAGGGAGCTAGCTCACTATCCCGAAATTTGCATCTTTGCTGAGCAATCTGTCACACGGGAGGTTCCATGGTAGTCTTCGGCTATCAGTATGAACAATACCTGGCTTGAATTGTATCATTTCCCGGCCATCACTATGCCTTACCCTGCTTGAGTGAAATTCTTCGAGATGGCGAGTGCCATTTAAAACGGGAATATTGATATTCATAGCAAAATAGTATTCATAGGTACTAGGTAGCCAGAAAGGGTCTCTGAAACTCCTTGTGATTGTTCCTACCAAGTACAGAAAAGCACTCGAACAGTGTGTGGTACAGCTCCGTAGCTAGAATCAATGAGCTGAACAAACAACTTTTAACTATAGCCATTTCGACTGTGCAGAGTTAGTTGGATCCCTGAAGAATTCGGTGGGATATGTATAGATTTTTCTTTTTTTTTGTTTTGTCCTGTCTTGTTTGAGCGAATGTGATGTTGTACCCGTAAGAGGAGAAGACAAGCTTGTTCGATTATATGGCCAGAATAGTTCACTGATTCCAGTGTTGAAAATAAACAATCTCAACAAGAATTTGGAGAAATCAAAGTAACAAGGTAGAAGATTGCCAAGTTCAAGTGCCATGGCCCGCACGGATCACCTGATTATCTCCGCCAACCTTCCCCGGCCCCTTTTCACTGAACTCGAATCCCCCATCTTCTCACAAAAGAAAATCACATCATGTCGGCAAAAAGGCGCACGTTGGAGTTGGGAAATGTCCTGGTGGTCGGAGGCTGCGGCTTCTTGGGGTGGCACATTGTCGATCACTTGCTAAATTTCCCCTCCGAGACCGACCCCAGCTACGCTCTCCCGAAGCCTGTCGGCGATGCGCGTTTCGAGTACCCGACTCTGGGATCGCGCTACCCGGATTACCACTCAACTGTCTCCGTTGTTGACTTGCGCACCACCAACAACCGTCTTCCCGGCGCCAAGTACTATGATGGCGACATCACATCCGTCGAGTCCATGTTGGAGGTTTTCCGCGCTGTCAAGCCCGATCTTGTCATTCACACTGCGTCGCCCTCAATGATTGAGGGCAACAAGCCTTTGCTGCACAAGGTTAATGTGGAGGGTACACGGACACTTCTTGAGGTGGCCGGTGGCGAGCATGGCGACTGGGGTGGTAAATGCAAGGCATTCGTCTACACTAGCTCCAGCTCCGTGGTCCACGACACACAGAGTGATCTGAAGAATGTCAATGAGGAATGGCCATACATTCGGGGTCCTGCGCAGAAGGAGTACTACTCCGAGACTAAGGTGAGTTTCTATCGTTTAAGCGGAGTTTAATCGAGACCAAGCACTAATCAGACCCCTTGCGTCTATGAAGGCCGATGCCGAGGAAATAGTCCTGAAGTACAACAAAAAGTCCCCCAACGAGATGCTGACAGCCGCTATCCGCCCGGCCGGAATTCACGGAGAGAAGGATACAACTGTGACACACAAGATCCTGGAGCACGGATCCCAGGCCTCGGACAGAGTACTACGCATGCAGCTCGGTGAGAACGATAATCTCTTCGATTTCACCTACGTCGGCAACGTGGCTTACGGCCACCTGCTTGCTGCACACCGACTTCTCGCGAGCTATGACCTTCACGCGGCTGGCAAGGGCGGGCCCCTGGACTACGAGCGCGTGGACGGCGAGGCTTTTAACATCACCAACGACTCCCCCGTCTATTTCTGGGATGTCACCCGTGCCATGTGGGCTTTGATCAACCGTGTCGTTGAGCCGGATCAGGTCTGGGCTCTGCCCGAGGGTCTCCTCGAGAGTGTTGGTGGTATCGCTGAGACTGTCATGGGATGGTTTGGAAAGACCCCGCGTCTCACTGCCCGGACAGTGCGATACTCGTGTATGACTCGCTACTACTCCACTGAGAAGGCTAAGCACCGCCTGGCTTACTTGCCAGTTGTGCCTTTGGATGAGGGAATTGCCCGTGCCGTTGGGTATATTGTTGCCCAGCAACAAGCGGACGCAGGAAAGAAGGGACTGTAATCTGAAACTAGACCATGAGACTAAAAGGCATCTCATGCTGTATTAATATGACTGTTTGCCCCAAAGAATGATCATTAGAAAAGAAGGTCTCGCCAGCACTAGTGGAGAGTGAAGTTTGGGGAGATTTTAGAAAGATATAAGAGGGTTCTGGGTCTTTTGATACCGAAGAATCTACAGCTTTAAGTATAGTTCTAGCGACGATCCCGGTCTTCTCTGCTAATAGTAATGGATCCTGAGAGATATGACGAATGTAAATGGGGAAATGCCAGAAAGAAAAGAAACATTAAGGTGGCCGGATATTGTATAATTTGTAAAAGGTGGAGTATATATATTTCACCACAAGCCTTTCGCATATCTAAGAAACTGACACCACCAACTACAAATCTACAATGATCTCGTCATGGGTCAATTTGAGACATCATTTCCATAGGCATAAGTGAATTGAATGTCACAAATAGCTTACTCCATTGTACAACATAGTAAAGAGGTTGAAATAATTATGTTGTACATTGAAGCCAGTACACGTGACCATCTAGTACATAATAGGAAGGTGGGTCATGAGTCCCATGGTTGAACCATTCAAAACACGGGTAATCACGTGGAAGTGGATCAAGGTGTATGTTGTACTAGTGCTGCACTCAGCGCAGCGTCATGCGAAATTTGATTTGCGAACAAGTAGTCCTCCTGTCTCCTCGTACAAGTCATCAAAGCTCAAATATTACATTTTGGCGACAATGTCAGATACCAAGAAACAGTGCTGTGGGACAGATTGTGATAATGAAGCTGGTACCTTACAATGCCCAACCTGTTTGAAGCTGGACATCAAAGGCAGTTACTTCTGCTCTCAAGACTGCTTCAAGAGAAATTGGGTAGGTCACATCCTCGTGGACCATCTACCAGATAATCTAATATTGATCGTATCTAGACCACACACAAGGCGATACACAAGACACAAAATGGTAGCCGTCTCATCCAGGTGGCATGCACCAGTCATTCATGACTTTGTTTTCTAATCGCAATATAGCTGTCCAATTTTACAATCCCTTTCCAACATACCAATACACTGGCTCCGTTAGACCGGTATACCCACTCTCTCCGCGACGACCTGTTCCTAAAACAATCAAGCACCCTGACTGGGCCGTGACTGGCATTCCGAAGCGCGAGATGCGCCTGAGCAGGACGAAAATTGACATTTTGGATGCAAAGGGTCAGGAGGCTATGCGCAAGGTATGCAGGCTGGCTCGCGAAGTACTCGACATAACTGCTGCGGCGATGAAGCCTGGCGTGACCACAGATTACTTGGATGAAATCTGCCACAATGCTTGTGTCGAGAGAGAGGTGAGTGAGCTTCAGTTTTATGTTGAGTTTTCGGCTAAAGCGTAAGGCAGGCGTACCCTTCTCCGCTTAACTACAACAACTTTCCCAAGTCATTATGTACATCTCCGAATGAGGTTGTATGCCATGGAATCCCCGATCAGCGGGTTCTTCTCGATGGTGACATTCTGAACCTCGATATTTCTCTGTACCACGGCGGATATCATGCCGACTTGAACGAGACCTACTACGTTGGTGACAAGGCCAAAGCGGATCCGGACTCAATCCGACTTATTGAAACGACACGACAGGCGTTGGACATGGCTATTGAGATAATCAAACCAGGTGTACCGTTCCGAGAGTTTGGTAAGATCATTGAGAAGCACGCAGCCTCTAGGGGACTTGTCGTTGTCAAGACTTGGGGCGGCCACGGTATCAACACGGAATTCCACCCTCCTCCTTGGATTCCCCACTACGCGAAGAACAAGGCCGTGGGAACATGTAAACCAGGGATGACATTCACGATTGAACCTATCCTAGCTTTGGGCGCCAACCGAGAAGTGTATTGGCCAGATGACTGGACAAATGTTACGGTGGATGGTAAACGGACAGCACAATTTGGTACGTATAGTCCTCCAGGGGCCACTCGTCGACTCTAGATACTAACTCAAAAATCGCTAGAACATACTATGCTTGTCACAGAAACAGGCGTCGAGGTTTTGACGGCGAGACTGGAGAACTCTCCAGGAGGCCCGATTCCCATACCTGAAGTTGCAAACGGAAATGCAACGAAATCATAGTACCTTGTACGTGCACCTCGTATTCGGTTCATCCCTAGGGCTTATGTTTCTTTCATTGCTTCGCTTACGCCCCGCAATGATACAAAGGACTAACGATTTGTAGCGAAGTAGACGCAAGTCATAGAAACAAATATACAGACCTTTCTATTTCTCGACCTGATATCGAAACGCATCTCAATGGTCCATCAAGTTTACAACTAATATGTAGCGTCTGTAAGAATTGATCTCCAACATATTCGATGTCCACGTATGGGCAGGAATATGGTATCCGAAATTTCCGCATTTTCCGCATTTCCGCACATCTACGGCGAAGCTGATCAATCAGGATTGCAGAGACATCCAGTCTGGATTGTGACCTTTCATATCGTGTAGAGAATGACTCAAACGGCGTTCACTGATCAGTTGAACTCCGGTCCGTGTCTATTTAATCTACTCAGAATCTTCCCATCGGCTTAGTTTCAAGAAGAATAAAACACATCCTTCCCTATTGCTCTCACATCATGTCCCTCCTACATGCTATTGGCCATGGTATCAAGCCAGTCGTATCGTCCGTACCCCGCGAGTTGAACTTGACCCCCACATCAGCCGGACATGCTCTAGACACGCAGGTTACTGTAGACAACTTGGCGCCTAGAGATGGTCAACCTGTCTTTGAACGGACGCTGCCCAGTAGGACAACTAAATCGCGTCGAGTGGTCATTACTGCATTGCTTATTCTAGCTAATGTTGTACAGGTACTGTCCTAATCATTGAATTTCTTTGGAAAAATTGCGAATCTTCTAATACTAACAACAGTAGATGACAGTTAATTTTGCAGGCATTGCTGGAGGAAGTGCCTTGAGTGAATCGTTGGGGGTTAAAGAATCCTACGCCTCGTGGATTGCTGCTAGCTATGCGTAAGACACAGATCCAGAGATCTACAATCTGCCATTGCGCTAACATAAAGATAGTCTAACCCAAGGTACATTTGTGTTGGTTAGTGGTCGATTGGGAGATGTTTATGGCCATCGAGAACTCGTCTTAGCCGGGGGTGCCTGGCTCACCATCTGCACTCTAGCTAACGCCTTTTGTAACAATTTCTTCGCTTTTGTCACGGTGCGGGCTTTAGCTGGTCTTGGAGGTGCGCTTATCATGCCTAACGCGGTGGCTATGATCTCCAGTACCAATCCCCCCGGTCGCGTGCGAAATCTCAGTTTGGGTCTCTTTGGTGCGTCCGCACCAGTTGGAGGATATTTTGGGGCCTTGTTCTTGGGTGCTTTTTTACAACGCACAGAATGGAAGTGGTTCTTCATCTTCATGTAGGTGATAACATTCGATGGACCTGGACCAGAAGTCAGTACTGATAATGCCTTGTTGACAAAGTGCATGCCTTGGTGCTATCACATTCACTCCTCTTTGGGGGTTGAGTCCGCGAGAACCACCGGTTGATCGACATGGAAAGATCGACTGTATTGGATCGGCTCTTGGAACAAGCTCGTTGATCTTATTCAACTTCGTTTGGAAGTAAGTGGTTGATAGCAACCCATGCATTGCATATTAACATTTCCATAGTCAAGCACCGAGTGTCGGGTGGTCAACCCCCTATGAAATTGTTCTCTTGATCAGCTCAATCATCTTGTTCGGAGGTTTTCTGCTCTGGGAAAAGAAGTATGCCGCCGAGCCCATCATGCCACTCGACATCTTCAAAGCCCCATCCTTCCTCATGCTGCTCTTTGTCGTGCTTCTTAATTATATGGCCGTAGGAACCTTGATTTGGTACCAGGTCTTATGGCTCCAAAAGGTCTGGCACTGGTCGCCCCTTCAATTTGCCGTAGGCTGGACACCATTTGTGATCTGTGCCACGGGCGCAGCATGTCTCGCAGCATGGATGATCCCGCGAATGGCAGCACAATGGATTCTGGCCATTGGGACAGTGACGATCTTAATTTCCAATGCGCTCATGGCGACCGTACCAATCCACCAATCCTACTGGGCCCAGATCTTCCCTTCCGTGATCCTCTTCTCATTCTGCCCAGACTTTGTGTACACAGCTGGCCAAATCATTGCTAGTAACTCCGTCCGTCGAAATCAACAAGGGATTGCCGGGTCTGTCATTGGCACATTGAACTTATACGGCAACAGTCTGGGACTGGGTTTCGCATCTACTATCGAAGTGCAAATTGCCCGCCGCTCGGGTAGCCAAATTATGGGGTACCGAGCGGCACTTTTCTTCGGTGTTGCCATTAGTGCTATAGCGCTTATACTTGACGTGTGCTTTGTCCGGCTGGTCAAGGATGACCGGGAAGGGTGGCATGAGGATGACCACATGGAGGAAATTGAGCTGACGGAGCAGGCCGAAGCTACTGGTGTCCATCTACCTCATGTAAGCCACTGATGTTACATTTTGGGGGGGGGACCGGTAAAATATCGGCAGACCGAGCGTGGGGTGCCGGGTGAATGCCGGGTTGAGCTTGGTGTGTAAAAAAAGTCTCGAGTGGATAGAAGGTCAAGAATCTATTTGTCAAGCTTTTTCAGGTTTTTCCTCGGATGACGTCCGTGATACTCCAGACTTGTATTCCCCGGTATAATAGACAATATTGTACTCCGTACCCCATACATTCGTACACCGTACATTTGTGTTTAACTTTTTTCCCCACGTTCTTTTGGACTCTAATTGCAATGGCTTTCCGGGGACATGATCTCATTAATGACTTCGGTGAGAAAAAGGAGAAAAGGGAGAAAAACATAAACTGCGGAGAGGGCGGGGGAGCTTGTAGGCGATTGGCCGTATGCCGTGCCGATACGGTGTGGATATCGGCTTGCCTGGCTTTTTCTAGCTTCGGTCCCTTCTTTTCGTTGGCCGGTTTCTTCCGTTTGTCTTTGATCTTTTGTGGGGATTTTCGGTCTTTTGTTGTCTCCCGAGCCAGTGAAGTTCGGGAGCCGTGTCCGTGATCCCGTGACTGCCCCCTAACAAGGTTCCCGTGCCGATGCAACAACGGGGTGAACTTTCCCCTCTCAAATTCCCTCTCCTTAAGGCATATCCTATCAGATTCCTTCCTCATCAATTGACCCCATTTATATCCGGGGATCCCCACATATTCTCTCATGGATAAGAATATTATTGGGTGAACTCGAGTCTCCTGAGGTCGAAACCCTTGTTATTCTGTTCCAAGATTCACATTCAGATGCCGACTCGGCCCCACGTATACCCCCCCGCGTAACTACAATGTATCATTCTGGGCGTGGGGGTACCATACCGGGGAAGTCCATGAGATGCGTTTTTTTATTTTTTTAAATACTGAAGAATCTGCTCTTGTCTGATCCCCGGATTATTTGTTCCTGCTCAATATCACACACACAATGGCGGACGATATCTCAAGAGAAAATCGTGACCGGATAGAGGTCGAAGCTGAGAAGGAACGGACTGAAAATGTCGAACACATTGCCTCACCACAGAATGGCGTGGCTCAGATGGATCCAGCTCGCCGGATAGTCGTTGAGAAGGCGCTCAAGCGTAAGCTGGATGCACGATGCAGCCTTTTCGTGGCGATTTACAGTGAGTATACTCATTTTTAGTGTCGTCTCACACATACCATTGGACACGTGACTAACGCCAGACAGTTATGAACTACCTCGATCGCAACAATATGGCAGCAGCTCGTCTCAAAGGCCTACAGGAAGATCTCAGCCTGACCAACACTGAGTACTCCACATGTCTGAGTATCCTCTATGTCGGGTACATCATCATGCAGGTGCCTTCAAACATGTTCATTAATCGCATCTCACGGCCCTCACTCTATATCGCTATTGCCATGTTGCTGTGGGGTGTTATCTCCACCTTGTCCGGTAACACCAAGAACTTTGGCGATATGGTGGCTGTCCGTTTCCTGCTGGGTTTCGTCGAGGCAGCCTTCCTGCCCGGTGCCCTGCTCATCCTCTCCAAGTGGTACACTCGTCGGGAATTGACTACCAGGAACGCTATTCTGTTCTGCGGTAACCTCATTTCCAATGCATTCTCTGCACTCGTTGGTGCTGGTGTTCTATCCAACATGCAAGGCGTCTTGGGTCATGCGGCGTGGCGCTGGCTCTTCTGGATCGAGGGCTCAGTGACTATGTTCATTGCCATCCTGGCCGCTTTTGTCCTGCCCGATCTGCCGCACAATGCACGTGGCTTCACCGAGGAAGAGCGCCAAGTTGCCCAACTTCGCATGCTCGAGGATGTCGGCGAGGCTGACACCGATGGCGAAGAGCTCGGTGCCTTCGGAGGACTTGTCCTTGCCCTACGCGACCCCAAGATCTATGTGATGATGTTTACTTTTGTTGCCTATGTGGTCGGCCTCAGCTTCAATGCTTTCTTCGTAAGTATTTTCATATCAATCGATCAAGTTGGGATTTTTACTGACTCGCTTTATAGCCTACGCTCACTGGTACTCTCGGATTCGATTATGTTCCGACTTTGCTGATGAGCGCTCCTCCCTGGGTTTTCGCCTGTATCTTCTCCGTCATTAACGCATGGCACGCGGATAAAACACAAGAAAAGGTCTGGCACATCATCGGCCCGATTGGCATGGGAACTGTTGGTTTCATTATTTGCATGGCCACTAGCAATGTCGCAGCTCGCTACGTCGCATTATTCCTGCAGGCTGGTTCCTATGCAGGATTCATTGTATTCTACTCATGGATCAGTTCCTCATTCCCACGTCCTCCTGCCAAGCGAGCCGTTGCCATTGCCATGATCAACGCCTTCAGTCAGCTAGGAAATGTCGCTGGTTCCTACGTCTGGGACCTGTCCGACAATGGGTTCCGCTCCAGCTACGGAATTGTGCTGGCCATGTTCGGTGTCACTGTCGGCGGATGCTGGTACTTCCGCTCGATGCTGCTCGGCTTGAACCACAAGCTCGAGGAGAGTGAGCTTGCCGATAATGCTAGAGGGGGTTCGACTGAGAATGATATCCTTGACAACCCAGATGAGTCGTTGCGTATGCGCAAGGGTTTCAGGTATCTGGTTTAAGTGTTTCACTATACGAACCAGGTTCTTCCCTGGTACTTTATTGCATCTGTCTATGTTGAAATCCATAGTCAGGATCGGGCTTTACAACTCAATTGACGTCAAATATATGAAATATTCCTTCTTAACCTTCTCTCAAGTCTGATTATTACTTAGGTAACCAAGGATGTAGCCTAAAATCAGACCCAAGGTTTTCAAAATATTCAACCGAGATCTTCGTTAATTGTTTCCGAGATTCCCCAGGTACTGACTTCCAACTATCCAAGGTTCTGGGCCATTCGCATTTTTATGAGTGCTGCTCAAGAATCGCATTTTAAAGATGAGCTCTCTCTTTTAGGCTAATCTGTAAACTTACCGCTATTAGCACATAGCACGCTTTTGCCCTTCATATGTATGTACTTTATACTTTAGCAAATGGGAAAGGGGAAGGATGACGGGAGTATCTGTATTCGACGCCGCACATCTACCACAGAGGGGCATATGACATAGGTCCCAATGGGCTGGTAACAGCTCGCCACATTCTGAGGATCAGTCTTGGCCTACATAGTGGTGTGCTGTAGGTACAAAGTCCATAGTTCCTCACATCTCCTTCCTAATCCGTAGGGATGACGCAAAGTATAGTTTTATATCTGCAAGCCCAATGTACCATGGGGTATGTGGGTACTATTTATGAGGCTTAGAACAGTTGCATCACACATACTCATTTAATAGGATGAAATATTCTCCGTGGAGTAATCCTAGCCATTGAGGCGTCAGATAATCTTGGCACTAATGTATTGCATCCCATTGTGTAACCATCCTTCAGTTTTGAAAATTTGCAGGGCCGAATGAAGTCAATGATTGTGCATGCAACTTCATCCCGATTCGGACATCGTGTGACCACTGCGGTAAGGCCTCCCTCCTTTTATAAATTTGTATGAAAGGTTCTAAATAATTTATGCAATCAATTTATGCAATGGCTAAAGGACATATCGAAATGATTATGTGCAGCGGCTATCATCTATGCATTTAAGCACTAAAGCAGTCAATACATTTGTAATACATGATCAGGGCGTAGCGTTTAACTAAGAAGCCTAATGATGCTCCCTGCAGCTTTATTTACTGGTTCGAGTTCCATATAGCCTTCATATAACCAAGAAGGTATAAAAAGCGTGAAAGTACTTTCATGCTTCAGACTATTCTTTTCATCGGGACCATTGGCTGCTGGTAACCAATCCCTGGAGCCCTGGAGATGTCACAGGCTTAGATCGACGTCCATATCCTATGAGAAGTAGAGCTATGCGAACGATTCCGTTTATGGGCAATAACAAACATACCGTACTTATTACACACACAATGAGCCCCCCCTTTTTTTAGGTCCTACATGCAACGTGATCTAAGGGAATCTAGGTTTTATATAGATGGCCATCTCGTAAATAAGGTTTACTTTATAGTATGAGGTCAACTTACATCCAGGAATAATGCGAGTGAACCGTTTGAATTAATACTTCTATTTAATTTTATCTATATAAAATAGAAGTTATATAATCTGTATCAGCTACTAAATACGGAGCACATAAGCTAGAAAAAAATGGAACAGATATGTTGTAGATGAGATGGGTTAGATTCACTGGTCACTGATCACCCAGACTAAATTAAATGAGTCGAATTAGGAGGAGGTTAAAACATCCTATAGAATGTCAGTGGGTGTTGTAAGCCTACGGTGACGTGAACTCTATACGTAAGAGTGCATATATAGCATCGCACGGTACCTGGATAGGAATTGGCATTGGTCTAACGAAATTTCACGGTAGAATAAATTGCTAAAAACCTCTAATGTATTACAATCTGGCCTCTGGCCATTTACGTACTATGATTTCTGTATGGATCATATTAGATGTCGTATTAAGCCATCATTCTGACCACATTGCCCGATTAGGAAGGTAAATTGAGCCCCCTACACATGAACAATAGTGGAGCTGATGTCCTCAAGCTGCCATACTGTCTTTGATTGCCTAAATGCCTCCGGCTAATACGAATGCTTCAACGCAGCTAACCCAGACAGGATCATGTAGCTGGCCTAGATGGATTGACTTCACTAGTTCTTAGCAAGAAGGAGGGTGTGAACATATGTCTTGCATGTAGTTCTTGACATCATACACCTCTAGTTATTAGCTATTGGTGAGATATAAGTATAGGGCTATCCCGTAGGATGTTGAGAAGAACAGACCGGTTTCCTATTCACTTGTATAGCTATTTGGTAAGTGGATCGAACACCAACTCGAGGTTAAGGCTGATTGAAAAGATTCAAAATAAACTCGACAAAATGATCTCGTTTCGGAGTGTCTCTATTGCATTGCGTCCATCGGCATCCGCATTCGGCCACAACTCTGTTCGCAATGCCAGCCCAGTCCTTCTTGGGCGCCAGCAGAGGAAAGGCCTGGCAACTGCTTCAACACCCACCGACTTAGGGGCCACAATGCCACCAAATTACTCTGCTCGTGTTGGACAGCTCAAGACATTCACCTTGCCTGAGAAGGTCACTGGATGTCCCGGAGACATTCAAATGGGAAAAGACTTGGTCAACGCGTGGCGTGAAGATGGTATACTTCAAATTGCAATGGACCCTAAGCAGCAGGCTCTCTTCGACAAAGCGTTTGCTGCCAGTAAAAACTTTTTTGCTCTGCCCCCTAAACAAAAGGCGGCTTGTATAGACAGTCAGAGCTATGCCGGCTATATTGCCTCTGGAGAGGAAATTACAGATGGTATTGCTGATTATTCAGAGATCTTCACGGTTACAAAAGATCTTCCTCTCGATGAGCCTCGAGTGAAAGCCAAGTGGCCTTGCCACGGTCCCTGCCCTTGGACAGACAACGAGATGAAGACCACTGTACAGCAGTATATGGATTCCTTGGGTACTAGCGGAGAAAGACTGCTAGGGCTGATTGAATACGGACTTAACCTGGAGCCTAAGACTCTGACTGGCCTAACTCAGGACGGATGGCACCACCTGCGTATTTTGAGGTAGGGGAAAATGGGTTCTATCCAAGAATAGCTCTTAATGTATACTAACCTTGACGTCTAGATTCCCTCAAACCACCAACACCAACGGAAAAGGAAAAGATGGTCGCGGCATTGGGTCTCACACGGACTACGGCCTCTTGGTCATTGCAGCCCAGGATGATGTCGGAGGTGAGATTCCCATTGGGTCCTTAGGTTTATATTTGACTGATCATCTTAAGGTCTATTCATTCGACGCCCCTTCGACGACGAGAAGCTAGAGAATTGGAAGAAGAGTGCCGCTGGTTTCCAAGAAAATGATGAACGATGGGACTATGTGCCTCCTGTACCTGGAGTCTTCACGGTCTTCCCAGGTTTGTCTGTCCTTTGCCTTCCAGTCCCACAAGACTCTCACATTTTTTAGGTGATATGATGCAGTTCATGACAAACTCCTACCTACCATCTACCCCCCACAAGGTTGGCCTCAATACTCGGGAACGATACGCCTTTGCCTACTTCCATGAGCCCAGCTTCCAAGCTGAGATCAAACCAATTCCTCAGCTTTATGATGGAAACCCTCCCGATGAAAAAGTCCACTACGGAACCCACTTCACAAACATGTTTATGAGGAACTATCCTGATCGGATTACATCCGAGCGAATTATTAGAGAAGATCGTATGAAGATTCTGGACCTGCCCGAGGTGCGAACTCGATAAATCATCTCAGGATGGTCGACCATACAGGATTCAACACAAATGATCTTCGCTCACGGACGATTCAACCCTGTCCATTGAGTTCATCGTGCGAGTACTCCAGTAGCTAGTTGATTAGATAAATCGTCCAATGATGCAGATCTTTTACTACTTTTATCTATACAACGAAGGACAACCAGTAAAAACTTTTGCTACATTACGAACTAAATAAATGACATTTAGTCAGAATTTAGAGAACGAAAAAATGAAAAAAGAAATGGGCTGTGTGACAATATGCGCATTCCTCCACATCCTGCCATCTGCATAGAAGTTATGACATGCATCCGATGAGTCCGTATTCTGCCATCCGCATGGAGTGTGGAGTACAAATCAGACGCCTTCCTCTGAATGGCCAGACCATGATACGTCTGTCCATATGCGCAGCTCGGCGGGTTGAATTACACGGAATCATTGGTTGAGGCGGTGTCATCCGTGTTGCTGTTGTGAGCTGTGGCTGGCTAATCTGTAGTCGACTGCGTCCTCTGTTCGACGATATCCGCGGAGGTGGTGCTGATTATTACCGGCCGATTGTATGCTGTAATAAAATCGTTTTCAATAAGCCGCGCTGTCTCGCTATCTGCCTGTCGTAGCGTCGCTTCCTGGAAATGCGCGAGAACTTCAGCGTACGAGGCTCTTTCATCTGATCTTGGTAATGTGCGCACTGCCTCTGCGAGGAAACGTAGTCCAATGTCATAAGTCAACGCATCAAGTACAGCTGTGACATCAGCTGCGCTCCGTATCGCCTCATAGGCCATAATGTCACGAATCCTTGCAATATCATCTTCACTGCGTGTCTCATCGGGGACGTTGTTCAACTGGGGAGATAGAGTTCGACCGAAGGATTCATACACGGAGCGGATGTGGTCAATTGGGAAAGGACCGTTGGTCATCAAGTAAGTTGCCACAGGGTTGGTGGACCATGAGTGGTAGAGAAGCTCCATATTGAGCACACTGCGTTGCAAATTGCGGTGATCCATGGGCTCGCACATCGCGATTCGCGTACTGAAAAGTAAAAAGGCGTGTGACACAGGTATCGGACTAGGTACTAGGGTCGTCGGACGGGGAATAATGACGCCGATGCGAGTCCCCTCTTCGGTGGTAGGTCTTCTCAGGCAAAGAGGGATAGGCAGCATTTCAGATGGTGACTCGGTGGGTTCATCGTTGTTGGATGAGGATGATGCTGTATCGGCAAGTGATAGTGCAGCTAGTGACTCGTTCAGTTCATCCTCGGTGGATGAGGGTGATGGAGTATTGATAGGCGTTATTGCACCCGATGACCCGGTAGATTCATCATCACTGGACGAGAATAATAGTGTATCGTCTGCCGGAGGGGCCATAGTTGCAGGCGTACTGATTGGCCTGTAAAGGTGAAATGTCACACGCGGGGAATTGGATGAGTGAAGGAAGTGCACAACGGGGTTGAAGGAGAGAGGGTCAGATGCAAGTGAGAAGTAAAAGAATGTGTGCGAATGTGAAGTGTGTGTGAGATAATGAAATTCAACTGATATTTCTTCTTTCCAATCCTACACCTTTCATTAAACTATTCACTTTATTCTATCCGAAGTAGCTGTGTATCGAGTACTATAGTACACAGTCAACTTTTATATACCAGCTATAGAATATTAAGAGTAATCTCTGTGATCTTCTATACGACTCTCAGTAATATCCCAATACTCGAGATATGTATGATTCCACCCTCACTTGAGACATGATAGCAATTTTGAGAGAAAAGGAAAGAAGGCTTCTATTCTTTGAATCTAATCAACTCCGAATATAGTTCTATTTATCCTCACGAACCAGATTACGGTACTGATTATTAGGATCTTGCTCCTCCTCTTCCGCCGATTGAACTGTCCTCTTCACGCGACAAGGAGTGCCAACAGCGACAGAGAACGGCGGGATATCCTTGGTGACGACAGATCCAGCGCCAATTGTACAGCCCTGGCCAATTCTTACTCCAGGAAGAATGATAACATTACTTCCAATCCAGCAGTCATCTTCGATGAAGATCGGATGTCCAAACTCAACAAACTTGCGTCGAGATAGAATGCTAGTATCATGGCCAGCAGTGATGATACTGACTCCAGTGCCAATCTGTACACGGTCGCCAATGACAACCAGGCTGGTGTCAAGGATAGTAACGCTGCGAGTGGTTGGTAAATTTCCATGGAACGTGGGGGAAAAGACAGACTCACTTCCAGTTGAGGAAACAATCCTTTCCGATCACAGTATTACACCCGTAATCTGGTAAAAATGGTGGCTCGATGAACGTCCCATCTCCAACTCTGCCAACGAGTTTCCGCAATAGCTCAAGACGCTTGTCACCAATCTCCTCATATGATACCGTCTTGGTGTCTAGCTCGTTGTAGTCCCTGGCCAGTCCCCGACACAGATGCCGGGCCTCTAAAAGTTTCGGCACCATAGGGTTGTACCTGAACTGTTATTAATACATCCTGAGTATATTGCGAATGATACATACATCATTCCTGACACCATACGCTCATAATCCTCGCACATGGGTACTCTGGCCAGTCCGCGAGCAAGCTCGATGATCTCAGGGCGTTTCTCAGTAGCAGCCATTTTGAATAAGATATTATGAGAAGACAGGGATCATACAATAGACCAGGATCATAGATATATGTACAACGAACGGACTACCGGGGTGACCTCCGCCTCCAAGTGGGGTGATTTACCGACAATTCGCCGATGACGTGGGGACAGGCCGAGAGTTGAACTTCCTATTTGGGTAAAATCGCCAGCTTATCGCTTATCGATGTTATCAGTATACCTACTCATGTAGGTAGAGCTCTAAATATAGATCATTGGTACATAATATTGAAACCTTCATGTCCCCAAGGTGAGGTTATAGACCAACTGAACAGGATTTCCAGGGTTATGGATCAAACTTCTGAATACGTCTCACAACCTCCTCCACATCCACCCAAATCCGCTGTCGATTTCGTAACCCCTTGAGCTTATCCCAGTTGAGTCGGATTTGCATAAATACACGATGCCAGTCGGTGGTTGCTCTAGGCAATTTCACTTCCTCCGGAATGATAATCGGCAGAACAAATCGGGACTCCGCAGCTTTCTCGGCATCAAGCTGTGTGTAAGAATCTTCAACCAAGGCCTGGGCATACGCACTCCGTGCCGTGACTACACACTTGATATCTGCTGTTGTTAGGATTGTCCAGGGCGAAGGGTTGTGTATGCATTCAGATTCTTCCCAGGCCTCCCACAGCCAAGGCATTTCTTTGCGTACTAGTTTGTACCACACACTGTTTGGGAGTTGAGCGAATGCCCTAGACGCAATACTTAGACTAGTGATATCGCTAGAGTCTAGGTATTCGATGACGATGAGCCGAATCTCTGCGGGAAGAGAAGAGAGACTGTCGGTTTGCCTCTTGTGAGATGCAGTAGGGCGGTTCGCGACAGGCTGAGATGACTCAATCTCGGAATACGGGTCGGACGAGGAAGGCAATCTTTCATTCTTTGCCGCGGTGAGAAGAATTTCTGGTAGCCCGGGCACGTAAAGGGGATTGGCGACCAGATACTCAGTACCATCGTCATGGCACCACCATTGATCCTGTGAATCATTAACCTCTTTGGCCCGAGGAAAGGTGCCGAAATCATCCCAGCCAAACTCGGCATTACGCCAGGTCATGAGGCCTTCAACGTTAATGCGTTGAAATTGGACTTTGGACTGTCGGCAGAAGATATCAAAGCACCACGGATGGAATGGCATGGCTATATCATCCGGTTCTCTATCTGGCTGGTAGATGTCAGCTTCCGGTTATGCTCTCGAGGCGGTCCATGGACGCATTAGGGAAATGAACCTACATCGAAATTCACATTGTCCGCCTCTACATAATCTATCCCATTTCGTACAGGGCATACTATTGGGCAGGATATATCGCGCGACGGCGTTCCGTCGCAAATTCCAGACAAAGACCAGTCTCCATCAATTTCCCAGGCCGCGTGTAGCTGGTCAGCCCGCCATTGATCCCTTGGATCCGTTTTGCGCACGAGGAACTGGGCAGTGCGACAGCCTCTCGCCTCCTCAGGGGAGATAGCATCGGACGAGTAGCCTGACATTGGACTGTCAAAGTATCCGACGCTCTGCTGGGACTCCCCCCTCGTGGCGCTCGCCGGGTTGAAAGTTTGCAACACCCAGTTGTAGTACGTTTGACCATCGGAGTCATCAGTACTGTTGTCTTCGCAGTCTTCGTTGTTAGACATATCTCCGCCAAGGCTCATGCCATCGGTTGATTCGCAATCAGAGTCATATTCATATGGCTCTTCCTCACAATCCTTTTGGGATTTATAGTCGAGATCTTGAGATGTGTCTTCATTATCTGTAAAATCAAACCCATCTGTCTTTTGGTTTTCAGGACCAGGCACATCCAGCTCCCCAGATTTTAGGCGAAAGACGATGTTGAAGCTCACGCCGCAAAGATGGCAGTAGAACTACCACCCTGTCCTGTCAGATACGTCTTACTAATGCAAAAAAAAAAAAAAAAAAACCTTCCAACTGTACCTCAGAATAACCTACACATGTCAGTAATAGACATGCGTTGTCATAGCTATCCACTTACCCATTTCCAATTGATCTGCAATATGGTTATCCGCACATTGTTCAACAATGCAAAGAGATAAATAGAAGACAAAGTGCCACGAGGTGTTTTTTTTTTTGCTTTTTCTCGTATCCGCGCCCCTTTTCGGACTAGATGAATCCTGAACTCTGTGATTGGCCAATCAACGGTTATCTGCCTAAATGGCATTGTGTTTATTACGTTCGAATCCTCGACGGAGTACGGAGTAGTTATTGTAGAAATGTTCATTGGTTTATCTATAATCCCTCAGGGTGAGTCTATAGACTTGTTATGTATACTAACTTCGTCCGCAACTGTATCCTTCAGGGCATCCCGTCGGACAGCATCAACATCAAATGCAGCTTTGCTGTGGAATATAGTTTCCATCTCTTCAAGACTTTTTCCTTTAGTCTCTTTAACAAAAAAGAAGACAATGATTGCCATGATGATATCCAGGATCGCATAGAAAAGGAAAACGTAACTCCCCCAGGAATTCATCATGTAGCGTGTCACTAGGGAGAAAAGGAAGTTGAAAAGCCATTGTGTTGATACTGCGACCGAGGTTCCAATCTCTCGGATCCGTGTTGGGAATATCTACATGCTAATTAGTTGTTGCCAGGTGATATATGGGTATAGCATTACTTACCTCGGAGGTATATGGCCACGGCAATGGCCCCCAACTAAATTGGTAGATCGAGTTAGTCAGGAATATCATAGCCACCATACCAATACCGGCTGGTGTGGCTTTTGCATTTGGTTCTGGCGTGGTTTCCTTGACAACTGTGACGATAATGAAGCAACCAGCCATTAATAGAGCTGAAATCCAAAGGGTCGGCTTCCGTCCCCACATTTCGGAAAAGAACAAGATATAGATGCCAACAGTGACAAACTTCTCAGCGCCAAAAAGACCAGTAATAAGAAGTGACTGGTTTGTGTTGTTACCGACTAGCAGTTTGAAGAACTGAGGTCCGAAGTAAGCAAGGGCGGTCATGCCAGTGCATTGCTGACCACAGAACATAAAAACTGCAAGGAGTAGTCGGTAACGATTGGCGGGCTCGAGAAGTTCGCGCTTCTCGAATCCCTCGGTTGCTCGCAATTCCTCCTCAAGTCCGACTCGGATTTCGTTGAATTCTGCCTTCACTTCGGGACCTATTGAGTGCTCATTAGCTCTGTATCCCGTTATTGCTTTGTAGGGTATATGTTACTTACCTTCACTAGCTCGCATCCATTTTAGACTTTCCCATGCTTCGTCAAAGCGCCCCTTCTTGGCCAACCAGCGTACACTTTCGGGCATAGCACACAGACCCAGTGCGAGAACTCCAGCTGGCACCATCTGGAGACCAACGGGAATCTGCCACTGCTTTGAAGAGGCGGGCAGCGTGATCTTCACGGCATAGTCGATCCAGTAGCTCAGCATCACACCCAGTGCGAATAGCCATTGCATTCCTGACCCTAGCTTGCCTCGGATTTCCTTGGGTGCCATCTCGGCATTGTATGCTGGAACGACCGCAGTGCCTGCACCGAGACCTAGACCAGCGACAAACCGCCCAATGTAGAAACAGGCTAGTGAATGTGAAGGTACTACCTGCAATATCACACCGAGGCAGAACACAGTCATGGCTGCCTGGACTGTTTTCTTTCGTCCATACCGTTCTGACACCCAGAAGATTGCCAAGGCCGATAGGAATGCGCCTACATTCTGCAAGCTTACCATCACAGCACTGACGGTTGTCTGATCCTTGTAGCCAAAATCATCGATGTAGGACTTGAACTCGAGGATACCACCTATTTACCAAGGCTATCAGCGATGGTCACTAGGTGAACTTTTCTTTTTCACTCACCAACAATCCCAGTGTCATATCCAAACAAGAAACCCGCTGTACAGACAAAATATCCAAAGAAATATGCCCGGAAAGCCCCGAGCTTGGTTCCTGGCAACCCCATGCTGTGCGACGTAGTACTCAAGAAGAGATTAGCAAGAGAGAATGAGGGACTTTAAAAAGAACTCGGAGCCCATTTGGAAAATTTTAAATATAAGCTCCGCAAGGGATGATTATCTGATCTACAATCCAAGAGTCCATATACAGCACGCAAGCTTTGATGCCGTATACGCCATAGCACGCCATAACGTTTATATGTGAAACATCCTCTAAGGCTCTAACCACCAACAGACACCTAAGAACCAACAAGATGCCATATAGCAAATGCTTGACAATTTAGTATTGGAAATTTTCTATACAAAATCGACTGATCTCTTCTATGAGTTGGCAGTCTCCCAAGAGCTTCTCCGCATTTTGCCAAGAGCCCCCCGGATCGCGGATCGCCCGTTTCGGCCTGTCGCGTCGCTCGTCCCGAAGATCTATACTACACGTGTTTATGTATAACAACAAGGGTTTACGAAAGAGGTAAGAAGATGAGCTATCAATTCTCCGGTCATCCTAACAAAATCATTACAGGAAATCCTCGGCATACTCCTCGTATTCCTGCATGAAGTCCTCCATGTTGTACTTATTCTTCAGCTGTTTCTCTGATAGAATCATATTGCCCGCTTCAATGTATCCTTTTCGGAATGTCGCGAACAGTGTCGGGCTCCTCGAATAATGTGGGATAAACCATTGGTTATCCCCTGTCACCATAGCTCCTTTGAAAGCTTGATAAACAATATCGGGATCTTGACTCAGGTCTACCACCTCGCACTGGCCGAAATCTAGAAGATACATCTGAACCGTGCGGTGCTGTAAATCTGGCCCATGTTCTGGTCCCTGGGCCTCTGTGACCGATGTGCCAAGCACAAACTCGACATCATCACCGTTGACGGCAGCACCCCAGTGCAAGATTGCGTATGCTTTGCCCATTGCCCTTGCAAGTGGGATAGGATCAATCCCAACCTGCTCCATCAGACCAAGATACAGAGGAAAGTTTCTCAGCGGGGTTACGCGGTCAAAGGTGCCATTTCTCTTGCCAAGGTAAACTCGGGCGAGGCAGTGCTTATTTGGAGTGTGATTAAGGAGGGCTTCGATCTCAGTGCTATCGAGATTTTGTTCGGGTGCGTAAAACTGAGAGATGAAGGCTTTTCGCACGACTTTCGGTAATGGAAGAATTCGCTCCATCATCACGAGGTCCCCGCGCATGCGGTAGGGCCGGGGGGTCTTTGGTAGGATCTCATCCCAAAAAGCGTCGTTCTCTTTCCTCGAGATAAACTGGAAGGGTTTCGGAACGTGGACTTCACGGTTGATGGAGTGGTAATGCGCAAATGCGGTCGAAATATACCAATGCAACGAATACTCATGATGGAGATTCGATCGTCGCGTTTCGTTTCCGGGTGTTTCCTTTTTCATAGCCAAAGGCTTCCCGACCTGTTCAAAGACTACTCCCTGTAGCCCGGCTCCGATTTGATTGAGCTGTTGCAAGTGGGGTTGAAAACCCGCATTTTGAAACTGGAGACTGAATGAAGAGGCCGTCGAGATGACGGAATTCAGAGAAAGAGATTTAAGGATATCTGAGTCTGCCATTAGGAGATTTGCGACCAATTCTAAGTTCCAGATCGCTCTTTTTATATTGTGCCATGATAGTTGAGGGTCTGGACGTGTGCGGTTTCTAGGTAACCGCCATAACATCTAGGCAGCCCTGGAGTTTCCCATAAGTTATACAATATCTATTTACTTCCTGATTTACTCTATAACTATATTTTCAAAGAACGCTTCTGTACCCTATAACAAATTGTGACCATTTTATTATCTACTTACGAGTACAGGATTCAAGGATCATAAGAATCGTCGCTTAGACGTCCTCTTTTCGAGTCAGTTCGGTAGTCATTTCAGTAGTTTTCTAGCTATGCTGAGATGTCATTTTTAGGGGTCCCCTTTCAACATCTTTAATTTTTGATTTCATAGGCAGAGTTAGTAGATAGAAGAAGGATTTCCATATAGGGCTCGGTTGGGTGATAATTCCAATTCGAGACTTATGGGTCAATGTTATGAATTCAGCATCGGCTCTTTTTAATACCTCTAAAATCGAGTAGACCTTATTTTTTGTTTTCTATCGTAGATATAGCTTTAGTATAGATGATGATGTTGTAGTAATATTGTAGGGCGATGCAAATGTGAATACCAGAGGGCTGGATTGGGACTACTTCATTGCGTTTGCTCTCCGGCCAATACAAAATCTTCAGACTGGATTTTTTTCTCATTTATTCCTCATAATCCTTTCTCACTTCCCTTCTCTTCAGCTCTTTCTTTATTCTCTGTCACTCTTTTGCTACCATTCTCACCTTCCTCTCATTTTCCCACTCCCTCTCTCTTCACTTATTATCCATTTTATCTTCAAGGTAAAGGAAGGCAAATACCTACACTTCCTACTGATTCGCCTGGCTAATCCATGTTATCAATGTCAGATCACCGCGATGCGCGTTCCACTCACTCCCTCCGAGCATCCCAACCAGCATCTACGGAAGTTGGGCGCGAACCCTGACCTCCCAGTCAGCGCTGCCTTCGTTCTGGTTGGCCTACACCGAGGCTGGAAGCCAGGCTCCAAGACTTGGAAGAAGAATTGGAATACCTGTATGAATATGGAGTACGACCGGCTCATTGGCTGCCGTGTGAATAGCCTGGCCACCTGGCAGGGCTTATGCGCGAAGGTGGGAATTGAAGGTTCCTTCACCTCGATTAACCAGTGCAAGAAGGTACGATCCTAGTCACAACTAAGTTAACATCACATGCTTACCAGTGTACGTAGGCACTGGCTCGGGTTCACGTCAATATCGTTGACCTTTTGGACTTTTGGGATATGGATGTCACTCCAATTCGCTTTAAGAACAAGGAGGACCTCGCCGCATACACCAAGGCCACAAATAAATTCTTTGGTAGACACATCGCCAAACAGGACAAGGTACTGCGTGTTCTGCTCCGTCACCTTATTTGAAGGTTCTCATACTTCCGATACAACAATGTGACTTGAAGGCATACATACGATTCTAGGGGAGTTTTTCACGGTCTGCAGTGTTGATTTTCACAGCGATTTGATGGGGAAGCTTTTTTTTGATTTTACGATAGCTAAAATGAGGATTTGAAACATCGAACCTACCTCTCCAAATATGCGTTTAAGATAAAGATTTGTATACATACTATGGTGTTACAAGCTGCCCCTGGACTGGCAAGTTACGCAGATATTCCAGGCTCCGATATATATAGTGCATGACATGACATATAGAATATCGTACTCTACGCGACAATTCTTTTTTCCAAGTGCCATGGCAGCTTTAATACTCACCTCATTGTATCACCTCTCTATTTTCAGTTCTCTATTCGACTCTCCCTTTTCCCACCTGTGAACTTCATCTGCCACTCATTTGTGAAGATCCTCCACTAACTCCTCATCTATCCCAAACCTCCACCGTTATTACATTCCTCGTTGTTAAGGTAACTAAATTGAAACCCCAACTCTTTCTTCCAATTATATAAGCTGACTTGGGTTGTCAAATCGAGACGACCACTACTATGTGGACCTTGGTCGCTCCTTTGGAACATCCTGACCAGCTTCCTCGGGATCTCGGCGTCCAGTATGACCGGATTCTTTCCATCACCTTAGTATTCCATATTGTCGACACATAGTGAGGCGGGAGGCCCGATTCAAAGTCTGGGAACTGGGACTGGAATGCTTGCATGAACAGCAAGAACGGCGTATTGATTAGCGTGCCATGTCACCTACCTCGCAACCTGGTTAAAGTTGTGTTCAAAGTGGAAATCCAGTCGAGAGTGTGGACTCGTACTAGATCCAAGAATAAGGAGGCCCTTGGCAGATACACAATTTAAATCCAGCGGTTCTTCATTCGAGACCTTGCAAAACAAGATATGGTCATTCGGGTTCTGCTGCGCAAGCTCATTTGAAGATCCAGGCATATCATCAATATGTATGCACGGGGAGCGTGCAGTACAGTGAGAACTACAATGATATGGGGAGAGAAGAGGATATAGTGGATTTTGGCTTTCTATATAGCTGACACCTAACAATCTGAGCCATTGAAAGTGTTTTCTTCATGGTGTTGACTATTGCTGTCGATCATAACAGGTCATGGGTTCGAGGTTCCTTCCTACAAGAGCTTCCTTTCATTCCACTTTCTTATGAGACAGTCTCCCTCTTCGGCTCTCTTCTTTCTCAATTATCTTCCACCGTCACTACACTCTTACAACCCGCGCATACCCAACTTCATTATCTCTCCTTCTCTTAACTTAACACCTCTGCCTACTTCATCTTTAATAACGGTAAACAAAGTGAAATCCTCTGCCTTTCTACGGAGTTGCCAAGCTAACCAGTCCTTTCAACGCTAGACACACATTTACCACTATGCTGGTCACGCCTGCTTCTTTAGGGCATCATAACCCGGCCCTGAGAGATCTTGGCGCACCCCATAACCCTCACCTCCCAATCACCTATGCCTTTGGCCTCACCAGCCTGCAGCGAGGCTGGAACCAGGATTAAAGAAGTGGCAAAAAAAGTGGAATGCTTGCATGAAAAACGAGTATGACCGACTGATTGGCAGTCACGCCACCAGCCTCATAATCTGGCAACAGCTGTGTGCCAAAGTTGGAATTGAGGAATCCTTTGCCTCAATCAATCAATGCAAGAAGGTATGTATCCTTGAAGTTTTGGGAGCAACTTGTTTATTTCACTTGCTTACTAGTCTAGGCCTTAACTCGCGTGCATGTGAATATCATCGATATCCTTGACACATGGAATTCCGATTTGACTCCCCCACTGTTTGAAAGCAAGCAGGCACTTGCTACGTACACCAAGACGAACAACAAGTTCTTCAACCAAAGTATAGCCAAGAAGGACGACGTCCTTCGAGTTCTTCTTCGCAAGCTTGCGTAAATAGCCACTTGCTCCCTGGTGCCCAAGCTTGCCTTTCACTTTCGAAGGCACAAGATCCTCTCAGTCTATTAGGTACATCAGGTACCCTTTGACATACTTGGAATGATTTGGATTTGTACAGCTAGAAATTAATTTGGGCCTGAGGCAGCCTGCAAGGTCTGAGGGAATTTTGCAGTACATCTCACTAAGAACATGAACCTTTGACTCTATTGTCTATATTCCATACTATATATTCTACTTGTAGCTCTTATGGTTGTCTCGTTCTCTTCTAAACACCGTCTCGCCTTTGTATATCCCGTTTCCTGCCCTAATTCCTCTCCCATTTGCCGCTCTCCTGCAGTCCAGCAAGCATTAGCGAACCCTTGAGTGCTCCATCCAACCAGGCACTGGCTCGATTTCACGCCAACATCGTGGATCTTTTGGGGTTCTGGGACTCTTTATTTCACCCCTATCTGGTTCAAAAGGAAGCCCTTAGTTGCTGTATACACAAATGTAACAAGGTGTTCTTCGTGCTGAGACATCGCGAGGTACAGCGGGGTTCTCATATTTTCACTGCGTACGCTCTTATAAATATCCTAGGAAGGGGCCGTGGCAGTAGAAGCCGTGGCGATGCTCTCAATTAGATCAAAAGAATGATAAATCTGAGAAGTCTGGTCAACAGCACAAACCTCGGAAGGGCGCGATACACCTACACGAATGATAACAGTGACCTGAAGTTCACATCGTAATCGCGTATAGCAAAGCACCAATCTAAATGGAAGCGTCTGGGGAGCGTGGTCTCTTTCAGATGCCATACCTTCCTCGGGCCTCAATGTCCCTTCCCAAGTATAAATTAGCCGTCAGGACTTTCCTTTCTGTTTATGAAGTCGGTAAACAATAATATGCAAGAACCTGACACTGCAGGAACGAGTATCTCAAGCTGAGCCGAGTGTAATCCACATAATGACCATGTCATTTTCTACCATCATTCAATGTTCCGCAATGTTACTTTTCTCTGGCCTCCCGCTCCTAACTATACTTCCATGGGTCTTTCACATCTTCGGATACCTTTCCAGCGGTAATAAGTTCAACGCTCAACTCGCCGGGAATGCCACATTTGACTATGTTGTTGTTGGAGGGGGCACAGCAGGTCTGACCATTGCGACACGACTCGCAGAGCAGAAATACAAGGTAGCTGTGGTGGAGGCAGGAGGCTACTATGAGTACAATTATCCACTGGCTCGAGTCCCAGCATCTTCCAGTTTCGGAGCTGGTGCTGATGTCAAAACTAAGACGCCAATCGACTGGGGGTTTGTAGTGCACGGTATGCCAGGTACAAATCATCGTGATATTCATTACCCAAGAGGTAAATGTCTAGGCGGGTCGTAAGGGATCATCAAGATAATACTAGCGATATTTTCTGACCTGGATTAGGTCCGCATCGAATTTCATGATGTACCAGAGGTCAGTCATCTTCAATTCTTGAGATCGTATATAGCGCTAATGTTTACAGACCCTCTGTACAATCTATGGCTAAATGGGCAGAACTTGTCAACGATCCCAGTTATCTTTACGAAAATGCATTGCCATTCTTCAAGAAGACCGTCTCCTTTTCACCCCCAATCGGAACTCGTTTCGCGAATGCTACTCCTCTGTTCAACAGTACCGCATTTGATAAAGACGGCCAGCCGCTGCAAGTTTCATATCCAAAGTATGCTACGCCTTTTGGCACATGGGCAAAGGGAGGCTTGCATGATCTTGGCATTGAAGAAGTGCAGGATTTCAACAGCGGCTCCTTGATAGGCCATCAATTTTGTGCAATGACAATCCGACAGTCGGACGCATCTCGAAGCAGTTCTGAATCCGCATTTCTGCAAACAGGATCCAAGCGTCCTTCGTGGACATTGTATCAGTTTACCATGGCAAAAACGATTCTCTTCGACCATCGAAACCGAGCAACTGGCGTGGTGGTTCAAGAAAGAAATCAATTTGTCCTGACAGCAACACGAGAGGTCATTCTCTCTGCCGGTGCTTTTCAATCACCACAGCTCCTGATGGTTTCTGGCATTGGTCCTGCCAATGTGCTCAGTACTTATAACGTCAAAGTGGTCGTGGATCTACCGGGAGTAGGTCAGAACATGTGGGATCATGTGTTTTTTGGTCCCTCTTATCAGGTTAATGTGCCCACTTTGGGGATGCTGAGAAACCATTTTTGGTTCCTTCTCAGTCAGCTTCTAACATGGGTTCTCCGAGGCAATGGTTTCTTAACCAACCCATCGACGGACTATGTCGCATTTGAGAAGCTTCCGCCGGAATCCCGCTCTGGACTTTCTAGGACCGACGAATATGAGCTGGCTTGGTTTCCGAGTGATTGGCCAGAAGTAGAGGTGAGATCAGTCTCCCGTTTGTCTTCAGATTGTCACACTAACCATCCAGTTCACTTAGTATATCGCAGGATCTGCATACGTTGGAAACTTCTCAAATCCATTTGCCCAGCAGCCTCGGACTGGGCAGTATGCTAGCATTATCGCGGTGCTGGTGGCTCCAACATCACGGGGAAACGTGACTATTCGTTCATCTAATACAGCAGATGCTCCAGTTATCAACCCCAACTGGTTAGACACGGAAACCGATCAACGAGTTGCGGTCGCAGCATACAGGCGGGTGCGCGAAGCTTTTCGGTCTCAGGCAATGGCCTCTGTGATTATCGGGCAGGAGTATTTTCCTGGGAAGGGTTATGAAACCGATGCTGAATTATTACATATTATTAAAAGCACAGTAATGACAATTTATCATGCAGCTTGTACCTGCAAGATGGGTATCCAAAACGACAGCATGGCTGTTGTCGATAGCCGAGCAAGGGTATTTGGGGTCGCAGGGTTGCGAGTTGTTGATGCGAGCGCATTTCCGATCCTCCCACCAGGTCACCCTCAATCAGCAGTTTGTCAGTTTCGCCCTTCCTAGCTGAGATTATCATTGCTGATGTATCTTCAGATATGCTAGCCGAAAAGATCGCGGCCGATATCATTTCCAACGGATCAGACTGAGAATTTTGTTGTTCCTACGTATGAAACATCGAGAGCATGCAAGGCTTTTCCAATGATGAGACAAGGCGGAATTGAGAAATCATTGCCTCTATAATATCACCATATATCTTCTAAATACATTTGATTCAATGTATCAAACATGTTGTAATCGCTGGGGAGACAATTGGCCGAGAATGCAAAGCCGAGGTTGTTAATAAACACCTCATCAGGGTTAGGGGTTGCCCCAAATCCAATCATGCCACCGTTATCATATTGCTGAGGACTGTTGGAAGTAGGAACATCAAACCAATTGATAGTTGGAAGTGGTGGGGCCAAAACGGTATTTTGGGCATACGGATCTTGCGGGTTCAGCAGGCCTCGGGATAGCTCAGTCGCGGCCATTGGCCCTAGATAGACATCCGTATCTGGTGGTTGACATGGGATTGCGCAGGAATCATTGCATTCCAATGAAGGAGCAGGCGGCATATGATCAACATCACAATTTAGTCGTTGGCAATACAATTTCTCCAGATTCCGTCCGATACGCTTTGCGATATTCCAGGACGTCGATAGTTCCCGTAGAACCTGAAGGCAAAGTCCCACGGCTGCCTGTGGTGACGGGCGGCCTCGTGGGGCCTGAGTACCTGTACTAGACTTTGCGGTGGGATTAAGGCAGCAATTTTCAATAATGATTATTGCCGCTGATAACATGGCGTGCGTGGTTGTTATGGGGCTCCGCTTAAAGCTGCCGAATGTCTGTCTATATTTCTGGGCCACGACGCACATTCCGCGGGCGGAGTTGCCGCATACTGTTATGAATTTCTGCTTATCGGCAGGCGGCTCGGGTCCTTGGTTGTTGTTCTGTTGTTTCTGTCGGTCCGTGGGATGGTTGTTCAGAAAGGGCACGCAAAGTAAAACGCACACAGTGTGGTATAACATGCATAAAGTGTAGGTGTGAGGAGATCGGGAGGGACCAGATGGGCGGTCGACTTTGAGCTCCGGTGCAAGATCGTAGTACCAGGTCTTGAGTTCGAGTACACATGAGTCGAAAAATGCAGACCGTTGGTTGGGTTGGAGGAGTGGCTTTGGGGACCAGCTAGGGTGGGCTATGTCAGCAAGATAGGTAGATGCGAAGAATTATTGAGGAGACTCACAACGAAAGGAGAACTTTCTCAAATATACGACACAGGTCAATCATTGCCCTATGCAGCTGTACCACGTCTCTTTGAGAAGCAGCCCTTAATTGTCCATTGCCATTTGCTGAGGGCAGATACACATCCGAGGCACACAAAGGGAATGGCTTTTTAACGACACCCTGGGAGTCCTGTGTGACACAGAGTAAGTTTGATGGACAGGAAATATTCTTTGTTGTACAGCATACCAGTAACGTGCACACCCTGCCTGTGTAGCTTGCTGACAGTTTGTCGTGGCAATACAGAGCCCAGTAGATCTGTCTTCGCAGTTCAATTTCGATGGCCGGAAGAGCAACTGCTCCGGAAAGGACCGAAGGGTCCATGTTGAAACCCATATCCAGGGCCAGGCGATTAGCCATGCCTTGATGCAGCCACCCAGCAGCATCAGATCCCATTGCCTGTCGGACGTTAGGGACCGGGTCTTCGGGAAAAGGGCTCATGAGACTTACAATATAGGCCATTCCCATAATTGCCAATGACTGAATTGTTGTAATCTTGGGCCATTTGAGATCGTTTTGAAGTAATTTTTCTGCTTGATCAAGAAATATCTTGCCAGCTGTGTTAGAATCATTAGGGTCTGATCTCACTTCTATGCGATCGCAATATCGTGACCCTAAAGCGAGGATACAGTTTAGGAGAAGGGGGCTAAAGTATCGTCCGCCGCATATCATGGACTCTCGGAACAATTTCTCGTTCACCATCTGAAACCATGGCTGCTCCCACTCGAAATACAGGTCGATCAAATGAGATCGGAGCGCGTCTGGTATGAAGCTTTCTTCTAACGAGTCTGTACTCTCATTCCAGGGGGTTTCACCAGTCTGTATTGACGGGTCATCGGACTGATATGACTCTTCGTTGGGCAAATCTAAGGATTGTTAACCATCTCTATACTGAAAGCGAAAAAATCATACGACTTGCCTTTGGACGATGATCGAAACAGTAGTCGCCCACTTGTCGGCCCAAAATACCGCACCTCGCCATCTTGATCGAAATTTAATGACTCGTCAAGAGTCAGTGCGCCGTCAAACGTAGGACACAAGTCAACAACATTCGAGCAAGCCGGGGCACAGTCAGTATCAGGCTCTGGATTTTCAGTTTTCGACATCTGTTGAATGGCGGTATCAGGATCAATGCCATGGGTTTGCAGTGCACGCTCCAACAGTTCAATTCGATTGCGCAGCATGACTACATAGGACTTGGGGGCTGGCTGGCGCCCGTCCTCTGCTGTGGAATACTCGCATTGAACGCCACGGTCAAGGCAGCGAGAGCAAGACGGTCGAATTCCATCACACTGGTTTGATATTAGCATGTTATTTATTCGGGTCATAAATTGTGAAACACTATCTTACTTTAGCTCGTCGCTGTCGACATGTCTCACAGGCTCGGGAGGTATACTTTCTACCTCGCTTGCGCCTAGCGGCTTCATCTGCCGGCACGGGCATAGCTGGGTGATACACGAAAGAAGGTGTAATTACTTGAAATATTTCCAGTATACTTCAGTCATCAAATGTCTATTTGGGATGAAGTGCTGCTGAGGTTGCCCCGGTGCCTTCAACAATCTGACATTACAAAGCAATGCAATTACCCGTTGACACCTTACCGCCTCAGGCACCATTTGATACCTTGATATTCAGGCCATCATCCTCATCTGGTGGTTAGTTAACTAACTAACTAGTCAAGATCCTCTCCATACAATATTGAAGGATCCTTAGAAGAATAAGTGAACCGCTTATATGGCCTGTCCTTTTCGTCTTTTCAGTGATGTACAATATAGGCTTTTTAATGTACTTTTGTTAACTATACGTCCTTTTAAGATATAGATCCAACAATATGGAATGTAAAATTCTCAAACAAGGTTTTCTAAACATGGGTATGTAACTATTATTGCTTTTAAGTGAATTGACTAGGGGTTTCAGATGTCCAAAAGAGAAATGATATGCAGATATATGGGAGTTGAACACCTCACAGGGAACCCCACAATGAAGATCCAACGTCTCTGTACGTAATTACCTCTCGGGATGTGCACTTCGCACGGAGAGGCCTATAAGATAGAGACAGAGTAAAGTTCAGTCGGGGAGTATGAAAGTGAATTCCATTTCGTTCAAAGAATCGAGATCATCCATAGAATCACCAGAAACGTAAAAAGTTGACCATCAGCTGACTACCCCGCATATCCAGAAGACCAAAAAAGAAGAAACTTGAATGTCCCCCGACCATTCCGGCATGGATTTGCATGAGTGGTAGAAGCCCGTTAATGCTACACCTTACCTCCAGAGGCACTTATAGATCTAGTAAAGGGATAAAATCAAGTGAGAGTATCCATGGGTCCATGGATGATAGAAGTATTTCATGCAATAACATATCAGGAGAAATGCATGTTACTACATCTGGGGAATTAGGAACTACGTCCGACGGCGTCCAAGAATGTTTTCTTTTTTTTTTTTGTGTTGCTGTAGAAATATCGAGGAATGGTATGAAGGGATCTGGAAATAAACTCCTAAAAAGTACTAATGTACTAAAGTACTCCATACAGAAGTACTAAATATACTAAATGTCCAGCTTATCTATGAGGAATAATGTTTATAGATGAAATGTCATGACGTTGTGGTACAAACATTGGGATGTATATATTTCTATGTTCTTATGTTCTATATATCTCTTTCCCCCACAGAAATGATCAACCTATAATATCTTGTATAATATCTTGTTAGATACCATATAATTCCCTAAATATAATTCCCTAAATTCATAAATCAGCCAAGAAGAAAAAAAAAAAAAAAAAAAAGAGGTGGGAAGTACGTGGTGCAGGGAAACGCACAGCTCACCAATCACCGCCCTCGACTCCTTCGATTCCCCCCCCCCATCATCACTCTTCCTGAACATTCTCCCAACTTTTTCACTTCTCATTTCTGTGACCTAAGGTCTCAATTTTTGATCAAGTTTCGTTTCCTTTCCCAGCTCAGCCTCCTCCGAGGTTGACGTTGTTGAAGCGCGTCGCTGTCGCGCCATTCCCCGCAGAGATACGGCTTCCGTTATCCTCCGTTTAAACGTTTCGTGTTTCAGCCTGTCTCGACAACTCTGAACACACAAATCGAACAGATTAGTCGAGTGCCATAAGTCTGAAGCTCTCGAATTGATCTGTTCCCGACTCTTACTTCGGCATGGACGGTTGATGCTACGGATGAATCAATAACCTCGATTAAGGGCACTCGCGCTGCCCAGCAGACCGTTCTGCTTGGCTGGAATATTCTTTTATTCAATTTATCTTGATCTATTATACAGTCGCCTTCCTACTCTTGACCCCCGAATCTCCGCTGGGTCGCCTCGATCGAGTCAGTATGGCCAACAATGATTCCCCCAAACCACAATTCCTCGCGCCTCCTGCCGTGACAGCCCTGCGGCAGGAGGCTCGGAATATCGACCCGAAGATGACTCGAACATTGAGCGATAATATGCGAGAGGAACGTGAGGATTTGAAGGAGGCGGCTGAACAGACATTGAACATCATTGTCGATATGGACCTGGAGGGTTGCATCAAATGGGTCAGCCCATCGTGGAAACAGGTGGTCGGCTCCTCCCCCGAGTCAGTTGAGGGACATATGATATCAGAAATTCTGTTGGGTAACAAGGATGTGTTCCGCGATGCCATCGAATCCATGAAGCAGGATGATTCGCGGAGTCGTTTCATTCGCTTCGCCCTCCAGATGGGACCGGATTCTGTCCTAAAGTACTCACCCGAACCGTCCCCGATGGCTACGGAGAATCAAGCAACCGGAGGAAAGGAGGAGAGTGTTGAGAAGTCCCAGGGGGAGCAGGAGCAAGATCATAATCACAATGTGCTCAACATGGAGGGACAGGGAATCATGGTCTATGATCGAACAGACGATGAAGTTGGCCATGTGTGTACCGCAACAATGCTTGGTGGTCTATCATTTATACTGACAGCTTTTGAATACAGACCATGTGGATGTTACGACCGCTGACCGAACCAAGAGAGGTGACCATCGATCTGCCCCCTCTGCTGGTAGAGTCGTTGGGTGTTGGAGCAGAGGTACTGGCAAATTATCTGACCGAATTGGCTGAGGCTGCAGCGACAGAACCCGATCCTTCCAAGCATCCAGCCCCGACCCCTGTCCTCTGTCGCATCTGTGAACGCCAAATTACGCCATGGTGGTTCGAGAAACACTCGGATCTGTGTCTGCAGGAACACCGGGCTGAGATGGACGTTCAAATGGCACAGGAGAACCTCAATGAGCATCGCCATGTCATTGTCAAGGTCTTGGATGCTTTAGAGGCCCGTCAAGGCAGACCTACCATCGGAAGCGATGGAAATCCACTGCCCCTCCCTCAAGCAGAGTACAAGGGATTAGCCATCGGCCCTTCGACTGCCAGCTCTGCTCCATCGTCCGGCCATGTTTCAGGTAGTAATTCAGCGCCCGGCACGCCGCCTCGGTCACGAGAGCATTCTGCGTCTGGTGCTTTTCCAACCCGGCCCCGTTCATTCACAGTGCGGAGGCCACTAGCTCGCATTGTGGAACTCGTTCTTGACCTGTGCGATACCTCACTAGAGATTAGTATGCCGATGATCAAGGAATCTTCCCTGGCGGACGCAGAGGACTTCCGAACGTTGTCACCGCAATCTGAATCGCGGATCTCTCAGGTTCTTCAGTGGCAGTCCCCCAGTACCAACACGTTGGAACAAGAACAGGGTCTGGCCGCTTTGTCGGCAGACACTGAACAAGTTGCCAAGGCAAAAGTTGATGCTGTTATACGTCATCGCAAGATTGTCGAATACGCCGAACGAATTCGCATAGAATATACAGTTCTGGTCCAGGAATGCATCGGGGCAGCGCTAAGCAAAGCGGAGCGCATAGCTGCTGGACAACTCAGTGATTCCTCGTGCTCATCCGATGAAGACGTGGCACCCGAGAGCACCGTCGACAGCCAAGTTGCTCCTGAGGATACTAATAGTATTGCCGAGGGAGCGTCCCTCTCAGAAACCATGAACCACGAATTGCAACAGAAATCATATCCAGCGGCACCCTCTCCGCGGCGACCAACATCTGCGCTGACTCTGTCTATGCGCAATTCACCGGATCGGTCATTCCTCTCACAATCGGAACGCAGACCATCCTCGGCAGCAGTATCTACAGGTTCTAACAGCCCATTGGAATGCCCCACCCCGCGATCTCACAAGAGCGCTGCAGGACTTCTGGGTACATCACAGCCTTCTCGGCTAGGCCTTTCCTTGGCAGAGATTGACGCTGGCGACAGTAGCGATGGCAGCTTGGCGTCTTCTGCCTTCCCGGGCGCTATCAGAACAGACTCACCCTCATCCGAGCGAAGCTTCGATCGAAAGCGCCGAAGTCTGGTACTGCCCGGACTTTCCAGTTCCCCTCGTCGTCAACCTTCTCCCGCTCGAGTCTCAGGCCCGCATTCCCCGTTGCGCATGCCGAAGCCCCGTATGTCTAGTGGTGGTGGTGGTGGTGGTGAAAGCCTGCCATCACCTGTAGCATCTCCATCTACATACGCAAGTGAACTAGCCCTCCATCACTGCCGCCACCATCGCCGGCAGTCCTCGGCAACTTCTTCCGATGTTACGAAGCCACCACCATCCCCACGCTTATCTTCGATGAGCCAGCAACAACCTCGGCCTGCGCCATTGTCTATCCGCGATTTTGAAATAATTAAGCCAATTAGCAAAGGTGCTTTCGGTAGTGTCTACTTGGTGAAAAAGAAGGCAACCGGAGAGTATTATGCGATGAAAGTTCTGAAAAAGGCCGACATGATTGCCAAGAATCAGGTCACCAACGTCAAGGCCGAACGTGCTATCATGATGTGGCAAGGGGAGAGTGACTTCGTTGCCAAGCTTTATTGGACGTTTTCAAGTAAGGACTATCTATATTTGGTGATGGAATACCTCAACGGAGGAGACTGTTCATCACTCGTCAAGGTTCTTGGGGGCCTCCCCGAGGATTGGGCTAAGAAGTATATTGGTGAGGTTGTGCTTGGAGTTGAACACCTTCACAGCCGAGGCATTGTGCATCGCGATTTAAAGCCTGATAACCTTCTGATCGACCAAACCGGTCATCTGAAATTAACTGACTTTGGACTTTCACGGATGGGGTTGGTCGGTCGTCAGAAACGGATCCTGAAAAACCCGGATGAGTCTGCCCCTGATCTGCTGAAGCAGAATTCATTTCCCCGTGCGATGTCGATCGCATCTTCTCGATCGGCCTCATTCGACTTCCAGGCAAGCTCATCACCCGGTTCTACTCCACTGATTACACCAGAAGTGGCCGCAAACGCTATTCAACCGTCTTACTTCAGCCTCAACCAGGCTGGCTTGAGCCGGCAAAGCTCTCGTCGAGCTTCGGGATACCGCAGCGATAGCATGGGCAGTGATGGTCTCAATGGAATGTTCCGGACATTCTCGCTTAACGACAATTCTCACGAACCTTCGGCGCCATCGCCAAGCATGTTCTCAACCAGCATGGTTGAAGAAGAGGGCCAAAGCGAGGCTGGCGAGTCTCCTCGCCTTCAGCCCCTGCAGCCCACCTTCAGCAATCCAATGGCGCAGAATACACCTCCCCAGCAGAGTATGATGCCTCCAGTGATGGCTCTTTTTGATCCTGAAGATCACGATCGTCGCTTTGTCGGTACCCCTGACTACTTAGCTCCGGAAACTATCAACGGCGTTGGACAAGATGAAATCAGTGACTGGTGGTCATTGGGATGCATCATGTTTGAGTTCATCTTTGGGTACCCACCCTTCAATGCGGATACCCCAGATCAGGTGTTCGATAACATTCTCCACCGCAGGATCAACTGGCCCGATGATCCAGAGGAGTATACTTCAGCAGAGTCATTGGACCTGATGAACAAGCTCATGACTCTCAATCCTCGAGATAGAATTGGAGCCAATGTGGAAGAGAAATTTCCGAATGGCGGCGCGGAAATCTGTAGTCATCCTTGGTTATCTGATATTAACTGGGATACACTGCTAGAAGACAAAGCGCAATTCGTCCCCAACATCGAGAACCCGGAGGACACCGAGTACTTTGACACTCGCGGCGCTACTCTTCAATCTTTTGCAGAGGAGTTAGAAGATGAGAACTCACCACAGCCGTCGTCAGCTGCCGCTGGCCCTGACCGGCCTCATGATGCACTGTTCAAGGTCCGCTCCCAAGTTAACTCATCGAAACGACCATTGATGCCACTGCACATTCCTCCTCACGTTCGTGATGCTCGGGATTCGCGAAGTCGGAGACTAAGCGAACCAGCCTTGGCCGATGATTTTGGCAGCTTCAACTTCAAGAATCTCCCGATGCTAGAGAAGGCCAATAAAGATGTGATCCAAAAGATGCGCCAAGAGGCTTTGCAAGCGCAGCATCGACAACCCAACGGATCGTCGACCGCTCAGACGCCAGTCACTTCATCTCAGCCGTCATTGGAAGGGAGCCCGCTGCCTATGTCTCTCCAGCGAACTTTGTCACAGAACAAGGGCAATAATCGGCCTTCTTCCCCATCAGGTCTAAGCCAGACAAACTCATCTCCCAGCAGACCGTCGCAGCCATCTTCCCCTTTGCTGGTCCAGTTCAGCACTGGGGCTAATCAAGACCGACGCAAGACATCCGGCTCCTCGTCAACCTCCCACCAATCCAGTGGGACTTTCCAACCTTCGTCTGCTGACCAGGGGCGCATGCCCAATCTTAGACTGGGTTCAGTGGCATCCTCTCCCGTTAAGTCTAACCGAATTCCAACCCATTCTCCCGACAAGACGGGCAACATTCAACGCCATGGTAGTGTTCCCGCCAGCCGTACTCGGTCGCACACCATTGGCTCTCAGGATGGAGATGCTCCCACGTTCCCGAAAGAACCTTTTGTGCCCCATCATCACAAGCGCCGAAGTCAACTCTTTGATATCTCACCTTCATCTTCTGACAACGAGGATCCACGTACAAAAGCACTTTTGAAGGTCCAACGTCGGCGACAGAGCTCTCGACGGCTATCACAAATCAATATTCTAGAAGGGCCCTTTTTCCGGCCATTGGACGTTCTCATTTGCGAAGACCATCCGGTCTCGCGGCTGGTCATGGAACGCCTGTTCGAAAAACTTCGCTGCCGGACCATTACGGTTACGAATGGCGCGGAAGCTGTCAGATACGCTCTCAGTGAAGTTCAATTCGATATAATCATGACTGAATATCGACTTCCCCAAGTCAACGGGGTTGATTTTGCTCGAATGGTACGGGAGACGCGCAGCGCCAACAGACATACTCCAATTATTGCTGTTACGGGCTATTTGAAAGATCTTCCGGAGAATCACAACTTCGATGCCCTGATCCAAAAGCCTCCGACCCTACCCAAGCTCACCGAGGCACTTTCCCAGTGGTGCATGTGGAAACCCCCTCCACCGGACTACAGTCCCTCGCAGCCTGTTCCTGTTCCCGGCTCCGGTGCTCAGTCTACGGCTGCGACAACCGAGGACAGTCCTAGTTCTGCATCCTCTGGATTCGTTCTCAATCCCCCCAGCTCTTACCGAGGATCCAGCCGCGATGACTCCGTCAGTAGCAGCGTATTCGGTGATATGGATTCTTTCAAACCCGATGATATCCCAGTAATCATAAATCGAAATTCTGATGAATGGGATCAAGGCCACGGTGGACTGGGAATATCCGAAGAGCCAGCAGACCACCCCGGGAGCCCAAACCCGAACGCCGTACCTGTGCCTCACCTTCTTCATGCTGCCTCAGCGCCCGCGGCCATGGATGCAGCTGGTGGGCTCACGCCCCGGAGGCAACGGTCAACTGAAGCCATTCGTGCCAAAAAGGAATCCCTTGAGAAGAAGCGGTATGAGGGCGCTGAATCGGGTGACGATGAAGATGAAGAGCTTGGCAACTCCCAAACACGTCGCAGCCCACCCTCTCGAAATCGCCGTCCCGGCTCTAAACTGGGGATTGAGATGATGCGGACCAACAGCCGAGGCAGCGTTGTCAGTGGCAGCGAGGAACTCTTGAAGAAGGAGAGGGAGGCTCTTCGGAAACAAGCTGCCGCCGATCACGAAGACAGCGATGGCTCGTTGGGTTCCCCGGCCAGTACCAGCCTAGAAGACCATTTCGAGGCCCTCAGCATCCCCGAGGAATCGGAAGGCGAACAATCAGTCAGTCCCCGTGCGTCTTCTCCAACGGTTGGAGCATCTGTCTCCCAACACCACCGGCCATCCCTGGCACATCAGGATACCTCGATCTACTCTGGACTTTCCCAGTGTCGTACATCGAAGAGCACTCCAACAATGTTGAATCAGGGGCAAACCACCCCCCCGTGGGACTTACCGCAGAGTACCAGCTCCCAACCCACTGGTCCCCCAATCACCCCTGAAGTGAAGATCTCTGGTAGCACGCTGACCCGAAATGCCGGTCAAGACGTGGAGCCCGATAGTAGTCCCACACCAGACGCTGATGCTACTCCGCGCCCTCTTCATCCTTCTCCCAACCTTGATCCGGAGCACACGCCTCGTCCAGCGGAGCGACATCGCTCGGATTTGAGCTTTGCATTCAAAAGATAGATGCGGTGTTTTTTTTTTTTTTTTTTTTTCGGGCAAAAGCTTCTGGCACCTTGCGATATCTTTCTATTCTGTCTACATATTCCCTTCTCTGTAAACTTTCATGTGTTTATCTACTCTCTGGATACATTGCCATATCCACTCTCTCACGTCTCTTATGTCTGAATGTTTTTGTGACTCTTGGAGCAAGGTGTTCCGGTCTTTCTTGTTGTTCGCCATGGTTTTTCTTTTTTTTTTTTCTTTTTTTTTTCGGCGAGAATAGCCTCTCATCTTTTTGACCATGTGATTGCAATTCAAACCTCAGCTTGACGCTGTTTTCTTTTCTTTTTTTTTTTTGGATTTCTAAGGTACCTCTTTCAGGATTCCAATGTGTACTAGACAGGGGTATTTGTCTAGCGTACTTGCCACCTCACACTTCCCGAATCCCCGCACCGATGAAGAGTTGTAATTGGATATACCAACCACATTACTTGCGATGATCCTACCTACAGTACAACATACAACATACAACATAGGTAGTTCTAAACAGGTCGGTTAATGACGTAGCCAAGTATATAGACTATACCGCCTGCCCCTTAGGTATACTGTCACTGTCCGTCTGAAGTCATGTGACTGTTATATTCGGATTGGCAGAATTAGCAGAATCTAATAGGCTGGTTAGAGGGCGGTGTATCGAGGTACGTCTCGCCCAATGTTTCGGAGGTCCCAATGTATGTTGTAGAATAATTTCCTAGATACTTTTTGGAATAATCCCAAAGAAAAAGGGCCGGGAATATAGCACGCCCTTTCTAAAAGTCTTCGAGAAAAATTTTCATATTTGGAAGGGTTAGCCAAACATCCTTTTTCCTATGAAGGAGCAGTTTTTTTTTCTGTGCTTGGCAGTCGCCACCATACAAATCTAGAAGTGCCAAGTCATAATGAGACATTAAGGGATTTGTACGGAGTTGTCCGTACGGAGGAATTATGTATCATATTATCGTTAAATAATAGGATATATATTTTCATTATGTGTCATGGTCATATCACTTCCAAGGTTATAACACTACCGTCCAACATACGGAGTACACATCTGCATAATATATAGTTGACTGCACAACATATAAGAGGCGTCCTTGGCATTACAAGCATAAAGCCTTTTCTAAATAGTATATAATATGTACTCCGTAGTGGTAGATAATTATAATACTCTAATAGCGTGCCGGAGGTTGTTTCAATTCCTATTTATACTATAGAACCATAATATATTTCTCGCCACCGGGTGGATCAACAAAACGGCCAGCCATTTAGAAGAATTGGCATTGATTGGCATTGCGTATGCAGGAAAATACTTGAAAAGTTGCGTATCTTGTAGGGATTAGGGAGTTATAAGAACATTTGAAGTAATATAGGTTAATATTAAAAGCGATATGTTATATGTTCTATGCGCTATAACACTCCCCCTATTTCCCGTTTTATTAATGTAATTAAAATTAAATTAAATGATTCTAAACATAATTATTGTATCTCCATAAAAGATAGATCTTCATAAAATTCAACTAATCAAGACACTCCGAAGGTCCAGACTCTGCACTGGAACTGGGTCCTCCTCCACTTTACCATTTCTCTCTTTCTCTCTACATCTCTACATCCCTCTCTCTTTTCCATTTTCTGTCTTTACTTTAATTTATTCTTTTCCGTTTGGTGCACCTATAATATAACACTTCATCACATTCTTGTAACCTGCCGGCCTTGAACCGAACCCCCCCCCTCATTATAATTGGCCCGGTGCCATGTCGTCCCCCGTGGAGGAACGAAGAACTTATCTGGAAAAGGACAAGCGCAAGGACTCGGATAACTCTCCCACCTCCGACAATGGAACCTATGTGACCGAGCCCGACACGAATCGCAACGGTGGTCACTTAAAGGTCGATACTACAAGTTATTCTCACGATGATGAGGATCCGCCGATGCGCACACCATCCGCCCGTCGGGAGCAGGCTACTCGTTTGGATGATGATTTGATGCTTCTGCAAGCTGAGCGTATGACGTCTCATTCTACCGGCGCACCGGACGATGAACACGACCGCAATTCTATCAAGCGCGCCCGTTCGCGTCGCTCCGAAGCCGTGGACGAGTTCGACGAAGCGACAAACCCTTTGCACGAGAAGACCGCAATCTACAAGCCGCCCGAGAAACCCAATACCCAGGTTGCCGTCTTTGTGAAGAAGCTGCACCAGTCGAGTTTCCTTGTGCGCTACTTGACCTATATTTCTCCCCTTGTTCTCATCCTCTTGATCCCGTTGCTGGTCGGCGCTCTCAAGTATCCCAATGCTAGTGTGGGGGGTGTAGAATTGATGTGGTTTTCGATTTGGTTGGAAATTGTCTGGTTGACTCTCTGGGCAGGACGGGTGAGTCCAATGAATCATATTCCCCCAAGAACATTAAACTAATCAGGTTTCTTTTTTTTTATAGCTTGTTAGCAAGTGCTTCCCTCCAATTGTTGGTCTTTTTGCAAGTGTATTCACCAATAACGCGAAGAAATGGCGGGACATGGCTAAACAGCTCGAGCTTCACGCAGCGCTCTTTTTCTGGTGGCTCGGTGTGGAGATCTCCTTCCTGCCTACAATGAAAAACCACCATGTCGATGGTAATAGAGCGACCAGGAGTTGGGAAAATACTCTCAACAAAATCATCATCGTCATCTTCGTGTGGACTATCCTGAACTTCATTGAAAAAATCCTTATCCAGCTGATTGCCATCAGCTTCCATATGCGAACCTATGCGGATCGCATTGAAATCAACAAATTCCAGATCGGTAGTTTGACCAAGCTCTACGAATGGTCTCGGTCCACTCTCGATGAGAAGGATGATGCATTTGAGGAGAAGGCCGAAGAACCGACTCCTTCGGGCGCCAAGACCCCGTTGCACTACGCTGGTGTCGCCCAACGGAAGGCGAAGGGTGCCCTGAACAAAGTTGGAAACCGCGTGGGCGATGTCGCCGGCGCAGTTGTGGCTGATGTCACTGGTCGCACGGCTACTCGCAGTACGGACGCCTACCAGGTCATTTTGGCGCTCCTGCGAACGACTGGAGGTAGTCAAGTCTTGGCACGTCGTCTGTATCGTACCTTTGTGCGGGATGGCTTTGAGACGGTTTTTGGTGGTGACTTGAAAGCCGCATTTGAAGACGGCGAGGAAGCTGAAGCTGCCTTTGCCATGTTTGATCGCGACATGAATGGTGATATTTCCATGGAGGAGCTGGAGGCCGTTTGCGTTGACATTGGCCGTGAGCGCAAGTCTATCACTGCATCTCTGAAGGATTTGGACTCGGTCGTATCGAAATTGGACAGTGTCTTCATGTTCTTCGTGGTTGTGATCGTCCTAATTGTGTTCTTGTCGCTCATCTCGACCTCAGCCGCCGGTGTGCTCACCTCCGCGGGCTCTGCTATTCTGGCCCTGTCTTGGCTGTTCTCTGCTACTGCCCAGGAGTTCCTCCAGTCAGTCATTTTCGTCTTTGTCAAGCACCCCTTCGATGTTGGTGACCGTGTGACCATCTACGGCAACTCTGGTGATTCCGGTCTCGGTGACGATTACTTCGTGAAGGAGATCACTCTTCTTTACACTGAATTCAAGAAGATGCAAGGCCATGTGGTGCAGGCACCAAACAGTTATCTCAATGGGTTGTTCATTCTGAATCAGCGCCGTTCCGGCGCACTTGCCGAGGCAGTTCCAATCGTTATCAAGTACGGTACTACCATCGATCAACTCGACTCCCTGCGACAGCGCCTCTTGGAGTTTGTGCGCAGCGAGAAACGTGACTTCCAGAACAACATCCTTACCGAAATGCGTGCGGTCACGGAGAACTTCTCCCTCACACTCAACATCGTCTTCTTTTACAAGTCCAACTGGCAGAATGAGGGTCTACGTTTGCAGCGCCGCAACAAGTTCATTTGTATGCTCATGGTCGCTCTCCAGGAGATCGGCATCGAGGGCCCACGCATGAACCTCCAGGGTGCCAAGTTCGACATCCCCTTCCACGTCAACAATGGCAACACCCGCTCCGTCGACCGGTCCCTCCCCATCGACGGCGATGCCCCGGAGGTCCCTATCTCAGCACAGTCTCACCAACTGCCGGAGAATACTGGAACCAGCAGCAGCAGCGCTGCCCGTCACCCGTCGATCCTTCGCAAGGGTATGGACACTGCCACCGCCCGCGCCCGAGGCCCATCTGTCTCACAGCGCAAGCACGTCGATTTCTCCTTGGGCATGTCCAACATGGCATCCAACGATATTATGGGCGATGTGTTTGAGGATCGCGGTGTGGTCGTCGAGGATGTCGTCCGTAGCGCCAACCGTGACGCCGCCGAGCGCCGCATCCAGGAAGAGAACGAAGACGAAGAGGAACGCCGAAGCAGTCGCACATCTTCTTCCCGGCATCGGCGCCCCTCCTATATGAGCGCCCCTTCCCATCATGACAACGACGCCCACAGCTTCCGTAGTGGCCAGTCATCACTCAGTCGCAACCGGTTTTTCCAACACCGCAGCAGCGTGAGTCGTGATCGTGACGACTTGATGGAGCAAGGTCGCTCTGTGGACCCTGCTCCGCCTCCACCAGCTGCCGTGCATAAGGAGCATCCTAACTGATTTGAGATGATCATTTCTCAAATTTGTCTATTGATTCATATTCACTGAACATACTCTTAAGCATATTTTCACCCATTTTTCATACATCATGACGCAATGTGTCTCGATAGAACTGTCTTTCTACCATACATATATACCTATGTCGGCTTCAAAACTCTTGTTTATAATTTCCTGGCTCATTTATCATATATAGCATTCATTTGACCAATAAACGTCCCTTCTCTGTTTAATCCATTCCAACTACGGCACTCTCTAAACCAGCAGCAAGTAACTATTTGGGGTCTCGGATTGAATTACGGAGATACCCCGGGAATGGTAAGACATCACTGTTGCTGTCAAATGATTTACAGAGTGTCTCCATTGCAACGAACTGTTTTATCTCCCATGCCATTTCACGGGAACCGTTCTTCATGTCTAGAACCCTGGGGATCCAACCTACACCGCGGTTCCGCCACCGACCACGTTTCAGATGCATGTCTCATGGCGCTTGGAGTCGCGAGACTGGAAAACGCTGTCCACAACTGGGAGGACTCTGCCGATTTTGGCATAAGACTGGTCAGTGGAGTGCCAGCTTCTTACCCTGGTACATGGTTGATCGAAAGCTCAACAGTATTGGAGCAAATAGGCGTGTCGCGATGTCTGACTATTCCATGGATGAGCTTGTTGACTCACACTATATTGTATGTGGGCTAAAGAATGGAAGCCATGATGCAAGCCATAATTGAGTGGGAGTTTGCGTCTCAGACCGTCATAATTCTGCGTTTCTTGCAGTTTAACGAACCATTTCACGGTCTGACGATGGAGCAGAGTCAATCGGTGGAGTATGATCTCAGACCTAGCCAGGCAATCCGAGCTTCGAGACTGTTCTCTGACTAGGTAAGTTGAATAAAGAGCCTTTCGGCCCGTATAGTAGGCAACCCTTTGACCATAGTGTCCAATCATATATGTGGAAATTTGAGACCAATGGAGCGATTTGGGGTATTAAATGCCCATGATAGATACTAGAATTTCTGCGTGTATTGAGACAAGTTGGGTGTTTCCAAAATAGTTGGCGTTGTCGTATGTCTACCTGCGTTGCTTCCACGTCAAAGAGATCTTGTTGTCCCCCAACATCTTCTCTTACTTCTCTTTCTCCTTCCCCTTCATCCTCATTCCCATTTTTATTCACGAGTTGCCATTACAATCCACCATGCGAGGTGAGGTGTGTATCCTCTATTATTCTAGCCATCGTATTCCACGTCAAACCGTCTACCTATACATTTCCGTCCTAGACCTCTAGCTTTCAGACACTCAATACCCAAAGCTAGACCAACAAAAGAAACACTAATGTTGACTTGAATCTACCAGATCTGTCATATACACCTTGGCCAGGCTGGCATACAGCTTGGTAACGCTGCCTGGGAACTGCACGTCTCTTCATTGCCTTGTATCCCCGATATCTCCGCTCATCAAGTTGTAACACAGGTACCTACTGGAACACGGTCTGAAGCCTGATGGATTTATCGACCCCGACAGTACCGACGAAGACGCAAAAAACGGATCCTATGAGACGTTCTTTACTGAAACTTCCAACGGCAAATATGTTCCCCGTTCCATCTTTATTGATCTTGACCCATCGGTATGTGACGGACCATAAAGTTGCCAAAAGTACCACCAGCTGAATCATTGTCCTAGCCCATCGATGAAATTCGCACCGGCACTTACCGTAACCTTTTCCGTCCCCAGCACCTGATCAGTGGCAAGGAGGATGCCGCAAACAACTGTATGAGTTGATACACTTACAGATGAAAAGGTGGTAACCGAGGAGCTAACATGCGACAGACGCTCGGGGTCATTACACCGTCGGCAGGGAGATTGCTCCAGATGTGATTGAGAGCATTCGTTATGTGGCTGGTACGGACCTACTGACTTCAGCCTGAAACCCAATGGGTCTGAGCTAATATCTTCATAGAGAACTGCCACTCCTTGCAGGGTTTCTTGGTTTTCCACTCCTTTGGCGGCGGTACAGGCTCTGGCTTCGGTTCACTGTTGTTGGAGCATCTGACTACCATGTATGGGCGCAAGTCCAAGCTGGAATTCTCCATCTACCCTTCTCCGCGCACCTCGACTGCCGTGGTAGAGCCCTACAATGCCGTCCTCTCAACCCACAGCACCATTGAGAACTCCGACTGTACCTTCCTAGTTGACAACGACGCCGTGTACGATATCTGCCGACGCAACCTGGATATTCCTCGTCCTGGATACGAACACCTGAACCGGCTTATTGCTCAGGTAGTGAGCTCCATCACTTCCAGCCTGCGATTTGACGGTGTACTCAATGTCGACCTGGCCGAGTTCCAGACAAACCTGGTCCCGTACCCGCGTATCCACTATCCTTTGATTTCGTATGCTCCGGTGATCGGTAACAATCGCAGCTCGCATGAGAGTTTCAAGATCCAGGACCTCACTTTCCAATGTGTGTAAACACTACTGCACTGACATGTGATTTTCTTCTGACCGAGTCATAGGCTTTGAGCCGAACAATCAGATGGTGAACTGCGATCCACGAAAGGGCAAGTACATGGCTGTAGCTTTGCTGTACAAGGGTGATGTTGTACCCCATGACTGCAACCAGGCTGTGCACGCCGTAAAGACTAGGGGTACCTTCAGTTTGGTTGAGTGGTGTCCTACCGGATTCAAGTTAGGAATCAACTACCAAAAGCCCGTGCGTCGTCCCAATGACGAACTTGCGTCTGTGGACCGTTCGGTTAGTATGCTATCCAACACCACCGCCATTGCTGAGGCATGGAGTCGCCTCGACCACAACTTCGACCTGATGTACTCCAAGCGTGCGTTCGTCCACTGGTATGTTGGGGAAGGGATGGAAGAAGGCGAATTCTCTGAAGCCCGTGAGGATCTCGCGGCACTCGAGAAGGATTACGAGGAGGTGGCTGAGGACAGTCCCCCGGAAGGGGTTGAGTACTGACTTTTGCACTTGGCTTGTGGCTCCTCCCTTCCAGCAAACAGGGATATGGTTGCTGATCTGTCTGAGCATCTGCCAGGGGCACTGTCCTTCTGTGATCCCTTTCCTCCGTTCATGGTCTAGGATATGTGCACTGGATCGACGAATTTGATTGACCAATTGGGGGGAGGATGAAAAGAGTTATCAGAACACGCAGTGAAAGATAATCAAAACCAAAAAAAAAAGAAAAAAACAAAGAATTAATTGACTTTTGACCATCTTCTATAACCAACCTTTGAGCCCTCTAGGGATAACGCCGTCAAATGCACCATGAAAAATTATTACTAGTGATACAAGTTGAAGATCCCCTTCAACTCTCAGCTCCGACGTTGAGCTCCCGAAGGACTTTCAGCGCATGCTCATAGGTCCACATTGTTACCGCACTTGCCGGCGCCGCCTTGAGTAAACTGACTGTCAAGCCGCGGTACAAACCACGCACGCCCTGTGTGCGAAGAATCATGGCAATACTTTGGAGAACGCCCTTGTACTCTGGGATATTGCGATGAACGTACCGCGTCCTTGTTGGGCCCTGTACCTGCAAGCGCTTACGCACTAGGTCAAGCGGGAACACACCCGTCTTAGCTAGTACACTGGCCACCACGCCGGCTGCGGCATCCCCTGTACCCAACGGCAGAGCGTCCCAGGTCATAACTGGCCTAAGCGCCTCATATGTTGTGAAAAAGAGCCCCATGTATGGCACAATTTGCGCCACGGCGGCAGAAAATCCACGGTAGAATCCAGGTATGCCCTCATGTCGGGCAATCTCCACAACTGAGGCGCGTAGCGAGCGATACACGCGGTCCGGGCCTTGTGCGGCGAATCGGGTGCGGAGGAGGTCAAGTGGGTACGTTACTCCTGTGGCACACCCGCCTGCCACTGCTCCGGAGATGAAGGATTCGACGGGTTGAGGGAGTCGGTAGGAGCCGAGTTGAGCGAGGGCCTGGGTTGTTCCCCGATACGCGGTGAATTGCGTCGCGCCGTAGCAGACATACATCATTTCGGCAGGAATATTGCCCTTCCAGAGGCTCTGTAGGGAGAAACTTGGGTTAGGGTATTCCCCTTGACATTGACAAGCGAGGCGACCTTTTTAACATACAGTGATTCCCTCTTGCTTCATAATCGTGCGCATGGTGGACAACGTGCCCTTATAGATAGGCCCCTTGACACTGAGATGGGAGGCAGGGTCTGACAACGAGTGGATTTGCAATTGCAACCTGATCTTTACGACGTCCAGCGGCGCAATACAGAAGCGTGATATCAGCCCTGCAATTCCCCCGGCCAGCACGACCTGGCGCTTGGTGCCTTCATCTTTGAGGTGTTCGCCCCCGGCCGACATGAGTTGAGTTTGCTTTTCTTTTACAGACCAGAGATGTCTGTATCGGTGGTTGACTTATGAGAGAATTGAAGCATGAAGATCCATGTTGATATCGTTGAGTCCACCTTGGAATGCGAAAAACAAAACAACGTCAATTGGCCAATTTACGTAAGTTCCGAGCACCGCCCGGGCGATGTCATCGAAGCCGGAAAGAATGACACTTCTGCCTGAGGTGTTCACTCCTGCCTGAGGTATGATTTCAGCCTAAGGCAGAGATTATGCCTTAGGTCTCAACAGTCACATTGAGCATCGAGAAGCCGAGGTAGGTAGTGATAGCTCCACTCCATTGTCCCGGGCGCTCCTTAGGGTAAGCTTACCCCTCCACCTCTCCCTTTCGTTCATCTTGTCTTTTTGGTTTCTAGGCCCTCCATGCATCGTCTCAAAACTTCCGCTACCCTCTGGCGAGTGCCACGAGCTTTGCCATGCTCCATCCCGCGCCGTAACTTCATAGCTGCTGCTAGTAGGCTCAATAGCCTCGTAGAGCCGGAATCTCACGACAAATTGGAAACTGGTACCCCAAGAATCGAGAATCCACTGCCCATAATACAGGAATCCAGCAAGCCGAAGGGCGATGTGCAAAACTCCACCCCTGAGGTGTTTAACAGAAGCAACCGTGCGGGTGGCATGATCCAAAGAGTGGGCAAAAAAGAGTCGGTCTGGGTCGGAAAGGAGGAATTGTACTTGCACGTCGACAAAGGCACAACGCTTAGACTTCCATATACTTACCTGCGCGATTCATGCCAGTGTGGAGTATGCAGGGATCAGCACTCGAAGGCACGCTCATTCCGCACAAGTGACATTCCGAAGGACGTTTATCCTAGCTGGGTCAACTGGGATGGAAAGAAGCTTTCAGTCAGGTGGGCCAACGACATTGGGGGGCCACAGACGCTGCACGAATCAACCTGGGACCGTCACTTCCTAAAGAAACCCATTCTCAACACTCATCGTCAGGATGCGAACCAGAACTCCAAACCGATCCTGTGGGGACGGGCTCAAATGGAAAGAAGCCAACATTGGGTTTCTTACTCGGACTATATCGGTGATGATATCAAATTTGCCACGGCAATGCGGCAGCTACAGCGCCTAGGCCTTATTTTCGTGAAGGATATTCCAGACTCACGATCGATGGTGGAAGCCATTGCAACGCGCATGGGACCCCTGCGAAACAGCTTCTATGGATTAACATTCGACGTCCGTACCATTCCACAGGCGACAAATGTAGCATATACAAACCAGTTCCTTGGATTCCATATGGATTTGATGTATATGAACGAACCTCCGGGATACCAACTCCTCCATTGTCTGGAGAACTCATGTTCGGGGGGCGAGTCGATGTTCGCAGACACATTTTCAACTGCAAAACTCATGAATGACCTGCACCCAGAACATTATAAAGTGCTTCGCGAGCAGAAGCTGGGATACGAGTATAGGCATGAGGCAAATATCTATTACCATGAACGACCCGTTTTTGAGCATGATTCTAGCACAGGCGACCTGCGCCATGTCAATTACTCGCCGCCCTTCCAGTCTCCCCTCCCACCACACGACGGGAAATCCCATGATGCCGTGTCCGTGAATAAGCTACGAGACGCCCTAGCAACGTTCACTTCAATTATTGACAACCCGAGGCACAGCTTTGAGCTCAAGCTCAGTGCTGGCGATTGTGTCATCTTTGATAACAGACGAATTGTCCATGCCCGCCGCCAGTTCAATGCCAGCACGGGATCTCGCTGGTTAGCAGGCGCGTATGTCGATACAGATGCTCTGCTATCCCGGTTTGCGGTCTGTAAGCAGAACCATCCATCCGTTTGGACAAAACCGGCCAAGAAAAACCTGGCGGCCAACAGCAAAGACGATGATAAGGAAAGAAGCGAAACGTAAGAACAAACAGGGAGCCATGCGAGTCGCTGAGTACCAACGGAGAATGGTTGAAGGAGAACCATGCAACCAGATTCACGAGCACAACAAAGAAGAAGGTTCAGAGAAGAACAAGCTAGTTCAAGAGGGCGAAGATCAATTAGCCCAATATCTGATTCGTGCTCGGGAACCAAGACAATTTCCTTCATTCTAGCAATTGATTGTATATACGATTGCGGAATATTCTTACTCTCGAGTGGTGTAAATATCCAGAAACATATGTACGTTGTAAATATAATGTATTCGTATTATGAAACCTGAGCGAAGCTTTGGTGCAATCTCTCAACACAGTCATTGGGATACAAGGTAGATTGAACGGCCAGTGCAATCTTCTCAACATGATGTGTTGAATCCTTCATGGTCAACAGGAATAATCTGTGACAGTGGATCGGCTTGATTCGATGCTGCGTATCTTAATTTAAAGCAAGAGCGTGTCCCGCAAGAATGCAAAGCATACGAGCCATGTGATCAGATATAAGCTGGATCAAGACAAAAACGTTTATCATTATGTTAGACTTTTAGCATCTATCCCCAGAGACAGGGGGGTCATGGGTATCGTGCAACGAGTAACCAACCACTCAAGCAGCCGCAGTAGGCTTGGTGACTGAGTGGTCAGTGAGGAAATCGGGGTCGTTGTTAATTTCCTCGCGGACCTATATCACTGAGTTAATAATGAATCAAATTACCATAGTAGGGTGGAACACGTACAATATCCAAACCACCCACCAACTCTCCATTCACCCACAATTGGGGGAAAGTAGGCCATTCAGCGTACTCCTTCAGACCCTGTCGCACATCTTCATCTGCCAAGATGTTGAAGAAACCATACTTAACACTACGCTCGCGAAGAATGCCAACTAGCTGTCGGCTGAATCCGCATTGTGGGCTGCTCGGGGTTCCTTTCATGAACAACATGACAGATGCTGCCTTGACAAGTTGTTCCAGGCGGGCAAACAATGCCTCCCGAGATTGTTCCGGTGTCAGGGTGGGGGCAGACGCGACGGCGGTTGCGTTGGCCGCATCAGCAGGAGCAGCCGGCTCAGAAGTGGTAACAGGAGCCTGAGTAGCGGTGAGGGGACCATCCTCACGAGGAACGGCAGAAAGCGGCGGGGGGATGTTAGCCTTCACACCCTCCATCGAACTGACGGCACCTGCGACATTTCCGCGACCAGCGTGGCGCTCGACGGCGTCACGAACCTTCACGGCATCACTTCCGCTGATTGATTCCAAAATCTGACCGCTGCGTAGGCACACGACGAAGGGCACAGCAGAAACGTCATACTCTTCCGAGATATCAGGTAGCTCCTCGGCGTTGATGCTGACAAACGAGATGGTGGGCGGGGCAGTGGCGGGGTACTGGGATGCGAGAGCTGAAAGCACTGCTCCCATCTGGGCGCAAGGAGCAGCCCATGGAGTGTGGAAGTATAGGACGACCAATGCAGAAGGTGAGAGGGAAGAAAGATGCGAGGAAAAGTCGGCCTCAGATGTGATCTCGGTGAGTGTCGACATGGTGGAGTGTACGTGAAAAGAGGATGCGATGACTGATGATGGCAACGGCCGAAATTGGGGATTGGAGGTATAATTTTAAGACGAGGTCGCACAAGTATCAAGGTGAGGCAAAAAAGTGAGAAGGAAGCAGACGTGTCAGAGGAATGGCGTGATAGATACCGAAAATAAGCCCCCCTGCACGGCGATCCCAGATTTGCCGGTTATCAGATCGTTTGCCGTCTCTGGCGTCTCTGGCGTGCCGTACCTTACATGTAAGCCGGAAAAGATATTTTCCCGAGGAACTTGCCCTTTCCTACATCCACGTGATGTTATCTACAACTGCACGTGACCTTATCGCGTATCATCCTGAATTTCCACTTAGGCAAGATGGGAGTTCAGCCTGGAAAGAACCTCCAAACACCGAGATAACATGGGAAGAGACAGGAAAAGAAAGTTGAGCCCAGATGACCCAGTTGGCCAATCCCCACCTGAGGGATTCGGTGTAGCCGCTACCCTCTCCCGTCTACAGAGCGATAATCCGAGTAGTGAAGGTTCGAATGGCAGCCATGCGTCAAAGAAGCGCAAAAGGGTTGATGGCGAGAAAGTCAAATACCCAGATCTCACATACGCCGATGGAAAACTACAGTCACCTATTCGAATCGCCGATCTACAAGGATTGCTCCTCTATTGCTTTGCTGATGGCATCGCGCCCCAATGGATCTCTATGAAACATTCTGGCCATGTGCGCAAGGTGGTGGCACTCATGGTACCTGGCCTTGAGATGGGTATGTTTGATGGTACAATTTCTGTGCAGCGAGACTCAGCGACTAGGAAGCAAGAGACACAGGAACCTGAGTCAAATCCGCCGGGAGCCACCGAGGAGGGGCCCAAAGACGAACGCACTGCCGATTATGAGCGATGGAAACAGGGCCTCCCATTGCCAGACCGATCGCATCGTTTCAATCCTCGATCCCTCACACGCGAAAACCTCCCCGAACCACTTCAGCCGCTGGCCGACATGTTCCCTCATATCTGGCCTGTCAGAGCGCCAGGTGACAACAAATACAACAAGGTCCATTCGCCACTGCAAGCCATTCTGATGTCCGCGCCTCCGAAGACCAAAAGTGATGACTCCCATAAGGGCGCACGGCCCGCAAAGGTTGAGAAAGGCTTCGTTGCGAAACGAACACCAATCACAGCGTTCATCACTTCACGCGAGGATCTGCTAGAAAATGACTTTATCCTCCATCCTGCTTTCTTCACTTCCGATGACGAAAAATCCTCCCAGATGGAGGCTCGTCAACGAGCCGGGCAATCGGCGGAAGACGGATGGGTGGATACTCTAGTTCCAACTCTGGAGTCTGCTCAAGCCCCTGATGCCGAGATTGAAAGTGGCAGCGTTACTGTTGGTCGGGATGTTTTTTCGCTGGACTGTGAGATGTGTATTACAGAGGGTGGTCAGTCCGAGCTCACACGCATCAGCATGGTCGGCTGGGATGGCGAAGTTGTTTTGGATGAACTGGTGAAACCAGCACGGCCGGTTATCAACTATTTGACACGATACTCTGGGATAACCCCAGAGATGCTGGAACCAGTCACCACTACCCTCGGTGATATTCAGCAACGGCTCTTGACTCTTCTCACGCCGCGTGCGATCCTCGTGGGACACTCCCTTAATTCCGACCTCACAGCACTCAAACTTGTCCACCCGTTTATTGTCGACACCAGCATCATCTACCCACACCCTCGTGGTCCGCCACTGAAGTCTAGCCTGAAATGGCTCACCCAGAAATACCAAAATAAGCAGATCCAAAACGGCATGGCCGGCCATGACTCTATTGAGGATGCCCGCGCTGTTCTTGAACTTGTGAAGTTGAAGTGCGAGAAAGGCGAGCGATGGGGCACAAGTGAGGCTTCGAACGAGAGCATCTTCCGTCGGCTATCGCGCTCTATTCGGCCGAATCATGTCCCTCGTGCTGGCGAAGAGCGAACAGGAGCTGTGGTTGACTGGGGCAGCCCGGAACGTGGGATTGGTGCCCACGCAACTGTCTCGATTGGATGCCGAGATGACGATGCAGTCGTCAGCGGTATCTCAGCGGTAATAAATGGCGACGAGACCAATCCGTCTATCCCCGCAGGTGGTGTTGACTTTGCCTGGGCTCGCATTCGTGACCTCGAGTATCTTCGTGGTTGGTGCAGCCGTCTCCCCGATCCCAACAACGCCAACGAATCGACAACCCTTGTACCTCCTCCTGAAGAAACCACACCGACCACAACCACCGGAGATGGAGACTCGACAGATCTTCCGCAGCCAGACGTGTTGGCTGACACTATCTCCCGAACTGTCTCTAACATCTCGCGCATTTATGACTCTCTCCCTCCTTGTACCCTTTTCATGGTTTATTCCGGAACAGGTGATCCACGTGAAGTGGGTCGTTTACAGTCAATCCATAAGAAGTACCGCGAGGAGTTCAAGTCTGGCAAGCCATGGGCTGAGCTGACACACAAATGGACCGACGTTGAGGAACAGGCTCTGAAGAAGGCCTGTGAGCGTGCCCGCGAAGGTTGCGGTTTCATGTGTATCAAATGATTTATCTGAATCTGCATACTTTCAATGTTTTATGGGCGAAGGTGATCATTAAACCCAAGGATGTTCCTTTGGGTAGAAATCTGAAATGTAAGACCAGCTTCAAAGAGCAATTTCTAAACTTCATCCTTTCCATCATGTAAACTGTAATACCATACTTAAAAAGCCATAATATTTCTATACATGTAAACTTCTAGTTGCCTTTACTCTTTGCCTATACACCTTTAAGTCCGTATATATTGACCCACTGGAGTTGGTGGGGCGAAAGTGGGAGATTTCTCCCGAGTCCAACCGAAGACCAACTTCTTACTCGAGCAATGAATCCCTTCACACGGTCAACTGCAGCATGGCATCGAGTTGGCCTTGCGTCAGAGTTCCCAAGTATTGATGATGACGCCCGAATTGTACCAAGATGCAAGGCTTTCAATATTCCCAAAACAAACGGCCCGATGGAGGAAGTCGAAGATATTGACCTCCCAGGAGAACTGAAGGACCAAGTCCTGGTCTTCAAATACAAGGGCAAATATCATGCCATTGATCATGTGAGTTACCTTCTTCTGGTCGAAAATATGAAACTCATTCTTTCGAAGCAATGCCCCCATTCATCATTTCCGCTTTCGCGGGGCAACCTCTTTGATATTGAAGACTTTGGCATTGTACTCAGCGCGGGTCTCACTTGTCCCAAGCATGGTTGGTCATTTGATATATTCTCTGGCCGCGCCGATCGTGGCAACTACCAACTCAAGGTGTGGGAAGTGCAACTGCGCGACTCATCTGGGAGTACGGACCAAGAAGTTTGGGTGAGGCGGAAACAAAGAATTGGTTGATCTTGGCCTCTCCTAGTCAATTCATCATAAAAACCCCTACAGGCTGAGTTGACTTAGGTATCTCAGCTACAGCTTGACAGTGTTTCTCGAACAATATTTTGGAACTTCCCCCACATGGATCTCCCTCGAGTGATGAAATCTCAACAAGAGATTGATACTGCCAGTGTCTGCAATTTTTTTCGTGTGAAAATATTCATATGGGCGATATCTCCAAGTCCTTGGGAAGCCGAAAGTTCAAATCAGGCAGATTGAGACAAAGAAAAGCTGTTGGATGTAGCATTTATCTGGTTTATGTTTAGATGTGTGATCTCTGTGTAGCCTGAATCTATAGAAGCCCAATACTTCTTTCATAAATAGAAGCAATTAGTATTCTGTCTCACTATCTGGTAGCATGAGAATAGTGAAGCGGTGCTGTTTATCAAGTTAGCATTCATAGTTAAACTAATTCTATGTTATATTTCCCTAATCCATTCTATAATCAAATACATAAACAATTGAAAATCGGTATAATCTTGAATAATTGAGCTTAGGCCATCTTGTCAGATATATATCTCTTCCTCTCCTTTCCTCTCCTCCCGCTTCTCTTTCTCTTTCTTTCCTCGATTTTCAAGATAAAATTGTATTGAATGCACATATTATTTGTTTCTTTTTACCAGAAGCACTCACTGTAGCATTGTTTTTTTTTTCTTCCTTTTCCCTTCAGTTCGACATTATCTGTGAAGCCAAGAGGCCGCATTGCCCCGCTTCTCAGCCGCACCATAGGAAGGTGGTGAATTTGCTTCCGAGAGTGAAGTTATATAGAATGGAAGCCATTGGGGCAGCTTCTGCCATCCTTGCAATTGCAACAGCTGGAGTACAATGCTCTGTAAAGCTCGCGACTTTTGCAGGGCAGGTCAAGACAGCACCGGAACACATCAACATGATCGCCGAAGATGTGTCATTGAACGCGAGTATTCTACAGCAACTAGGCGCATTGGTCCACGAAAATATACAAGATGAACATCTACCAGACGAGAAAGACGAGAAAGACGACAAAGACGACAAAGTTAACACTACCCACAATGTGAATTCGGTCTCAAAACAGAGTATCTTCAATAAAGCCGGGCTGGGAACAGTTATGCAGCTAGCGAGAAAATGCGAAGAGATCTTCAAGTCGCTGGACCGGTCCTTAGGCATCGCTAGCAAGCAGCTGCTTGCAAAAACTGGGATATTGGGCAAAGTCAAACTCAGTCGCACGGAGATGTTCAAATGGCCGTTCCTACTCCCAGGAATTGATACGATGCGGAACGAGTTGAAGAATGTCAAGGGGACTTTGATGTTGATGCTTCAGGTTGCTACCCTGGCTTATTCTAGAAGGATGATGGGGGAGTGAGTCATTTCTACTTTGGAATAATTCCAGGTCTGTTGCTAATATCGACAGATGCGGTCAAAATATTCAACGCAACACGGCGATTGTTGCCTATTCCAGAGATGATCAGGAGTTGCTGGTTGAAGCTATTGTTGTAGCGCATAAATCCCAGGCATCGAAAGCTTCCGATATTGCATCAGTTAGGGAACGACCCGCGTTCTCCCAACTCTCGGAGCCCTCGACCCAATGCCCGGCTATGGATTCCACGCCAAATGCGATAGTAGCTAGTGGTCAAAAGTACGCACATCTTGTCAGCTTTGGATTCTTGACAAAATTAACGCTCTTGAACCAGTGAGACCGAACCCAACTTGGGGAACAATCTTCATGATCAACCATCCCGGTATGTATCCACCTAGAGATCTTTTATTACACCCTAACTCAAAGGAACTCACAGTGGATGTGGTTGCAGGCGAAGAAGCATTGCTACCGAAAGGTAAGACCACGCCTGACATGATATTTCTTTTTACATATTCTAAGCCTGCTTTTGTCTAGTATATCAATTTCTGAACCATCACCCGTTCAGTCCCAAATTACCTCACCCCCACCGGCCTCGCCCAAATTTAGCATCAACCTTATATCTCCGAGAGCATCCATAATCCACCAACAAATCCGCATCACCTACGATACCCGTTTAATCGAACTCCCAGACTCGGCGATCGAATCCCAGCTTCAAGAGTGGAGGTCATCCATAAGCAGAACCGTCCTGGCCCAGATGGCTGCTCTGAGTCCCATTGAGGTTGAAGCCCTCGATTCCGCGTTCAATCTGCAAGGAGAGACGCCGGAGTGCATTCAGTTCGGCGATTATGGTACCCTCATTCAAGGCATTGAAGATCTCAAGGCCAGGACCCTCACTGTAATCACGAAGGGCGTACCTCAATCAACTTGGCGGGAAGAAAAGAAGGAAGAAAAGAAGGAGAATGATAAAATGCCTTTCGGCGGTAGGACATTCAGGACTTTCGAAACTGAGGGGGAAGTCAAGACGATATTCGATCGCAACACAGCAGGTGGAAGGAATGAAGAAAGGCGAGAAGAGATCAACAAGATGGAAGATGAGGATGAACAGGTCGAACTCGAAGCAGATGATGACGATTATGATGAACAGGTTGGACACGAAACAGAAGACGCCGACTATGATGAGAGCCCAGAGAGCGATGATGCAGAAGCAATTGTTGATGCTCTATTGGCTAGATACACTGTGTGATCTCACTGATCGAATCTACCTGTGTGTAGTAGTGTGATTTTATACCAAGTCGGGCTCTATGTCTGTTTCTTCAAGCCACATTCCCATTTGCTTCTTCGCAGGGAAGAATAGGCGTCTCATGTTTGATTCCTAGCATATTTGGCTTGGATGCACACTCTAAATTGCATGTATGGGTTCGAGCTCGGTGTGTTGTATAGTTGGGATGCGATACATCAGGGGGGTGAATAACTTTCTTTCTTTCCCGTATCCTCGCATTTTTTCTCTGCATTTTTAATTACTTTCCCCGTGATTCCTTTCATTTTATCTTTTCCCCAGATGTTCTTTTGACATTCCACCCGTTTCTATATGCACGTGGAGAATGGGGAGTTAACATTCCAACCGCCGGCCAGGCAACCCTGACACCATTAGCGGGGGTTGTGTAAATCTGTCAGATTCCCTCTAAATATCGAACTTGGTACTTTGTGACTCTGCAGATTTCCAAATATCTCAGTCATGCTCCTATCAATCTTTCGATGCGCATTTATTTGGCTAGTTGCAGTGAATGCGAAGAAACAAGATGGTTCACCTTCATATGATTTTGTTATTGTTGGCGGAGGTACAAGTGGACTGGTCGTTGCTAATAGACTCTCAGAGATGGATTTCACCGTCGCCGTGATCGAAGCTGGAGATTCAGTCCTCAATAATGCTAACGTATCTGCCGTGACGGGCTATGGTCGAGCATTTGGGACACAACTCGACTGGGCCTACGAAACCGAAGACCAAACATACGCAGGAGGATCGAAGCAGATTGTGCGAGCTGGAAAGGCTATTGGTGGAACAAGCACTATTAACGGTAAGCTGCCCTAATGTTGAAGGTTTGGTGGAAGCAATCGGAATCTATTGAGCCTATGCTAACTTTGGCTTCATATAGGGATGTCGTACACTCGAGCGCAAAGAGCGCAAATCGATGCCTGGGAGCAGGTCGGAAACAAGGGTTGGAATTGGGACAACCTCCTCACATACTATAAGAAGTCAGAACAGTTTCAGGTGCCAACACCAGATCAAATTGCTCGTGGCGCTGACTATTACATCTCCTATCATGGAGAAAATGGCCCACTCAAAGTCGGTTGGCCTCATGCAATGACGAACGGCAGCGTGCTACCCGTGCTAGATGAAACCTTTCAACAAATAGGTCTCCCCTACAATAGGGATTGCAATGGTGGTAGCATGGTGGGACTCACAGTCCATCCCAATACCGTCGACAGGGAGGCTAACGTTCGCCATGATGCGGCCAGAGCTTACTATTGGCCCTATGAAAATCGTTCCAATCTCAAAATTATATCAAATACCTACGCGAACAAGATTATCTGGGCAAGCGATTCGAGCGAGGCCGTTGCTATTGGAGTTGAAGTTACCGGGGTCAATGGAACGAAGACGATATATGCTTCGAAGGAGGTAATTCTGTCAGCTGGATCCCTTAGATCACCTGCTATTCTGGAGTTGTCTGGTATTGGAAATCCTGACATCCTCCGCAAATATGACATTCCTGTCAAAGTCAACATCTCCGCTGTTGGTGAGAACTTGCAAGATCAAACCAACAATGGGCTCTCTTATGAGGGTAGTGAGTTCCGGTTGGGTTCGCCAACCTTCTCCGCTCTACCATCAGCCGATGACATATACGGCGACAAGGTTGGTGCTGTTGGGTCCCTCATCAATGCAAGCCTTGCGGAATATGCAAAGAATGTATCGGATCACTCCAACGGTGCAGTCCAGGAAGCCAATGTTCTGGCTGCTTTTCTACTACAGCACGATCTAATATTCAAATCACAAGTTCCATACGCGGAGCTTGTGCTGCTTCCCATCGGACACACATTCACCAGTGAATACTGGCCTCTTCTTCCTTTCTCCAGAGGAAGTGTCCACATAAAGTCCAACGACGTCTCCCAACCACCCTCCATCAACCCAAATTTCTTCATGTTTGGGCAGGATCTGACGGCACATGCTGATATTGCTCGGTATATCCGCAAGGCATTCAGTACTGCACCCTTGAGCAAGCTTGTAGGAGAGGAAATTTCACCAGGAAAGGAACATGTTCCTGATGATGCGCCTGACTCTACGTGGGAGAGCTGGGTCAAGTCAGAATGTTAGTATTCTCTATCTAGACCTAGATAGTATTGACTAACCCCCCTTCAGATAGATCAAACTACCACCCAGTCGGCACCGCGAGCATGTTGCCTCGGGATAAAGGTGGCGTTGTTAACGCTGATCTCAGGGTTTACGGTACTAAAAATGTGCGAGTGGTTGACGCTTCTGTTGTGCCCTTCCAACTTTGTGGCCATTTGACGAGTACTCTTTATGCTGTGGCCGAGAAAGCGGCCGACTTGATTAAAAAGCGATATAGGTTTTAGCCGCAGCTTTTGGGATATAAGGGGATGGTCGACATTGTGTTGTCGACAGCACTTGACGGAATTTCTTTTGAGATACCTTGTTTTTGTTTGCCTGGGGTTGTTTTGGCGTTATAAAGCGTCCTTGCTTTTACACCTGTGATATAAGATCAGTTGAAGTTTAAAATGTCTAGCGGGCACATTTTCCTTTCTGGCAACTTTGTTGATAGATGATCTGTATAGCCTAGGGCTTTGCAAAGGGAAAGTAGAAAAGGTTCTCAATAGTCGGACGGTCAGCAAGTGCCACATAGTGTTGCCCGTCCTTTCCTAATTGTCGGTTCATAATATCCCATTGCTTGATCGTGTCCTCATGCAAACTGCTCAATTTCCACCTATTAGCAAGTAATCCGACTGTACAGGATATCAACGGGTAAAGATCATAGAATTCACATACTTGGCAATTGTACGTGGCAACTGAACGCTATTCTTGCGTGTTGGATAACCTCGTAGAAAGTAGAGCCAGTATCTGTCCGTTGCACTATTTCTCGTCAGAAACGGGTTCTTCCTTGATTCTATCAAAAAACCACCAAAGGAACCATTTACCTACCCTATACCTGCGGTTTGATATGCCACCCACATGCCGTACCCTCAAACACGTTTATTCGCTCACCGGTTTTGGGATCCGCATTTTTGAGCGCGGGGACCATGCGTTCCGGGTGGATTTGGTACGCCCATTGTGAGGTGGTTTCAATCAGAGAGAGAACATGGGAACCTTCAGTCCTTGGGCCAAGATCAGGGGCTTGATATAGTTGATATACGATGTTTCATCCGCTAGTAATCGTTAGCATTCCCATCGATATATGTTGTAGTGTGTGTCACCTTTGATGATATAAATAACCACACGTCCATCAATGGCCGGAACGTCACTGACCACCACTTGGAGATTTATGCCGTTCGTGTTGTTAATAGCGGTGTTTGTTGCCATTGCTGTGATTGGCTTTGAAAAATTGTCCAAGTTGGTTTGATTATCCTATTTAAACCAACTCAAGATAAAACATGGCCTTCAGCAACCGAGAACTGGTCCACTGGGATACCCTGTTTGTTATTTATTGTACACCTACTCTCCATAGAAAAGACAGGAACCCCTAGTGCATGAATAAGAAAAGGTATTATATTGTTGTACAGACAGTGGAGAACACGTTCTAACTATGGATTTCTAGATCACCACGATCAGATAATGTGTACCGGCCTCTTGCTAGGTGGAAGGGATGGAGCAATAAGAGAAATGCTCACCGGTGCAACGGAACATTCTACGCCTCCGCGCTTTCCTTCTTGCCTTCAGTCTGTTGAGTATCTTCTGCAGGTGGAGCACTAGATTTCCCTGGCCTCTGCAGGGCTACCAGCAGTAATCCCAGCAGGGCAAAGGCCATCGCTCCCCACCAAGTGTCTCGTAGAGCCAGTTCATACAGGTCCAAAATCTGTTCCTTGGTTGTTCCGTGGAAGGACTGCATGAAATTATTGCTGGCTCGAACATAGGCGCCTCCGCCTTCCAACAAGGGGCGTAGTTCCTGTGGCACCAGACCTAGATTCCTATCCACGCTCTGGTTGAAGATAATGGACGGGATAGTCATACCCCATACTAGGGCAAAACTGCGCAGGAAATTGAAGAGGGCTGTAACGGCCGTCATGTCTTCTGAGTCAAACTGACCCTGGACATTGGGAAGCAGAGTAGCCAGGAGTAGGCCATTCCCTCCGGCCACGATTATCTGCAGCACGACATGCACGGCGGTCACGGAGGAAGGCGTGAGAATAGTGAAACAACCCAAACCAATCGACATTATCACAAAGGCAATCATGTTATTCAAGACGGCCCATGAGGGGGGCAGCTTAGACATAGCAATCCCGCCTACAATAGAGAAGACAACCATAGCCACGATTGTCGGCATAAGATCAAATCCGGCCTGCTGTGGAGACACCCCCAACACCGCTTGGAAGTATATAGTCAGGAAGTAGTTGATCCACATAATGAGCATGCTCTGAATAAGGCTTTGAATCTGCAGAGAGACGGCAGAGCCATTACTAAGTAGTCGTAATGGGATCAGCGGGTTGGGACAGTAATGTTCATAAACTCCAAATCCAACTAGACCACAAAAGCCAAGGACTAGCGGAGTAATAACCCGCGCTGAATCCCAGGGATACATCTTCCCACCCATGGTCAATGGGAGAAGGATAGCGACACTAGAGGCCGGGAGCAGCGTGTTGCCCACCCAGTCAACCCGCCTGGCGGTGGCTCGCAGTGATGTAGCGGCCCTCCTCTGTTCAGACGTCCGATGACCTAAAACCGGAAAAAGACAGAGAAGGGAGACACCGGCCAGAGGGAGGTTTAGGAAAAATATCCATCGCCAGGTGCTATGATTGACGATGACTCCACCGATGATTGGCCCAAACACCAATCCCAGACAGGATGTTGCCATCACCATGCCAAGCATCTGAGGTCTCTGTTCTAGGGGCACCAGATCGCAGATAATGAGCTCCGCGATTAGCGGAATGGCCCCTCCCCCAATACCCTGGATAAGTCGTCCGGCTAGAATGAGACCAAGGGAGTTGGCGGCGCCAGCCATGGCACTACCGACAGCAAAGACCATGATACTCCCCAGCATCAGAGGTTTTCGGCCAAAAGCCTCGGCTAGCCAGCCGACTAGGGGTTGGAAAATGGCGGAGGCTAAGGTGTAGCAATTAACTACCCAAACATAGTTGGTAGTGTGTAAGTCGCGCGCGATGGTTGGGAGGGCGGTTACCACGATGCTGCCCTCCATTGTCACCGCAAATCCACTCAGGCACAGCGTGACAAAAAGCACCCAGAACTTCCACCCTAAACCTGGTGCTGCTGGGGATTTGACATCGTTCGGAGCGGAGGGCGACTGGCTTTCCTCGTCTGAGGTTTGTTTCTCCGAGTGAAGATCGGATTGTGGCTGTTCTGACATGATTGGGAGAGGTATATTGATGATAGATAGCAGAAGGGGTAAGATGGAGACGGAAAGGAAGAAAGCTACCTGACGGGATAGGACCTGGTAGTCACACGAGAGACCGCTAGACAAAGAAGGAATGTAGCTCCTACATTAAGACGGCGGGAATCGGTGACCGATCTCTATTTACCCATATAGGTAGATCATCGGAGACATTCTCGGAGAGATTCTATAGGAGGTATGCAGGTATCCTTCTAGGGTTGTCCTACAGAAAAGCTGACTAAAGAAACCTCACACACGTGGACCCGTGGACCCGTCGGTGGGTCTCGGGAAGTTCCGTCGTGGCGCTAACCAATCAAACCTCGAATTTAGATCAATTTCAGCATAAGTCTCCGATGTTCCAAGTGGCCAAGTGTTCACGCGTGTTGAGTTCAAGTGCACTAAAAAGAACCTACATGGATATGGATGAAACTGGTATAGGTTATTGATACGCTATTGATGGGCATGACCAACCGAAAGGTAACGGCATCATAGACATAGTCCAACATATCACACCGACCTCGAATTCAATAACACGTGCGACAACGTCTCATTACCCGACTGGGCGAAGGCCAATCGCGCAGGCCCATGAGTTTCACAAGGGATGGATGGCAATGATTTCCCAACCACTCTCCTCGGCCAGATGTCTCCAAGATTCCTCGGTACGCTCGAGCCCATTGGTGGCTACCACCATATTCAAGTCGGCATATCTGGAGAGCCGGGCAGATTGACCGTCGGCCCGGACAGACTCCAGAATAATCAGCCAGCACCCCGGCCCCTCAAGTTTAGCGTGATGGAGGTTACGGAGGATTTCTAGTGCTTGGGGGTCTCTCCAATCATGAAGTGTCCACTTCATTGTGTACACCCGGTCTGGGGGAATATAGTGAAAGAAATCTCCCCCGATCAGATCATCACGCTGCATCCGGTCCTTCAACCCGGTGAACTGACTATCAGGGGAGTGGAAGAAGGGGACGGTGCGTTCAATGACATGCGGCAGATCATAAATTCCACCTTTCATGGTAGGATAGGCTCGCATAAGGACCGCAATCAAGGCCCCTCCGCCGCCTACTATATGCATCACTACCTCCCCAAATGCTTCCTCCCAGGGGTAATCACTCACTGCCACTAGAGCTTGCGCTATGGCTCCGCCACCTAGAGTGCGGTGCAACTGGCTTACCTAACCCTGCTCTCGGAAGTAGGTGAACATGTTTTGATCGGTGTCATGGTGGGTTTGGGCGGGGATTCGCGTAGTAGCCTTCAGGATTGAATCGGGAATGCCGCATGACATGTTGTAGAACTTGTTGCCGTACAAATCCACCCAGTTATGCCACTGTGCCCAGTGGTCTCACAAAAGCAGAACAGAAGTGTGGTTGTTAGTGTGGGTAGCCTGTGAGTAATGGAATGTAAATATCCCGTTATTCTGTAGCACGTTCATGATCTGCGCCAGACAATCACTCCGTGCACCGCGTGCCTCAGCCAACATGTCGACTGTTGGTGGCCCCTTATCGCGAAGAATATCACCAATTCGGAGGTCAAATGCCGTGCAGAGGTATTTTGAGCTCATGTACCCTGAGGATAGACCGCATTAGTCGTGGATATACCGAGGACAGCACAAATGATTAGCCTTGCCGAGGAAGTGGTCGGCCAGGATGAGTTGGCCGGGCTCCAATAATTTCTCAATTGCACTGGAAAGGTCGATGGACTTGGATAAAAGAGCAGTTAGCTGCTTGTCAGGAGGGACATCTTTGTGATGGTTACGCAAGCGCGCTTGTAGCACCCGTGGACCTCATTGAGCCTTTCTTGGAGAAGGTCTAGAATCGACTCCAAATGTCCATTTAGGCTTGTTAGAACGAACACCATGTTGAGAACAGGCCACATTAATTGGGTGTATAGTAGAGGAATGTGTAGAGAATGAGACGTATGGGACATGAATAGATAGCGCAGGATGAAGCATAAATATATGGTCATCCAAAGGTCATCGGGGCCCGACTTCGGCCTTCTCTATCCTTGCTAAACTGTTTGAAAATGGCAATCTCACAAATATAATTAAACTAACCACTATATCTGAGCATTACGCTCAGATATTCCAGGCTCCGATATATATATAGTGCATGACATGACAGGTTTACCTCGCATCTCGATTCTGAAGTCTAATGAACTTGGATTATTGGAATGAATTTAAAGAAGGATAAGCAGTCATGATTCCTTCTCCTGGGACGCTGATATCACTGGTAGGTTGATACGGTCCTGAAGAAAGACTAAGATATCTTCAATCTCGTCCTCAACACGGTACCAATGCCCTAATCCCTGATATTCTTTCCAAACCACATCCATGCCCAGACCATTTGACAGCATAGTAGACATCCTTTTACCAAGGCCTACGGAGACCTTAGGATCTTCTGCACCATGACCGAGAAAAACAGGAGTGTGTAGGTGAGATAAACTTGGGGAATAGATATCTTCCGATAGCTGCGTGTTTGGAATTATGGGAAGAGCAAGAATATCACGAATTGGTTGATAGCCTGGATGATTAACGGAGCTTCTTCCTTGTCCTCAAATGGATTGAAGTCATCACGTGGGCTGTCTTCAATCTCAAAGGAATTGAAGTCACAGGTTGGGCCGCTTTCCTCTACATTATTGTCGGAGCTTTGTTCGGAATATGCATCTGCTTCTGACTCTCCATCACTTTCACTTTCCTCGCATGAGTTTTCCGACTGCATTTCCTGATTTTTGCCTCTAGCCGAGACTAGATCTTTGTCGGATCGGAGAATTTCGCGGAATTGGTGTTCAAATGGCAGCCATCCACTCATCCCAATAAATGCTCCGAGTGAGTGTGCCTCACAAATGTCGGCCCAGCCTCCCAAAAGGGTGAAGATCCCCGCAGCACAGCCTTGACTCAGCCCCCAAAGGATGATTTTTGAATGATTTTCGCCTAGAATCTGGGCCTCTTCGGTGACTAAGCCGCGAATGATTTCAGCGGTCTCGCAGAGCCCCTCCACCTGAAGGTCTGTTCTTTGTCCAGGGTCTTCGAGGGAATAATTGTCGTACCACTGATGAATTGGGATTTTTTTGAGTACAGTTGACCGGCGCCTACGCGCAGTGGGAAAAACGAATTTCACTGTGGGAAGTCGATGTTGTAGGTTTGCCGACGTAAGGAGCTCATGGCCAAATCGCTTAGCGTTGCTGCCTCTTCCATGAAGTGAAATAATCGTATGTGTGTGCTCTTCACTTTGTGGCGGTACGACCAAGGGGGTGGGGTACGGTTTTCGAGACATCGTTTGAGCAGGGAAAAGGGAAAGGTGAAACGAAAGATGAAGCTCGAGGAGAGACTAGGCTGATTGACACAGAAAACTAGACCCCAATAACTGCCCGTGATATTCTGTTCCATTAAGAGGTGCAAGCCCTGCTCTCCCGGAGACCCGGGAATTCGGTTCAACACTAAGCCAGGGGTTGGATGAGTTAAGGTATTCGATGAAAAATATAATTTGATTGTGTAGGACACATTGGAATGTAGAGAACATTAAAAAAGCCGGATCTCTTGCTCAAGACAAGCTGGTATTGGCCTTTTTGTGCGAATTATTGTTGCACATCCGACCCTCGCAGGCATAGCCGCCCAGGCCGCTGTGGCCCGTCATAGTAAACCACAATCTAAGAGTTCTTACCGACGCTTCGAGCTTGTGCAAGATCGGGATTTAACTTCGATCAAGATGGACGTGATGTCTGCTTGCGGAATCGAGAGTCAAGACTAGACTGCGACATCGCCCATGGACGGGCGGGTGGGCATAGCCCATGGGCCTTATGTAAGCTGTCCATGGGCCCTATGGAGAGGCCCATGGACGGGCCCTACCCTTAGGGCCCACGGGCCGTGGGCGTCATGGGCGCCCGTGGGCCTTTTTAGTAAGCAAAATTAGCGTAACACGTGATTTTTTTTGATGAATTTCAAAATATTTCAACTAAATTTGTATTTTTAACATACTTACAATTATAATTCTAGATTTCTAATAAGATATATATAAATATATATAGTCTAATTTACTATATATCTAATTTTTATATATATTTAAGACAACTTTATAATATGGTAGGCATAGTAGGCATGCCCGCGATGGGCATGCCCATGGGCCGTGGGCGTCATGGACGGGCACTCGAAAATCCAAATAGCCCACCGCCCACCGTGGACGGGCGATGGGCACCTCCTAGGTATCCATGGACGGGCGATGTCGCAGTCTAGTCAAGACATCCTCAATGTCCTCTTGATGTCCTACCCACTTCGCCCCGCCAGCATCATTATATGGTAGTAGCTAGACTTCCGCAAAGTCCACTAATGTACCCGACCCTCGGGCTTAAAGCCTAACCCGCAGTAGGCTGTGGGCCTAACCTTCAAAGCCCAGCCTAGCCCATAGCCTATTAATAGGGGCCTTATGGGCCCCTATTAAAGCCTATCGGTATTTAATAAATTGGCCTCTGTAATCGCTATATTACAACCTTTCTACTAATTATATAAAGTTTAAATCTAGAGTATCAAATTATAGTAGCTATATTAGTATATATCTCTATTTTAAATAAGATCTAATTAGTAGAAGACGAGATATTGTAAAAAGTATTAATATTGATGTTTTAAGATCAGATATATATTTTACTATGTAGATTCAAGTAGGACTACTACAACTTTCTAGTAAACCTCTATAGTTTTTAAACCTTCTTTAAAACGCGTTTTTTCGCGTTTTTAAACATGATATCAAGGACTAACTAGCTATAAGCTCTAAATCATTTGAATAAATAGAATATTACCCTAGGGATAAGGCCTAGAAACAGGGGTAAAACGAAGCGTAATTTAAAAAATAGAAAAAGGAGGTTCAACTTTACTTAGCACCTAAATTCTAGGTATGTTTGTATTGTTTAGGGCTTAGGCCCCCACGAAAGCCCAATGGGCTTCTACCCTAGGCCCATACCCGATAGGCCTAAGGACCGGGTCCAACACCCAGCCAATTTGCGGGTTAAATTAGGTTGGGATTTGGGCTTTATAGGCTTTACGGAAGTCTAGTAGCAGCGGTGGAAAGCCCGATTTGGTTTTGTATACAGTTTGTGTTACAACTACGTCCTTCTATACAGCTGAACGAATTACTCCATATATGGGAGCTTTTGTTCGAGTCCTATGAAATGCTTCGTATGCGATTATTCGGGACGGTGAACGGTACTTGTAGGTTGTGCACCACGCGTAATTCTCCATCATACTTCATTCCAAAGGTGTCGTGGCGTCCCGGCGCATCACGAATCCGACTAACGACGCCCTTTGTCGTTGGTAGCGGGATGTAACGAATGGCCATTATTTAGGATCCTAATGAAGCGCTAATACGTCTCCCCTGGTCTACCCATTATGCGATTACGATACTTGGTCGATCCGCCCCGATTCTTCGGTACCTCAGCCAGCTCTACCGAAGCTCTGAGGATTCAGTAGACGGAGCGATTATCGAGCCTCTTAGGAAGTATATCAAATATATATCACGAATTAATAGGCCCTCCGCCTATGATTTCTAGACATCCTAGCTTTCGGGAACGCGCTGTCAACCGCTACGCCAATCTACGGAAAGCAACCCTATGCAAACGTCTTCTACAAACATCAGTTCCTCAGGCCTGCCCGCTAATACGTTTTCTATAGTCATCCAAGCTTTCCAAGATAATGATAGCGCTAGCGGCAAATCATCCCTTCTCGCTGCCGAACATATGCGTGCGATCCCCGTGGCGCTCCTCCGTTGCCGATCCTAAGCGAGTGCCGCATGCAGGGCACTGCAGCCGTCACCTCCTTCCGCTATAATTCCTTCCCATTCGAACACTCCTTCATCGCCGATATGTGTGTTGAGTTCGAGTCTTTGGTCAAGGATCTCACTTACCCCAACGTCACTAAATATACTGGAGAGTTGTAAAGAGAAGATTTCGAATCATTCTTGATGAAAAGAAGGGTGTATAGTCGCCTTTTTGTCAACACATTAGTCTAAACTTATTCCTTAGACTATTCTCTTCATGTTCTTGGATCCTTTGCTAAGGCAGCAGTAGGTGGTTCTCACTCTCGCCTACTAGAGGTCGATTAAACAAAGAGTCCTAGGTACAATTGTTATCCTGTATATATGGTCTATTAAATTGAAGAGCACAGAGACTATACGAAGTATATATATTTGGATAAAGATAGGGAATTGTTGCAGGAATACCCCCATGGATCCTAGGACACCCCTTTATATAACATATAACATCATTAGTGCAAATTTCAGGCAAAGAGCCCGGTGGCCATACTGCCCTACAACATATTTGCAAGTCGCCCTGGATGCTCAGCAAATATATATTCCCAGCGGAAGGTACCCATGTCTTTACTTCCTCCTCCGATATTATTAACTTCTGACCTTGACCTGAGAAAAAATCTATCAATGAGGTCGTTAGGTAAAGTGGAGCGAATGATATCCAATAAATATAGTCCGTCGTCATCCCCTGACGTAGGCGATGATAATAGAAAAGGATAAGCTCGATAGTCGGCAAGAATTGCTTGGGACAAGCGATCATAATCCATCCCGATAACGATTTTCTGGTGTTCTATATTTTCTGCACAAGAACCATGTGTAGGCGATAGTTCAGGAGACTTGGGGCTGCCCTCTAGCGGCCCATCGGAAATTCTGGCGATATATTCTTCGTGCGGACCATAAATACTGTTACCCAAGATGCAAATCATTGGTACATACCTCAGGGCAGAATCTCGAAGCTCATCAAACGTCACAGATGTCAACTCCCATTAAAGTTCCGGGATAATGTGGTGTCCCGAATCTTATTGTGTTCTTGACCCCTGGAGCGTTGCTATGTATGCATTCAAATGATAGCCTAGCTGGAATTTAGCTATAATCAAGCGAGAAATTTCAAGAAGAGTGAACATATACCTTCCGAACAGAAGTGCCGATCGACTAACAGCACAGGCCAATTGTTTGCTGCCCAGGCACGACGGCAGACAAGAAATCCAACATATGCGGCGATGACAAGGTGACCTTTGGGGGACTTCTTTATCGAATTGTCAACTAGCCTGTAATTCTACTTTTAATACAAATGCTTGGATTCAAGTAGATATTAAACTTACCTCTGTGCCACTTCTGAGAAGGAAAGCTTTGCTGCCCATATCCGGACCCAAGAGCAAGTGAGAGCTGATATCCATTTTTGAAGGGCTTTGAATCGTACATCCAACCGATTACAGCCTGATGTCTTGTATAGGCTATTCTTTTGATCCCAGAATGACGAAATCAACTGGGAGGCATAGGCAGCAGCATCTTTCGGCTCAAGACGGATTACGATATTTTGGGTAGATGACTTGCAGCACTGTCTGTACTTTCCCAATATGAACATTCCAATCAAATATCGAATGACAATGTGCTGATTTTCCACATTCCACTCTGGCATGTCGGCATCGTTGGAGGGTGGGTGGTATCCGGGCTCTACCCAACCCAGCGAATTAATAATCTTGTTCATTGAATCGAACTTTGATCCAAAACCGAGCCTGCTCGGCCATGTATTATCCGAAGTGAGTTTTGAGCAGATGGTTTGGGCATTTTTTCGCGTGGCAGGTAAGCTTTATGAGGGACTCAAGCTTGACCCGACCGGGACCGACAAGACCCGCTGCCCTGTAAGTGTGGTCTTCGCCTCCAAAGAAAAGGGGATTGATACCATTTGGGACTACCATCGGTCATTTCCGGACATGGAATTTGATTTCCAAGACTACATGAAGGCAACTCTCAAGAGCGCGTTTTATTCGACTCAGCATACAGTCAGGGGGTTTGACTGGTCCAAGGTGAACAGTGTTGTCGATGTAAGATCTCCGCGTGTTTGAAACGTAAAAGGACCTCTACTAATGCGAGGGTTCAATAACAGGTCGGTGGATCTGCAGGCCACATTAGCATGGCCATTCATGATCAGTTCCCACATATCAAATTTGTTGTTGAAGACTTAGGCGATGTAATCCGTGACCCTCAACAGCAGTTACCACAGCGGTATACAGATCGCATCAGTTTCCTTGAGCACAGCTTTTTCGACGCTCAGCCAGTAACAGCCGATTGCTATCTGCTTCATTACGTCCTCCACAACTGGCCAGATGAGGATGCCAAGAAGATCATTGCTGGTCTGTCCCCTGCCCTTGGTCCAGGGAAGTGGGTTGTGATCGCCGATCACGTTGTACCGGAGCAAGGGAAAACCTATCAAAGCCTTGAAGGATTGGTGAGGTATATGGACAGTCGAATGATTGGGTTTTTCGGTGGCAGAGAGCGCTCTAAAAGTGATATAGTGGACATTGTACAGAGTGCGGATAATCGGCTAATCCTGGAATCCTGTGTGCAGCCGGAGGGGAGTATTGTGAGTTTTCTAGTGTTCAGATGCGTTTAAACCCTTGCCCTCAGCGGATAGGTTTTCCTATTTGTTGAGAAAAAGTAGGTAAAAGTTGATTTATGTCACAACTGCAACTGGTCAAAATATAATTTAGTGCAATAAGAGTAGGCCTTGACAAGTCACGCGGTGCCAAGCTAATTTTGGTTAACGTTGCCCAGGGGCTGTGTTTTGTACTTTGGCGATACCATAATACATGACACTCGTACCTAATTGGGAGCCAATAAAGACCATACCTGATTAGGACTAAACCCTGTGCCAACAGTGAAATCGCTGTGCCAATAGTGTACGAGTAACAATACCTCCCGCTGCCATGAGGGCACGAGCTGTGCAATTTGGACTAGACGCTGTCACGACAGCTTCGGTGGTGGTGTATTTTTTGGCCCTGCCTACGACTCTGTCCTTAGCTCTCTCTCTCGTGCCTGGACCTGCCTGCGAAGACCAGACTACCTTGAGCTTCCCCTGTATACTAGTTAACTAATTACTTGGAAATTTCGTCATACAAGGCCCTGTCTCCCCTCTCTCCTCCGTGTTTCCTTCCCCACCCTCACCAACCTTTGCTACCATGGAACATTTCCAACATACCGCCCACATCGGAACCCACTCCTTGAGCTACGCACTGCGAGGTATTCCTCGGCAGCCGGGCGCTCCACTTGTGGTAGTTCTTACAGGGATCACCAGCAGTGCGCTCGAATGGAGTGCGGTCTCTCGACATCTCGAGAATGAAGCATCCGTGCTGCTGTATGAGCGGACTGGCTACGGTCGGAGTGAAGCATGCCCTACTGCCGAGCCAGACTCGCTAACACTTATGGATGAGCTGTCTCGGCTACTTGCCGCTGAGGCCTTGCCACCCCCGTACCTAGTGGTCGGTCATTCCTGGGGCGGAATTCTCGCGCGGGAGTTTCTTGCCTCCCATGGGCCCGAGGCGATCTGCGGGATGGTACTGGTGGATGCCGTACAGGAGCGGATGCTCTTCGAAACATGGCCCGATCCCTGTATCGCAGCCGTCACGGCGGGGCTGGATTATATGGAAGTCGTCGGTCTGGCCCGCGATTATCGACTGACGGAGGTCGAGTGGGCAGAGCTTATGGCGGAGGAAGCTAGCCCACACCACACGCAACAGGCCACCCGCGAGCTGCCCTATCTGCAGGTCAGCCGCGCGGTCCTAGCCAACAAGCAGCAACTCCTCCCTGGGCGAGATCTCCTTTGTGGCCAGCCGCTTAGTGTGCTCCGGGGCAATTCGCATCGGGACCAGGAGCAGATGTACCACCGGGGTGTGGCAGAAGGGTTGGGGACTGAAGCTCAGCGAGCGGCCTTTCGTCACTACCTAGAGCGCTGGGACGCTAGTGAGGAGGCCTTTCAGCGAGAACTCCTGAATCTGTCGAGTAACGTGCGGTTCTCTACCACGACTCAAAGTGGCCATAATATTCAGATCACAGAGCCTGAACGCGTCGCTGATGAGATACGCTGGGTCCTACAGAGGGCTTCATTCGTTTCCAAAAACTCGCCATCTTGAACACAGATTTTGGCAGTGCAAAATCCAACATGCTCAGCATATTTGTCTATCCGGATCAAACCACAGGATACGATTGTTCATCTACGTGCAGTTTGTGGTGATAAACTCTGCAACGGAGAGACTCAATATTATTTTTCATATCCAAATCATACTAGGCAGAGCATTTTTTTTCCGATCAGCCACCATTATGCATGGAATTATATGCTTCTTGGCGTGCTTAAGCTCAGTCCGATGTACATATCATAGCATCAATCATCTTTGGGTACCTAGGTATGCACATTTCAGGTCCAAATGTTACCCAAAATCTGTAGATGCCCACGGGTATTAGGTATTATATTGTGTAACGATAATACATGTGCAGGTCTGGAGGCAGCCGTGTACAACATACATGCATGATGTTGCACCATTTTTCGTGCCCGCTTATTGGCTATTAGGCTTTACTCCCGCTTTACTGCCACTTTGCCTTTTAGAACCCATCTTTGATCTTTTTCTTACTTCTCTCCCTTAGTTGTCGTCTATTTTATTTTAAATTTCGTCACTGTATATATATACCAACATACCTCTTTATTATCCTACTTTTTCACCTACCTAAATAGCGACATAAATTGGTCGCTAATAGAATGGACCATGAGAAACGTTGGAAGTATTGTTGATGGCATCCATCTCTGGCGTACAGATGCCATAAAAATTGAATTTAACTTGTCATGAAAACGGAAATCGCCCGAGAACATTTGAAACCAATAAAAACTGAGTATCAACACCTATCCTGATTCCCACTCACAGAGACAACCATCAACTTTGGAGGCATGTCCGAAGAAAAAGTAGAGCCATACAGATAAATGAGCAAAAAGGTCATCGAAGGATTTGAGTATCCCCGACCTGGAAGCCGCGCTAGGGGCCGGTGGCACCGATTCCCCCACTACACCAGTTAGTTAGAGCCTATAGGCGAGCCATGCCACGTAAAGCCCTGGAGCGCACTAGCCTAGGTGTGAGCGTGGAAGATATCTGTCTGGCGGGAGGAGATGGGATCGAGACACGATGGAGGGAGCGGATCGCTCATCCCACGCTCCCTTGCTTTTGCGAAAACTTAGTGAATTCGGCTTTGGTATACTGATAGTGGATGAGAACAGGGCGTACAGTGGAAAGATCTGTATTGGATAGACTAACAAGATTGGGGAAGGAAGAGAGAGGGAGAACATTGGGATAGAGGAAACAAACAGGTCCTCGGGCAGGTCCACGGGTGCCCAGGTGCCCACCTGGCATGACTAGCATGACTAATCTGACAGCCACACCTGGCGCGGGCCATACCACTAGCCACAGTCAACGTCCCAAAACTACCCTCTCGCGCAAAACCTGCCCGTGTCCTGTAGCAGGCTACCTGGAGTCACTCGCGGTTCCTTTAATTGATCTCATTCTCAGCATTACCAGAGACGCAAGAGAGCCTACCCCGGCCGCGATTGCGAGATAAAATGCAGGGATAATGGCCCTACTGATGACTGATGAGTCGCTGTAGTCTACTAGTTAAAAACCGGTGTATATGGTACCCTCTATAGAATGATATTAACTATTTTTATATTTTTTATTTATACCCCCTTTTATTCTGAACTAACATATGAAATCTGTTTATTTTTGTCTATTTTATTAAATTTGTGGTAGGATGTTGAAGTTTTCGAACTGCATTAGATGGTTTAGTCCGAAATTCCCAATTAGGTTAGCGTTTGGTCCGAAATTCCTAATAAGGAATAGACTAAAAATAATGACTACATTTTCGACCATACCCTTCTCCTACATTTTCGACTATACCCTTCTCCTGCATTTTCGACCATACTACACTTCTACCTTTTTAACAATACTAACCTCTTATTTTAATTAATAATATATCTTCTTAATAATTAAAATAGATAACCTAGCTATAATTTCTTACTTTAATTATAGATTTAGGGTCGAAATATAGTAGTTTCCTATAGTTTAAAAAGTTAAAGGCCGATAGTCTAAAATATACGAGAAAGCCTTAGTCGAAAATATACGAGAAGAGCTTAGTCGAAAATGTAGATATGTTCTCGTGTATTTCCGACTATACCCTTCTCCTGTATTTTCGACTAAACTACACTTCTACCTTTTTACTAATATTAACCTCTTCTTTTAATTAATAATATATCCTCTTAATAATTAAATCTATGAATTTTACCTTAATTATAGATTTAGGGTCGAAATTTGTAATAGTTTCCTATAGCTTAAGAAGTTTAAGGTCGATAGTCTAAAATATATAAAAAGGCTTTAGTCGAAAATATACGAGAAGAGCTTGGTCGAAAATATACGAGAAGAGCTTAGTTAAAAATATAGATATATTCTCTTATATTTTCGACTATACCCTTCTCCTATATTTTCGACTATACTATACTTCTACCTTTTTACTAATATTAACCTCTTATTTTAATTAATAATATATCTTCTTAATAATTAAAATAGATAACCTAGCTATGATTTCTTACTTTAATTATAGATTTAGGGTCGAAATATAGTAGTTTCCTATAGTTTAAGAAGTTAAAGGCCGATAGTCTAATATATATAAGAAGGCCTTAGTCGAAAATGTATAAGAAGAGCTTAGTTAAAAATGTACGAGAAGAGCTTGGTCGAAAATACAGATATATTCTCGTATATTTCTAACCATACCCTTCTCCTATATTTTTAACTAAACTATACTTCTACCTTTTTACTAATATTAACCTCTTCTTTTAATTAATAATATATCTTCTTAATAATTAAAATAGATAACCTAGCTATGATTTCTTACTTTAATTATAGATTTAGGGTCGAAATATAGTAGTTTCCTATAGTTTAAGAAGTTAAAAGCCGATAGTCTAAAATATACGAGAAGGTCTTAGTCGAAAATATATAAGAAGAGCTTGGTCGAAAATATAGATATGTTCTCCTATATTTCTAACTATACCCTTCTCCTGTATTTTCGACTATATTATACTTATAACTATATATATAATATATCCTAATTAATACTCTTTTTTACTAAATATTAAGGTCTTTCTATAGCTTCTAACCGCAGTTAGAGATTATTAACTAGATAGTAAGAAAGGGTCGAAGTACTATACTTATATATATATATATATATTATACTACTATACTATATTTCTAACTATAGTTAGAATATCTTACTAGAAAGCACTTACTTAGTTAATACTACTAATTAAATTTATTTCTAACTACAGTTAGAAAATCTAGCTAAAATATACTATAAGGTATATAGTATTCTATACTCTCTAATATCTTTATAGTAATATATTATATAATATTTACAAATCTTACTTTATATATTAAATTCTTAAGCTTCTATACTAATTCCTCTATAGTACTTATATTTATTAAGTTACTATCCTTTATATCTTTAGTACTAGTAGCTAGAC